CTTTTACTTTTTATTATTTGCTATCACTATTTCACAACTGTTTCCTCAACATAACACTGTGCTTTATTGGACCTTATCAGCAGAATGCATTTTATGAAGACTGTTGTTCATGTCTGTCACACCGGTTTTTCTCCCGTGTTCAACATGTAATGAGTCAAACAGTTACCCATTGCCCATGAAAACACACCAGCACTTATATTTTTGTATGTCTTGTCAAAACACTGATACCATCTCTAAAAAGGACACGGAAAAGCAGTAAGAAGCTCAAGGTGACTCATGAGATACAGCTCTGAACACGGGATGACAGATCTGATTTCACAACAACTCAACATTTGTTCAGCTGCCTACTCAAGAATTGGAAAAACTTAAAAACTCTGTTTTTCTTCAAAACAGACATTGTGTGTATAAAGTGCAGTACAACTCTAATCTGCTATTTGTTTTGCTTATGTAGTTTCTATCAATGAATGTTCAGAAATATTTTCTAATCTTTCACCTCATGTCATTTCAGGAGACAGATTGAGTGCTTGAAGTCGGTTTGCTCAAAGCACATGAGTCAGTGTTCTGTCTGTCACTTGGGAATTCTGTCAATAATTGACCCTCTGTTAAGTTTTAAGGGCAGCTTTTATAGCCCAGATGGAAGAAAAACAGGATTTCACGACAGATTTTTTTTTTTAACTCAGCAAAACAAACTGGTCGTGAATGTGAGAACACAATATTTCTCAAACTAAATTTATATTCATCATCAAAACCCCGGATTTTTATTTCACTCAGTCAATCAAATGGTAAATCCATGATTGCTTTGTGCCCCAGTTTTTGGTAATGCAGACTTTGAGAGGTTTGTTTGTAAAAGTGGAGTAAATCAGAGCCACTATTACCCCAGAATTTATTCAACTTGTTGTCCGCCCAAGACGTCACAGGTATAATTCATTTAATCGGTTTAATCCACTTACTTTAGTTGAGCCTTTGGAGTCAGTATCTCATATGAGTGACACCTACAGCTTACTAACTTCAGGTTATGGATTCCATTTTTAACAGTTCTCTATCTAGTGGTTGTGTCCCTGGTTATTTTAAAGAGGCCTGGTACACCCATTGTTAAGAAAAGATGTAACTTGGACTGGATTCTTCCTTGCCTCAGAATTACAGGCTAATTCCCTGGTTATCTTTTATTTAAAAAAGAAAAAAAAACACTTTTCTCACTGAGACAGCTGTACTTAAAGTTTCCATCAGCCTTGAAGCACTGGGTAAAGGTTTCTGGTACAGTTTTAGAGCTTGGTTTAAACCAGATCTAACAAATAGAAGCTTCTGTGTGTCTTTAAATAAGTATCTCTCTGATATGAGTTATGATGTGCCTCAGGGGTCTGTTTTAGGTCCCATTTCATTTTCCTTATACATGCTCATCCGTCACATCATAATCAAGCACAATGTTTTATTTCTTTATTATTCTTTTAATATATGGATGAGACATAGTTTGACCTCCCTGTGAGGCACACAGACCCTGGTATGCTGTATTGTGTTCTTGATTGTTGATCAGAGATTCAAGAAAATTATTCCAGCTGGGCAAAACGACTTATGTCAATTGAACCCAGTAAAAGCAATTCTGCCATCTATTGGTCAGCTATTGGAGTACCTGCAGCTGAGAACCTCGTCATCTGGTTTGACTGGTGTTTAATTTTCAAGGAGCACACACTTGTGAAGCGAGTGCAGTCATGGTTTAAATATCTCAGAAACATGTCTAAAGTTTAATCCATTATAACTTTGAAAACACAACAGTGATTTATACCTCATCATGCCTTCATTATTGAAACAGTTTTTTACCTGCACAAACCAAAAATCTGTTGATAGACTCAAGACTTACCCGAACTCAGCTGGCAGGATTTTATCCATAGACTGTATATACTATATACTATTCTTTTTTATACAGTCTATGGTTTTATCCACAGCCAGAAAAAAAATCATATGACTCCTGTTTTAGCATCTTGATGCTGTTAAAAAGGCCTTGTTCTTTTCAACAGCATCACCCAGTGGAGAAAGAGATGTACAACAGTGCGCCCATGATGTGAAATGATGCTGCACAAACAAAGAAAGCTGATCCCAGGGTGGTTCAATGTTTGCATATCTATCACTTTTCCAGTGCTTTACATTTTGAAACATCACAACAAACCTTTATCTTTACAGTACCAGCAAGCTGGAGCAGAGAGATGATCTTCATATGGTAGGATTGATGAAAAGCAGCTCTCACATGATTGGTGCAGAGGTGGGCTGGTACTGAGAACATGCACCCTATTGGTCATTGCTTTAAATTCCGTCAACAATCAGAGGCATTTATTAGTATGACTGGATCAACATTTTTAAGAAATGGACACACACACACACACACACACACACACACACACACACACACACACACACACACATCTGTGCAAAGACCATCTGATGAGTCACATCCTGAGCTGGGCAATTTAAGTCAGTTTGCACTTAATATGAAAAACAATACTGAAAACTGCATATTGTTGTTTTCTTCATTTATGGATACTTGATAAATGGTATCAAATATACAGTCACCATTTTTTTTTCCTCTGGTATATGCATAACTATTAGACTTAAACTGCACTTGGACATAGTCCATGAGGTGAGAAAGAAATGACTTCAGGTACCGTATCCTTTTGTTACACTTGGTCGTCTTTGATATGAACTTGTCTTTAGTCTGGTTTGTGTCTGTGTGCACCCATACACTCTTGTGATATGAAACGAAATACATTTTGTGTTAAGGACCCAACCAAAAGAACACACCCAAAACACTTGATGATGAATCACAGTCCTGAGACTCTTATCCAGAAAAAAGCAATTAATCAAACTACCCTGCCAGTCCTCTGCAGAGCCTTGATATCTTCACTTGACTGAGCCTGATAGTTACAGCTTCATGATGAGCTTCTTGTGCGCCCTGCAGCCTCATGACTGTGCAAAAAGATGTTTAGGAAAAGCAATTATTTCAAATAACTATCTGTTAGGAGGAACTTTTAAATCAGGATCTTCATCAAGTGATTTGGTGATCAGTCCCCTGCTCTGGATTCAGGATTCTGGGCTCACAGACTGAGTCATTGTCCATTAGAGTGACAGAAATGACAGTTTGGCTGGGGTTATAAGAGTTGTCACGAGTCTAGAGCATGCACTGTGAATAAATGGCCCAAAACCAAAATAAAAAAAACCTAGGGAAAAGGTTAAATCTCTGAATAACTTATCAAATGAACTTATACTGCACTTTCTGTCTGTTAACCACTTTTCACACTACATACCACATTCACACCACATACGCACTCATAGCAGAGTTAGTGCCCATACCTAACCCCACCCTTGGCTATTCACTGCAAGGAATTTGGAGTTCTGTGTTGTGCCTAGGCCCTCTTTAACATGAACGATGCTGGGGCTGAACATCAAAGTTCCCATTGAGAGGCAAAATGCTATTCAAAATTTTTTTAAAAGAGAAAAAAAAGATAGGATGTGGCATCAGTCAACAGTTAGGTCTGCAATCCATTAGCTGTTTATATAATGAGGGTTAAATCAAATTAATGAAAAGGCAGATCAGTAAAACTAAAAAAAGAAAATCCCCAAACTCTTTGACTGACACCAAAATTCTATCAGGTTTGTTTGGATACATCAGAGATAAAACCTTAAAGGAAGGAGGTCTTGTAAAAAAGGATGTGATTTGGGTTTTACAGCTAGACTCTGCTTGATAAACAGCAGTGAAGGTCTTTGAAAGTTAAACGCCCATAAGGCTTGTACTGTAAATAAATGGTATTGATTTGCAATCTAAAGTAATCAGTGGCACATTAATGGTAGCATAAAAAACAGTAGTGGTGGGTGTCGTGTGAGGACGCAGATACCTCTGCCAAGACAACAACGATACTTATTTATGCAGTCTGTTCAGTTTTAAGATGTTTTTTTAACCCTAGAACACTACCGCCGCATGATTTTCACCTGACCAAACATGTTTACGTGATTTTTTATTACGGTGTGTTTGTCTGAGTATCATGGGTCCCTGGGTAGCTTCAGCATTACCTTTGACATCTTTGAAGGCTTATTTGTTTTCCTGATCCAAAACCCACTTTTTCCTACAGGCAGGTGTTCGGGTGATTTTCACCAGGCAATAGTGATAGAGGGTAAGTAGGTTTGGGTGAATTTGATAGCTGCATGCAGGGAATAAGGTTAAGTAAGAATGGTCCTGGAATTTGCATGCTATCTTTATTTAGTGCAGTGGTTATGAATAACTATCACAAGGTAGTGATTTTCAAGGGAATTTATATGGTGATAAGAAATATTTTAGTCAGCTGGTCATTTTTACTCACTCTAATGCAGCTGTTATTGTGCCAAGGACCCCGAGTCTTCACCAGGGTAGACTCACATGTTCCAGGAATGGATGATATATATATATAGTACAGGCCAAAAGTTTGGACACACCTTCTCATTCAATGTCTTTTCTTTATTTTTTTAGATGACTATTTACATTGTAGATTATTACTGAAGGCATTAAAACTATGAATGAACACATGTAGAATTTTGTACTTATAAAAAAAGTGTGAAATAACCGAAAACATGTTTTATATTCTAGTTTCTTTAAAATAGCCACCCTTTGCTCTTGATGACAGAAGTACCTTGTCAGGGTTACTTCAGGCACTCCTGTGAAGTAAAAACCATTTCAGGTGACTACCTCATGAAGCTCATTGGGAGAACAGCTAAAGTTTGCAGCGCTATCAAAAAAGCAAAGGGTGGCTACTTTGAGAAATCTAAAATATAAAACATATTTTCAGTTATTTTACACTTTTTTCTTAAGCACATGATTCCACATGTGTTCATTCATAGTTTTGAGAATCTACAATTTAAATAGTAATGAAAACAAAGAAAATGCATTGAATGAGAAGGTGTGTCCAAACTTTTGGTATATATATATATATATATATATATATATATATATATATATATATATATATATATATATATAATTATTTTTTGGTTGTTTTTTTTTTTTTGGTTGCACTTTTATATGGTCCCCTCATGGCAATTTTGGGACATTGCACAGTTAAAAATAAAAGAACACTACTTAAATATGTCATGAATTGTCCTATTTTGATAGATTTTGGTGACAAGTAGTTTTTCTTGGGTATATTATTTTATTATTTGGGGTAAAAATCAGCCTGCAATAATGATGGTGTTGCTAATTTTAGTGATAATGTTCTATGGTTAAAAGGAAATTAATCCGTTTAAGATTGTATCATTCTTACATCGACTGTTTTTTATGTTGTCAGTAAAGTAAATAAAGCTCCACCTTTACCCTTTGAAATGTATTTACAGATCAAATATGAGAAATTAGGTTTTATTTTTGTAACAGTTTCACACACCTGGAAAATCAAGTCCAAGTGTTATCCAGTTTAACCGGTTTCGATGCAGGTGCATTATTCGACCACTAGGTGTCGCACAGAGACCACTGTTTGTTGGCAGTGTGCAGAGTGGGCACCAGGTGGCTAGGATTATCAGGGTTTGTGAGCCAGCAGTGGCGCTGAGTAGCTAAGCCTGCTATATACTGTATGCGCACTGTGGCCTGCACAGGCCCATACAGACTCTGATCAACAGCTGAGAGCAGCCACGAGGCACTGAACTGTTTGAGTACAGTTCACCTCCTTTAAGACTCTGCTGTGCAGTATGAATCTGTTGGCCCATCCAGTGAGTTTGAGTGTAAACAGTCCACATTTTCATTGCCTGCCTCAATCTGCTTAAACTGTAAGGAGACCATATTGCATTTTGTACACAGAGGCAGAGTGGAAATAATAATGAGCAGTGACAGTAGCTTGCAGCTGTCACATGTTTGGTGAGAGAGCTTCAAGTTAGCTTCCTGTGTAGCTGTCCTATTTCACAGATGTAGACAACACATCCATGATATGACCCAAGGTTGTAGGGGTGAATTTTATAAACAGGGCTGTCACCTTTCACTGGATTCAAATTGAGCAGAAAGATGGAGCATCATCTCTAAACAAAATAAATAATCAGGGTTCAACAAAGGCTTCATCACCTTCAGGGGGGGGCTGACTGTTTTTTTCTTCTCTTTTTTTATCAGAGCAGTGCAGAGGTCAGCTGCTGCCCTGTGTCTGCCTGTCAGTTGTCTAAAGCAAAGCTCATTTAGAAGGCCAAGGCTGCCTTAAATGCAGGAGAGGATTTACTACACATAAGAGGACATCTTTGTTTTTGCATTTCTGTGCTGCTCTGCCCATTTCTATGAATACTTGTGTCTGCTCAGGCTGACAGTCGGTAACCTCCTGCTATCTCCCGTGGGGAAACTGTGCTGCTCATATCACAGTGTACAGTGTGTGTTTATGTAGCTGTGTGTCTTTGAGGTTTTGATTGCAGTGGTTTGTACACACCAGCCATACACTTGTGTCACTGCATTTGTCAGAGCACATAATCCTTCTTATATAATTTTTTTTCTTATCCTGGATAGGACCCTGAGAGTACATGTGAGATGAGGCTGCTGTATCTAAATAAACCAGGGACATGCAGCGGTGCATGTTGGCATGCAGAGCTGACAGCGATGCCACAACTTTCAGTGCATCTCCACCGGGGCAAAGAGCTCCAGCTGCACAAGCTTGTTTGCGTTCTACCACAGTTGGGCTAAAATACACACGACATACGTAAACAATTGTAGTGATGAGTCATACTTCATGGGAGCAGCTAATCCAGGCCTGGGTTTTTTGTCTTTTGTCTCCCAGCAGAATGATGTCGACTCAATTTGACAAACTGTGGTAGATTGAAACGAGTTACAGCACAGGATCACCCTACAGAAACACAGAGAATTAGGATTTTTACATGTACTAAGCAGACTGTTTTGTCAAATGTGCACAAAGCATTCATGCTAAACTCGATTGCTTTAATAGCCAGTGACATTCATTATGATTCTTTTAATTTAGTTAATTGAGCATCAACCTTAATCACACCAAACACACAAAAAGACTAACTTTGCCCTCACATCCATGGAAAAAAACAGAATTATTAAAAAAAAGTTTATTGACATCAGAAGCAATTTAAATTTCAACAATAAACAAGGCTTTTTTTCTTATTTTTGCTATTACAGTGGTACGTAAAGATCAGTAAAACAACCGTGATACGTCAATTTTGATAACATGTCATTTAAAATAAAAACACACAAGGAGGAGAAAAGAAGAGAAACACTCAGATCTAACTCATAACATTTTTTATGTGCTGTGCACCTCTAGCTAGAGTATTAACTGTAAGCCCACCCCTTTACACTGTACCAGGCAGGATAGTGATCTAGGAACTATCACTGGAAAAAACAAGACTGGCAGAAAGATACAGATACAACACGTGTGTAGTGTTAACTATACAAAAAAGGAGGAAAAAAAACTGTACAGCATAAAAACAACTGATATACACAGCCTTTTTTGTTGTTTTTTTTACCCCTTGGATTCTAACGTATTTAATTTCAGTAAGTGAAGTGTGTACAAGGGGGTTAAATGCTTTATAAACAAGAAAATGACCACTATATATGTCCCTAGCCGGTTACTCGTCATCATCATCATCGTCGTCTTCTTCCTCCTCATCTTCTTCTTCATCATCGTCGTCGTCATCATCATCTCTCTTCTCCGCCTTGGCCGGGGCCTTGGCTGGTGCCCCTCCACCAGTTTTGGTCTTAGCACGGTAGGCTGCAACATCCTACAATAAACAGATTACAATGTAAATCTAACACTCAGACCTAAATTTAAAAGATAACAACAAACCTGATTTATAATTTCATGAATTAATCTGGTGACAAAAGATGCCCTTTTCTTTACCTTCTCATACTTCTCCTTCAGCTTAGCTGCCTTCTTCTCATAGGGCTGCTTGTCCTCTGAATTGGTGCTGTTCCACATCTCACCTAGCCTTTTGGCAACATCTCCAATGGACAACCCAGGGCTCTCGCCTTTCACCTTAGGGCGGAACTCCGAGCAAAAGATGAAGAAGGCAGATCTGAGGAGGAAAGATGAGAAACAATTAACTTGACAGTTGTGATTCAAACTTTAACACTGTGCCTTTCCACTTGACTAAGATGGAAAATGTCTATATCTCACTTCAAAACATTGGCTACTGGTTACTTACGGGGGCCTCTTGGGGGCATTGGGGTCCTTGTACTTCTTCTTTTTGCCTCCCCTGACCGGCACGTAGTTCATCATCTCCCTCTCATAGCGGGCCTTGTCCTGCCTGGCCAGGTCCTCAAACTTGCCCTTCTCCTTGGCGGACATCGTCTGGAAACAGAGATAGAAAACATGTTAGTGAGACCTACACCGCTTTGTAGATATGGTTGAAGTATTTTCCATATGAGTCAATTGAGATAGCTTATTTTTAAAAGTGAGCACATTGTTTCCTGAATTGAAATTATCTTGATATAGTAAGTAAGAATTACATCTAAAATTTAATCGTCATCTCTTACCTTCCATCGCTCAGAGCACTTCTTGGAGAACTCGGCAAAGTTCACAGAAGCCTCGGGGTGCTTCTTCTTGTGCTCCTCCCGGCAGGTCTGGACAAAATATGCATAAGAGGACATCTTGCCCCTCGGCTTGGTCGGATCTTTCCCCATGTTGATTGCAGTATCTACGAAAAACAGACAATTTTTAGAAATTTAAGTATAGATCTGTTATAAATGGACTCTAATCTGCTCTCAAAAGCATAAAAAAAATCCTATGGAAGTAAACCAATTCACTAATAAACATTCTTAATTGTCAAATAATATGTAACAAGAGCAGATGTTTGTCACCTATCTAACATGCCACCTGTGATGTACTGAAAAAAAAAACATTTCTACTGATGGCACTACTCGGGTGACCCGCCCTCTCAGCTGTCAAACTGCACAAAGTTAGCACCCTTAAAAAAAACAACATGCTAAAATAAAAGAACCAACACAGTGGAGGCTAAGACTGTGAAAACGACCATCTTCATGGATATTATCCATAATTTGCATTTAAACTAAACTAAGACGTCTGTGGCCAACTCCCATTGTCGTATTTTTTAAGTAGACCAAACCCAATCGTCACTGATATAACACTAAAATTAAGGTCGTATCGGGTATTAGTTTTCCGTGTAGTTGCTGCACAAGTTCCCCGAGTGCAAAAGGCTCGGTCCTCCGTGGGACCGCAACAGTTTTAATACAGTATGAACCGTGTGTTTTAAAAGACACAAACAACACAAAAAATATCCCCCCCCGACCCCATTTACAATAAAAACAGACCTCGAGGGACCCCCCAGGTTCATTCATGTTCATGTTTTAATCCAACAACTTTGACACAAAAAAGACACAAATTACACATAAAGTCGTATTTATTGATAATAAAACACTCAAAACTGCGAACTGATGTGATTTAACACTCTACACATTAAGTCTGTGTTTTCTCTTAATGTGTAAAAAAATCCTCATCCTCGTCAAAAATGTTAAAAACCGTTAGAAAAGATGTTCTCCGCCGTGTTTTCCTATTAAACGCCGCTATAACTCTTGCTAAAGCTGCGTCGACCGAAGTAGTAATGGCGCATAGGCTTTCGTTGAGGAAAAGGAGGTCAACAACGACGGCAATATTTCTTCTTCCATTTTGTGAGAATGCCTTCTTCATGAAAGAAAGTCCCCCTCAAATGTCTCCACCCGCCCCACAGTTCGCTTTGCATCACGACAAATATGTCCAGAAAGCCGGCGATCTTGACAAAATATTTCCCCGATTGAATCCTATTGCACTAGCCGGTTTGTATAGTAATACATTGGGTCTGCACTGTGTCTATGAGCGGGCTGTGCTACTGACTTGGTTTCTATGAGCTCCTAATGGCCGCTCGTCTTCATCCACTAACATGGAGAATATGGCTCCTTCTCTTTGTGTCAGCGCACAGCCATTGCACTGCATGCAATAGAGGGCAGAGCGACCGCGGCGACTACCTCATTTCAAGCCCCGATTAAAGCGTCTTAATAACATCGGAAATTTTTCGCAATTACGTCGTTCGAAAGACGAAAGGTTGAATTTTCTTTTGCCGTCGTTACATTTCATAGTTACGGGCTTGTTTTTTGAGAAAACACCGTTAGAAAAAGTTGAGCTCAACTGCGCCTCTTCCCATTCCCGGCTTCCCATTTGCCTCGATGCCTTGCCTCCTATGCGAATACAGTCAGCCATTACAGTAAAGCGCAGATCGTGAGGTAATTTTTTCACCGTCTTGTCGGGGGGATTATCGCAAACAAACATACGTACATGTATGTTTTCAGACGGTCTTTCTTTTTCTTATGTTTTCATAAATTTTAATGCCTGTGAAGAAACCCGCTATCTTCACATGACAGGCATTCAGCTTCGCATTGCACTGCAATGCCAATGGCTAGCTAACGGTAAGTCTTCATTGTCGCTAACCGTGTTGTCCGCTAGACATTCCTGAATTTTTACGCGATAACTGCCGTTTGATTTGACTCCATTTTGTAAAAATGACACGGCAGTAATATTCAGAATTATTCGTATTTGACAAAATCGACCGTTTTCGTCGAATTTCTTCAAGATTGATATTTATTTCTTCCTTTTTTATGGAGCGTCTGGTCCACACTCACTCACAGGCAGGGCACTGTAACGTTACCTGCTTAGAGCCGGCTATTTTTGTTGTTTTTCTCTAATAGTTCTTCACTACAAAATCATTTTCTAGCATTCGAAGATGTTACACTCAATCGCAGCGAACAAATTACATCGATATCATTAAATGTTATCGTCATTTTCATCATGAGGAACACTTCATATTTGCGTGTGTGATACTTACCAAGGGACTATCGCTGGATCTCAATGCTCTGCAATGGCTGTGTGTGAGGGAACAGAGGCGATACGCAGTGTCTTCAGTCTTCAGCTCTCTAACATTACTCTCGGCGGGGCTCAAACGCCATTGGCCAGCGTCCGGTCTGGCGCTCCTTTCATTGGATGGAGGCTTTTCATTGTCCTAATAGAAGACGAAGTCCTATTGGCTGTCTTTTGTGAAACGTCACTGAAGTTTTCCGAGGCGCGTGGATACAAAAATATTTCTGCCCGAGCATGCTGGAGCTGGTAGTAGTGTAGTGTGTTTGCCATAGTATTGAATTCACTACGTTGAGCACAGTGTACAGTAGGCAAGTTAAATGAATGAGACAACGTGGAGCGCCTGTAGTCGGTGAACCGGGCGGCTGTAAACTGCTGTGCGACCGTGTTGGATGGCCTGTCCTCCTCTTCATCAACATGCTCCATTGTCCATTCTCCTTAATACACGTGAGGTTATTTGCAAATTATGACTTTGAATATACACTGGGAGAACATTGCAAAATCACATGTAAGTGATTGAGGACACAGACGCACATTCCATACGGGATTGTTATGCACTTGATATGGTATTTTAAAGAATTTGGTGAGGAGTTATAGTCAAAACATACTTCCAATTCAGTTTACAGTCTGTACTATAATTACCATACAATAACTGAGCTTTTCCTATTTGGGACTCCATTAGAGATTTGACACTCCACTGACTGTATCGCACAATGTTTTTTCAGTATTTCCACCAACAATACACAACTTTTAATTTTAGAGGGCACTCATTTCAAACTGTCATATACCTATGTTTACTTATGAGCCTCTATCCCTTGCAGAGATGGTGATCGACAAAGAGACACCATGTTATGATCAGTGCAAAAAATTGGCATTACACACCCTGTTATCTTCTTTTTTCAAATGTTTCTTGCTCAGTACGACCCTTCTGTGTATTTTTTTTCATTGACTTCATATTCTCCTTTAAGCACACCAGGGTCTTATCTGCAATTACCACACAGTCTCAGAGAGCATATGCTCAACTCTGGTCATAGTTAGTAGCAGTTTTTTTGACAAATCTGAGAAATTTGGCAAAAACTTAAGCCCACAGGAGATCTCTCTTTTTAGTGAGTCTATTATAAAATATGAATCTACCTTGCTAATTGCACTTCCCCTATGTGTATTTATATCTGTTCAAGCCTGTGGTATCTTCGCAGCCCCCATCCCCATCCCCATCCCCATCCCATCCCCAGATACACTGTTAAGTATACTGAAAAAGATTTTTTTTAACCACATCCTTTCATTCTGAATAGATACTTGACACTTGAGAAGGCCACTCATTTTATTGTGACCCAATGTTAACAGCCATATCCAAACAAGTCAAGGCTTTTAATGCAGTTTGTTCTTGTTTCAATGAACTTGTGAGTATAATCATTCATTAACTAACTAATATAGGCTACTGTATAATTGTCATCATTTAGTCTCATTAAATAATTTCATATAGAGAAGTAACTATATGGAAATGCCAAAAAGAAGTTATTTCTTATGTATTAATGCATCTGTTTGCTTGGTCAGCAACAGATCTCACCTATCACTGCTGGGTATGACCTTTCTTGTGTCCATTTCACAAACCTGCAAAGCGTTTGATTGACTTTTGTATCAATTCACGATGTGCATCACTTTTAAATTGTGTCGTAATGATAAGTCTTAGTCCGTTACTGGGAATAGGTACAGGTGCACCTTACCCTGTTAAAAACATAGGTGATGTCGGGATGAAACCTTATCCATTATTGAAGTAAGTCAACGATAAAATTATGAGTAGTTAGCACTGGGTTAGTGACCTGAACTCTTGTTCCATCATAGGCAAAACATGAAATTGTAAAAATAGGAGCAGCGGGCATGCATTACAAAGGCAAAATTAAAATCTCTCCACCATGATCTTAATATTTGAAGCATAAACTGGCGATGATGCAATCTGATTTACAGACCTTGTCTTGTATGTGGATGTGCTCAATTAGATGTAAATAAAAAAAATGGCCATATTTATTTAGATTTTTCAAACTATAGTTTAGCCAACAGTTTAAGGCCCAGTGAAGTCAATTTTATCATAAGTAATTCAGAAATAATTAATTATTTCAACAAGCATTGACTGATGAAATAGGTAGGATAATTGTTTCTCTTCAGCAGTTTTTTTTTTTACCGAAACAAAGAAAATGGCTGACACATAGTTTATTCTTATCCATGAATTAAGGCAGGAGAGGGCGAACTGATTCCAAATGCCAATCACAACCCAGACTAAGGCCACATGTCTGCCTGTGATGCTGCCTGTCTGAGTCTCATTTTGCATCAGGAGATGCCACGACAGAAAGCTATAGCCGGCTATGGAGCTAGGGAAGCGGCTGGTTTATGCATTCTAATGAGCGCTGCCTGGGAAAAATATGCAAATTCATTTTGTCATCAGGAGGAAAATAGAGGACAGGAGAGCAGCAGATACAGGAGGGGCTTAATGGAGGAGGGCACATGCAAGAGGCGGGATTGGGTGGGAGAGATCTGAGTGTGGACGTCTGTAAATGTGTGAGTATGGGTGTGTGTGAGAGAGTTGGGTGTGGGGGGTGGGGGGTACAAGAGCAGGAGGTGTGTTATGGAAGCAGAGTGAGAGACATGTAACCCCCATCCCACCCCCATCCAGCCAAAACTGCCACTCTTTCTTTAAAATCAAAAAAGCAAATGTGAAGAAGAAATGATCATCCATTATTGATACATTTTCAACTACGCTACTTGAATTACTTGCAGTAACAACAAAGACACTACTACTAATAATACTAATACAGATACTACTGATCATGATAATGATTCATAAAATTTTGTAACAGAAGATTTTTGGATTTGGAATACTTTGTAGGGTTTTTGGAGTATTTTACCTAAAAAACGAAATTCCTAAATCAACATGTATTTTTAAAATAACATTGCCGTATGATAACGAGAGGGTCTGCTGTAAAAATAATAATAATAATAATGCAGGGGGCGATCAAAGAATGACATCTGAAAGGACGTTCAATCGGAAGGTTAAATGTGACTTATTCTTCAACACTCTGATGTACTCGCTTGGGTTGAGCGATTCAAACCCACAGTAACGTGTCTTACCTACAAACACGAACAATGCCAGGAACACAAGCTGCTGCACTTCCCTAAAGCTACCATGCGGGGGCAAACGGAACTCTTCTCCATTAGACAGTGGGGGGAACACAAAGGCTGTCGTACCAGAGCCGGCGAGCGGAAAACCAACGTTTTTGACACGAACAGGCGAAAGGATGCACATGGGCTCTCCCGGCTGACATGATTGAATAGGCCTGCATATCTGAATGGATATTAACTTTCAACATCACCCTAACAGACTTTCCGCCTATTTGGTTTCGGTATGTAAACTTTAAATCAAGAAAACCTGAATGTAACCCGGTGGTGACTGGAATGAGTGCCTAGCTTGTTGGCTAACCTGTTAGCATGCTACCCTCCAGGTGCAGAGACAGATCAGACTGTTATGTTGATTTATTTTGTTGAAATGTCTTATCTTTATGTTACATCTCAAACAGATGCAAAGCTTATCTGTACTACCTGCTCACTATTTGTATACTGTTGCTTGCCCGGTGGTCCCACGTGTGCGCCTGTATATACGAGGTGTCTTTTGGTGTCCTGGTTATTTAGAAGATTTCAAATTTTGGAGCAGAAATTGAGGGAAACGTTTATATAGGAAATATTAACCATGGGATGTTTTATTTCACATCACTCTTGCATAGTGTGCAGTAGGACTGGGCGACATAGGAAAAAGTTTATCACGATATTACGATGTTTTTGTCATATCAGTCGATATCGATATACATAACGATATAAAAAAGTAACTCGTCAATTTTAAATGTTCCCTCTTTAGGGTTGGGTATCGTTTGATTTTAAACATTTCCGATTCTTTGTTTCGATTCCAGTTCCTAACGATTCTTTATCCCGATTCTTTTAAGAGGCAGGTTGTTAAAAAATGCATGGTTTAGGGTCCTTGCACACCACGGCCGATGCAAATATACGACACAAAATTACGAAATATTCTGAGGTGAATTTTGACGCGCCTGACTATACACATCAAGCACAATGCGATTTTGAGACTTTCCGGGGGGGAAAAGACGCATCCCGAGTGGAAGCGAGAAGACTGACACAACAGCAGACTGAGTGTTTCTTCAGTTCTGATTAGACTCTAGTGTTGAGATGACTGTCTGTCATGATAGCACTGAGTCGGGGCCAGTACCAGATAAGCACATTAAACTATAATCCATAAACGTAAGGTAACAACCGAGACCTAACGCAACGCGATTGAGTTTGAGACAGTGAAAATACATATGGTATGTTGTATCTGAACAGGTTAAGATACGGATGAAAGTTAAAACAAAGACGTTTAGCAAACTGTTAAAGCACACAAACCATCGTCATATGAGAGATCCGACGCTATGACTCTCCACAAGTTGTCCTTCAGGGCGTTATCTTTCTTTTTTATCATAAAGCACTCTGTTCTCCGACACGTAAACAATCAGCCGGTCGGCCATGCTTGGATATACCAGTGAATCAGACATCACAAAAACACAAGTGGACACACCGGAGTTCTTTTTGGATGAAATTTCTGAAATTCTCCATGAATTTTTAAATGATATTAACTTTTTAAGAACTTTACTATGAATTTCTCTCAGGGCTGTTTTCAACCAGTATTTAAATATCAATTTTTGTTGTCAGGTTGTTTGTCTATGAAAAAGTACGAGGGCTAACGTTAGCTAACGAAAGCTGACCCACCGTACACAGAACAATTAGTTTGCCGCTTCATAGTTAGCAGAAGACAGAAGGAATTTATTGTTTTACTTTTCTGATTCTGGCTGGTTAGTGGAAGAGCAGCGAAGCACGTCAAAGATGAGCACTCAGGTATTTCTCCTCCATGAATCCTGAGGTGTTTAATCATGTTGGTCGTTCACCCTTCTTTGTATGACATAACTGTGTAGCTAATGTTGCACTGAGATAAGAATTCATTCTTCCTGCTAAAGTTAGCCAAACCTTTGACTGCAGCCGCTGTGAGCTGCAACACACTCTCTCTCTGTCCCTCTTCTCTCTCGTCTTATACACTTCGTCCACATTGGTGTTCGGCGGCTATTTCTTCCGGTTGGCGGACTCCAGCATCGAAAGTTTTAAAATTTCAACGGTTCCGGGAGAATCGAAATGTTAGTTCTGGTCCCCATCGATACTCAAGACTCGATGCCCAACCCTATCCCTGTTACACTTAAATATAATTTAACAGTGCTTATTGGTAGCGTGTCTTTTGCAGTAGAATAAGCTACTGCATCTGTGAGGACTTTGTTTCTCTTTGACGTCTTGTCGTAAGGCGTTGCGCTAGAGAAAGCGGAATGGTCAGCTGTTTCGTCTGCACAGGTGCTCACCGACAGGGCTGTGGGCTTCACATGTTAAAGTGCTATGGTTGGGTGTAGCTGCAGCCTGCTACTACGCAGTTGTTTGCTACTTGGTTTTGATTCAGCGCAAAGAGGACCCGGAGCAACCCCACTTTTCACTGACGATTCGTATAGTCCACCAAAACATGGCAGAGGGACGGCAATCGAAAAGCATATTGACCATGTTTTATACTGATATTGAGGGAAATTTTCAATATCATTATTGTTTAAGCGCCCAGCCCTAGTGTACAGTGAGTACACTTGCATTAATTCAGCGTAGGAGAAAGCTGATGGTGGGTTTTCAGGGCTGATACCAGTACCGAGGAGTTTATTAGACCGACCACCAGAATTGAAACCATCTATCTTTGTCTAAATGAAGAATGTTGACCTGTCATTCAATTTAAAGCTACTTCATAAATACTCATCTAAAAGAATCTGCATTTGTTGGGAGGACACTACATGAGACAGAGTGGTGAGGGAAAACAGACCTAGAGGGAAAGACTCACCTGCAGCAGAGCCAAGGTAGTGCACTTTTTAATGAATTGATTTAATCTGTAATGGGTACGCTAAAACGCTGATACAGATGCCAGTCTACCCAATGATGGACCAGGCCAATAATTGGTCTACCTTTATTACAGTGCTTTGAAAATCAGGCTGATTTAGGCGTATAATAAAAAAAAACCCTTCCTCTTATGCACAGTTTTATGTCATATGCTTCTAGAGAGTAGATGACTACTATTACATTACTAACTTTGATACGCATAGTAACATACTGTGCTGTGCTGTATTTTTTTTCATCAGCTTTCTCGGAGGTGAGCCAGCGTTCAGTGACATGGTAATATTTTTTGAATGGACCGCAATGGAGCCGAAGAGCAGCTGTGGTTTGCCTGTGACTGAAGACACTGGTTTGGAGGCTTCGGCCTCATCACTGGCGGGGTATTTGGGAAAAGTCAGTAGTGCTCATGTTTTCCTCTTGCAGTGTCACTTGCGCAAAGCTGAATTAAAAAAAAAAAAAAAAAAAAAAGAATCCAATCTAAATCAAAAAAGAGTAAGAACTCACACGGAAATCTTTGATGTAAAAGGCGAAAGTTTTCTGGTAGATTTGATGACTTTGGTGATGTGTGAAATCCGAAATTGAGCTGTTTGTCATGTTTTGCTGAAAATGAAACTTGTTTATCACATACACAATAATTTTTTATTACTATATATGTATAACACTTACTTTTGATTAACACCTACTGAATCACCTCATATATAACTTACAGCTTCCCTTGTTTTCTATTTACACTAGTTAATAAGCAAAGAACTGAAGTCTAAATAAATCTGAAAAACCCAATTATAACTTACTGCTACTTGTAGGAATAATTTTAGCAGGACAATTTAAGAAAGAAAACAACCTTTTTTTCAGTGTTTATTACCTCTTATGACTCATGTGCACATACAGCTCTTCAGTGTGACAGTAAGAGTTTTAAAGTGGTTTATAAAGTTGTGATAGCTTTGATTTGAAATGGAAACAATCACATATTGACATTTTAACTCTTAACTTTCTATGACCTAAATGTTTTTCTAAAGGTTCAAGAAAGAGCTTCCTCTCTGGATTACTGCCCCTGGTGTACTTCAAAGGGCTTGACCTCTGCTCTGCGCTCTTACCGCATCAACCTCCAGGAGTCCATCACCCTCTGTACAAACCCACTGGTAAGTCATACGACTGCCGTCTCCCTCAGACAGACACATATGTTTCTATATATAAAAGCAGGGCCTTTTACATGAATTATTTTTATCTTTTGCCAACTGGCATCTTGACCTTTTCATTTCCATTCCCACACAGTGCCTTTTCCCTCTGGTCAGCCGGTCCTTGGATGATGTTTTGGCCAGCTTAGTTCCTGTGGAGCCATCTGTTGGCAGTAAAAGGAAAAATGTCTTGGCACTGGAGGGGGAAGAGTTGATTAAACCCTTACACAAACGTCTGCGGTACAGTCAACATGACACTCACCATCAACAAAGTTCTGCAGACACACTTGACAGCCAAGCAGAGCATGCTGATGTAAACATTTTGAGTAATGGCCAACACGCAGCAGTTAAGACAGACACCGCGCAGTCCAATGGACACCACAGGGATTGTCTGGATGCAGAGAGAGGGCAGAGATCACAGCAAGAGGATAGACTGGAATCTTTAGACAAGGAACCAGAAAATGTGTCTGCCTTGAATGGTTCTGTTTCCACATGCTCATCCTCAGCTGGATACCTGCAGAGCTCACCAGACACTTTGTTGATCACTGAAGAGAATGAGCATGAGTCAGAGAAAAAGGTGGAGAAATCTCCTGAGATCCAAAACAAATGCTGCTCCGATGAGTCTCTTTTCGTGGATGGGGACATGCGTTCAGTCAAATTCAATACACTACCCCTTCGGCACGATGAGCAGACAGCTAAGGTGGGGATGAAATCATCACTAGATGCAGACAGTGGCACAGAGTGCGTTCAGTCAGAGGCAGAAACTAGGATTATGGAGTCATCTGAGCTTGTAGCTGTTCCCAGTCAGCATTTCTGGAGGAACAGCAACAAACTGTGCTGGCTGGACTCACTACTTGTTGCTTTGGTAAACTGTAAGAGTTTGAAGAAGTTAAAGCCTGAAGTTGAGCCTCAGCAGTCTACTGTGTGGCGGCTGCTGCAAAGGTATGAAGAAATTTGTGCTGCCGTCCAGGTCCATCATCAGACTGGGAAAGGTAAGTAACACACATCATTTACAATTGATTTTTTCTTATGCACCTAGTGCCTCTAATTTGTAGTAGTATGTTTAAACTCAACAGAGATTTAATGCTTTATTATTTGGCTCACGTAATTTTGGCCAAAAAAGTTTAACTCTTTTTGCCACTTAAAGCTGAGTCACTGTTTGGTGTCCCGTCTTTATGCAGACTGTTTGTGTTTGCTATTTTCGGCCCTTTGTTGTGAGCTTGATTTGACAGGAAGATTTTTCATTAGTGACTCATTCAAATCCTCGGGTAGCTGTTAAAAAACTGATTTATTTTACTGGTATATGTGGGGTTCAGAATCAGTTATTTAGTTTGGTTGCATGGATGCTCCCAGTTTCAGAAAGTAAGAGCAATAAGAAAATTTTAGGTGAATCTACCAACAGGTAAGGAACAAATTTCCTGCAACATGCCGATCAGCTAATTGGGTTTAAGTCGTAGAAGAGCATCTATGTGCTGTATCCACAAATACTACCAAAACAAGTAAGGGTTGATACATTTTCAAACAGAGTGTGCACTTAGATCGAGAAAAGTGTTTCGGTTGGAGACTGTGAAAATGAGCTAAAGTGTGTGGTCGGCCTGGCTCTATCTGTTGGAGCTGACAGCTAACCTTGGCTTCTGATTCTGTTCCTAAAGGGTTTCTGATCAAAGGGGATAAGATGGCCAGCATCCCCTGTTGCCATTGCACTAACGATTGACAAATATCTCATAAAATCCTAATTAAAACATTGAATTATCACTCAAACCAATATAAAACAGTATTAAAGGTCATTAGAAGTTTAGAATGAACAGGACTATTTGATTTGCAAAGCCTGCTGAGAAAGAAAAGAAAGAAAATCAAAGAAAAATGGGGAAAAAGGTTTCCTCACAACAATTATTTGCACTCATACAAATAACCCCACATATTTATGGGGGTTTAAAATTCCAGGAGTATATTCAACCCAAATAACAGATTTTGAGCCCTAAAGCAATACTTATTGTCACATCTGTGGTATTTTAGGATTTAAGGCAATGGTTTTCTGTACAGTTCATTCGACTGTTTTTTTTTTTCTAGATGGCGTTGTGAGGGTTCCAAATAATGTTCTGTGCAAGACCACTGAAGACCTACATAGTCTCAGGATGTCGATCTTTGAACTTCTGCAGCCGAAGCTGCACTGCAAACTAGGTAAGCTTACTCAATGCATTATGACATGAAACGACCACTAAAAGATAATGTTTGAATTCATTAAATGTTAACTTCTCCTAAATGGATATGCACCAACCAGCTATAACATTGTGAATACCTGGACAATCTAATGCTTTCCAACACAACAGCTCCTCAAACTTCAAGCTTTTAGTTCTTGTTGACATGATCAGTCAGGTGATTGTTGTTGCTGAATTTTTCTTTTTGTAGTGGGTAGCAGTGGTGTAACAAAGTGTGTTATCTTGAAAGGTGTTTCTAATATGTCGTCCACTTCAGCAACAACTATGAGAAAAACAAAATATCAGTAGCACCTTCAATAAAACGCAAATTCAAACAGTAGAAGAAGAAAGGTAGAGTTTATGGTAGAGCTGTTCGATTGGGTTGAGTAATTCTTCTCAGCTGTTCATCATGTTCTTGCTGAATGATGTATGTCAGAGCTTAGAGAGGTTGATTATCCACTTTGTACCTCTTTTGAATTTTTTTGTGATAAGAAAGGCCGTAGAAGAAAAAAACGCCCCACTCTTTTTTTTTTTACGCCTCCTTTTTCTTAACCTCATATGGGGAGTGTGCAAAGTGGCAGCTGCACGTCTCCATTCCCAAAGGTTTTACCCATTTTAGAAAAGGTTTTTGATGATAAACTTTATATATATTTATATAGCACCTTTCAAGAACAGTTGTCTCAAAGTGCTTCACAGTCCTCAATTAAAAAGGATTAAACAACGACACATAAACATAAACAAATAGCAGACTAGCAGCCAAGTCCTGGTCATACAAAGAGAGGTCTAAACAAATGAGTCTTCAACTGCTTTTTGAAAGCATCCACAGTGTCCACAGTTCTCAGTTCAAGAGGGAGACGCTCCCAAAGTTTCAGAGCAAACAACTCAAATGCACAGTCTCCTTTAGTTAGGAGTCTGGTCTGAGGGACAAACCAGTGAACCCTGACCAGAGGACCTTAGAGTCCTGCTGGAGCTATACAGCTTCAGCAGGTCTCTGATATAAGATGGAGCGCGTCCATGCAAAGCTCTGTACACAATCACAAGTAATGTAACTTTGATTCTGCATTAGATGGGGAGCCAGTGTAAAGACTTGAGGATGGGTGTGACATGAGACCGTTAGGATGATTCTGTCAGGAGCTTAGCTGCAGCATTTTGAACCACTTTTAGGCGGTTCAAAGACGTGACATTTAGACAGGTGAACAAAGGATTACAATAATCCAGACGCGATGAAATGAAGGCACGAACAATCATCTCAAGCTCATTCTTGAACACTAGGGGTCTGAGCTCGGATATATTTCTTAAATGATAAAAGGATGAGTGATCCAGTTCATGACCTGGTCCTGGTCCATTTTGTTGTTCAAATCAAACAGAGGCATCTGGAAAAACAGATTTTTGTTAGTTGTTGTTCTTTTTCATGTCCTCTCGAGGTTAGAAAGGTGAGAACTGAATAATCCACAGAGTTTCAGAGAAAATAATGTCCAAAAAATGGACTGTAGTTTGAAGCTATCCACAGTGATAGCAAACATATATCAAAGACCTTTTGAAACATGTGCCAAGCTACTGTGAGAAAGGAGGAGATTTCCGAGTGAGATTTCTTTTTAGACTCCACAGCACAGAGGCTCTCAGGGCCCCTCAAGCCTTCTGTTCATGAATATTCAACTTCATATAGTGAAATGACACTTTTTTTTTTAAACCAAACAAACTATAACAGTGACAAGTCAAGGTAAAGGTGAAGAGTCGTTTTGGTAAATTGGTAGGCATGTTGAGATAAGGTGAAATATTCCATGTATGATCTCTAAACAGTTAACTAGCTCATACACCTTTTCTGTAATTTTCTACTTTGGCATGCAGCTTTCTGTAGTATTGAGTAATGAATGCTTGTTAGTAACCCAGGCTTGTCTTATTCTTAATATTTCAATGTGAGCATACTCATAACAGCAGAAAGTGACAAGGCTGGACATGTACTTCTTGAATCATTTCTAAATGTTGATAAATGAGGAAACAAGCAGAGTTTTTGCACACTTAAAAAAATCAGAAAGGCAGGGTTGGAGAGCGTGAAAGGAGAGCAGCCAGATTAGAATAAAATACTTCTTTTTCAGATTTAATTATTTAAATACTTTTTTTTAACTACTATTTTACTACTTTTTTCCTCTTCCTTTTAAACACATTTTAATAAATGTGCCATGTAGCTGCTTAAAAAAAGAGATGCTGCCAAACAAAATTTGGTTGTATTCCTGTACAATGACAATAAAGCTTCTTCCTTTTCTTAAAATAACCTTGAGCTGTGGAGTGTATCTGCAGCATACACACCTGGGTGAAATTTCTAACTTCTTGTTTGTGCTTCTCAGGTCAAAGAGAGACGCCGGTGTTCGCCATGCCGCTTCTGCTTACGATGGACTCATGGGCCGAGCCTCTCTTCCAGTCGACCTTTCACTGGGAGTTCAAGTGCAGTAAATGCAAAGTCGCCACGACAGAAGGGTAGGCGATGATAACTGCGTGATAGGTTACTAAACATTTTACCTGGCTGACATATTGAGACTGAAAAGAAGAAAATACACAGAAATATGCGATACATAGTGTTTGACATTAACTGGAGGGAATTCACTCCTCCTTGGGCTTGTATGAGACGCAGAAATAAGACAAACAAATGAATCAAGTTCCATGTAATAACAGAGCTTTCAACTTCAAGACGGACTCTGATGAAAATCAGGTTTTTTTTGTTGTCTACAAGTTCATATAGCATTTTTCTGATGCTACAGGATATATAATCAGAAAAAAAGTGTGAAATTGCATTTCTGAGTATTTCTGCATTCAAATCGCTGTGAATCTCAGGCTCAGACACAGTGAGATTTCCTGCGTCACAGCTGCAAGCTCCGCCCCCGGAGCCCCTCTATGCAGGCCAGACTCAGAGAAGTAAAAAGGACAATCATAGAACAAGCGTATGCATTAGCGGATTGCAATGCTCGTAAGAAAGCTACTTATGATATAAACTTTAATATCCCCAAAGACATTGGTGTCCGAGAGCTGAAGAGCTCCTATGTTACCTGCCACTTCTACCACACCGGCAATGTTAGACTGCAACCTAACATGAAGACGAGTGTGCAGAGCAGCGCTGTCTCCGCCCACGACTCAGAAGCGAATTGTTGGTCATGAGCTACTGGAGCTCTGCAGCAGAAAAGCCTTTAAAAACGACACAGGTAACGTGATTGTGGCTAAAAACTTCATAATCACAATTTAAAGACCACTGAGAACACTTTGAGCAGTAAAAAAAAAAAAAAAAACAAAGATCAGAGTGGGACTTTAAAATGATCACTTGATCAAGTCTAGACAAGAGGTCAAGAAGATAGTCTGCTCAAAAACATGAGAAGAGGTATATTTATGCTATTAGACCAAGTTAGTCAGTTACACTTTAAACGTCTGTTTAAATGACAAAGAAATTAGCCGCTTTGGAACATCCTCAGTCGGCACAAATTCCATCAACGTGTGTTAATATCTTAGTTACTCCAAGTGACTTTCATTGTTACAGTGAAAACACAGCATTATTTTTAAAAATAATAATTACTGAAATGCATACACAAAATATGCCCTCTGTTTTCTTTTTGTTATAACCTTGATATTAGGGTTTGTTCAACGTCTTGAAAGTTTGACAAAAGCACAATTTTAACCATTCACCTTTCTTGGAAAATAATTGTGGCTTAAATCCCCAGAAAGTATTTAATTCTGAACATAATTTTAGTGTTTCGTGCACATAGTTGCTCATGTAAATCAAATATCTTAAATATCATCAAATCATAATATTTATTTGTTGTCTCCTGGCGTCTCATGCCAGACATGGTGCGCCAGCTACCAGACAACAGGTGGAATCTGTTATTGCTTCATCCACATGCCAGATGCCATTTTTATGCCAACTGCTTAGTAATAACAAATAAATAACAAAAAATTGTCCTTCGGCCCAGAGCCGTAAAAAAGTGAGCCTTAAAACTCACTGAGAAAATTCTGCCAATCATTCCAGAAGGAGGAAAGTTCTGGGTTAAATACCTTTTTAAAGGTGCCTGAATGTCATTCTTCAAAATACAGAGTGCTAATGAGATCAGGCTACTTCAGTGTTTTGTAGGAAATACAATATTCATCTGTGTTTGTGTGCAGAAGAATTTATGGGAGAGAAGGGAAATGAAGTGATAAGAAGGTAGGATGGTTGAGTTTAGGACTCAGAAGCTCTCGTACTTGTCCTTTCTGTGTATACTTTAACATGACAAATACAGTAATGTAGTATCAATATCAAATATCAAATATTCTCTGCATGTTCAAGAGAGGGGCTGCATTAAGTGACATCAGGGCGACTTTAATTGACTGGTGTTGGCATGATTTATTTCAGAGTATATGGCTAATATCAAATGTCCTTTAGTGTGACAACAGTGCAGTTTCAGTGGTCAACAGTATATCTTTAAGTACTTGCAGGCACGGAAAGTTTGGTTATTTTCTAGGTTACAGTGTCTCGTATGCTCATCATAACAGCTGACATACTGCTAATAGTGAAAAGTGTAAAGACTCCAGTTTACAGTTTGATTGTACGAATGGGAAAAATGGTCAATCATCTGTCAAATGATTTCTATTTGCTTCTGTTTTGAGGGAAACTTGAATTACAGTGGGTGCCAGTCTTTTACACACGTTTATGCTTTTGTTAAATAGCTTCAATACATGCTGTTTTTTTTTTTTTTTTTTTTTTTTTAAGGGTTATGAAAACTCTTCCCACTTTCACGAGCATCTTACCCGATTGGCACCCTCTTCATGCAGTGCACTCGGCACCATGTAACATGTGCTGCCAGAAGAAACAGAGGAGGGAAATGATGCTGCAGAGGTGAGAATATCAAAACCGATCATGTGTTTGTACCTGCATGTCTGTTTATTAAAGATGTTTATGTATATCTCAAACTGTAGTTATTACTGTAATGTACAGGTGAGTTTTAGTCAGTATTTGCTCATGATTGGACCTGCATTTTCAAAGTAATTACCCCTCCCCTCAGGACTGATTATTCTAGAGTTGTTGGGGCACAGAGTAAATTAATTAGAGTATTCAGATAGGGCCCTTTAAACAAACAATACTGACTGTTGAATAATTAATGAACCTACAGAAGCAAACTGTCTTCAGAACATCTATGACATATATATGATCTGATGTAGTATTCAATCACTATCTGAGGTCTGAAGAGCCATAAACAAACCTCAACCAAAACGCCACTCTACAGCCACAAAAAAGGCTCAGAACAGCACCTAACTTCATCAACAGCACATTTAGGGTCCCAGCCATAGTACTAGCCACCAAACATCTTTTTAACTTCGTCAATTTTTTTTTAGCTAAGAGGCTAAACACAACTCACCTACTCTCTTCCAGCAGTAGCTTGTTTGTAGTGAGACCTCAGACCAGTCCATCACAGACTGCTGCGGGGTGACGCAGCTCAAGGAAGAACATTTATGATCATAAATTAATGTTACGCTGGAATATCTCTTTAATGTGAGGATGACCCTCTCTCTCCACCCAGATAATGCAATAATGTAGTTTTCTTTTGGTATTCTCTTCCACTGTAAAGGATAATAATTTTACTGTTTTTGCTGCTTGATGGACCAAACAACAAAACTGAATGAAAAATAGTAGACGTAATTTAAAATACAAACAGTTCCAGCCCTAATTTAAAGATAACACCTTTGCCCTCTGCTTTCCCCTGACTAAACTTTGTCTTTGTTTTGTTTAGTGTGTCTCCGGTTTTCGCTCTTCACTTTGTCGATGGGCTTCCTGACAATGACGTCAGATTGTACACCTTCACCTTTAAGGGGAAACGCTACTCAGTCACTACTATCATACAATACAAGCAGCACCTAAAGCACTTTGTCACCTGGGTTCGTAATCCTGACGGTAAGTACTGAGATTGATTGCGTTCAGACATGCTGTTTCATATCGTCTTTTACTGTTATCTATGTATTTTTTCTGATTTGAAGAGATGTCACAATAAACTCGATAAATTACAAAGTCATGTTACGTCTTGGGTAAGGGTATTTGTTAGAATATTTCTGCAGAGAAAACTAAAGTACCAAAGAAACTTATCTGTTTTTCCTGCTCTGCATTTATCAGTCAGATAGATTTCTGATGGTGTGAAACCACAGACTCTGTAGCTCTTAGCTGAGTCACATGAAGGGTGATAGATTTATTACTTGACAGTGTAGTTTGCCAACAGCACATTCTGCTGGACAACTCATGCACTGTTACATTAATAAACACTCCATCTTTTTTACGTTGTGTTTCATTTTTAATTGTAAATTGTCTGCTTTTAGGTTTGACCTGTATTTCTTCCTTCATCTTATATCTTAGCATCACTATGAGTCCTGTTTTCTCTTATGAAAAAGGTGTCCCCTCTTGTTAAAATCTCTGAAGGAGTTGCTACCACTACCCCTCACTTGAATATTTGACTCTGAAAATGCAAACAAAAGCTCCTTCAGCCGTCCGAACTATACTTCACCAACCTCATAGCAGCTGTAACAAGCATCACAATAACCGTACTGAAATAATCCTCCTGCTGATTGTTTATTTGCTTTTCAACCTCGGGTCGTATTGGGACATGGCTGTTGTCTGTCTGTCTGTCTGTCTGTCTGTTTTGTAACCAGTTTTAGACACTGTCACAATATGCTGAAGTAGATCATTTATAAGAATAAGATATATCACCAGAGTAGTTTATGTTAAGCTTTATTAGAAATGAAACTTCCTCTCGGATTTATTTCAGTGTGTTTACATACAGCTATAATTTGCTGACACTATATTGTTTCGGATCTGTTTCCCTTCATACTCACATCAGACCTCTTCACCTCCTGTTGCTGATCTTCACCTGCCTGTGTCTGATCTGTGTACTGACATCTCTTAGCATCTTCATAGGAAGACGCCCAAACAGCACAGCTCGCACTTTTGCATGTTTCACTCGATAGTAAATGATCCGAACAGGTGATCTATGTGTAGAAGAGGCTGGTTAATTACTCGTTATTCTGCAGCAATCCAAAGCTCAGATCTTCTAACACAGCAGTTCATATTAAGCATAAGACCTCACACTTCAGTCACCGGATTAACAGCAGGGGCGTTCTGTCGGACCTCTTTCTGATCAGCTGCAGGGCATGTGTCAGACCCTGCTGGTTATCAGACAGGAGATGCGGGAAGGCAGTGACAGGCCGTCTACTCCATAAAATGAGAGCTGCCGTCTTGTTTCAATGGGTAAAACGTCAAAGTGGTCTACATTTTGCTTCGGTGTTGTCAGTGTAGGGGACAAGATACAAAATCAAAACACCGAGTTAGACACCCCCGTAAGTAACGACAGCAGGATAGCAATCCACAGCAATCTAAGAGCCATAAACAAACCTCAACCAAAACAGCAGTCTGTAATGGACTAGCCCCCAGGTCTCGCTGCAAACAAACGGCTGCTGGATGAGAGTAGGTGAGTTGTGTTTAGTCTTTTTGCTAAAGAAATTAGGCAAAGTTAAAAAGATGTTTGGTGGCTAGTGCTGTGGCTAGAACCGTATATGTACTGTTGATGAAGTTAGGAGCTGTTCTGAGCATTATTTGTAGCTATAAAGTGGCGTTTTGGTTGAGGTTTGTTTATGGCTCCTCAGACCATTGTGTATTGCTATCCTGCGGTTACCACTAAAGTTGGTAAAACTAGAGAAGCAAGTGGTCGGCAACATTCATCTCCCAAGGGGGTGTCTAACTCAGTGTTACGGTGTGTTTGACCCTAACTCAATTTTACGCCGGAATATCCCTTTAAATCAGTGCTGCTTTCTTGAGGTAACTGTGGCTTGTTTTGTCATCTCTTGAAGGATCCTGGGTCGAGTATGACGATCTAAAACATCCAGACTCTAAGACTCATCGGAAACTCTCGGTCCGTGGTCCAGAGATGCACATTGTCTTCTGGGAGGCTGAGGACGATAAGGAGTCTCGAGCCTGCTCCCCCTCCAGCACAATTGCTGGATCGCCATCTGAAAACGAAACGTGCAACAAAGACCTGAGAACAGATCAGCCTCAGACTCACTGTCCAGAGCAGTCCATTGTAACCTCTCACAATGACACGGACATCATGTGCGCACTCACTGCCACTGAAGACACAGCAACTGATCTTGATGCATCGATAGGTTCGACAACACTGTTGGACACCTTCAAGGGTCTTTGCCATAATGACATTGTAACGCTCACACTTGTGGAGTTAATGCCTGATTCAGAAACACAGCCTTTGAATGACATCCAGCAAAAGCAGGAATTGGATGTTTCCCACAGGAATGAAATTCTGGACTCCACACCAGATAGCTCTTCCACTGTGAGATGCAATGAAATGTCCCACACACCTGATGCTGTGTCCCCCACTACCACCAACTCCTCTGAATCTGAAGACAACTTGTCCAGTGATCCCACATTTGTGCCAGGTACAAGAGAAGAAAGGAAGAGAACAAGAGGAGCTGGCAGAGGTAAACCTGTGAGCAAACAAAATGCTAAAAAGGGGGCCTCAGGTAGAGTTGCTTCACATGCTTCTGTGTCCTCTCAGCCCCTTAAAGTGGTCAGTAAAGATCCCGAGATTGCTCCTGCTCAGGCTAATCCTCAGGTGGAAGCTACACCACAAGTGTCCCCCATATCCTCTACTGGTTCTACACCCCTGTGCAGAAGTAAGGTTGATCCCACAATCCCAACAATGCCAGATCACAGTGCCCGCTTGTCTTTTCTCCTCAGCCATCACCCACAGCACCAAGTTCAGAAGTCCGTTCCTAAACACCCTCCCACTTCACTCACACAAGTAAAGAAACCCACCCCTCCTGCTCACTCCACACCAAATATTGCGAGGAAACGAACTGTGTCCCCCAGACCGCAGCTGATGACAGAGAAGAGTGATGGTCTCCCGATCAAAGCTGCAGAAATGTACGGCGCATTCGGTGCAAAGACCGCAAACACGCAGACTCTGCCGCTTCCCTGCGATAATTCCAGCCCATTTCAGCCCCCTAATCTACTCACCAACACAACAGCGATGTCTAGAACGCCACTTCCTGCTCTTGGACAAAAGGCTCTCCCTGAAATATGCTCAAAGAAACATAGCAGCCAGTCCTTGAAGGTTCCTCCCGGCCTCAGCACCACTGAAACCCTCAGGTTCAAGCTGATAAAGAAGCTAAAGGCAAAGAAGAAGAAACTCGCCAAGCTGAATGAAATGTTGGGGCATCAGGACGGGACCAGCTTCAGACCGGACAGCACGGACCTGAGCTCTCCTAACACTGTCACCTCCAGCACTTACGATTCCTCCATATGCGACGACTTCCTCTCAGACCTGCTCTCACCAGCGACAACAGCCAGCAATTTGTCGCCGGACAGCACAGACTTTCTCGAGATGCTCACTAACAGGCAGGATGGAGCCACCCAGCTGGACTGTGGGGTTAGTAATGACACTGCCGCATCTCAGATAAGCACTTATGTGAAGGAACCATACGGGGGCGACTTTCTGGAGGACTTTTTGTCTCAGGCTGTGGCTCAGAGGCCTACTGTGGAGGAGACGGAAGCACTCAGCGGGCTTGATTTATTTGTTTGAAATATATAATGTGACGTTTTGCAAGTTCAAGCATCTGGGTGAATTAGTTTATTTACAGTTTGATGCATTGGTTAAAGTTGAACGTTTAAGTATGGAGTTTTATGTCAAGTCATCAGACATTTTCGTGATCCAATCAAACGTGATGAATCAATTTTTTTCTGTTAGGTCTGGCACTTAGTTTGTACATATTTGGTTTGTATGAAGTCATTACGTTTACAATTGGAGCTGTTTGTTTGATAATGTGCTTGAAATCACATGATACAAGTTTTTTGTATTATTTAATAAATCCTGAATGAAATGACTCAAATGGGTGATCGTTTAACAAAATCATGCATACCTCAGTCTACCTCTTAGGAAGAATTGTTTAATTTTTACCCTAATTTATATCAGTTATTATTTTAATAATTATTATTAACAATTAAGTTTAAAAATGGATATGACAGACTCTAACCTGTAGAAAACAACAACTTGAGTGTTCAGAGGTCTGAGATTTATGTTTTGAAAAATGCCTTTCCTGTTGAAGTTTTGAGTAAAAGCTGATGATAAAAATGCAGCATCCCTAGCAGTTCATGTTAGAGCGTTACCTGGTTTGTAAATGCACTTATTTAATATTGAGCAACGATAAAAAGTGTTGCAGCAATACGTACATATTGGTGTTCCAACTATTTAGTGAAATTTGATACTTCGAAAAAAAGGTAGTTCCCATACCGGGAGTCGAACCCGGGCCGCCTGGGTGAAAACCAGGAATCCTAACCGCTAGACCATATGGGACATGTTGCAAGGGCGGTGTTAAATTGTTTAATAATTTACTGTTATTTGTGTCTGTTGTGTTTGTGATAGGAGAAATCCGAACATGTACTTGATACTCAGATTGGACACAACAATACTGTGCAGCACTGTTTCCATTTTGTGCAGCTTTGGTAAAATCAGCTTGCTCTGTTAACACGCTGCCCGGCACTGTGTTTTTTTTGGCTGGCTCCCATGTTAGCTATCGTATCTGAATGCCAAGAGGAAGAGCGTCCTTCTAGATGAAGCTCTTTCTCGTGGTACAGGTGGATAATGTGAAAAAACAGAGGGACTGAGGACATGAACATGCTTAACAGCAGAGAGAAAGCCAGAGCCATGATTTCGTAACTAGTACTGTGAAATGTAAATCAGTGGATGCTTTTAATGTTCTCTCACTTTATATATTAATATTCCTGTTTTTTCCCAACTCTGTAAAGCACTTTAAAAGCTCTTTGTATGAATGGTAATACAAAACTTGCCTCAACATTCATCTCTGACCAATTCAACTTGATTTATTTTCAGTATTTTGAAAAAAAAAAAAGAATTCATTTTTTTAGTGACTTTATAATATTTTGAGGATGAAAAGGGAATTTAACAAAAATACTAAAAAAGGATACCTATTTCTGAGAAAGTGGATATCTCTGTTTTATTTGGAGATGTTAGTGAAATTATGTTGAGACTGGAAGCCAGAACAATTAAGCGAGGAAAGTGCATTACCACTGAATATCACATGCAGGTGCTGTTTGACTGCAGGTCGGCCAAGCCTGTGATAAGGACAGCATGTTTTTCTTCCTCTCCACCCACACTCTGGTAGTTTAAACTACTAAGATCAGTAATGAGAACAGTCAGGCACACATCTACATACTCACTCGGTTATTATTTAAGAAAGAAAATTGATGGACTTCACTAGGAATCTTGTCTTTGAAAGCACATGTTGCTGATAATGTACGGCCCCTCTACCTCTGAGTTATAAAAGCAAACCTTTAGGGGCCTTTTCATTTGGGTTCAATACAAGGCATGACACTGATGTGCTGCACTGATAGTTAAATTTTGAGCCTTATTGAAGGTGAAACATTTTAATTATAATAGAAAGAATAATATACAGCTGTCACTATCATGGGAGTACACACCACATAAACTAAGTAAAGGTATTCAAAGGCTTGACTCCTGGTTATTTTTAAGATTATTGAATTTATTTGCACCAATAGATCATGCTTTGTAAAACAATACAGTAAAAACCTGAAGAAAGATTAAATAGCAGCATTGTAAATTTCATGTGTACGTGCATCTGCATGCAAACTACATAGAGAAGTAGCAGGTCACTTGTTTGCACATCTGTACTAAGCAAGAGTATCATTTACATAAAGAGGAAGCCAAATAGGTGTGTGTGTAAGGGACAGAGCTGGTATGATGTTGTAGGGGCGCAGATCAGGTTCATATCCTGTAACTGACTGCAAAGACAACAAGAAAGAGAAGCTCTGTCTCTCAGTTTGCTGTCCAGTTTGCTTGGTTATCATGGACGCCAGTTTCGTGGTGGAAAACATCTACCTCCTGGTCATCGTCACCCTCCTAAGCGTACTCCAAAATGGTGAGGAAAACTACAAGTGTCTCATGTTGCGAATAAATCTTAGAAATTTAGAAAATTATATTTCCAATAATCATGTTTTTTTGTTTGTAGCTTTTTTTGCCTTGAAGGTGGAGAAAGAGTGCAACAGTCGAAATATCCAAACGGCTGCTCTCGAGAGAGTTTCTTGTGCCAAGTAAGTGCCCATGCACGTCACACCCGTTTTTTTCCATGTAAGAAAACCTGGGATTGAGTTTGGATTAATTTTGTTTCTTACTGTAACTTACAAACTTTCCATTAGCTTTCCATTTCCCTGTTTTTTTACTTTCATTGAGAGACAGAGGGCACATAGAAACGGGGGGAGGCTGATTTGAATGTGTTCCAGGAAGGCAACAATGAGCTTTAGAAAATATTTTTAACATCAGGGACATTACACATACACTTAGCATGGAGTGAGTGAACAGTTTCTAACTTGTGTCACTGACAACAAATCGACAAGTAAAAGTATTTTAGAAAGTCAAAATCAAATAAATATTTTTATTACTCAGGAAAAACAGACTTTTGATGCAGAGTAAAAAGTTCTCAACATACAAAGTAATTTGGTTTATTAAGGCTTTCTGAAAACACCGCTTGTAACCAACCAAGAGAATAGATTTGTATTGTAGTCAATGAATAATCTATAAAAGACACAATCACAAATCACTGCCCCCACTAGATCTCTCAGACCTTTAGTTTGTAACGGACATAAGTTTCTCTGTCAGAACAAAAAGCAATCCTGCACTTCCTTATTTTAAAGGAAGTATCTGAGCCACATCGTTTCTTGTAGGCCAAGTGGAAATTTCAAAATAAATGTACTAACGGTAGCCTCCTGAATGTGATGCAAACGTTTGATGACAGTTTTAAGGCTGACTTTTCATAGCTGTTACTCTTGTTTAGGGGCTTTACTACATTTGTTAAATGTAACAAAGTGTTTAACCACTTTAAAAACACAATGAGGTCAAGAACATTTAAGACAAGTCAGAAAAATTCAAACTCCCATTGGTTACAGTTTTCTGGTGATTTGTCTCCAAACTCTAGACCCTCATGCACTTAATTTTTTTAATGAATTTCCAGAGACATGTGGGACTGTTAGGTTTTGAAGGGAAACTCTGTGCAACACATTGCTCTGACTATTGCAACTTATTGCAACAGACGGCACAACTGAGCCTGCTCTCAGAGTGGGATCAGTTTTTCCTGGACACCAACAGTCAGAGAGCCACATTAAGTTTTTTTTTTTTGTTTTGTTTTTTTTTAATCCTGCGTAGTCTTTTATTTCCTGCTCTAATCAGGAGTTTTGTAACATTTCCCGAAGGCAGCAGTATAAAAAAGGCTCAAGGTCCCCATGCAGTTGCTTAAGATTTTCAATGACATGACCTTGTATAATTTGTACATCTTTTTTATAGTCGTAATTGTATGGACGCCTACGCGACTTTCCTGGCAGTGATGTGGTGTGCCGGTGTTTGTCTCAACCAAGGTAATCATTAATCAGCACTGGAAACACTGTGTGAACAGCAGGGAGATCAATCAGCTGAGGTCAGGAAGTGTTTAATTTACACAGTAGGTTGAACCTATCTATATTATATTGTAGCTGAGCTATTTATGGCATGTTTTCAGTTTATACAGTAGGCTGAACCCAGACATGAAGATTAGCTGAGCTATAATGCTTTCAGTATGCAGAGACCAAAACAACACACCTACTGTATGTCAGTATGTGCTTGTGTGGATGTGTTTTTCTCTTACAATTCTGCACGGACTTTAGCTCCAGTTCAGCCTCATAGGTGTGAGTGGTTTAAAACAGTAAACATGGAGATTATGACTGACCTCCTGAGTGTTGGTTTAGCCCTATCAAAGGTTGTGAAGGAAATTTGTACAGGAAGAATCTTTTTTGGACACCATTAAACTTTTAAAAACAACATTAGTCATGCCAAAGTATCTTTACCTTCAAAATGTGCAAATGAATCCTAACTTTCACCACTTGAGTTGAGATACAGACTTTTTTTCAAATGTTAACCTTTTACTGAATAAAGTCAACACCGGCTGCTCTTTAGAGCAAATGTAAACACTTGTTTCAATAACTTTTTGTTCCTTCGACAAAAGATGTTTTAACCTATTGAGTCACATACTGGCATATAAAAGTGGCACTTGAAAAGGATTGCTGGAAGCGTCCAATAGTTCCTGGTTCATCATGAACAAGCCAACCCTCCAAAGTTGTGTGCTGGAAATCAAGTTTACTATACTTGAAGCAAATCTTAAATCAATAATAATGAAGAATCCTAAGGTCGAAGAGAAATTTAGAGTAATGATAAATAGACTGAGATAGTTAAAAAAGATTTGGGAGTGGGATTGATGAGCGGAGTAATCAATCGAGCTAAAGAAGCTTTTGCCTGTATTTTTAAATAACTACAAATCTGCAAACTGGAAATGGAGGCTAATCTTCACCATTTAATGTATCCCAGAAAAAAAGGGGTGCTCATATACTTTTGACCATTGTGCGTCGTAAGAAAGAAATCATTTTTCTTTCTATTGTTTAAAGCTCCTGCTGCTTTTGCTGGACTCATCTACCTGGTGGTGAGACAGAAGTACTTTGTTGGGTACATGGGACAAACCTCACAAAGGTAAGAGACAACAACCGACCGCACTGTGTGCACATTTATTCAGGTCATTTTCTCAATAACGGTTCATGTCTTTGCAGCACTCCTGGCTACTTGTTCGGAAAGCGTGTGCTCTTCTTCCTGCTCCTGATGTGCATTGTGGGTATTTTTAATTACCTGTTGGTGCGTCATTATGGCAGAGAGTACAAAGACTACGTGGAAACTATCACCAGTGCAGCTTCTGCTCTGCTCCTTATCCCTTAATAGAGGGCACCACAAAACCCAACACAAAAGCTTTTTAGCAACCAAAAAGCTGAATTAAAAAATAAAGACTTAAAATACTCGGCCAGTTTGTGTATTTGTAGATGAACTTTTATTGTGTTTTTTTAATACAAAATATAGAAAACTTCTCACATATAATATCATATTCTCAAGTACAAAAACTACAAACATTTTAATCTGCAGTAGTACAGATTCAACCCTTTTAACCTTGCATGCAACATTTTTTAATATAATGAGGTACATGCTAACAAGACAGCTTTGAAGATACACTTGGACACATCATGTGCCTAAAAAATCTCAAAAGTCACCCCCTTGTTGATGATTTCCATCCACCAAAGATCAGAAACAGCTGGAGCAGATAAGGCAGGGCCTTCAGTTCCATGTAGTCCTTCACCCACGAGGCTGCAATCTCAGCCCCACCTCAACTTTGAGGAGGCAGACGAAAGCCCCTTTCAAAAAAAAAATCTGGGCTCAACTCCACTTTTCCTCTTCATCCACAACTGGCTAATGTCAGTCTCAACTTTCAAGAGAAAGCAAAAAGAGCGGAGAAGTTAGACAAGCAAGTGATAAACATTTTAGGCTGAAATGTAAAAAGGTCAGATCAGACCCTCACATTGAATTTCCTTTTGCTGAAGCCGAACCAGTGAGCGAAGTCAAAGAGGGCATCAGAGTAGTACTTGAGGGTGACGCAGGTGTCTCTCCACACAGGCTTCCCTTTTTCAGTCATGTGGATGTTCTCTTCTCCCCACCTCTCAAGAACCTCTTTAAAGTCTATCTGTAACAACCAAAAGCCACTGTTGGTCACAAAACACAGAACATTCGCTCAAAAACAAAAAACAGAGGCATTAATTGGAAATCATCAACTAGAATTCTACTTACATCCACTCTGTAGCTTTCCCCAGCCACAGAAGAAATGGTCCAGTCCAGGCCTCGCTCCATCTGCCACTTGATGTAAGTATCGCTGCCATCGATGGACACCACATACTGCTGCAGGACTATTACAGAGAGACAACAAGTTATGAGGAAAACAAGAAACGAGAGAGGGTGCAGACCAAAAACTCCCTTTGCCACTATTGAAAATTCTCAACCCCACCCATGACAAATTACCCCAGATTGGGATCCCGTGAGTCACACTGACACTGATAAGTTTTATCAGTTCATCAAGGTCACAAAGAGTTGAAAGTAAAAATTGTAGTGCACTTTTTCAAAGGGTAATTTCTGTTTTTATTCATTTATTTTTTTGTGGTTTGAAGCAGGTTGTTTTTAAGTCATGCTGAAGATAATGAAAAGATTATGAAAGCTTTGATTTACCTCTAGTTTCTGGTTTGTTTTGGTCGGTCTCAGATGAGTCTTCCACGCAGTAAGACATGAGCAGAAAAATCCTCTTAGACAGCAGACTTTTTCTCATGCTGGTGTACTCCCAAAAATTCTGCATTAAAACTTGCCTGTTCCAGAAAAAAAACAAAAATCACTGAAAGTGTAAAAGCGCTAAGAATAACGTGCCACAGCCCGTGTACTCGACTTTTCACTTACCTTCCCAGCGACTTCTGGAAAACTATTTTCCCGCAGCTGGACTCAAAGTCATCGATGAGTACCAAGCTCTTGTCCGGATCGCAGCAGACATTGTATCCACCAGAACCAAGGGCCTCCACGGAGAAATCATCCGGAGGGTTTCTCAGGAACTCTTCGACCTCTGTCACAGTCACCCTGTCGTGGATAGATTTCTCATCAACCATTATGTTATCCTTTTGTTTTCGTCTCCACACCTCCGAGTCGTGCAGTTGTTGCCTTTACCAGCAGCGGCTGTGAGTCCGAGGTATAAATAACGTTCAATAGCCTACCGTCAAGTTAACAACCTGCATGTAAAGCAACTTCCGGTCTTTGGAAAATAAAACTCTGTCACTCCAACCTGGTCCTACATACATAAGAAAGAATAATAATAATAATAATAATAATAACACTACTAAAAATAATACTACTACTAATGATAAAAATAATAATGATCACAACAATACTACTGCTGCTGCTACTACTACATCTACAACTACTACTAATAATACTACTTCTAATGATTATAATAATAAAAATAGTATAAATACTACTACTGGTTCTACTACTACTACTACTGCTGTAACTATTATTACTACTAATATTAATAATAATAACAACAACAAAATTACTACTACTATTACTACTACTAATATTAATAATAGTAGCAACAACAACAACAACAACAATACTACTACTACTCATAATAATAATAATAGTAATAATATTAATAATAATAATCACAATCCTACCATTACTACTATTACTACAAAAAATAATGAATATAACAGCAATAATAATAACAACAACAACAATTCATGGACATTTCAGCAAGTGTTTTTCTGATTTCGATGCAATGAAAGACAAAGGGATTTTTCAATGAAATGACATTTTATTACAATTGTGTCAGGGAGAATTTGAAAACAATATGACATCTTCATTGATATCAGTTCACTCCGAAGCAGGCCCCCGGTTGCGCACGCACCTAGTATTGTTTGTACACAAGAAACCCGTCTATATTCTCCACATACTTTAACCACAGATCTCTGAATTTTGAACTTTTTGCAATTTTGTTGCTTTTTTCTGTTTGCTCATTTGCCTTCGCATTAAAACATAGGTTGCATATTTTTCACGCCAATGAAGTCTTTCAAAACGGGATCTACGCACTGATCCACTACTTCCTGAACTTAAGGCTTGTTTTTTATTTCCTGATTAATCCAGGTGTGATTGATCATTAAGACTGCTCAGACACACCTGGATTAATCAGGTTGTCTAATAATGTAAGACAGGAAATAAAGGAGCTGTAGTGGAGGAAGGAGGAAGTCGTGGAGCTGTGCATAGAGTCCATTGGATTTCATCATGTGCAGTTTTCAAAACTCTGAGTAATGGATGGTATATGATAAATAGGATTCATCGGACTCATAACTGCATCATAATTTCTAAAAAATCAAATCCTGCCTTAAAACCCACCTCCACTTACTAAATTGCTTTAATTTGAAGGTAAGCACTTCCTGTTTTCGTATCTCCTGTGAGGTTTTTCTAGCTTTCTGAAACATACTTCTGTTGAGTTTTATGAGCTGATAAGTAACTTAAAGACTGTCTGGCTCCTTTTAACTCGCACACTGTTTTTGGATGTTAATATGAAATGAAAGTAGGAAAGATAATCATAAGCAAACACACAAAAAATCAACAAAAACATTATCAATTTGTTGAGGCTTGAATGGCTTTGACGCTGGGCTTGACGATTTTATGTGGGCCACTTGAAGGCAGCATTTAGCTTAATGTCTGGTAATAAACAGAGACAGAGAGAAAAACAGTGTGACTAGTGAGTCACTCAAGAGCTATAAAAACAAAGACAAACTGCATGCCTTATCGGACGATTGTGTTCTTTTGCTCACAATGTACTCATTTTGTTCTTGAGCAATATTTGCTCACGGTTTTTATGATAACAGCCTCCTTAAAGCTAAAAGATCTGAACCATTTAAGGCCACACTGGGAGGAATTGACACATGACCCATACACGTGTGAACTAAAGGCCTTATTATTTTACACTTTGCTACTTCCTTCAACAATAATGCTATCCAATCGAGTGGATTTCTTTATAGCTTATTTTATTCCCACAAAGAAATAGTCAACTTTTAGGTAACTAAAATGCACATGTTTAGACTCTGTGGTCAGGAAACTGTTGACTCATTTTTTTTCTTCAAGTCTCTACTAGGCTGCATGTTTAGTCATCTTTCTTTCTTGAAATCTTTTCTTTATGGCCCAGTTAAGTTTGTTTGTGTGCCACACCGGGGTTGAGACATACTCTCATGAACTCATGACACAGTCTAAAGCAATAACCTGACATGTGTCTATATTAGGTCAAAAACATCCATTAACCCAAGCACGTTTATGGTCTGTGTGTTTTCTGGCTAATCATTGACCTACACGTGGAGGCCATGGCTCTCATATCAAACAGGGACTTAAGTAGGGGAGAGTGGGGTAAGATGAGCCATTTTTCATATTTCAGATCACTGCATCAAGGCAATCGTAGTTTCGTCTCTAACTAGTGTATCTGCATATATTTCAAGATTTTGTTCATCCTTGCAAACTAACAGGATGAGTGTAAACATAACTGTCTTGATAATATAGCATGCCAAAAAAAGTGGTGTTCTATGGGCAACTTACCCCGTGTATGGAGTAAGTTGAGCCGTATCCCTGCTAGCCTCCCACTCTCCACCCCTCCCTCACCTTCTCTCCCTAAATAACAGTCACTTCTTCACATTCATGTGTATTTTTATCTATTCTACACTAGTCAACTGGTACAATAATTCTTTATATTATTATTGCATATAACTGCTAAAAAGCCGTTTTGTAAAAAGTCATTTTAACATGAGAATGTCTTTAAGTGACTCAGAACATTCACAGCTGTATTCTTGAAAAGAAAAAGTAACACATTTGAACAATCTGAACTGAAACTCTGATCCTCTCATCAGACTCCTTTACTTTCTCAGTGGAGTCACTGACTCAACTTACCCCAGAACTACTATTATGACTTTATTAGTCCTCTAAGCTAAAATGGTGGACTTTAGTGCTAGGTTTCATGACTTCATGTTGTAGCTCATAGATACCACAATTGATGTATAAAACAAATTTAAAATGATCTTTTTTGGTCTGAACACAACTCTAATAAAACTCATGACAAACTAAATTCATTTTCAAGAGTGAAAAATGTTTTTTTCTGGAAATAAATGTCTAATCTCTTCACCTATGTGCTTCTAACCTTCACAGACTCCATGAATTGATGCCCATCTCCTAAATATCTGGTCACATGATCAATTTCTTTTACCATTTCCAAGCAACAGGGGGTGGCTTAACTTACCCTTTGGCTAAACACCTCAGAGCAACAAAAAATGACATTTTAATGTTTGTATTTGTGCCAAAATTACATATCTTGGAAAAATACACAATAACCCTGCAATTTCAGTCACCACAGGATCAAACACTCATTAACTTTTTTTTTTTTAAACCGTTGCTTTTTAAGAAATCGGATGTTCGACTCATTAGCACAAAATAAACTATCCGCTAGAGGTCGCTAAAAGCTCCACTAACAGCCAGTCGCCTATGGAAGAGAGTACAAGACTGTAGCCAAGCAAATTTCCCCAGATGGCCATGAAAAGACGGTCTTTTCTACCGCCACACTGCAACCATAGGAGCCATGCCATGTCAAAGTGTGGTTAACGGATGTCACCTGGTGGTTCTGCTCCTATCTTGGCTCGGTAAGTGAAATCATCCCGGTACTGGGATCATTACTGCTGTGTTAGCCCTCGTCAACCAATGCTAACGTTAAGCAGCTAGAGTAAACGCAAAGTGCTTCCATGTAGCCTTCAAAATAAAATAATGGGCGAGGTTTACAACAACAGAAAAATCTTTAACATGAAAATAGAAAGTGTTTCAATTTGTTAGTTTTTTTCGGGACAAAGAACAGAGCTAAACCATTACATGTTGTAACCCTGGTAGCTGATTTGTTATAAAGTGCTTGAAGTATTTTATGTACTATTTTGGAATCACTCACAGGAAATATAGATTCCAGGTACGTTTATGAAAATTTACTATTTTGGAATCACTCAGGAAATACAAATTCCAGGTAGGTTCAAATATATATGTATATTTATATATATGTATACAGTCCCTTTCCAAAAATTTAGAATATCATGGAAATTTTAGTTATTTCCATAATTTCATTCTTACAGTTCAACTTTCATATATTATAGATTCAGGGCCCACAATTTAAACAGTTTCAAGTATTTGTTCATTTTTACATAATTTGGGCTTCCAGCTCATAAAACCTACGAAAACAGGAATTCAAAAAAATTGAATATAGTGAAGAAACCAGCCCAAATTTTGCAGGGCATGAATGTTTCTAACTGAGTGTCACACACCAATCATCTACTAAACTCAAAGCACCTGCACAGGTTTCCCCAGGTGGCATTGAATTGCTTCAGTTTGGTTCAATATGGGGAAAACTACAGACTTGACAACTGACCGGAAGACCATCATTGATACCCCCCATTGATACACCTGGGGAAACTGAGTGTCATATACTAATCATCTACTAAACTCAAAACACCTGCACAGGTTTCCCCAGGTGTATCAATGTATGGTATCAATGATGGTCTTCTGGACAGTTTTCAAGTCTGCAGTCTTCCCCATTTTGAACCGAACAGAGACAACTGAACCAAACTGAAGCAATTCAATGCTACCTTTTTACGTAAAAATAAACAAATTAATACTTGAAACTGTTTAAATTGTATGGCCTAAATCTATAATCTTTGAAAGTTTCAATTTTTAGATGAAATTATGGAAATAAATGTAAATAAATAAAACTTTTCCATGACGTAATATAATATATATATATATATATATATATTAAACAACTCTGTTGTATAAAAGCAGTTATATAAAAGCATAAAAGCAGAACAGTTAATATGCCCCGTTTTATTATTAACTTCTCATGTACTGGTGAGTGCTTAAAGTGGAGTTATGGCCCAACTAGCATATAGAGGTTAAAATGTCCTTTAACCAAAGTCTTTAAAAAGTCTCTTTAAGAAAAAGCAGAGAAAGCACTGTCATGATTGTTTAACGGGTTTACAAAGATAGAGCTTGGATTCATGATCTGAGCCTAGATCCATAACAAAATGCCTTAAGAAAACATATAAAATATAATTTGCAGTGTCTCAGACCTTCATCGTTGTTTTTAATACACTTTTTCCCTGTTATGCCATAGACTCTTTGACGTCTGACCTCATGTCAGACCACATCAGGGGAAAAAATTGAATTCAGATACTCATCAAATCATGGTGGATTTCAGTACAGTGCTGCATAGTTGTTTTTAATATGATTATTTTTTTACTATATGTATTGCCAACAGAGTGGAGGAACCAGTTACATTCTGATTCACCTTGATGCCCAAGTTTTTATCATAAATATCAAATATAGCTTATCACAGGGCCACTTGGTTTTTCAGTCATTGCTCTATGCCAGGCATATATTGAACGGTTAATCTGCAACATACTGCTTATGTACTCATAGATAGGACATTTTTATCTTGTCAAATCCTGCACAATAAGCAGTAGCAATAACAGCTGTCTTGTTTCAAAGTCTGTTTACAGGTTCACTGAGTTTGCAGGGTTTCTCTTGTAAAGACAATAATAAGCGTTTTCTACTTGTTTAATTGCTCAGACTGTTCTTGCACCATCAAAACATGTCATATGACAACTGTCAGATACTTTTTTTCACATTAGTGGACCACAACATGCACTTAGCTTTTTACTTGTAATACCCCTCAGTTTTTGCCATGCTTTATGATATGACGCATTATTTAGTTCAATGTATAGTAGAAAATGCCCTGATTCTTCTTTAACTGATATAAAGATTGTAACGGTGTCTTTTCTGTGCCTGCTTTAGGTCCATCTACTGGAGTCAAACACACAGATTGTGCTCATGTAAGTGCTGCCCTCAAAGTTCCTCCTGTAATTATTCTTTATCATGTGTGTCTTTAGCTGGTGTGTCAGACATAACAGGACTATTTCTGAACCTTGCAGGCTGCAGACCGCTGCGAGCAAACTACAAACAGCTCAACTGGTGAGTGAGGGGGAAAACAGCAGATGGCACTTTGTCGATATCCTCCACAGTGCCATTAGAGCACACATGTAGAATTTCAATGAAAGCTCCATCAAAAACTTGAACATTTTTCAGGAGTTTAGGGACTTTTTGGATTTATGCTTACTGCTGTCTTGGTGAGAGGTTAAAATAATGGATGCTGAATTGTACAACTACCACAGCTCCTCCACAGCACACCCAATTCTCATTGTTTTGTGGGGGATTATTTCTATACCAGGTGCAATGACTGTGTTGTTCGACAAGGTTAATCCCAAAATCCTGCTGCCCCTCTCATTTAGAGAATTGGCTGTACTTATGTGTCTCTATCATTACTCTTCCATGTCTCTTTGCTTCTCTATTCTTCTTTCATGTCTCTCTATGTGGTCTTATCACTTGTTCATTCTTCTCAGGGCTGAAGGAGGTGGTGTTGGTTATCCAGAGTCAGAGAAACTCCTATCACGCCCGTCGAGCCAGTCAGAGGAAGGCAGGGATTCTGCAACAGGCTGCTGAACTGGGACAGGTAACATTTGACCGGCAGTGGATGGTCAGCACTGTTGTACTCCTGTGATAAGAAAGTAAATGACACACTTCATTTACAGAGGTCATGGCCCTCTAGTTTGGCGTTGTCAGACACACCAACCTGTTCATTCACCAAGGCTGAAACTAAATGTGTCTGCTCTCATTCCCTTCAAGAGTTAGGCGTCCTTGCAGGCAGGCGCGTTGCCATTAACTCCAGCAGATTTCAGCCATTTTACATCAATATACTAGGCTCAAACCCGCATGTTTAACTTGTACCCCCAAAAATATAGCTGTGTGTTTGTTCCATGAGGCCTAGACCACCTCTCAATGTAGTGGGGATAACCCGATCTCTCAGTGTATGTACTTAGATAAAACCAGCTTTAAATATCTATGGTCGTTTCAGTCTGAGGTACAAAATTCTGTATTCTCAGTGCTTATTTCAAGCATTAGTGTGGTTTAATACAGGCACCAATAGGTGTCCTCCTCACCACAGAGCTCCCCAACTCAAGCTGAGAGGATCCAACAGGACCCTGCAGGGAGGCTGTGAAAATGAAATTGCTTTATAGCTCAGTGAAATGAAATGATGCTCATATGGACACGACAGCCTGCAGTAGAGACACAGAGTTGTTGATTTCTTTTGATGGGAAACGAGAAGAGACAGTCATTCAAGCTTTGATTCTTCCTCCAGACTCTTTTATAAGCCAGAAAAGAAAGAAAAAACCTCCCTGATAGAGGAAATGGCAGAAGGCAGTCAGCAGGGGTTCAGAGGGTACAACAAAACAGATTAGATATAAAATGAGTCTCAAACTGGTGAAATCTTTATTTCCCCCTAATTACCCTGGAAAAATTAGGATATTTTGATTGTTTTTAATGACTTTGGTCAAAAGAGAGGGATGTGGCTCTTTTACTACAATAGAAATTGTCTTGTATGTTGATAATGTTGATTGGCCGTCTAACATTCATTCAGAGTCAAAAAACATGAATTTGACAGGCATAAAACTGTCAAAGATGATCTTGTAGGACCCATAAAACTGATGCCTCTTAATGTATACAGTTGAGGCCAAAATTATTAGCCCCCCCTATACAATTTTAACTTTTTTTCAAAAATTTCCTAAGTGCTGTTCAACAGATTAATGATTTTTTGACACAGCTTTTCCAAACATCCTCTGCTATTTTTGTCCTGTGCATGGGTTAGTTAATAAACAAACAGACATGGAACTAAGAACTTCCCACATTTCAGGCTTCATATGGCATATCAGGGTGGTAGCGTCCATAAAGATAAAGAAAAGGACAAAAAACAAAGTGCATTTCAGTGAACAACATCCATCAAGAGTCTGGGTCATACTGAGTGCCCAGCCACAGTCCCCCATCAGTCTAGCTGCAATATAATCAATGCAGACCAACCAAAGGCGAGGTTACAGAGTTGCATCACCTTGAAACAAACTCATCTAAGATTTTTTGGGGGATCCGTGTAAATGAAAGATCACAAACTGGGGCCCCTGTGTTATAAGTAAGGGTTCCAGACATTATGAAAGTGATTCATTGATCGTATTTTCTCAGAAGTTTCATGTATCACAGCTAAGTGAGGCAAAAATAGAGTAAAATGAAGAGCCTCTTTAGTTCTGAGTCTGTGCACAAAGGTGGAGTGATGGCACCAGCTTTATCTCTCTGGACATGTCAGACCAACATGTTGCTCAAACATTTACTGTCTGTGGTAGTTTTTTTTTTTTTTTTTATGATTACAATAATCTCTGAACGTGTGATTATCTCTGACAGGCTGTGATGATTCTTGAGGAAGGTTTATTACAGCTAGATTAAGCTTGATTGTAGCAAGCAGTTTTGAAATGAGGGCAGGCTGTGCGTCGTGTTTTGTTACTAACATATAATCTTGTGTTATCTGACGCAGGATAGAAATCATAAAATCATAAAATCTGACACACTGAGGGCTTACTGTCTCATTTCTTTGCTCTGTTTGTTGCCAATTTAGGATTTATTGTAGAGAAAATGGCTGAACTGCATTTTGATTTGAGTCTTTTGTTCTCACAGATTTTTATGTAAATCAATATTCTGCCTCTATGCTCTCACCACTTAATTCAACCACCACAGAAAGGAGTAATAAAGTCCAACGCTCTCAGCATCTGAACAGACCTGAGCAGGGGTATGTCTGCATCTGAGCTTTCCAATAATGGTTGGTCTTAGCAGCGGCGAAATTAATCAAACATACTTTTTATTAGACACTCACAGACCGTGTTTTAATCATGTTTTAAACAAGAACAAGAACAATACACTGTTTTCTCAGACACATGATATTATGAAGAATTCGACCAGAGTTTTGTCTCATCTGTTGCACTCAGACAAATAAATCATGGCATAGTTTATTTCATAGCATTTACATCTATTTGATTTTATTTAAATTATTACAGTTTTTTAGAATTTATTCATTCAAATTAAAATCAGTATAAATTGAAAATATGTTAAATATGATGAGCTGTGGATCAGCCAAGATTCATTTAGTTAAAATTTGTGTGACAGAAACAAATTGGACTTATCAATGACTGATGCATGAATCTTCATTATTTACTCTAAACACATTGGGTTTATTGGTATTCTTACATAAATCTAATTCTTAATTGTTTCGTTTACATTTGAGTGACGGATATGCAGCACATAAAGTTTTCTGGCCTGTTTATGTTAAATCTAAGTCATTCAAATGGATGGAAATGTTGTATGCAATGAGGCCTAAATATTTCTGTCAGTGTTGTTTGGTATCAGCAGTCTATTCAAAAACTGAAATCAGGTCAGAACTTCTTAGTTAATTTATAACCTAGCGAAGTTAGACAAAATCAAAATGAGAGGCAGCATCACACTGTGAGGTTAGGAAGCTTGAACCACCATTCAGTAGTTGAAGTGAGCGTTTATTTATCTGTGCTCAGAGTAGCCTTCATATTGTCATCAATTAAGACCCCTAACTTTCCTCTTGATTAGTCCTCTTATAGTCGAGTGATGAGACTTTACCTTAGCCTACACAGGAATAATGTCTACAAACACTGACTTTTTACACCTATTTTTGGCTGTTCTTACAACTGGGTCTTTCCAGAGCTATTAATAGCTGCACGGAGGACATTTTGGAGTCCTTCTGCATGAGTCATTTAATGAGGAGGGAGATGTAAAACAGCAGCTCCCATGAGCACACACAAAGGGATGTGCAGATGTTGTAACTCGCTGGTGACACTTGCTAGAAATATTTTCTAATTTTAAACAAGCTTCCCGTCAAGGTTTGATCCTGTTTGAAACTTGATTGTGCGGTGGAGCATATTTGAAACTCATTGCCCTCAGTGAAGTACTTTTAGGAATACTTTGTGCCGATGATGATAAAGTCACTTTAAATTAATTTAGATATATTCTCTTTCTTGAAAAACTGATCATGTCATTGTCAGTTCTTTTTCTGGTGAGATTACAGCGTTAAGGGCAAAATCAACCTTAAACAGCGCCCTCTGGTGGTGAGATTAGCAGCATCATACAACTGCACCACCTTATCTTTGACTATCATGACCATAGAGTGTATACAGTTTATGGTCATGACAGTGAATAAATACTCCTTTGACAGCTCTTCACATTTTTAAAAATGTTTTAGGATGTTCTTAGAGATGAGTTAATATGTAATTTGATCTACAAATCTAAAATATTCCTGAGACCTGTAGGTCATTGGTAAACTCATTTTGTTTCAGTGTTTCTTAAATGCTTAAAAACTGAATGAAATAACGTATAAGAGAGCCTCATTTCATTTAAAACATTGGAAACATTTGAAGTTTGGAGAGTATTGTTGTCTGTGGTGCACAAAAACAGTTCATCCTCAGTCTTGTTTACCTCATTTTTATTCTTTTGTTATCATTTTGTCATGTAATCATTTCATTCCTTGCAGGGGGTTCCAGTTGTTCTTCTCCTCCATGAGCTCTCAGACTATGACGGTTATTGGAGTATCCTCCCTGCACTTCCTCAGTGAGTGTGAAACCCACATTTAAGGATATCAAACAAATAACTAAATCAGACTTCAAAGCATTTTATTTAAAAAAGTTCTGAAAAGTTCTGCAGGGGTTTAAGTCAGTCTTCATGTGGATGTTTTTAGTCTCTCCACCACTTATGGTCGATCAGCAGCCTGGTTTTTCTTCCTGGAGGAGGAGACGAGAATCTCTTTGTCTGCTCTGCTGCACGTCCTCAACAGGTATCCAGCACAAAAGGTGAGATACAGGACACAAACATCAACATACAAACACGAACTAGAAAACAGCAAAGAAACAAATCCTGCTCTACTCCTCCTTTTGAAACTCATAGGAATGGTTTTTGGCGAAGCGTCTCCATGACGAAGAGGCATCAATCATCCACCACTATGCCTTCTCTGAGGACCCCGCGTCCTTTGGTTACCCTGACCCAGCAGCAGGCTGGGCTCTCAGCAAGCCGCTGCTTCAGAGGTACGTGTTTGTGCGCACCAATGTGTCTCCTTTCCCTCAAAGACATTTATTACATTTCTAAAAATGACAACACAAAACCACAGGAGGAATCGAAATCTGTTTGGCATTACTAACTGAGTGAAACCTCTCTACAACTGTCACTTTTCATTAATCATAATATTTAAAGGTAAAAATAGAGTGATATGAAAAGTGGAATGAAGCCTTTTACTCCTATTGTGTATTAAATAACAAAATAAGGAGCCTGATTGTTGGTAAAAAGCCATAAAGAAACAGATCACAGCCAACAACACAACGTAACACAACACATGATGACTTGTAATCGATCACACTGATTCCATTTTCATTATACCAGTTTCAACATCAGAAGTCACACGCCCCATGGAGGACACAGAGGTATTGCTGGACTGACACCGACAGTTTAGGACTTCTTGACAGTACCTTTTATTCTTAAATCTATTGTAAGAAAAGTTCTTCTGCTCTTCTTTTTGTGTGTTTCAGACTTGCAGAACGAGTCCAACTCCAGCCGCTGAAGTCCGATTTCACCATCGACTTGAAACATGAAGTAATTTGAAACAGTTTCCAAAAGGTTTCACAGATTTATTTGTCATCTCCTGTCTGTCGTTATTACAACTTGATAGTTGGGAAGACTGTGCCTTCCTTTACTTTCACTCGAGTGAGAGGAATAAACTGTGTTCTCACGACTGCCTGCTGAGTGGCTCAGACATTTAACAATGACAAACACGTCTTCAGGGACAGTGTAGTCTTTTATTGAAAACACCCCTGCAGCTTTGACCCCTTAAACTTTTATAGATGCTATTTCTGGTGGGGTCTAATTGTGTGCATAAAAGTAGGAATTTTATTAGTAAAAGCTTTTTGGCACAAGATGATGGTTATAATCAGTTTTTTTATTTAAATAAGTGATCAAGACAGAGTTGAAACTCGTAAAATTAGGTGTTTATGTTAGTGATCTTAATTAGTCTTATCTGTTTATACAAGATTAGTTAAAGCATTCAGATGCAGAATCCAAACAATGACAGTGTAAAAAATGTTAAATGGTGTATTAAAAGGTCTCATATTAATTTAACGTCTTCAGTCCCTGACAGCAGTGAGAGAGCAGGAGGAATCTGAGGAATAATCTCTCTTTTAGATCAGGCTTGGATGGGTTTGTATCCCTTCAGTCCTACTGTATGTGTCTGCTGTTTAATTCTCGAATGACTTGTGACTCAAAAAAAGGTGAATGACTTAAACCTCGTGTGTATCAGAGCTGTCAGGAAGTCAAATACTATATGTCCTATATTTGGATCCAGACCGGGATCATGTACTTCCTAGAAAAAGGTTACATGGAATACCACTCACAAAGAGCTTCCTGTGTGCCTCTGTTTCCCAGATCGCATTGTTTATTTGGGAGGAAGGAAAAGGTCCGAGGCTGACAGCTGTCCCAGAGTTTTGCACAGAGACGAGAGAAAACTGTGCAACAACATTCACAACCTACCTGCCCAGCTGTGTACGTGAAACACCTGTTTGATGATGTTTACGAGGCTTCATTTGGATCATATTCATGTTTTATGTGTGGGAAAGGTTGAATGTGTTATCTACACCATTTGGAGACTTTTGCTAAATTTGTACCTTTTAACTCTGAAGATGGTGAAGATATGCAGACATTAAAAGTTAGGCATAGCTAATTATCACTTTGTCATGACAGTCGTTAGACTAATGGAGCTCGATCAGGTGTTCAATCCATCTGAAATCATTTATAACTCAGCTGTGCATTTTGCTCAATGTAAGTGATCACTTTTCATGTGATGCCTCTGCCAGCACCTATTTTACTGTGATACAAATGCAAAAAAGAGTGGGCTGAGTCCATCTGAGGGTTAAAAGGGAAATAAAGTAGACAGCTAACAGTGCCGAGTGAAGCACTCAGATTTTTATATGTTTGTGGTCAATGAGGTATTTAAAAAAAACACCCTCTGTGGAGCACGTCCACTGTAAGCAGGTGTAGAGACTCTGAGGATGAACATGCAGGAAGATGCTCAAGAACCACTGATGTTGCTTTTGTGCTTTGCTGTTTTTATTAACATTTTACACAACACATCTGTTTTCTGAGCGGTATTTTAACACACTGCAATATACATTTTTAATTTGCATGATGATTAAGTTCTTGTCATAAGGGACTGACCATTAACCACCACTAAAAAATGTCTGGCGTGTTTTACGACGTACTTTATATGCTACAAGATGAGCTGATTGAATGAAAGTCATTGATTAGTAATAAAATTCAGAACACTACTGGTAATGTAATGGATTAGGAGGTGAGACCTGAACTGAGGTTTCAATGCACCAGAGTTTCATTATCAGGAACAAGAGCACATAGTGACACTGTTCGGACCTCATGTTCCCTCATTTTCTGCCATTGACCTCCAGTGATTCTGTGTTGCATCTCACACATTGTTTGTAGACACATGCGTACTTTTATGATTTTGTAGTTATGGTACATCATTTTTAAGGCATCAAGGGTTAAATCGTTTTTCTTTCTCTGTTTTTCAGGGTGATCCAGTGGTGAAGAAAAACGTTTTTGTTGCTGTGAAAACTTGCCAGAAATTCCACTCGGAGAGAGGTGTGCATTATTTCTGACAAAAGAAGTTAATTCTTTTATCCACCACTAGAAACCGGTCGAGCACATTCGTGGGTCAGGCTAAACCTTTAGTCACTGTCACAGCTACCAACTGAAAAAAAGCAGGTATTGATTTAAACATTTTCTTTTCCATTAAAAAATTACACATTTACACAGCTGAAATAATTCTCTGGGATTCCACGGTTGACAATACTTCCAGATTTATATCAACATTTCAATTTGTGGTCAGTTGAGAACTTTCGCCTGCTTTACTGTTTCTCCCAGCTTTGCCGTAGACATGAATGTGGCAAATGTCAAAACTTTTAAAGTTATTTTTATAATCATGAGAGCTTGTGGTTTAAGTTAGTTTGTGGCAACCGGCACCTTAAAGATGTGCTCGCCAACTCTGCTGTAGGACAGGATATCGCTCTGTTTTTCCTAATTAGAGACGGTTGAGGCCCAGTTGCTCCTTAGGCTGCTCTCATATCTGTTTTCAGATCTATAAACATTACTTAGATGGTTATTGTAAGGTTAGGGTTAGGGTTAGGTTTTTAAAAATTGTAAAATTTACAACTTATTAATGGGCTATATGCTATTTATTAATGATGATTAAACATTAATTAACTATCTGCTTACCATTTATAAATGGTCTATTTACCAATTATAAGTTATGGTTATTGTAAAGTGTTACCAAATGCAGCACACAAGTTGATGAGCAGAGAAAACAGAGACTAGAGCTGCAACCTTTCATACTTTTTCAGCTGTAAAAGTGTGCAAAGGTTTAAGAGTTGATAAGTTTATGACAGAAAAAATGCTAATTAAATGTAAATTACGGTACATTTGGCTGCAAAAGTTGAACACCGCCATTGCTCTTGTCACTTCCAACTAACAGTCAGCTGGTCACTTTCACAACCTCGTCTAAAACTGTTCTGTAATTATCCAAAACATAAAAGTGCTTTGAACGGCGAGTCATGTCTCATACAAAATTCATCCCCCCCTCCACACTGGACCCACTCCAGTTTGCATACCGAGCCAACCGGTGGACCGAGGATGCAATCTGTGCTGTTCTCCACCTTGCTCTCACCCACCTGGACACTACAGACTCATGTTTACAAACGCTGCTGGAAGATTCCTGCTCAGCATTCAACACTATCATCCCACAACATTATCAAACTGGACCAGCTAGGACTCAACACCTCACTGTGCAACTGGAAGCTGGACTTCCTCAGTGAGAGGCCACAAGCATTACAGGTTGGCAATAACACAGGGGCCTCACAAGAATGCATGCTCAGTCACCCTGCTGACCCACAACTGCTCACCAACATTCAGCACCAACCACATAGTGAAGTTTACAGATGATACAACTGTGGTGGGTCATATCTCTGACAACGACAAGACAAACAACAGGAAGGAGGTCATCCATCTGTCCATGTGGTGCAGCAGTAACAATCTCCTTTTAAATGTGGACAAGACAAAGGAGAGTGTTTTGGACTTCAGAGGAGGCCACACTGAACACTTCCAACTGACCGTTAATGGCGCTGCTGTGAAGAGAGCACTAAATTTTCTTTCCTGGACAGCCAACAGCACATCACTGGTGAAGAAAGCCCAGCGGCGCCTCTACTTCCTCCGCAGACTGAAGAGAATGAGAGCCCCCCACCCGTCATGCACGCCTTTTACCGAGGCATCCTTTACTTAACTTTATTTATTAATATTTTCATGTGCAGAACATGTTGATAAACAATGAAGGTCGTGACATACTCCCCCCTCCACACACCCACCCTCAACTTTAGGAGGCAAATGAGAAGGTAAACAACAAAGGCTGTATACAAGTACAGTTCCCCAATATGTATAAATCTATAAAGTGATTGAAGAAATGAATATATAATTTAGGAGCCAGAAAATTTGGTGAACAGATGAAGGAGGAGAACTATAAATAATAATGAACTGTATAATACTAAGATTAAAAAGAAAAGGGAAAAAAAAGAATAAAACAGACAAATAATAAAAGTTAAATAAAAATAAAGTGATGCTAAGATTTCTGTTATCTGCCCAGTACTACCAGATAAAAGTGACAGCATTTCTCACCAAATCCTAAAGCTGACATCTCACATGTACAGGGATCAAGCAACAAAAAAAGACCAACATCTCAACGCAGTGTTAAAGATCTGACATGTGTGACACATAAGGACGAGTCTCCACCCGCAAAGCAGTTGGCACTAGGGACTGTAGCCACCTACAGACTTACTGGGAGGAGATACCAGAACTCCCTGGGTCTGCTCTACCAGACTTATGAACAGTTTCACCCACCAGGCTGTCAGAAAGCTGAACTCTCTCCCCTCTTTGTCACCCCCTCACAACCCTCACTGGGCAGTGGGCACATACTTGCACAACAAAAACACTCTGCTCACAGAATCACCTGGTTCTGTATTTTTACTACATAATCTATTTTGCACTGCAACTCCACTGTTTACATGATCTTTACATCATATAGCAGATTACAACCATCACCTGCACTTTAGGTCATGTGTGGTATGTGCAGCAGAATCATTTTTACCGGTCATTAAATTTGCATGTGTACATATAGGATGCATGAGTGTGGGAGTGTATAGTGTACATGCATAGACAAAGTAGGCTTGAGTAGATGCAGACATACATATATCACTTTCCCACTGTATAACACTCCTCTCTATTGTACTTAAAAAAAAAAAATATTATCGTCTGTATTTCTGCACCGTGGGCTGGAGAGAAACATCTTTTCAAATCCTGTGTATGTACTCACATACGGCAGAAATTGACAAAATAAAAATGCTCGATTTTTCAATCTAAAAGGTATTATAATTGATTGATTGATTTTTTTAAAAGCATTTTAAAAAGTAAAGTGTTTGATCTTTTTTTTTTCTCCCTGATATCTCCTCACAGTCCCAGTGGTGAAAGCCACCTGGGAGAAAGATGCTGCATTCATAGAGTATTACAGTGATGTCTCCGACGCATCTATACCTACAATCAGCCTGGGAGTGCCCAACACTGAGAGAGGTAAGCTGATAGAAAACAGATTTACCCCGATACCTGCAGGATAAACTGAAAAGATCAAATTACCTGGGGTTCAGGGAAGGCCAGAATGAAGGGCGAAGACACCCCCTCGAGAGATGAATGTTGCAGACCGCTTTCTTCTCTAGTTATACCAACTTTAGTGACGACTGCAGGATAGCAATACACAGCGGTCTGAGGAGCCACGGGCTCAACCAAAAAGCCACTCTATAGCCACAAATAATACTCAGAACAGCACCTAACTTCATCAACAGTACATATAGGGTCCCAGTCACAGCACTAGCCACCAAACATCTTTGTAGCTTTGCCTAAATTCTTTGTCAAAGAGACTAAACACAACTCACCTACTCTCTTCCAGCAGCCGCTTGTTTGTAGTGAGACCTCTGGCCAGTCCATTACAGACTGCAGCGGGGTGACGCAGCTCAAGGAAGAACATTTATGATTATTATAATCTCTTTGTAGGGCACTGTGGAAAGACATTTGCAATCTTGAGGAGGTTCCTGAGCGGAGCTGTGCCGAAGGCTGATTGGCTGCTCATTGTTGATGATGATACACTCATCAGGTAACTGGGAGACGAGTTTTGGAAGTTATTTAAATAATCAAGACGAAATTTCTACCCATCTATTTAAAACTTTTATATGGTTTTCTCAAATATCCTGCAAACTGCCGTAGGGCTTCTGTCTTTTTAGGTATTTAATATTCAGCTCAGTTAAAGGACATTATTGAAAGGTGTAATGGAACGATGGATGATGGAGATGTTATCAGAAAGCCGGGAGAAAAAGACAATTGTGCAAAAATGTCCAGGGAAAGCTTTGGAAATGGTTTTGATCCCTTGATGATCCTGTAAAGTGTTTTAGATGGTTTTTGATGTAATCAGGACCTTATTTTATGTATCTTTATTGGTCTCTGTGTGTGTGAACTCTCTCTCATCCATGCACAGTTTACCCAGACTGAGACGTCTGCTGTGTTGCTATAACCCAAAAGAAGCAGTGAGTCTGGGGGAGAGATACGGCTTCGGTTTGGTGCAGAAAGGCTACAGCTACACCACAGGAGGAGGAGGGTGAGGCTGGGGGAGAAACTGATGGTATTAAGATTTACTCACAAATGGACAGGAACGTGACCTCCAGACTACCGTTGTTCAGTCCCGATAAAAAGATGTTGACTTCAAGGTAGCAGCATACCCTCACATACACAGCACGTATTGTTTTGGAAAACTGTGTCCAGATAGTCTCTCTTTTTTTCTTGCATTTTTTAAAGTTTGAGCAGCTTTCACTTTTACGTTTTAGTCCTCTCTTCAACTGTACGCCAGTCAAATTCCATTTTGGTCACACGTACAGTTATAGTTAAAAAATAATAAGGTGAAATTTCTTACTTTAGGGGGCAGAGTGTGATATTTAGTGGCAAGGGTTGATATGTATGTCCAAAATCAAGAATAATTAACAATGGATGTTAAACTATCATAATCATTACGGGGTGTATTGTAAAAAAGTCAGCATGGTTTTGTGCCAGTATATCTATAAAAATCTTAAACATTTCAGTCTCTTTAATCATTGCACAACAGCCAAAAACTGTCCTGAGCATCAAACAGTATTTTGCTGTTTCTTTTGTTTGATATTATTTAAAATTTCCATGCAAAAATATCAAACTAATGCTGTCAGTAAGTTTATTCAGATGATGATTCAAACGTAGGCCATTACGTAGTTGCCATTACGTAGTTGCTGACAACGTTTTTAGCAGTTTATTACTTACACAACAAAACTATTTTCCATCGCCTGATGATATAAAATCCAATATTTAATCTCCTCAGCTCCGTTTTGGTTTCTGCCAACTCTTGTTTTTTATGTTTTGGCCTTTAATTTCCACTCTCTGCAGGATGGTGCTCAGCAGGGTGGCGGTGTCCAGGTTAGTCTCCAGCGGTTGTGGCTGCTTTAGTGATGACGCTCCTGATGACATGGTGCTGGGCAGGTGCCTCACCTCTCTGGGTGTCCCCATCACACACAGCCCTCTGTTCCACCAGGTAAGGAGCACAAAAAACAGCACATACACACAAGTATGTGAACTTAATGCTGTTACTCCCCATGAACCCCCCCCCTTCCAAAGAGTTCCTCCTAAGATTTATCGTTTCATTTTCACTGAGATTTAAACCAGGGTCATACAATATCAAGGAGAAAGAAGCTGACATGGTAGCTGATGTCAGCTTTCTGCGACCCAGTGATGGCAAAACTGCCAGAGAGACTCACCATAGGGATTTCTCTTTTCCAAATCTTTAAAACACACTAACATGGTGGCTGGAGTGAACTTTGTGATCCTAATTTCTGTCACTAACAAAAGCAAACAAAAAACAAATAGGTGAAGGATAAATGGAGCAGTGTAATTGATTAAACTCGTCTTGGTGTTTTAGGCTCGACCAGATGACTATCCAGAGGCACTTATCTCGCAGCAGCAGGCTATCTCCTTCCATAAGCACTGGAACATAGACCCTGTGGCTGTCTACAAACAATGGCTGCAGGACCGAGAGACACATGATGAGCTGTAGAGATACCTTGTTTATGCACGTGACACTCTGATTCTCAAAAGATAAAAGTCAGTCTTATCACTTATCAGTGGTGGTTGTCAGCCATCCAGGTCAGGGTGACTCAAAGCTTGATTTGAAGGTCAAAATATTTGTCCTGCTCTGTGAAAAAAAATGGATGGATGGATGGATGGACGATTGATTGAAGGATTGACCATGGATGGATTGGTTGATTGAAAGATGTATGTGTGGATGGATCAATTGATGGGTGGATGAATTAATACAACTTTTTAAATTTGTGCAATGACTACGCAAAACTAGCCTGGCCGGGCCATCCAGTTGTGTGAATCACTTGCCGATTCACGCAACTGGATGGCCCAGCCAGGCTAACACAAAACTACACAATTTTAAATCAGTCAGTGGTTGGTAACCATAGTGATGTACATCAAAAACAGCAAGACTGAGAAAGCTGTATGAGGACTCAAACATTAGTTGTTTGTGGTTGACTACAAATAATTTACGTTGACCATTGAGATTTACCTCTCATGGTGTCAACCATAGTCTTGATTAGAGACATCTACATCCTTTTACCCAGGTTTGGATTTCAGTAATACCTGTAAATATGATTCTGATCACATAAAAACAGTCCTGTCCTTGAGAGTTTGTTCCTTTGACTTTCAGACAGATCTATTTTTGACTGAAGAGTTTTGCTCTTTCTTTACATTCTGCCTTTTTCTTTACATTCTGCTGGGTCTGTTGAGACTTTCAGAAACCAGATGTTTAGACAGGTATTATGGGTAATACATCCTAGTCTGGCTGGCCCATCCTGTTGCGTGAATCACTTGCCGTTGGGAAGGAACGGCAAGTGATTCACGCAACAGGATGGCCCAGCCAGGCTAAATACATCCTGTATTTTTAACTTCTCTCTGGCTGAATGAAGGTGTTTTATATTTGTGTATCATATCATTCTCTTTCTCTTTTTTCTCTTGTTTTCTTTCTCATTCTTGTGAAGCACTTTGTGATCTTTGACTGTGAACAGTGTTATGTAAATACAGTTTACTTACTTTCAAACTCTTTCATTTTCTTACAAAGTATTTGAAGCCCTACACTTTTTAGTAATTCTTTTTAAGGTTTAATTATCAATTATTTTTTTTTACCTTTTCACATCTTCACCACAGAGAATATCCTGTTGAAATCAAACCTGTTACCAATGAAATTACAGCATGTTTTGGTGTAATATGATACCTGTTCTGTGAACGGCAAACTAAGTATGTGGGTAAGTCAGTGTGGTTGCGTAAAGTGATCTGACAGGCGTAAGCCTGCATAAAAATGCATTTTTGCACTTGTTTTTCTATGTGTTTGTGTGCCAGCTGAAAACCTGTTATTTCCTTGAAGTAAAATGTACTTTTTGGAATCACTTTAAAATGAAATATTCAATGGGTTGAACTAATTCTTGTGTATTCTGTTTGCACCCTCTTGACTAACAGGAGTTAAAGGAGACATGCTTTAACTCACACAAAAAAAAGTACAAACTTTTATTTCTGAAATGACAGTGCAGCTAGGGTTTACCACACTTGAATAGATCATTGCCCAAATATTAGACATGAAATCCAAGGGTGTGAAATGTTTTGTAATGGGAGGTGAGTTTTTCATCTAGTGAGACGATGGGTTTATTAGTTTCTTTTTCCATTTCAGGCCTCCATGTCACAGACTGGTTACACGGCTCATTCATGATCTCCAAGAGACTCAGGTTTTTTCGTTTTCTTTGTGTTTTCTTCCTTTTTTTTTTAGACTTCTCACACTCATTGAGACCACCATCACTAGAGTTGTGAAGCGCTTGAGTATCATGTCACTGTGACACTGTTACCATAGAAACAAGGGTTTTGACAGCCCATAGTTACAGTGAGATTTGTGAGATGAATATTATTATGAATACTGCAAGTGTAGAATATCTAACACTGCAATCAGAGTACTTATTACACAAAGAGATTATATATCTCTCTCTCTTTTTTTTTTTTTTTTTGTGAAGAACTTTTTATTGAGGCACAGCAGACACAGCAACATACGTACAATTTTTTAAACATAATACCCCCCACCCACCTTCCACCCCCCTGGCAGGTCTCCCCTGCACCAATCAAGCATCATCAAGTGTCAACAGTACATTGTAGTGAGTGGTTTCCCTCTGTTCACAACCCAAGAAGTTTATCCTTTATCTGCCCAGCTGCACCTAACCACATCTCCAAAGTGGAGGCTTTAGCATTATTAATCCATTCAGTAGACAACTCTAGTAACACTATATAGTGAAAATAAATCAACCATTTCCTCATACTTAGATCATGAGTTTGTAGCCATCTTTGTACTAGGAGTTTTTTGGCAGCTGTGAGGCCGCTCAGCAATAGTTTATGATGTTTCTTACTTATATGTATTTGAGCGTCATCATTAAGGAGAAGTAAAACTGGATTGCATGTTATAGCAGTACCTAGTAATTTAGACAAGACTTTGGATGCCCGGCCCCAAAGGCCTGGACAGAGGAACATTCCCACATCGTGTGTTTATAACATCCTATTGCGTTAAGTTGGCACATGGTACAGTTTGGACTTGATATCAGTTTCATGTGAGACCTAGTGACAAGTGTATAATAGAGTCTGTGACACACTTTAAAGTGAATGAGTTGGTGATTTGGAATTTCGGAGGCGAGAAAGATTTTCTCCCACACATTGTTCCAAGAGATGTCGTCATCCTTCTGACCGAAGTCCTTCAGCCATGCTCTGATCGAGAGATGATATTTTTAATGTTGCGCTTATCAGCAAAATTGGCAAAAAATGATTTTCATTCATTTCTGTCTGTTTTGTGCAAGGATGAGATAAAATGCTTTTGCGTTGTATTCAAAGTAAGAACAGATAGATGCTTTGTCATCTCTGATCTCTCATAAGTCTTCTAAACTCTTAGAAGTGCTGTTTTTCTTGTAATTATTATATTGAAAGGTGGAGACAAACATAATAGGTAGAATATTTTTCTTTGTGTGTGGGTGTGTTTGGTTCATGCCTGCGCGGCAAAAGTAGATGCTCCAGTTTTGCCACTTATTCCAGTGAAGTCCTGGTATGCTTTCACCGCCTGATGTGCTTCCTCATACCATTTTAATTCATCTCACATTTGTTTCACCTCACATTTCATCTCAAGCACATTAATTCCTATGAATGACTTCAAAAGTAGGTCATCTACTCAAGGAGAGGTTCTGTTTTTTTTCCTCTTGTTTAATACGTACTGCTCCAAATTTCAGAGAAACATTCTTTTTTTATAAAAGAAAAAATTACTGACACTTAAGATGAAGTACAAAATACTCCTGCTATGTAGACCAAGTGGTTCACAGTCATTCACAATTGAACTGTTGATTGATTATCACCTCAAACAAGGGTCCTGTCATATTGAAATCTGTATGTCTGTAGTACAGAAAGGGACAGTTGACAAAGCTCTTGTTTCTCCCAGCAAATTTAATGATGAATTTAATGCTTTGGGTGATTTCAGCTGCAAGCTCACTGGACTTAAAAAATGTTGGTATGCAGTTATAAGCACAAAAAAAACCCAATAGCAGTACCTAGTAATTTAGACAAGCCTTTGGACGCCCGGCCCCAAAAGACCTGGACAGAGGAACATTCCCACATCATGTGTTTATAACATCCTATTGCGTTAAGTGACATGGCACATGGTACAGTTTGGACTTGATATCAGTTTCATGCGAGACCTAGTGACAAGTGTATAATAGAGTCTGTGACACACTTTAAAGTGAATGAGTTAGAAGTGCTGTAATTATTATGATAAAAGGTTGAGGCAAACATGGTAGGTAGATTGTTCTTCTTTGTGTGTGTGGGTGTGTTTGGTTCATTGGTTTCAGTGTTTGGTGCAAAAGTAGACGCTCCAGTTTTGCCACCAATGCCAGTAAAAAAAATGTTGGTATGCAGTTATAAGCACAAGAAAAACCAAGTGCTTCAGTCTTTACAGAAGATTATTTAGTCAAACTACTTTAAGCATGGTCTCCTTCATGCTTAGAATCTCTACAGCATTTCAGTCGCTGTGATTTATTAAATGTGATTAAAAAATAAGGAAAGTCAGTGGAAAAGAGTGATGATGGAACGTGTAAACCTTTTAAGGTCAGGGGATTTCCATTTTTCAACTCTTACACAGGAATGGTTAAAGTACCATTTTAATTGATTTTTATTTTTGGGGGCAATTTAAAAGAGTACAACATAAAACATTGTAACTCTCTCCTCCCTGGTTTAAACAAGAAATCACTCTCTCGCCTCCAACTAGTTCAGAATGCAGCAGCTCGGCTTTTAACTGGTTTTAGTCGACGGCATCACATCACCCCAATTTTAGCCTCCCTTCACTGGCTTCCTGTCAGCTTTAGAATTGATTTTAAGATTTTATTGATTACTTTTAAAGCGCTCAAAGGACTTACTCCGAGCTACATTTCAGAGCTTTTAATACCTTATGAGCCAACTCGCAGCCTCAGATCCTCTGGCGAAGGCCTCCTAGTCGTTCCAAAGTCGAGGCTCAAGACTAAAGGTGATGGAGCTTTCTCCATCAGAGCTCCTCGACTTTGGAACAACCTGCCAGAGGAGATAAGGCGTGCAGAGACAGTCCCTTTTTTAAGTCAAATTTAAAAACTCACTTTTACAGACTTGCCTTTATGTGATGCCATCTTTCATCTTTTATCGTCTTTTACCTTTTTTCTTTTTCTCCTTTTTTTTTTTTACCTCTTTTACCTCTTTCTTATTTAGACTTGCTGCCTTTTTAGCCTTTGTTTTACTTATAATCTCTTCTTATTTTATCTCTCAGGTCCTTCATTGATTGTAATGTTTTTTATCTTCCTTTATTTGATTATATATGTATATATATATATATATATATATATATATATATATATATATATATATATATATATATACACACTACCGTTCAAAAGTTTGGGGTCACCCAAACAATTTTGTGTTTTCCATGAAAAGTCACACTTATTCACCACCATATGTTGTGAAATGAATAGAAAATAGAGTCAAGACATTGACAAGGTTAGAAATAATGATTTGGATTTGAAATAAGATTTTTTTTTACATCAAACTTTGCTTTCGTCAAAGAATCCTCCATTTGCAGCAATTACAGCATTGCAGACCTTTGGCATTCTAGCTGTTAATTTGTTGAGGCAATCTGGAGAAATTGCACCCCACGCTTCCAGAAGCAGCTCCCACAAGTTGGATTGGTTGGATGGGCACTTCTTGCGTACCATACGGTCAAGCTGCTCCCACAACAGCTCAATGGGGTTCAGATCTGGTGACTGCGCTGGCCATTCCATTACCGATAGAATACCAGCTGCCTGCTTCTGCTCTAAATAGTTCTTGCACAATTTGGAGGTGTGTTTAAGGTCATTGTCCTGTTGTAGGATGAAATTGGCTCAAATCAAGGGCTGTCCACTGGGTATGGCATGGCGTTGCAAAATGGAGTGATAGCCTTCCTTATTCAGAATCCCTTTTACCCTGTACAAATCTTCCACCTTACCAGCACCAAAGCAACCCCAGACCATCACATTACCTCCACCATGCTTAACAGATGGCGTCAGGCATTCTTCCAGCATCTTTTCATTTGTTCTGCGTCTCACAAACGTTCTTCTTTGTGATCCAAACACCTCAAACTTGGATTCATCCGTCCACAACACTTTTTTCCAGTCTTCATCTGTCCAATGTCTGTGTTCTTTTGCCCATCTTAATCTTTTTCTTTTATTGGCCAGTCTCAGATATGGCTTTTTCTTTGCCACTCTGCCCTGAAGCCCAGAATCCCGCAGCCGCCTCTTCACTGTAGATGTTGACACTGGTGTTTTGCGGGTACTATTTAATGAAGATGCCAGTTGGGGACCTGTGAGGCGTCTGTTTCTCAAACTATAGACTCTAATGTACTTATCTTCTTGCTCAGTTGTGCAACGCGGCCTCCAACTTCTTTTTCTACTCTGGTTAGAGCCTGTTTGTGCTGTCCTCTGAAGGGAGTAGTACACACCGTTGTAGGAAATCTTCAATTTCTTAGCAATTTCTCGCATGGAATAGCCTTCATTTCTAAGAACAAGAATAGACTGTCGAGTTTCAGATGAAAGTTCTCTTTTTCTGGCCATTTTGAGCGTTTAATTGACCCCACAAATGTGATGCTCCAGAAACTCAATCTGCTCAAAGGAAGGTCAGTTTAGTAGCTTCTGTAAGGAGCTAAACTGTTTTCAGATGTGTGAACATGATTGCACAAGGGTTTTCTAATCATCAATTAGCCTTCTGAGCCAATGAGCAAACACATTGTACCATTAGAACACTGGAGTGATAGTTGCTTGAAATGGGCCTCTATACACCCATGTAGATATTGCACCAAAAACCAGACATTTGCAGCTAGAATAGTGATTTACCACATTAGCAATGTATAGAGTGTATTTCTTTAAAGTTAAGACTAGTTTAAAGTTATCTTCATTGAAAAGTACAGTGCTTTTCCTTCAAAAATAAGGACATTTCAATGTGACCCCAAACTTTTGAACGGTAGTGTGTATATATATATATATATATATATATATATATATATATATATATATATATAATTAATTCCACTTAATCATTTATATTACCATCATTATTATTTTATTATGATTTTATTATTATTATCAATATCCTCTTTTATACTTACTAGCCTGTTTCCTGCCCTCCTTTTCTATTTCATTTTATGTTTTTATTTTGGTCCTCATGGTCCCATTTATTTTGTAGGGTTCTTGTATTGCCTGGGTTTCTTACGAAAAGTGAAACAGGCCTACAATTCAGAGGCTTGTTTTTAACTGAGCTTTTGTTTTTATGTGTTTTTATTTTAATGTGCTGATGTTCTGTGCTTGCAACTGTTGTCTAAGCACTTTGTAAACTTCTGTTTTTAAAGGTGCTATATAAATAAAATAATTATTATTATTATAAAACATGATAGGTAAAAGGTGAAACAGGGCAGGGAGAGGCAAAAAAGCCAAAATGGAACATAAAATATGCTAACTTGATACTGTGAGCTTATAAAATATCTGATTGAACTATATCCTTGATTGTATCACATGCTCTCAATGACACATAGATTATGTTTCACCAATGATTGCTTCACAAACAGGTTGGTGGACATAGAAACAGGTATGAATTCTTACTCTCAGTGAAACTGCGTCACCTTCAAACTTTCCATTCAGGACTTTAACAGCAGCTCCAAGGTTGGTGTAAAGACGGACAAAATATTTAATTGATTGCTTTTTACAAAAATGATAAAAGACATCTCTACTCCTATTTTTCAGCACGTTGGTGAATGTGGTCCATAATGAGGGCGTCTTGGGGGCTTTTGTTGCTTCTAATTTTTCCGATTTCTGCTGCAAGCACCACAGGTAAACCACCTAAGATCTTATCTGGGCTTAATTTTTAGACAATAGGACTCTTTTATCATATACTTTAGATTTACTGTAATGACTCCCTGAGGAATAAATCTGTGGATCTTATTCAATTTTCAGTCATTGACATAAATGGGTCTTTAGATTATAAGTTTTATTTTGTTTGTTTGTTTGTTTGTTTGTTTGTTTGTTTGTTTGTTTGTTTTTGTTTTGTTTTTATACAAACAAATCAAAACTGCTGACATTGATTACACTGTGTTGAAGATTAGAAACTACTTAACACATTTTACTTTTTTTCCTCTGATTCTTGATAAAGGTCGCCAGTGAAACCTTTATTTAACTCTCTCTGGGTATTCTTATAGCCATCTCTGTACATGCAACATAGTTTACAATGCTGCAATGTCATTTAGCAGACAATTTGATTCAAAATGATGTACATTCAAGCGCAACAACAACACAAGCAAAGATCTAGACAAGAAGAAACAAGATCAGTGAGAGCTTAAGAGTGCTTCAAGTCCATTTGGACACAGGTACTGCAAAGCAGTGCACTGAAAAAGTGAAACATGAGTTTTATTCATTTAAAGTACTTATTTAAGATGATATAATTGAAAAAAAAAAAAAATTTAAAAAAAATTTCCGGTTTCAACTTGAATGATTAAAGTTGCCTCAAAGTAAATTTAGTTTCTCATTGAGCCAAATAAAAACTTGGAGCTGACCTACAACTTAACAATAACCCAGCGGTCTACATGTCACCTCTTTTCAACGTCAAAGTTCGCCATTATCATTTCCTCGCATTCAGTGTGATACGTCTGTCAAGTTTGGAAACTCTTTTTATAACAAGGTAAGAATTCAAAATTGCTGTTTTAGTGCAACATGGGCTTTCAGTGTGCATTTAAGGTCAGTGGTAGGGGTAAACATTATCCTAAAGACTAGCCTTGAATTTTTTGTTCTGCGCTAATGCTAGCCAAACCAGAAACATTTGCAACAACGATGTTATGTTGTATAAATATTGTGGTGCTAAAATTAAGACTAAAAATGTGAATGATGCTAAAGTCAGAATAATCAGCTAGAGCACTAGTAATGGTTCCTTTTGTTTCTTGAACTGCCTTAAAATAATGATAATCATACATTTTGATCCTTTTTTAAAGGATAGCAAAGATTTAAGACTGTTAGAAACTCTATTTTTAGACTTAATGGCTGTTCCCTTGCATCGTAAGTTTGATGACGTGCATGTTAATCGATGTGTTTACAGTTTCAATCAGAACATTTTAATTACCTTATTATAAAATGCGACTTATACTGGTATATGTTTTTTCTTCTTCATTATGCAGTTTTTGGCTGGTGTGGCTTGTCCAACTTTATAGCGACTTATAGTCTGGAAAATATGGTACATCTTTCCATCATGTAATCAAAAAATAACATGACAGACAGACCATGTTTTATTGGAACATGCAATTGTTCTTTTTTTTTTTGTAGTGTTTGTGTGTAAAACACATACTTTTGTGGTGATTGCAACCTGTTTAAGCTTTTGTTGGCACTTCTGGAATTGTGTTTTTTTGTGTGTGTTGGGCGGTTCCCGCCTGCACAGGCACACCTGCACCTAATCACAACAATCACCTCCTGCACTTAAGATCTACTGTGAGGCTTCTCCAGTGCCAAATTATTCCTGAATCTCATGTGGTATCTCAGCCAGTTCTGTTGCACATATTTGCAAGTTTTTGACCTTTTCAGTTTTGATGTGTTTACCTGGCTGTGACTAACTCCGCTCTCTTCTCTTCCACGCTGCCACACTCTCTCACTGGTTTTACTCACCTGCCTCCTCTTCAAGCCCTCATCTTGGACCCTGGATCCCTCCCCTCCCCCTATTTCCCTCAATAAATTTACTTTAATGCTTCATCTGCCTCCAGACCTTCTTTTTAATTGAATTAAACATCTGTTTTTCAACTTTACGGGCTGCTAATTGCGAGTTTTATACATTTTTTTGATGTTTTTGTGTATTTCAAAGGTGATGCCTATTTTAAAGTCATCCAAAAAAAATTGACTCACAAAGAGAATTTTCCTGTTTTAAGTTTTCTCTACATATGTATTAGTTCATTGTATCATCATTATACCATTGTATAAGTTATATTTTGGCTTGTGACTAAAGGAAATTTTGATTATGGTATAAGTAAAAAATTCTTTGTGCTGAATCAGAAGAAAAGTTAAAACATAGTAAAAAGTTGAATTTATAATTAGATGTAATAGTAGTATTAGGTTTTTCCAAATAGAAAAATTAAGTTGTAAAAGAAAAAAAAAACACACAATTTATGGTCTTTGAAATGAAAAATGTTTTTAGTTTGTATGAAAGCAAATTCATGGCTTTGTCTGAAAATACAAAATTTATTTACAAGAAACTATTCTTGTACTTTTGCAGGAACTCTTGTCACCAGTTGTGACTCATGTCATGATCAAGCCGCCTGCCTGGAGTCTGGAGAAAGAGGCGACACTTTCTCAAGCCAGGTGCTGTCATGTGTGTGTAAAGATGGCTTTGTAGGTAACGGGCTCACGTGTTACGATGTAAATCTCTGCAATGACTCTTCTTGCTGTGAAGACGGATATCAATGGTCGTCAGACAGAGGCTGTGAGGACACTGATGAATGCTCCCTCAAAGACTCGCCCTGCAAACCATTTCAGGTTTGCAAAAACACTCCAGGCTCCTTTGAATGCCTGGAGTCTTTCAGCCGCACCAGATCTGGTCTATCCTCCCAGTCTGTCCGAGTCGGATGTGGAAACACAATATGTCCTTTAGGTATGGACTGCATCCGTATGAACGGGACCCTCCGCTGTGCTGACCCCTGCCAGCATTATACTGCACTGAATGATGAGTGGAGATCAACCAATAACACCTCCAACGTAATTCAATGTGATCGAAATATCAATTGGGAAGGCTGGTATCGGCTCTTTCTGGGACAAACCAGTGCTCAAATCCCAGAGTGGTGTGTGCCTCCAAACAGATGTGGAACCCACGCCCCTTTGTGGATAACAGCACCTCATCCCACACAGCCAGGTCGGATTGAACATCGCACTGTGTGTAATTCCTGGTCTGGCAGCTGCTGCCGCTTTGACTCACACAACATCTCTGTAAAGCTCTGCTACGGAAGCTACTACGTCTACAAACTTGCTCGTCCAAGCGTGTGCTATCTTGCATACTGTGCAGGTATTGTTTAGTATTAAAATAATTTAAAAAGAAAATTATACTCAACAATTAAGACAAGGACAAATTGATACAGTCTGACTGTACTAATCAAGACACAACTGTGCTTCTGTCCACAAATCTGAAAAATAGCTTGCTCATTAAAGCCACCTTTAGTTAAACAACAATGTCTATTTTCACTGTAAACAGAGGTGAACAGAACAGCTCCTGTGGTACCTTCACCAACACCTGAACCAAGCACCCTCACTACCACCGTCACCTCCACCACAACAGCTGGAAACAGCTCGGCAACTGAGGGAGAGATCCGCCTCGTGAATGGGAACAGCTCCTGCTCTGGCCGAGTAGAGATTTTCTACCGTGGAGAGTGGGGGACGGTGTGTGATGATTTTTGGGGTCTGCAGGAAGCTCAGGTGGTCTGTAGACAGCTGGGCTGTGGAAGAGCTCTGTCAGCACCACACTCTGCTGCTTTTGGACAAGGCAATGGAACCATCTGGATGGATGACGTCTCATGCTCTGGTCATGAATCACAGCTCAGTGAGTGCAGGCACAGAGGGTTTGGAAATCACGACTGTGGTCACAATGAGGATGCAGGTGTTGTCTGTGAAGGTAAATATAACTCAATAAAATGCCTCACAAGCTGTCAGTGGTACTTTACAAAGCTGAAAAGGAATTAGTAATGTGTCACCAGGTGAATAACATGAAACATGACGTTGACACCACACTTTTAGCCTGATCTTCAGCCTTGAATTTGATTCTTTCTCTTTTCAAGTAAAAGGCTGAATTATGTGAATGGCCACAAGCCCAGTGTTCACCCCATATATAAAGGTTTTGTCTCAAGCAGGCCCTCCCTGCCCATCCCATCCCCCCTTTTCCTTCACTGTCTGATTCACACTTATGATGGAACAAAAAGCTTGAGATGAAAAAGAAAGGATGAAGTATTCAGTATTGAAACACATCATTGTCCTCATGAAGTTCAGAGTTGAGGTGTGTCTATTCCATCAATATCATGTCCTATATTTCCTGACAGCTGCGGCTCCAGTGAGGCTGGTGGACGCTGGAAGCCGCTGCTCTGGCAGAGTGGAGGTCTACCATGATGGACGCTGGGGGACAGTCTGTGATGATGACTGGGATATGCTTGATGCCCAGGTGGTCTGCAGGCAGCTGGACTGTGGTAGAGCTCTATCAGCACCACAGTCTGCTACTTTTGGAGAAGGCAATGGTCCCATCTGGTTGGACGATGTGGGCTGTTTAGGCAACGAAACATCCATTACAGACTGCAGACATCCAGGGTTTGATGTTCATAATTGTGATCATGGTGAAGATGCCAGTGTCACCTGTGAAGGTAAATCCTCCCATTTCAGTTTTTTTGGCTTACCTTTTGACGAGGACAAAAATGCTTGATCTCTTTGTTTTTTATACTGACCACAGATATTTGTTAAAGCTTACTTTTACATATAGCGCCTTAGTACTCAACTTTCTATGAAGAATATTTTGAATTTTACATCCAACTACAATGAACTTCATCATGCAGATTTACATGCAGAATTAAGGGAGAACTTTGGCTCATAATAAATGATGAGCAAGACGGTTGAAGATATGTCCTGATCTGACAAAGTCTTGTTTTTTAGGTGAGCCAGACTTTACCCGCATAGTCACAGCTACTCCTTATCCAATTGTATCAACTTCTCCAAACTATGTGGTGGACATCCGCCTCGTGAATGGGAACAGCTCCTGCTCTGGCCGAGTAGAGATTTTCTACCGTGGAGAGTGGGGGACGGTGTGTGATGATGACTGGGGTCTGCAGGATGCTCAGGTGGTCTGTAGACAGCTGGGCTGTGGAAGAGCTCTGTCAGCACCACACTTTGCTGCTTTTGGACAAGGCAATGGAACCATCTGGATGGATGACGTCTCATGCTCTGGTCACGAATCACAGCTCAGTGAGTGCAGGCACATAGGGTTTGGAAATCACAACTGTGATCACGATGAGGATGCTGGCGTTGTCTGTGAAGGTAAATATAACTCAATAAAATGTCTCACAAGCTGTCAGTGGTACTTTACAAAGTCAAAAAGGGTTAAGTAATGTGTCACCAGGTGGATCACATGAAACATGACGTTGACACCACACTTTTAGCCTGATCTTCAGCCTTGAATTTAAATCTTTCTCTTTTCAAGTAAAAGGCTGAATTATGTGAATGGCCACAAGCCCAGTGTTCACCCCATATATAAAGGTTTTGTCTCAAGCAGGCACTCCCTGCCCATCCCATCCCCCCTTTTCCTCCACTGTCTGATTCACACTTATGATGGAACAAAAAGCTTGAGATGAAAAAGAAAAGATAAAGTATTCAGTATTGAAACACATCATTGTCCTCATGAAGTTCAGAGTTGAGGTGTGTCTATTTCATCAACATCATGTCCTATATTTCCTGACAGCTACTGCTCCAGTGAGGCTGGTAGACTCTGGAAGCCGCTGCTCTGGCCGAGTGGAGGTCTACCATGATGGTGTCTGGGGAACAGTGTGTGATGATCGCTGGGGTCTGCAGGATGCTCAGGTGGTCTGCAGACAGCTGGACTGTGGTAGAGCTCTATCAGCACCACACGCTGCTGCTTTTGGACAAGGCAATGGAACAGTCTTGTTGGGCCATGTGGACTGTTTAGGCAATGAAACATCCATTACAGACTGCAGACATCCAGGGTTTGGGGTTCACATTTGTAGTCATGCTGAAGATGCCAGTGTCACCTGTGAAGGTAAGTGCTGACAGTGATCCAAACGATGGCCTATTTTATTGGGATTACCTTCTGGAAGAAACTCGTCCCTTCGCTATGTTTCAATTTACCACAGACACTATATATTTTTGGTTAGTTATTGATCAATCGATAAGATTAGAGATGTCATTCTAATCATAAATAAATCTGTCAGTCAAAGGATTTAATGGAAATTTGATGGAAATTTGATGGAAATCTACATTTGTGTAAAGGTAATAAGATTGACAAACAAAAGAGAAGCAGAACAGAGGACAAAAAGATTGTGATAAAAAGGCTGTTGATATTTTTGTGCATTTTCAGAAAACTTTCTTTCTCTTTGACTATAACGGCAGGATACAGCTCAGCAACTGAGGGGGAGAGTCGCCTTGTGAATGGGAACAGCTCCTGCTCTGGCCGAGTAGAGATTTTCTACCGTGGAGAGTGGGGGACTGTGTGTGATGATTTTTGGGATCTGCAGGAAGCTCAGGTGGTCTGTAGACAGCTGGGCTGTGGTAGGGTTCTGTCAGCACCACACTCTGCTGCTTTTGGACAAGGCAGTGGAACCATCTGGTTGGATGATCTCTCATGCTCTGGTCATGAATCAGAGCTCAGTGAGTGCAGGCACATAGGGTTTGGAAATCACAACTGTGATCACCATGAGGATGCTGGTGTTGTTTGTGAAGGTAGGTACAGTTTATTTTCCTGTGATAACACCTGTCTATTGTTCTAGTTTCAAGTTTCCATGTTATTACACACCAGCTTTAATAACATAAAACGTGAGTTTGACTGTTTCTGAACCATTTGCACCTTTCAATATTATTTTTCATTCGGTAAGTTATAAACTGAAATAATTATAGTCAAAGAAATACTTCTATTGTTCTATTCAAGTGCTTTTCAAGGTACTTCAAGATTCTGTACAAACTCATAACTATACTAATCAAACAACAAATCATAAAAATAAATAAAGCGTTTAAGTAGAAACATCATCAGCAACTAATAGAGTTCTTAAAAGAGTAGTTTGAGCTGCAATTTCAATCTGGGTAGATCAGGACAGTCACGGATGTCATACAGAACAGAGTTCAAGAGATGCTAAAGAATGATTCCAGATGAAGAAGAGTTTTGTGGTTGTTTATGTAAAAGCAGTAGTGAGGTTGAGACTGATGAGGAGGGTGAGGTGGTTTAAATCTGCTAGTATAAGAAGGTTGTTGGTGATTTTGAAAAGGGCAGTGTCTAGGGCTGCACGAAATTGGAAAAAAACTAACATTGCAGTTTTTTTTCAACCCTGCGATATATATTGTGATATTAAAAGATACAGGAATTTTCACCAGATGACCTGAATGGCACTTTATGCTATGCTGCACTGCTGAAATCTTATGGACAGCTAACCTGCACTGATCTTACCTCTCTTAGTGAATGTTTGTAGAACTGCTTCTGTCTGTCTTAGAGATACTTTTAGTTTGCTTTTATTGTGCTGGGACTTGTTATCTCTCATTGTGGCAAACGGATAAAGGCACTACCAACACAGAACACTTGTTTGGTCAACATCAACCGAAATAATTCCAGATAACTGAATTTCGTTTTCTTTTTGGCAACAAGTCTTCATTTTTGGTGGTTTTCTCTCTTCCGTTGCTCATTTTGCAATTGTTGTTGTTGTTACCGGTGTTGTGCCGAGAAGCGCATGCCCACCGAAAATTGCATGCACCTTACGCAAACACACACCACTTATCATAGAGTGGTCCATGGAAATGTACAATTTGAAACCTGTACAATTCTTATTTGTGGGGCTAAACAGTGATGAGTAATGTTCAGAAAGTAATTCTTAGCAGGCAAGCGTTTCTCTGCACAACACCGGGAGCGCCAGCGACTCACTCCATGTGCAGGGGCGTGGTTTTCTCTTCTCTGATTTTGATTGACGGCTGGCAGGGTAGTCTGCTTGGCAAGTGAGTAAAGAAACAAATTTGATTGGTGGATCGCTGCATAGCACAAGCAGAGTCTACCTGCAGTGTATGTCAGTCAGCTACCCTTGAAATTAAATGAGTTTATCTGCCTCCTACATTGCAGGCTCTGCAATGTGACTATCCTGCACATGTACATCGCAATGACAATGCACAAACAATATACCGTGCAGCCCTAGCAGTGTCAGTGCTATGCTTGTTGCTTAAAACTGTTCAAACTGGTTACTGGAGGTGAGACCACCTTTAAGTTGAGCTGCAAAGAAGTTCCAGATTTTTCAACAGAGAGAGGATGTTTGAGATGGGTCCGAAATTTAACATAGTTTCAGGACAAAGTCCAGGATTTTGAGGACGGGGGTGATGCAGCAAGTTTGAGTGGCTGAAGAAAGTATCCAGAGCTGAGGGATAAATTGAAAACAATAGTGATGAGTTGGCATAGATGGAAATGAGACTTTGATGAGAGTCGAAGGGATGGGATTGAGGACACTGGTGAAGCTTTTTATTCCAGATGTGTCTTTGTAGAGTCCCAAGTCAGACAAAATCTAGAGATGCCAGTTGGCAAGAGGAGAGGAGGAAGATAGGGAAGTAGGTGGGGAGGCAGGGGAGGTAGTCAGGGGAAGGCAAAATATGAAGAAAGGGAAATAGCCTAGAGGTTTCTAAAGGATAACAAGCGGGTGTCTTTTGGGTTGAGAGTGAGGATGTCACTATCCATGACAATATCCAATACTTCTGAAAAGTACTAATGTCTGCATGATTTACAGTTTTATGGTGTGCCTCACACTTTCATTATTTCATATTTCCTGACAGCTGCGGCTCCAGTGAGGCTGGTGGACGCTGGAAGCCGCTGCTCTGGCAGAGTGGAGGTCTACCATGATGGACGCTGGGGGACAGTCTGTGATGATGACTGGGATATGCTTGATGCCCAGGTGGTCTGCAGGCAGCTGGACTGTGGTAGAGCTCTATCAGCACCACAGTCTGCTACTTTTGGAGAAGGCAATGGTCCCATCTGGTTGGACGATGTGGGCTGTTTAGGCAACGAAACATCCATTACAGACTGCAGACATCCAGGGTTTGATGTTCACAATTGTGTTCATGGTGAAGATGCCAGTGTCACCTGTGAAGGTAAATCCTCCCATTTCAGTTTTTTTGGCTTACCTTTTGACGAGGACAAAAATGCTTGATCTCTTTGTTTTTTATACTGACCACTGATATTTGTTACAGTTTACTATTACATAAAGCCCTTAGTACTCAACTTTCTATGAAGAATATAGTGAATTTTACATCCAACTACAATGAACTTCATCATGCAGATTTACATGCAGAATTAAGGGAGAACTTTGGCTCATAATAAATGATGACCAAGACGGTTGAAGATGTGTCCTGATCTGACAAAGTCTTGTTTTTTTAGGTGAGCCAGACTTTACCCGCATAGTCACAGCTACTCCTGATCCAATTGTATCAACTTCTCCAAACTATGTGGTGGACATCCGCCTCGTGAATGGGAACAGCTCCTGCTCTGGCCGAGTAGAGATTTTCTACCGTGGAGAGTGGGGGACGGTGTGTGATGACGCCTGGGGTCTGCAGGAAGCTCAGGTGGTCTGTAGACAGCTGGGCTGTGGTAGGGCTCTGTCAGCACCACACTCTGCTGCTTTTGGACAAGGCAATGGAACCATCTGGATGGATGACGTCTCATGCTCTGGTCACGAATCAGAGCTCAGTGAGTGCAGGCACATAGGGTTTGGAAATCACAACTGTGGTCACAATGAGGATGCAGGTGTTGTCTGTGAAGGTAAATATAACCCAATAAAATGTCCCACAAGCTGTCGGTGGTACTTTATAAAGCTGAAAAGGATTTAGTAATGTGTCACCAGGTGGACAAAATGACACATGATATCATGTCCTATATTTCCTGACAGCTGCGGCTCCAGTGAGGCTGGTGGACGCTGGAAGCCGCTGCTCTGGCAGAGTGGAGGTCTACCATGATGGACGCTGGGGGACAGTCTGTGATGATGACTGGGATATGCTTGATGCCCAGGTGGTCTGCAGGCAGCTGGACTGTGGTAGAGCTCTATCAGCACCACAGTCTGCTACTTTTGGAGAAGGCAATGGTCCCATCTGGTTGGACGATGTGGGCTGTTTAGGCAACGAAACATCCATTACAGACTGCAGACATCCAGGGTTTGAGGTTCACAATTGTGTTCATGGTGAAGATGCCAGTGTCACCTGTGAAGGTAAATCCTCCCATTTCAGTTTTTTTGGCTTACCTTTTGACGAGGACAAAAATGCTTGATCTCTTTGTTTTTTATACTGACCACAGATATTTGTTAAAGCTTACTTTTACATAAAGCCCTTAGTACTCAACTTTCTATGAAGAATATAGTGAATTTTACATCCAACTACAATGAAATTCATCATGCAGATTTACATGCAGAATAAAGGGAGAACTTTGGCTCATAATAAATGATGACCAAGACAGGTGAAGATGTGTCCTGATCTGACAAAGTCTTGTTTTTTAGGTGAGCCAGACTTTACCCGCATAGTCACAGCTACTCCTTATCCAATTGTAACAACTTCTCCAAACTATGTGGTGGACATCCGCCTCGTGAATGGGAACAGCTCCTGCTCTGGCCGAGTAGAGATATTCTACCGTGGAGAGTGGGGGACGGTGTGTGATGATGACTGGGGTCTGCAGGATGCTCAGGTGGTCTGTAGACAGCTGGGCTGTGGAAGAGCTCTGTCAGCACCACAGTCTGCTGCTTTTGGACAAGGCAGTGGAACCATCTGGATGGATGACGTCTCATGCTCTGGTCACGAATCACAGCTCAGTGAGTGCAGGCACATAGGGTTTGGAAATCACGACTGTGGTCACAGTGAGGATGCTGGTGTTGTCTGTGAAGGTAAATATAACTCAATAAAATGCCTCACAAGCTGTCGGTGGTACTTTACAAAGCTGAAAAGGATTTAGTAATGTGTCACCAGGTGGATCACATGAAACATGACGTTGACACCACACTTTTAGCCTGATCTTCAGCCTTGAATTTAAATCTTTCTCTTTTCAAGTAAAAGGCTGAATTATGTGAATGGCCACAAGCCCAGTGTTCACCCCATATATAAAGGTTTTGTCTCAAGCAGGCACTCCCTGCCCATCCCATCCCCCCTTTTCCTCCACTGTCTGATTCACACTTATGATGGAACAAAAAGCTTGAGATGAAAAAGAAAAGATGAAGTATTCAGTATGGAAACACATCATTGTCCTCATGAAGTTCAGAGTTGAGGTGTGTCTATTTCATCAATATCATGTCCTATATTTCCTGACAGCTGCTGCTCCAGTGAGGCTGGTAGACGCTGGAAGCCGCTGCTCTGGCAGAGTGGAGGTCTACCATGATGGACGCTGGGGAACAGTGTGTGATGATCGCTGGGGTCTGCAGGATGCTCAGGTGGTCTGCAGACAGCTGGACTGTGGTAGAGCTGTATTAGCACAAGGAACTGCTTTTTTTGGAAGGGGCAATGGACCCATCTGGTTGGGCAATGTGGGCTGTTTAGGCAACGAAACATCCATTACAGACTGCAGACATCCAGGGTTTGGAGTTCACGATTGTGCTCATGCTGAAGATGCCAGTGTCACCTGTGAAAGTAAGTGCTGACAGTGATCCAAATTAGTATCTATTCCACTGGGTTTACCTCCTTGAAGGATCTCGTCTCGTCAGTGTGTTTCAATTTACCACAGACACTATATATTTTTGGTTAGTTATTGACAAACAGAAGAAAAGGAGGTGAAAGGACAAATGAAAAAATGTGATGAACAGGCTGATATTTTTGTGACTTTTCAGGAAACTTTCTCTCTCTTTGATTCTGACAGCAGGAAACAGCTTAGCAGCTGAGGGAGAGATTCGCCTGGTGAATGGGAACAGCTCCTGCTCTGGTCGAGTAGAGATCTTCCATGGTGCAGTGTGGGGGACAGTGTGTGATGATAGCTGGGGTCTGCAGGATGCTCAGGTGGTCTGTAGACAGCTGGGCTGTGGTAGGGCTCTGTCAGCACCACAGTTTGCTGCTTTTGGAGAAGGCAGTGGACCCATCTGGATGGATGAAGTCTCGTGTTCGGGAAGAGAGTCCCAGCTTCGTGAGTGCAGGCACAGAGGGTTTGGAAATCACGATTGCAGACACAGTGAGGATGCTGGTGTTGTTTGTGAAGGTAAAATTCAGTCTTTCTGCGTGCATTGATGTCACTGTAGTCAAAGCGAAGTGTAAACAGTCAGCTTATGAAGAATTGTAAAATATAAGTTTAACCCTCTTTGTATCTGCAAACTCATTAGCCTTAAAAGTACATGTGATTTTTCAGCAGAAGGAGATGTTCCTCAATGCAATTTAAAAAAGTATTTACGATGGATGTCATGTTTCATATCAGATAATTTCTCATTTTCAGCATCAGCTCCACTGAGGCTGGTAAATGGGAACAGCTCCTGCTCTGGCCGAGTAGAGATATTCTACCGTGGAGAGTGGGGGACAGTCTGTGATGATGCCTGGGGTCTGCAGGATGCTCAGGTGGTCTGTAGACAGCTGGGCTGTGGTAGGGCTCTGTCAGCACCACAGTCTGCTGCTTTTGGACAAGGCAGTGGAACCATCTGGTTGGACAATGTGGGCTGTTTTGGAAATGAGCGCTCCATTACAGACTGCAGACATTCAGGGTTTGGGGTTCACAACTGTCATCATTCTGAAGATGCTGGAGTTATCTGTGAAAGTAAATCCATCTTCTTTCAGGAGCATCCCCTTCTCCACTTTAATCCTCAGAGTGTTGCTTTATTTCCTTTAAGATATACCTTTATAAAACAGTGTCTTATGAAGTTGAAGTTTGAAAAATTTGTGATCTTTGCATTAGAGGACTTTATATTATTTTTTGTATTTTCTCATACAATGTATTTTGCTGTCCTTTTTTTAGCCCCTGCACCTGATAATTATCAACTTATTTGTAGCCCGGATAAACTTCAATTAGGGGTGGATATAGCTGACCTGACATCCTCTGGTTTGGACCCATGGTCTGGCAACTTGGTATTTTTCAACTGCTCCTGGATCAGAGCGCGCAATAACGTAGTGTGGTATGAAGTGGAGGCCAGGGAGGGTGTCTGTGGAAACACTCTGATGGTAAAGACTTGACAGCCTTGACTTTGAAAATCAGATTGAGTATGACATGTTTAATAAGATCTATTTAAAAACTGATTGTGCATTTGTTTGGCTGCAAATGTTATGTGCACAAAGACCAAACATTTATAGTTTTTAAAGCTTGAGATCCCAGTATCTCCACCTAAAGATCCTTTAAACTATTTGGTAAAGTTTGGTCGTGTTTGTAATACTACTGCCAACATCACATCATCAAAGTAAATTAAACTTTCTGGTAACACAATCACTCTGTATTTTTCAGACCAACAGCACATGCCATCTACTCCAACAGCTTATTTATCTATCATCTTACTGGCGGGTCCTTTAACCTTCCTGTGAGCATCCCCTTCTCCTGTGCGTATCCCCTGGAAACAGACACTAGCCTGAATGTGGTTATCAGACCAGCACTGCCGTAAGTAGCCTCTAATCATTCATTACCTCTTTTTATTTTGATTTTAGCAGAAAGAAATGTTGGTAGGGGTGGTCGCGGACAGCAATCAAGTGAACTCTAGAGCTTTTTTGTTCTGGTGTGAACCCCATCCACACCAATCACAGGAAGCGCGCCGTTTTACACGTCATAACCTGTTTTGGTCAGAGGCAAAGTTAGCACAGTGCAGCTAATGTCTGACGAGACTTTGATTTTTACATGTATATGATTGTGAACTTTTTATTGTGCACTTACCTCACTGTTCGCGCTTGTATGGCATAAGAAAAAACATCGAGGTAGGCTCTCATTATTGCCTGTCGTCTTCTGTGATATGACCGTCCAATTGCAGAGCGTCTCCTGCAACTTGCGTGTATTACTACATTATTTAATTGCCGCAGTCTTCCCAGCCGTTCATATGCATGGTCCGTTGAAGTCTGCTGATATGCAGTCCATATCAGCACCAACGTAAAACTGAGCAGACAATGCTCCATGATGTACAGTAAAAATTGCGAGGGATTTGTCGTCTATCTGCCTACACTGTATAAGCAATCATTGAACAGCTTTTGCTGCCACGTGACAATTTTTGGACTGTTTGAGTTTGGCCTTTGTGAGCGCAAACCGGACCAGTTGAGAAATTACAACAATGTATCATCTTCGCAACAAGTCTTTTGGTGTGAACATGACCTAAAGTACTTAAAAATAAAAATGAAGTTTGGTTGCCCTAAAATAAACAATATGGTCTTTGCAGGGCGTCAGGTGGTATTTCAGGCTCAGGTCCCAAAGCCAGGGCCTTTATGTCTCTTTACCGCAACTCAGCCTACACTGTGACGTACCCATCTGGCCGAGTCAGCCTTCCAGTGGGTTCACCTTTGTACATCGGCGTAGTTGTACCCGGGAGAGATCCCAGCTTTGTTGTTGTCTTGGACAACTGCTACGCCTCCCACTCACCCTCCTCACATGATCCCAGGCAATACCCTCTCATCCGGAACAAGTGAGTGTCCTCAAGCCTAAGGAGTATTGTTTGATGGGTATGATGAAAAAGGTAAAAGTGCAGTCAGACTGTAAACTCTGCTGACCTGCTAAGTTGCTGCTTCTCTCGATCAGGTGTCCCGTTGACAGCCGACGGGTGTTTGTGACAGAGAACGGCAGGTCTTCCCATGCTCGATTCACTGCCATGCTCTTCCTGCCAGATAATTCCAGAGAAATTTATCTCCATTGTAATCTCAGCTTGTGTGACCAAAGACGCTCCATCTGTGTCCCAGTAAGTCAAACAGTATTGTTCATAACTAGCATTATCTATGCATAACCCTCACTGTAAAAAAAAATAAAAAATCTGGACGTTGACCTTATCTGTCACTCTTCTACCCTGTTAAAGTTCTGCGCAAGAAGGAGAAATCGCTCTGTGTCAAACTCTGATGCCATGGAGAGCCTCACCATTGGACCAGTTGTTTGTGAGTATTAGTTTCTATTTGGCAACAGGGCTGATGTCTTAACACAATTCATGACATGAAAATAACTCTCATGTTTTCTGTATTTCTTTCTTTTTTATCTCTAGGGGAAAAGTCAGCTGAGTGAGCTGGTAACAAACTTTCACAAGCACATTACTACAAGAAAAGTTATAACATTTAAACAGTTATATCAGACTTCATGTTTTTCCTCTGTTCTGACACATTTAAATGGTTTAATGCAAATTAATTTTTTTTTTTAAATCTACTGTATACACACAATTCTTCAATTGCACTTTGTCTTGGACCAAGAATACATATTTCTAGAGAGTTTGGATTTAATGAATGAAAGATTTGTGATTGCGCTTAAAGTGCTCAATAAAGTGTCAACTGTATAAAAGTGCATTTGTTCCAGACCTCAGAATGGTTCCTGTAAACAGATTAGGATCCTGTATAAAACAGGAGGAAAAGATGAGATAGGCGACGGTGCTTCTGTTAATTGCAGCTTCGCTCCATTGACTTTATTTTCCAAATGCAAAAGTACATATACTTTCTTCAAATTTTCAGTGCTCTCTTAGCTGTTTTCAAAGTTGCTTCATCTATGTTAAATCCAAAACATCATCCATAATGAAACAAAACTTAGACCTCAGGTCAGAGCGTTTAAAGCTTTAAAAAAAAAAAACACCAGTTTAAGGGTCAATGACCTGACACGTTTTTTGTTTTAATGTTCCTATGGTTGACTTAAATTTTAAAAAGCTAAAATTAAAAAATAAACTCACCAATTACAATTTTATCAATTTTGAGAGAATATTTAGGGAAAATTGGGGAAAATGTCTATGTGGTGTAATCATAAAAACACAGTACCAAATATTTCAACTTGTTCAAAAAAGAAAAAATTTTTTAGGCCAAAGTTTTCAGCATTCTTCCTGCCATATATTGCAAAAATGCATCCAACTTTTTTGTAAAAAAAAAAAAAAAAAAAAAACAGCTAACAAAATGTATTTTAACTTTTTTTATAAGTACACTTGCATACACTATAGGTAGAAATAAGTATTAAATATTTGCCCTTTTGTTGTGGTTACACCACTTGACATTTTCAAGGGAAATCCATCATTCATTTTGTAAAAAAAAGATTTAAATGCTATTTGAAATTATATGAAACCAACAGAGATACAAAATATAAATTTTTGCAAACCTAATGCAAACTTTTAAAACAATTTATTAAAACATTTTTGAATTACTCATGATGCAAACCCTTATTTGTCACTGACCCTTAAATCAGTATACATCTGATAACTCCATTGAGCTTATTCACACACTTAAACAAAACTAGCATGTAGCTATTTAACTACAATAGTGAAAGAGCTTAAGACTGAAAACCGTCATCTTTTAGCATACCTATAACATTCAAAACACACATAAATAACTGTGATGGCAAAAACATTCATCTTTATGACAAAGCCTCACCTCATGAAAAGTATTTTAATACCAGATCAAATGTTCTGGAGCCAAAACTAAACCACTCTCATTTTTGTCGTCCCCAGGATGACATTTTATTCATTCGCGCCATTTCTGTCGAACACCGACATACAAATTTATCTTTTCTCGTTCATAACCCAGTACACTCAAACTACCTCTCAAAACTACACACTCATATCTAGTGTGAAACGGCACATATACATTCATTACAAACCTGTATAAAACTGGAGGAAAAGATGAGACAGGCGACGGTGCTTCTGTTCCCTGCAGCTTCGCTCCGTTGTCTGAGGAAGCAGCGCAAGAGTCCGTTACCAAGAGCGTCCCAGGGGAGAAGCACAGCGCCGCACTGCCCCCTACTGGCAGGGTGCACAATATAATTACATTGAACTCTTAAGTTCTTACCGGGACATTTACTCGCCTTTATGGCTCATATTCTACTTATCTTACAATGAAAATAGTCTCTTGAACATTATACAACATATTTTCTGGGTGTCACAATTGTTGCATGTTCTTCAAATAACGCCGTTCTCTAATGCCTGAACATTTAAGGCTGAATCTGACAAGCGCAGTAGAGAAATTAAAAAATTCGGTCTATTTGGTTTTCTATAAAATCCATAATCATTTCTGATAAGCTTCCCAAAAAGTTGTGTTCATACATGACGTATGTTTACTTTAAATTCTGGTACATATCATCTCTTATTTGTCTGCCTGTCATGGTGTTAAGGGGGCAGAGGAGGAGTGAGGTTCAGAAGCTGGAGTTCTACAGACTTGGTGAGTGGTGTCAGGCAGGGGCAAAAGGCAGATATGTTACTACTGTTCAACTTCTACACTGCACTGTGCCCTTGGCTCTAACAAATTGCCTCACTTTAATACTTTATCTCTTCTTAGTCTTATCTTGTGCTTGAACCAGAGTCAGAATCAGAATATTTTATTTATTTATTTAGAGGGAAATTCTGTGAAAAGAAATTCGAAAAAAGTAAGATAGTGAACAAGGGCAACTTTAACCGGCTGCATTTACAGGTGGTGCATGTGCACGCGTGATTAATCCATACTCAATACTTTATTTGTATTTACTGCATATATCCTCCAGCTCTTACCATTTGTGCTGTTTTCTTTCTTTGTATTATTGGTACAGTTAAGTTTGCGAATGATGGCCAATATAAAGATGCAATAACTCAAAAATACAATCGCTAAAAACAAAAAAAAACGAAAAGGTCTTGCCACATTTTATCAAGCATGTTGGTACAACAGTAGCACTGTGTTTTAAATCAACCTCAGTCGAAGTTTCAAGATATTTCCTGGAGACAGTTTTGGGACGCTGTCATTATTTGTGATTCAGCCAGCATTCACAGTTTGCCAGCTACCCTCTGCTATCTGCACAGAACTGCCAGGTCTTGAAACACAAACTCAATTGGCCCAAAGAGCAATTTAACCATTACATGCTTGTCAATCAGTCAATCTTAACTCAAACAGCGCCAAGTCACAAAAGATGTTAGCTCAAGATGCTTAACAAAATCATCAACCTTACTCTTTATGATACATCTTAATGCTTGGTCATTTACAAAGACTGAACATAAGGATGGGATCATTGAGGCCTATCTTTTAAGATCAGACCCATCCCATGCTGCTCCTAAAACATAAATGTGTGCAAGATTGAAAGTTGTGCTGTAGAGAGGTTGTTGCTTTTGAGAAATACAGTGCGGTGTGACACATTTTCTCCCACAGTAGCTCAGGGTGTATCGTGAAAGTGGCAGCTACATAATTAATCTGTAACTTCAGAGATTCAAAAAACCCTTTTGAAAACTTTCCTCTTTACCAAACTGATTAAACATTGCTTCAAAAAGTCCTTTCTTCCCTCCTACAGGGTAGCTATAATGGTGTGATTCACAAAACCATTTTCACAAAATAAGGTTTTTTCTCTCTCAGTACAGATACACCTGTATAACAAGAATCAGACCATTATGAGAAAAACTGGTAGAGTCCAGTCATTCATTGACAAACTTTTATTATTTTTTGCTGGATGTCTCTCCTTGCTATAAGAAGTGTCCAATTCTTGAGCTGAAAGAACAACAAAAAACTTCAGGATTTCATATTAGCAGTAAATCATCTGCTAACATCTCAATCCGTTAAAACTGGACCACTAAAATCTCTCTGTTTTGATAGCACTGTTCTAGAAAAGTCACTCTTTGAATAACTTTTTCTCTGTTTTGTGTGACTAAGTGAGCAGGTGGCGAAGATTGACCTGCCTATACCGAGGTAGATGGATGAAGAAAGAAAAAAATATGCAGTATGATGGACAGGTACCTACAGCCTTTTGGTTTCCACAAATAAAGGGATCAGATATCTTACATTCTGCAACCTTAAATTTACATTCAAACAAACCGGATGATGAAAGCAGCATTAACAGACTCCACAGCAAATTAACTAAATCAGTTCCAAAAGGTTTGATATCCATGACTTCATGTCTTGGAATAAGTACCCATAACTGGGTAAGATGGGAGTTTACCTGGCCTTTAAGATGGAGAGGCCACAGGACCACATTGCATTCTTATATTTTTTTCTAACAATGTCTGCAGACGAGTGAACGCGTGCGTGTTGCCCTGTTTTTCAGAGGTCAAGCATTACTACTGTTGTAGCAATGTGAAAACCAGCCATCATTACACCTGACATAGGGGGATACCTTTTCCCAAGGACTGTAATGATTTTAGACTAGTTACAATAACTGCTGTAGTGACTGAATATATGCAAAGGTTTATAGTGAGCATGGCAGAGGTCCAGACCCATACTGACAGACAGCAAAACAGGGGCACCAATTATGCACATAGTCACATATAGTGCACTAAACATCTAGAGAAATACAGCTCTGGACTTGGTGGTTTTAGCTCTGCATATAACACCTTGGAGCTCCACATACAACTCAATGCATTAAAACAGCTTAATACTAGTCAGTTCATCATTAGCAGGTATCATTCATGTCTCACTAGCTGCACAAGGTAAGTCAGATTGAACAGAACTAATCTCACAACAAGCCATGTTTGTTGAGCATACCGAGGACTGTCAGTTTTACCATGAGTGTCATGAATCTTTAAAGACCCATTCCAATGAAAATCATGTTTTCTTGTTGTCTTAATGTTCATATGGCATTTTTCTGATGCTTGAGGACATATCATGAGAAAACTAAGAGCAAAATGCATTTCTGAGTAAATCGCTGTTAACACTTCATAGACCCAAACAGCAGGTTCAGACACAGCTAGATTTCCTATGTCACAAATCCAAGCTCCGCCCCCAGCACCCCGCTCTGCAGGCCAGACTCCAAGAAGTAGAGAGGACCATTGTGGAGCAAGTGTGTGCAGTAGCAAATTGCAATGCTTGTAAGAAAGCTAATTATAATGTTAGCTTCCATCTTCCCCCTAAGGACATTAGTGTCTGAGAGCTGATAGTTCCTACATTACCTGCTAAGTCCTCTGCACCAGCAACGTTAAAAACTTAATAATCACAATTTAAAGACCACTGATAACACTTTAAATAATTTTTAAAAAATAGGATCAGAGTGGGACTTTAAAGGCTCTTGGTGGATGTTCTGTCAGGAAGACTTAATTTGCATTCACAGTAGGAGCGTTATTTTTTCTTCTTTTTGTCTTTGCATGTTTGTTTACTTTTTCCTGCTGTTATTGTCTCAGGCTTTAATTGAGTGATAATCTGTTTCAAGGTGTCTTCATTCAGTGGCACACCCTGATTGTTAGTCACTGTCTGTTTTTTGAACATCTGCAGAAAACTCCTGTGGATGTTTTATCAGTCCATGGTTTTACACTGTGGTGTGTTGGGAGGGCAGCACATCCAAGAAGGACACATCCAGGTTGAAGAAAAGGCCCTGTGGTTGGCTTGATGCTAGAGCTTCAGTTGAGAGTCATTGCTTCGTTATTGGCGGTTATAAAAAAACCTTTAATTCTTTCCCACGTCTCTCCTAATTGAAAATAAAATGGTTATGGGCATGAAAAGGCAGGCAGGTGATAATACAGAAGTATGAGGCAGAGGGAGATAAAGGAGCAGTGTGTCTTTGTGAGGAAGAAGGATATGAAGCAGAGGAAATAGGTGGGTGGGGGGGTCAAGATGTTCTCATTCTGAGGTTTTGCAGTTTCACTCCAAAACACAAAGCCAAGAAAATGCCCTATCTGACGTGTCGTCCTTCTGCCCAAAATTCTGTTTGAAGGGTCTTTAATGGAGGGACTCCTACTTTGTTGTCTTTAATGTGAACACGCAAGCTGTGCTTTAAGACAGGTGAATACAAGTAACATCCTGTCATTAAGTAACATTTTTGTTCACTTTTTATGACTTTTAAGGAAATGTTTAACCCTAATTCCATAAGAGCTGGAACGCTGTATAAAACGCTGATAAAAACAGAATCTGATGGCTTGTAAATTATTTAAAGTCCTTATTTTTATTCTGTTTTTATCAATGTTTTGTCTCCGCTCTATAAGAGTAGCGAAATGTTACAACTAATCACTTCTTCAGTGCCATCTCTTTTTCTAACCACATCAGTGATCCAGTGAGAGGCTGTAAATTTTTGCTTCCAGCTGACCATTTCAGAACTGCAACTTGACTCATGGAAACACCAAAATATGTTTGATTACTACCACCCAGGGAGCTCAAGTAACCAACTCACAGCAGTGATTTATGTCCTCTTACGTTTTTTTGTCCCATGGCTCTGAAGGTCATAAACCCTAGATGATGATTCAGTGAGCTGTAGAGCAACTTCTACTGTTAATGAAGGTAATTTATTTCCTCTCAGCCATTTTGCTCTGCATTTAAGTGTGCACTTTAAGATGCAGAAGCACATATCCTTGTGTCTGCCACAAAGTGAAGAATGGAGACTAAAAAGTGCAGAGAGTTGGCATTTAGACCCAGAGGCTCTGTTTTCCTTGAACTGTCTTTATTTCCTTTGGATATGTTTCTCTTTTCCAATTGTGCCATACTCCAGACTGAACTTGTATCAGTTTTCTATTAAATTTGATTAATATTTTGAGTGTCTTTTTTACAGGTGCTCCATAAATCAAATGATTATTATAATGATCGGTAATAATGTTGGCATACTTTGTTAAGCAGCTTTAACAACCAAAGTGAAAGAAAATCTGAGCAGCATGTTCTCTCCAAAATGATTCATGTGCTTTGAATGACTCTTGTGAACAGAGATAGGTTTAAAAAAAAAAAGTACTGTATGAACATCTGCACCCGTCACAGTGTGACAGTAGCTCAGCACAGAGGCTGACTGCAGAGCTGCTGTAAATCATCTGTTGCCAAGGGAAACATCCACTCAGTCAGATGATGCTGAGACTCTTTACGTTAAAATTATCATAATTATATGTCTAAAAAAGTCTTAGCCTCCATTAAAAAATGTAAATTCTATGTCCACAGCAGCAATATATGTTTGTTTCCGTATATTTACTTTAAAACAGTGAAGAGATGTAGCAATACTTACAGATGTGATATCACTTTAAAGCTCCTTTAAAGAGCTTTTTTGATGTTCATGAAATTGACTGAAATTTACATCAATGCCTTTTGTGCCTTTTTTTTTTTACATAAAAGCAAGCAAGACTATCAGAAACGATGTTTAATGTAACTTGTGTCTGCAGAGATTTTTTCATATGAAACATCGTGGAAGACACACTGTTGAAGATAAGGTAAGCAAAGACTGCTTTGTCCAGGGGCACCAAAAGGAGCTTTAAATAGATGTATTATTTTGTAATATTTTCACCAATTCACATTGGCATAGATGTAAACAGACAGTGGCACTTGTTAACAACCACAGTTAAGAGCATTAGGAAGAAAAAGCTCCAGCTATTTCTGGTAAATTAGACAAATTGGACAACTCTGTATATGTTTGAACTGTTTTATCCACGTTAAATGGTTCAGGATTGTCTCCATTTGATCCATGGAAACAGTGAATTGGAATGGGAATGAGTCAAGCCAGGTTGAAGAAAAAGGGTACTTTCATTTTAACACAGTTACTAAAGGGCGATACACTTGACCATTATCCTTCAATTTCAGCTAACAAAGTACCCTCCACTCCCCAGATGTACAGCAGCAAGCACATCACGCCAGAGTTGGTCTGTGTAATTTTCTTTGTCTGCCATCTTCTGGCAGCAAAAAAAAAAAACAACAAAATACCAGCAACCAATTAACAAGCTGAAGGATTTACTTAGCAGATGAGGAATTCCTACATCTGTGTTTTACACTGTCTCCTCTGGTGACACATCGGCTCTATTAGCTCAGGATGAAATAGTTAGACTGAGTATAAGTAAGACAGTCAATATATTTCTCAGCTTTGGAAACAAAATCAGTATCCAGCAGAAAAATTGTGGAAGCTCTGGGTTGTCCCATTCTGCCAGAGCTGTCAGATATTTTCTACTGAAATGACTCTTTTGGACATGAGGGATTTAATTACCTCCAAGCCTCATAGCTTCACAGTTCCTGCCATTAAAAGCAACACAAACTTTTTAGGTCTTATGAGTGAGGGCCTTACCTGAAATCCTGGTGTCTGCTTTAAAAAATGAACACAGTTTGGACCTACATAATAAATGCATCCTTCCTTCCCTTGTAAATCTCCAGCCTACATTTCCCACAATGCAACTTGACAACAGATAGTTCTATATTTTGCTAAAGCAGGAACTTTCAATCCTGAGATATAAACCTGCATGGAAGAGCTTAAACACTGCAGATCCCCAGGTGCCCACCTTATCTATCTCTCTATCTATCTATCTATCTATCTATCTATCTATCTATCTATCTATCTATCTATCTATCTATCTATCTATATACAGATCTAATTTCAGATATTTTAATTTTCTCTGCCTTTTCGCTCATATCTATTTGCACAACACTCTCAAATGATCATAGCTACTATTCTATATATGTACTAACATATCTTAATCAGCATAATCACTAACATAAGCAATACAAATTACTAAAACATGTCCCAGACAATGACGCTTAATGATTTAAATCAAATCAAGGTATCATTCATTCTCAAGAGGCCTTCACTTATTCAAGACAGCGAAAAAACAAATATAATAAATTACACTAAGTAATTTAATTTGACCCAATCCCAGGATGGCTCCTCGTTACACTGACAGTAACGCTGCCAGGATAGATAGGCTGGGCTCTTGCTGCCCTGTGTGGTTTTTGTAGTAATGTGAGCAGAAGGAAACATATCTCATACAGTCCTCCAAAGCGCTCTGCCAAACCTGCCTTCGACATTTAAAACCGGGTCAGAGATTTTAACCCCTTGTATTAAAAAAATCATGCTGTGATGAGGGACAGGAAGAGAACCACAAGTTCCTAATAAAACACAGGTCAGCAGCACAATTCTCTCCCACCTATGTGTCTGTCTCACTGCTGCTCTCCAAGTTTGGTCATAAACTGTTTCTAAGTACACGTGCACAAGCCAGGGAAAAAAGATCAAATGATATTTAGTGGGAGTGATAAATGTTAGGTGACATTTAATGACCACAGTCATTATGGTTTAACCCCAGCATACACACAATTATTGGCAGACATTGTCTCAGGTGCACTTTGCAGAGGCTTTTATTGCCTGTCTTAGTGCTGCTTGTTCTCTACCACAGCAGATAACATCAAACGGTCTTACACCGAGTACTGAGCCAAATATACCTCCACAACAAATCGGGCTGGGAAAAAGGAACAGCGGCTGTTTGTGCTCGGTGAGTCAGCCAGGAGATGAAAAACCCCAGCAGAGGTTTTTGACAGGATACAATTAACCTACAGTTTAATAAAAAGGAGACATTACATTATCTAATTGTGTTCTACTGTAGCATCTTCATGACTGTTTAAAAGACAGGGGCACATCTTAAAACAAAGTATGTGAGATTAAAGATGCTCTAAAATGTATTTATATATATATATATATTTTAAGTAGGGTTGTTTCACGTACTAAGTATGTTACCCACAGAGGATCCCTGTCAGCGCGTAACTTGGTGGGTTTCCTTTTATTAGGGCATAGGTATCCTATGTATAGTTCAAAATAAAAAAGAGAGACATTAGAGAAAACTTATGATAAACTATAGTCTCATTGTTTCATATGGAGTGTTGATATTCAGCAGAGCCAGCCTCCGCTCTCTAAGGTCAATGTCACTCAACAGAAATAATCTGTATGATGACAAGGACAAACTCCTTTTCAACAGTTGAGGAAACAACAAGCACCAGCACTTCCTAAACTATGGGGTTAGCTAAAAGAAATGAAATTTGCAGCAGTCAGTTGAATAAATGCTTCCCTTTTAAATGATCCTCATGTGTCCCATAAAAGCTTCAGCTGGAGAGCTTTCTGTTTTTATGCACCAAAACTCTCTGGACATAAACAACACAAGCTCTCTGGGTATCTACCTTTTTAATCCGGCTTATAGTTCAGAATAGTTTCTTCTTTCTTTTTAACCTTAGACTACATTATTACAACTGTCCTGGTTTTATTTATTTATTCATTTCCTGTCTATTATCTTTTCAACCTTCAAAGGTTTTGATTTTGTTTTTTTAACCTTACATTTGTTATTGATTTTTACTGTACTGGTGCCATTTTGTTATTAAGTTTTAAATTTTTTAGGGTCAGAAGTAGGGGTACCAGTCTTGCTGTTAATAATGATTTATTAAGTCAAAGATTGAAGAGAACTTGAGTTTGTTCCAATCCTCCATTTGGCAGCAATTCGCAGCCTCGAACAAATAACGGGCACATTAGACAAACTCAACCATGAATTATTAATTAAATTTGCTGCTGTTCTCTAAACTTTACTAGAGTAACTGTGTTAAACTGAGAGCCCCCCTGTGGATATAATGACATGTATTTATCTGAAACTAATCTTTTTATCTTTAAGATGAGATGTCGTTTCTCTGACAGTCTACTCTGCTTCTAACCCGAAGCTGTTTCAGTTCTATAACAAAACTCTTCACAGCATGTTTTAAATTATTCTTTGTGTGAGGATGAAGCACATTTCACAGGGTTTTCATCACAAACTTGTTTTTCTTTGTAGACAAATTAGAAATTCTCATTGAAAACTGGCATTATCTGAGTCCCATCTGAGATTTGCTCCTGGAACAAATGTGTAAACACTTCCTGTCACATTCTTTATGTCACTCTTGAGTAAAGGTACCAACCTCTTCCAAGCGTTCAGATGAAAAGGATACACACTCAGTACACTCTATAGACTCCCCGTGGCCTGAAACGTGCTCCTAACACAATCCTGTAAGGTGAAAAATTGCGTCGGCACTTACAAAATTTTTCAATTTTTTTGTTCCCATGCATTCCTATGGGAAAAAATCAACTTTTTTTAGGAACGTCCTAGAGACTCGGGAGTTGGTTCATTGCACTCAGAAAAATCCTAGCTCCAAGCCCAACCCTAACCCTAGCTCCAACACTAACCCTAACTCCAACCCTAACCCTAACCCTAACCCTAGCTCCAACCCTAACCCTAACCCATGCATTCCTATGGGAAAAAAATCAAATTTTTTTAGGAACGTCCTAGAGACTCGGGAGTTGGTTCATTGCACTCAGAAAAATCCTAGCTCCAAGCCCAACCCTAACCCTAGCTCCAACACTAACCCTAACTCCAACCCTAACCCTAACCCTAACCCTAGCTCCAACCCTAACCCTAACCCTAACCCATGCATTCCTATGGGAAAAAATCAAATTTTTTTAGGAACGTCCTAGAGACTCGGGAGTTGGTTCATTGCACTCAGAAAAATCCTAGCTCCAAGCCCAACCCTAACCCTAGCTCCAACACTAACCCTAACTCCAACCCTAACCCTAACCCTAACCCTAGCTCCAACCCTAACCCTAACCCTAACCCATGCATTCCTATGGGAAAAAAATCAAATTTTTTTAGGAACGTCCTAGAGACTCGGGAGTTGGTTCATTGCACTCAGAAAAATCCTAGCTCCAAGCCCAACCCTAACCCTAGCTCCAACACTAACCCTAACTCCAACCCTAACCCTAACCCTAACCCTAGCTCCAACCCTAACCCTAACCCTAACCCATGCATTCCTATGGGAAAAAATCACATTTTTTTAGGAACGTCCTAGAGACTCGGGAGTTGGTTCATTGCACTCAGAAAAATCCTAGCTCCAAGCCCAACCCTAACCCTAGCTCCAACACTAACCTTAACTCCAACCCTAACTCTAACCCTAACCCTAGCTCCAACCCTAACCCTAACCCTAACCCATGCATTCCTATGGGAAAAAATCAAATTTTTTTAGGAACGTCCTAGAGACTCGGGAGTTGGTTCATTGCACTCAGAAAAATCCTAGCTCCAAGCCCAACCCTAACCCTAGCTCCAACACTAACCCTAACTCCAACCCTAACCCTAACCCTAACCCTAGCTCCAACCCTAACCCTAACCCTAACCCATGCATTCCTATGGGAAAAAATCAATTTTTTTAGGAACGTCCTAGAGACTCGGGAGTTGGTTCATTGCACTCAGAAAAATCCTAGCTCCAAGCCCAACCCTAACCCTAGCTCCAACACTAACCCTAACTCCAACCCTAACCCTAACCCTAACCCTAGCTCCAACCCTAACCCTAACCCTAACCCATGCATTCCTATGGGAAAAAATCAAATTTTTTTAGGAACGTCCTAGAGACTCGGGAGTTGGTTCATTGCACTCAGAAAAATCCTAGCTCCAAGCCCAACCCTAACCCTAGCTCCAACACTAACCCTAACTCCAACCCTAACCCTAACCCTAACCCTAGCTCCAACCCTAACCCTAACCCTAACCCATGCATTCCTATGGGAAAAAAATCAAATTTTTTTAGGAACGTCCTAGAGACTCGGGAGTTGGTTCATTGCACTCAGAAAAATCCTAGCTCCAAGCCCAACCCTAACCCTAGCTCCAACACTAACCCTAACTCCAACCCTAACCCTAACCCTAACCCTAGCTCCAACCCTAACCCTAACCCTAACCCATGCATTCCTATGGGAAAAAATCAATTTTTTTAGGAACGTCCTAGAGACTCGGGAGTTGGTTCATTGCACTCAGAAAAATCCTAGCTCCAAGCCCAACCCTAACCCTAGCTCCAACACTAACCCTAACTCCAACCCTAACCCTAACCCTAACCCTAGCTCCAACCCTAACCCTAACCCTAACCCATGCCTTCCTATGGGAAAAAATCACATTTTTTTAGGAACGTCCTAGAGACTCGGGAGTTGGTTCATTGCACTCAGAAAAATCCTAGCTCCAAGCCCAACCCTAACCCTAGCTCCAACACTAACCCTAACTCCAACCCTAACCCTAACCCTAACCCTAGCTCCAACCCTAACCCTTACCGTAACCCATGCATTCCTATGGGAAAAAATCAAATTTTTTTAGGAACGTCCTAGAGACTCGGGAGTTGGTTCATTGCACTCAGAAAAATCCTAGCTCCAAGCCCAACCCTAACCCTAGCTCCAACACTAACCCTAACTCCAACCCTAACCCTAACCCTAACCCTAGCTCCAACCCTAACCCTAACCCTAACCCATGCATTCCTATGGGAAAAAATCAAATTTTTTTAGGAACGTCCTAGAGACTCGGGAGTTGGTTCATTGCACTCAGAAAAATCCTAGCTCCAAGCCTAACCCTAACCCTAGCTCCAACACTAACCCTAACTCCAACCCTAACCCTAACCCTAACCCTAGCTCCAACCCTAACCCTAACCCTAACCAATGCATTCCTATGGGAAAAAATCAAATTTTTTTAGGAACGTCCTAGAGACTCCGGAGTTGGTTCATTGCACTCAGAAAAATCCTAGCTCCAAGCCCAACCCTAACCCTAGCTCCAACACTAACCCTAACTCCAACCCTAACCCTAACCCTAACCCTAGCTCCAACCCTAACCCTAACCCTAACCCTAACCCATGCATTCCTATGGGAAAAAATCACATTTTTTTAGGAACGTCCTAGAGACTCGGGAGTTGGTTCATTGCACTCAGAAAAATCCTAGCTCCAAGCCCAACCCTAACCCTAGCTCCAACACTAACCCTAACTCCAACCCTAACCCTAACCCTAACCCTAGCTCCAACCCTAACCCTAACCCTAACCCATGCATTCCTATGGGAAAAAATCAAATTTTTTTAGGAACGTCCTAGAGACTCGGGAGTTGGTTCATTGCACTCAGAAAAATCCTAGCTCCAAGCCCAACCCTAACCCTAGCTCCAACACTAACCCTAACTCCAACCCTAACCCTAACCCTAACCCTAGCTCCAACCCTAACCCTAACCCTAACCCATGCATTCCTATGGGAAAAAATCAAATTTTTTTAGGAACGTCCTAGAGACTCGGGAGTTGGTTCATTGCACTCAGAAAAATCCTAGCTCCAAGCCCAACCCTAACCCTAGCTCCAACACTAACCCTAACTCCAACCCTAACCCTAACCCTAACCCTAGCTCCAACCCTAACCCTAACCCTAACCCATGCATTCCTATGGGAAAAAATCAATTTTTTTTAGGAACGTCCTAGAGACTCGGGAGTTGGTTCATTGCACTCAGAAAAATCCTAGCTCCAAGCCCAACCCTAACCCTAGCTCCAACACTAACCCTAACTCCAACCCTAACCCTAACCCTAACCCTAGCTCCAACCCTAACCCTAACCCTAACCCTAACCCATGCATTCCTATGGGAAAAAAATCAAATTTTTTTTAGGAACGTCCTAGAGACTCGGGAGTTGGTTCATTGCACTCAGAAAAATCCTAGCTCCAAGCCCAACCCTAACCCTAGCTCCAACACTAACCCTAACTCCAACCCTAACCCTAACCCTAACCCTAGCTCCAACCCTAACCCTAACCCTTACCCATGCATTCCTATGGGAAAAAAATCAAATTTTTTTAGGAACGTCCTAGAGACTCGGGAGTTGGTTCATTGCACTCAGAAAAATCCTAGCTCCAAGCCCAACCCTAACCCTAGCTCCAACACTAACCCTAACTCCAACCCTAACCCTAACCCTAACCCCTAGCCCTAAGTCTCACCCTAACCCTAACCCTCGAACTGGTGCAGCGCCACCTCTGGTCAAAAGCGGTATGACACCCCTTTTTGCAAAGTCGCCCTCAAATGACAGGAAATGGCCTGAAACGTGCTCACAATGCATTTTCAACATTTCCACACAAGTAGAACACTTGCAAACACTGACTTTGGCCATTTTCCGCTCCCATTCATTTTCAATGGGAAATTTTCACTTCGCCATAACTTTTGATAGGAATGTCCGATTGCTGGTTCATTACTATTTCTAGATTCAGCATACCCGAAAATGAGGGGGTAGGCCAAATCTCAGCCCGGTTCATCAATGGGAAAGGCAATGAACCGGCATGTCAAAAGTGGCACATACCCCTATATCCTAACCCTAACCCTAAACCCTAAACCCTAAACCCTAAATCTAACCCTAACCCTAACCCTGACCCTAACCCTAACCTCTAGACCCTAAATCTAACCCTAACCCTAACCCCTAAATCTAACCCTAACCCTTACCCTAACCCTAACCCTAACCTCTAAACCCTAAATCTAACCCTAACCCCTAACCTTACTAACCTCTATCTTAACTTAATCACCCCCACCCCCTTTTTTTGTATCAGAGGATGAAAAACAACAGGTGAGGAGAGTTTCTCTGGCTAGTCACTGTGGCAAGTTCTATTCTCTCTCTATCACTCGAATCCCTGTAGAAACAGAATGGTTTCAGTCCAGACCACCTGTTTCCCTCTCCCCATCCTCTGAGACTTTGTACTGACACACCCTAACCCTTCTCCCTTAGATAAATTTCGCCCTTTTCCCTCCCTACTAATACCACCTAGTCCTTCTCAATAAGCAAAATTATTATTATTATTATTATTATTATTATTATTATTGTTTTAACTGGTAACCATACCAACTCTAATTCCTAACTGAACCTCCAAAAATAATTGCTCTACAAACACATAGTCTAAAAGATAGACAGCATAGCATACCAACTGAGCTGAGTAATTAAACTTCCTACCCACACATAATTTTTACACACAGATTGAGCTCGGAGACTCGACTGGGAACATGTGACAGGTCGACATGCGCCGGCCAGTGCAAGCCCTTGATTAGCCTACCCCAAACCGCCAAGTCAACAAACGAAAGCGGGGGCTATCACTGTATCTCTTACCCACACCTACCCATTAGGTCCTTCTAACAATGTTTATATGCCCCCTCTAAGTAGACCACCTGGCCTCTAATATCACCTATAACCTTGGCATGAAGATAAATGGGGATTAATGAGCAGTTAGAGCAGGTACATGACAAAAATTACCAAGTGGGAACCTCAAGCTCAGGACAGTAAGACAGCTCTGGTATTAAAGCACCCCTCCCCCCTTCATGCTAGCTTCATTGCAGGTGTAGTTTTGCAGTCTGGATCAAGTCTGCACTCTGAAAGTGTAGCAGAAATAACGCGCGAAAACTACGAGAGGAATTTGACGAGCGATATTCAAAGTGAGGGGGTGCGAGGAGAGCAGGAAAGCGTGCCACCTGTTTGTAGCGTGTGTGTGCGCGTTGTGTTGTGTATGTTTCTATGTGTGAGTGAGGGAAGTGAGACGGAGCGAAAAACGGGTGGGGGGACATAAGGACGGTTGCTCTCTGCAGAGTCTTTTAGAGCCTAGAGGAGAAGGCTTGGAGAGCACCTCGCCTCAACTCTCTACATCAGTTGACTCATCCTTTGGCGCACCGTGGCTCTCGGACATATTCTTGTTACCGGACGTGCTGTTACACAGGACTAAACGGGACTACTGCTGAGTAATATGTCGATTGGCGCGTTTTTCACGTGGAAACCCAGAGAAGCAAGAAACAGTCTGCTCTTCGGGATGGATTTACCTGTCGTGATTCTGCTCGTCCATCTGACCCTCACAGAGATTGAAGGTAAAGAAAGATGAGGAAGGGGTGAGGTTACACTTCTGAAAGCCTTAGAAAGGTCTGATAATTAATGAGAAGTATGAACAGATCTTGGTAGAGATGTTGATAAGGTTGTCTAGTCCACTAAAAATGGTCAATCATTGAAAACTGACCCAGTAGTTAACTAATAGGTGTCATGCTTTAAAAAATCCTTGAAAAATAACACACACTTAACAGCCTCCTTGAGTTTGACAAACAAATTTTTGGGGGAATTGTCTGCTCTGGTTATAGATGGAAGTAAAACATGAAATAGGCTGTGTGATTGTTAGACTTTGTGAAGACCACAACGCTGACTAGACAACAAGAAAAACCCTTAAACTAGCTTAAAGGTACACATCTTACAAAGAGGTTGGTCCAGTATTAACTCACCAGATGACTTTTTTTTGTTTTCAGGTAAACTGTCAAATTTGATCACTTGTTCAGATATTGTTTGTGTCAGGAAGAGTGGATTTTACAGGCAGTGTTTGTCATGAAACGAGGCACAGAAAGGACTCAATGGCGTGACAACGAATCAGTTTGTCCAACAGGCAGAGGTCTGTACACAGAAAGGCAGTCACATCAGGCAGAAGTATCCAAAACATTAGGCAAATAAGGCAAGGTCTGAAGAGGCACGCAAAGGTAAACAATGGCTAGATTGTGACTGTGAAAAAAATACTGGAATGAGACACAAGGTACGACAAATTGGTGATGAGACAGTGAGACACATGAGGTTAATCACAAGAGGTAATGAGGGTAATGGGAAACAGGTAGGGAGACACAATCAGGTAGCAGGTGTGACAAGTCGTGGGCAGGGCAGACCAGACAGGAACAAATCTAGGGTTAGTGAACTACAAAATATGACATGAGCAAAACATAAATTTGCAAAAATAAAGGAAACCTGACCAATAAATTAAGAGAAGTAAAGACTTAACAGACATGACAGTGTTGGGGTCAAGCTGGAAAAAAACACAACATTTGAGATCCACTCTTGTTTTATCCTACCCACTCACACTTCGTCTGCCTCCCAGTCTGTGACTCATCCTCAGATCTCCCTTTGTGCCCATTGTTTGGATAAGTGCTAACAATAAGAGATATCAAGTGAAGAGACTGACAGGACAGAACAGATCAGCTCACATTGCGTAGGTGACACATTGAGATGGTGGAAAAGAAAGGCACTCATAGATGTAACAGAGAGCCTCTGAACCTCACCTCAATACTTGAATGGTCTCCATCTTTTTCTGATTGAAGCTGAAGAGCTTTTCACTGTGACTCAGATCAGATCTGAACGAATCACTAAGGAATCAGTCACTCATGATTTGACTTTTGCTGAGACGTGGAAAAGACTAGCTCGAACAGAGAGGCCTCTGGGCATTGGGTTCAAACCTTTCCACAAGTGTCTCAGATAATTTATTCAGGCTGAGTAATCCCTGTCAGACCGCAACAGATAGCCAAAGGGAAGGAGAGGGCTAGAGAAAACAGAAAATTCTGCTCCCCATGTTCAAAGTTTAGTATTGGGGTCTCCTCAACCATCAAGATCATTCAAAGACTGGTTGAACTGGATACTGGTATTTTGGTCTGATACTGTACACCGAAAGATTTCTGTGTTGTTTTGAGAACTGCCAATCAGCAAAGGCTATAATTTACAGCAGGATGACACTTAATATCTTGATTAAATGATAACCATCTTGAATCACCCGTGCATTCTGGGGTTTGGTGATACAGAGCTCTCAACTAAGAGATAGAGATACATAATTCATGAAGGAAAATGGATTTAAGATTCAGATTCAGTTACATGAATCCTCATAGATTGGTCTCTGAATGGCATGAGCATACAGATGTGGTGGAGAAATCTTCCACTCTGAAAGGTCTTGAAGGTTGGCAGGCCTGTTTACAAGGTTTGCTGATGTCAGGAAGTGTTATGTCACTGATTTTCCCCTTTATGCTGAGAGGACTCTTGAGAAGGTGCAAACTGAGTACATCTTTTTATTTTATTGTCTCTTAAAGAAATATTACAGACTGCTGCAGGGTGACACAGCTCAATCATTACTTTATCATTTCCTTGATGTAATAATCATCATATTTATCATTTTGCACTGCAGACGCTGTAGTTCTTCTGCCTTAGCGTCTCGGTCTGATTGCATTTCCATGAAGAAATGATCATAAATGTTCTTCCTTGAGCTGCGTCACCCCACAGTAGTCCATAATGGATTAGCCCGAGGTCTCACTACAAACAAACGGCTGCTTGAAGAGAGTAGGTGAGTTGTGTTTAGTCCCTTTGCTAAAGAAATTAGGCAAAGTTAAAAAGATGTTTGGTGGCTAGTGCTGTGGCTAGGACCCTATATGTACTGTTGATGAAGTTAGGTGCTGTTCTGAGCATTATTTGTGGATATAGAGTGGCGTTTTGATTGAGGTTTGTTTATGGCTTCTCAGACCGCTGTGTACTGCTATCGTGTGGTCGTATAACGAGAGAAGCAATCTCGTCTAACTCAGTGTGTTTGACCCTAAATTAATTTTACATCTGAATATCCCTTTAACTTTGGGTGCAAGTGTAAATATTTACCTCTGTGTTTATAAGAATAATGTTGTAAAATGTACAACTTAATTTATGGGCTTATAAGCATAACTCATATAATGATATAGCCACAGAAGTCAGTTAAAAGACAAAAAATGGTACAACTTCATGTTGATTATCATTTACAGTCACGCTCTTCATTTCATTCCATATCCTCTTAAACACAGACATAGATTGCCTTGGCACAGTCGTGATTGCTATCAAGTGCTCGCTCCTCATGATGTGTAGCGCTCCATAGTGAATCAAAACTCACCTCCAGCCACAGCTCTTGCTTGTGGAAGCTTTAAGTGACTTATTGATATTCACTCAGGTAGTGTTCTTGTTCTGTGTTATTAGGAATGAATCATTTCACATCCACAGATGATGATTACCTAGCGGTCCATTCAAACAGGATCCCTGAGTTGCTTCTCCTGTAACTGTGTTCATATGATCCTGAGTGACGAGGTAATAAAATGTTCCTCATAATTCTAGGCTGAAATTCTTTTCTATTTGCCCCTGTGCCTTTAGTTTTCGTTTGGACAGAACATTTTCAAACCATTTTCTTCAAATTACAGTTGTAGGAAGAGCTATATGAAGCCTCAAATATGTAGTTGAGCTCTTTTTCCATGGAAAGTCATTCGTTTTGCTTAACATAAATACTGTCTCCTTGTTTCGTCTGACCACTGCCATTTTGATAAGTCAATACCACAATTGCATCATTTGGCAATTTCTTTGTACCAAGGCCCTGTCTCCTCTAATTGCTGAGATGAAGGCAAATCTATGACAATGTGGAAGGCTCTGGTCTGTATAGTATCTCTTTTCCGGTGTCTTTTAGAGGTGACATATACAAGATCAGGGAGATTGTTCATTGGAAGACACTACTTAAGACAAATGAAGACTGCTTTGTTTACAAGGGGCATCAAAAGTGACACAAACTCTACCCTACCCTAACCCTACACACAACATACTCCTAGGTGGTGCTACAGGCCTTTGCGCTTTTGTAAAGCATCTTGAGATAACACTAAGTGTAAGCTGGCGATATATAAATAAAGATGAATTGCTTGACATTCATTGACCAGTTCACTGTATCAGTTTGTCAGAGAGTGAGCGTGTTAGAAAGGTATACCATTTATTCCATCTATTTTACTTTTGTCTGGATCATAATTAATAAAATTAACACAATGAAACTCCACTGATCATGAAAATTGTCATGGATGTGGCCAGCAGCCCGGACATTTACCCGCTGCTTTCACATTAGCCTGATGTATCATGAAGACTTTAGTGCTACTTTACATTGTTCTCATATTTTTGTTCTTTTTATATTTTTATGCGTCTCTATCCAAGTTTCAAACAGTAATATTCTTCATTATTTGCTCTGGAAACACCAAAACAAATTACTAGTTTGCGAGGAGCTTTGTTGCAAAAACTTTGTCCTCAATTTGAGGAAACACAACAGGAGATCATTATTGCATAATGGTCACTATGATCTGATTTGTTTTGTTTTATATGTAATATCTTGTTTCCAAAAGTTAAAAGAATAATGAAAATAAGATCTCATAGCTCCATCGGTTTCTGTGAAATAATGTGATAAAAACATTTAAAACAGAGTGACTGGAGATAACAGAGATATGTTTGTTTCCAAAGAGTGATTTATGGTCTCATGTTGCTCTGTCTTTACTCTGCTGCAGTTCAATTTCATCTTGAGTCAACAGTGAGTCACTCAGGTCTCTGTTGTTTGTGTTTGCTCTTTACCTTCAGCCTCGAGTAATTGCCAATTTGTCTGCAGATGAATTTTTGATATTTTTATTGGCGAAATCAATATTTCATCACTGCAGACAGCACTTGTTGGAAAAACAAAGGTATCTTTTTTATTGATTTTGCCTTATTTATTTTTGCACGTTTTGTTTGAATTAAAACACGGAGATCTAAATCTGATTATAAGTTCAAGGTTTTCTGCATCTGCACTTGATGTAAAAAGTTCAGGAATTTCATCCTAATCAACTGATCATAAACTGCTCTTGTCTCTCTGTAGAGTGTAGGCCGACTCTATGAATACTGAAGCAGCTCATTAACTATCACGTCCATTTATTTAATCATGGTAGCCTAGTAAAACAGACACTTAATATCCCTGGACTATTAAAAAGTTTAAAACAGTTATTTCTTGGTGATCCTTCATATGATGGTTAAAACTTTTCACACTGGTCCATCAGGACACTGTGTTTTTGTCCTGAAGTGCATCTGTGCTCGGTGTACTCCCTCTGCTTCTTTTCTTTCCAGAGCCTCATCATGGGTCAAATCTCAAGCATCTTCACGTGGATTAAAAGGTCAACTGTGCTTGCCATTTGACTCTGATCACTGGGCAATTTGTTTCTGTTTACCTGCTCTGTTCGATTATGGCGGGAAGAGGCAAAGAGGTCCTAACCACATTCTCACCCTTTGCCCTCCATAGACTGTTTATTGTGTCAGTATTCCATATACAGTTAAAATGTCCTGATCGTATTGTTCACAATACAAAAGTCATCTTCATTTGTCATATTTTGCTTTATAGACCTATACATTTTACAGGGTAATAAATCAGTTGACCAAGGCAGCGTGCCACTTAATGGTGTGTACCATTAAATGACCCTGAAACTGGAGCAGCTTAATGGGTTTCATCATTACCTCTACACCTGTGCTGTTACAGTGCCGTGACACATCAAAATTAATCCCCAAATACGACACATCCATACAGTAAATCAATAGAGCAATGCACTTTTTTTTTAGATAATAAAATAACTATAGTGATTATTAATAAATGTTTTTCAGACTATTTTTTAAAAATATTTGTGATGTTTTTGTTTTATTTTCAAACATGTCACCAAGACATATCAGAGCAAGTTTGGCACTCTCACTCTCTTATTGTCTCTTCTGTGTCCCTCCCTCAGCACTAGCAGCCAGCACTGTGGCATCAGAGTCTGAATGCCCCCTTGGCCAGTTCCCATGTGGCAACATGAGTGAATGCCTCCCACAGGCTTTGCAGTGCAACGGACACAAGGACTGTGCCAACGGAGCTGATGAGTGGCACTGTGGTAAGTCAAATCCTGACGGCAACTTTTCACCTCAACTCTTGAATGTTTCTTTCCTCTGGTACGCTCTGACTGCTCTTAATTTTTCTGTGAAATTTTCCCACCATATAATGACTGATAAATAGAGCCTGAGGGTCTGATTCTGTTGATCCACACAGGGTTAAAACAGACATCATCTATTCTAGTCCAAATGCTTTGTGTTTGACATCATTGTGGTACTGGCAATTGATGTACAAATCCTGTCAGGCAAACAAGGAAAACCATAAATGTAATCTCCAGCTCAAATATTATCTGAAAGCTTTTCCTTGAAGCAGAGCCTCCATCGTACTACAATGTGCTTTCTAGGAAATGAGGCTCTCTTCAGCTGATCAGTAGGAGCAGAAGAGCCAGGAAAAGCTCTTCACTGGCTGACAGTTGATCACGTCCAGCAGTACTAAGGATAAATAGAATAATTTTCTGGGATATTTTAGAGGACCCGAAAGACTGAGTTGGAAAGGATTAAGGATGACTTTCTTAGTAAGTGGCTTGGAGGTAACTGGTGCGATTGGATCACAGCCTACAAAAAGTTTTGGATACAGCTTGGAATAGAGCTGGGCGATAAATCGAAAATTTAAATTTACGACAATAACCAACATCATTTTGCCCATGTCAATATATTTGATGTCAAATAAGTAAATAAATAAAAGTTGGTTTTTGGATGTGTGTAGGTAGGCTATGGTCTCATGTCCCTTCTAAGGGATATTCCAGTGTATATTAAGTTAGGATCACACCGTAACACTGAGTTAGACACCCCTTCAAGAGATGAATGCTACCAACCGCTTGCTTCTCTAGTTATACCAACTTTAGTAACAACCGCAGATAGCAATACAGAGAGCCACATGCTCAACCAAAACGCCACTCTATAGGAACAAATAATGCTCAGAACAGCACCTAACTTCATCAACAGGACATGTAGAGTCCCAGCCATAGTACTAGCCACCAAACATCTTTTTAGCTTTGCCTGATTTCTTTGCAAAGAGACTAAACACAACTTACCTACTCTCTTCCAGCAGCCACTTGTTTGTAGAGAGACCTCCGGGCCAGTCCAATGACTGCTGTGGGGTGATGCATCTCAAGGAAGAACATTTATGATCATTACTTTATCATTTCCTTGAAGTAATAATCACCATATTAATCATTTTGCACTGCAGACACAGTAGTTCTTCCCTGTTCTTCCTTGAGCTGCGTCCCCCGCAGTAGTTGATGGACTCACCTGGAGGTATCTGTACGAACAAGGGGCTGCTGGAAGAGAGTAGTTGTGTTTAGTCTCTTTGCTAAAGTCTCTTTGCTAAAAAAATTGTGTCTATACAATTTTAACAAAAAAAGAAATGAATGATTTAAGGTTTATCTTTTCTTGGTATCCTTCAGAAATGCCTTTTTGTTCTGAATGTCCTACATTTATCCATTTTAACTTGCAAACCACATTTTGAGAGCTAAATTGAGCAATATGTGATGTATTACATGCACAAACTGTTAGTTTTTTCACAGCGTTTACACCATGATTCTGGTATCATAGTAGGAGAACACCAAAACAAAACTACCAAACCCTTGGCTCTTAGCTCACAATTATCTCTAAGATTCTCGGCTATGTGTATTAAGAGGTGCAGAAGAAAAGCTCATCATTACACCATGCTTTACATTCTGTACAACCTGTGACAAACGGACTGAAGTGGGAGGAGAAAGCTCTGTCGAAGGACATTGACAGCCGGCTCTGCAACGCAAAGAGGAAGAAAATACAGGAGCTGTTTTCAATTTCCAATGCGGAAATTTCAACGAGTGATGCTCACTTTCAAGTTACATAATGATGTGACTTTTTAATTAACCTCCACTGACTTTATTGTGTCAATCAGTGTTGTTTATTAAATGTGAATGCAGCATGGTTGTAGGGATTGTACTTGTGCTGAGGGTTATCAAAAGTTTTTTTTTGTTTTTTTTCACTTAGTTCACTATACCGTTTATTCCTTTGTCCACTCTTGAAGGCCTAAAACAGACAGATTTTAATATAGACATACTGATGTAAAGTTAGTGACTAGAAAACCAATTGTCAGGACATTTACATAATTTAAAGAATTTATTCACGTTAAGGATATATGATATTTTGGGGAAAATTAACTTGTTTCCTTGAGTGTGAAGCCATATTATTCATATAAGCTGGATCTAGAAAAAAAAATATTAGATTTAGTTCATTGAGCCTTTTTGCCAATAACCAGAAACAGATTTTGAACTGTTTGTTTTTCCTTTTTCTAATGCTTTCCTAATGTGATCATAATAAGGATTGAAACAAAGCTAAAAATGGCTTTCTGGTGCTTGGAGAATGGTATCCTGCTATGTTGTTGAGTGCTGACTTTTCACTTCTTTTCAGAGCTCTGCATACGGCAAATTTGGTACGATATGTCTGTACTCCTTTGAAAATGTTTGTTTCTGGGATTATCTGCATAAGTCATTTTATAATAAATTGATACTGTACACTGTCTTCATTTAAATCTACTGAACTGCAGTTTTATTTTTCAGGATTTGTTTCTGTTTTCGAAACTTCCTCCAGTGATTTGAAGAAGCTCTTTTATTCAGTAAAAAAAAACTTCACGACACATGTGAGATGCATTGGCAACCATAGTCCATCTCAATGTCATTATTTTGTCTGGGCAAATTCCTGATTCATGCATTCAAGCTCCTGAAGAAAGGTTCAGCCTCTGCTGGCCTGTGAATGTTGGCTCTGATCAAACTGGATGTCGAGGTGGACCACATTGATCTGGTGATGACATGGCAACAACAGTGATCGAGTCATGGTTCGTTAGTTTGACAGAAATGAGATCGTTGGCTCACATTGGACTTGGCACAGTCTGATGTGGCTGCACTTTTTATGAAGTAAACCCTCAGTAATCTGATAGAGCTGATGCAGGAAAGAGAGAATTGTGAAAGATTAAGGGAAGTGATCTTTCCAAGAAAAACCTTGTTAACTGACTAGCTTGAGAAATCGTCTGGATTTCATCCATTCTCTTCACTGCAGTGTTGGCTAGCAGCAGTGAAAGCTATGACCCATGGTGGAGATGAATTATGATTCACTAGTCCTATGATGGCTTGATATCAGCAGATCTTTATGATTTCATGACCTACTTGCTTTTCTCATGCTTACCTCTATTCCACATTTCACAATAAGTATTAGGTGGGACGTCTATTATTGACATTTGTGATAGCTGAAGTCGTACAATGGGAAATGGCACAAAAAGTTTGCTATCAAATTATTAAGATATATTGCATCAATGTTTAGTTGATCCAAAATTTTTCATAGTGTAGTCATGTTGTCTTTCGTTTGATTGTATCATGAAAATGTTGTATTTGTCAAAAGCCAAAACAGATAAATAAAAAGTGTGATATCGGTGTTATGTATCGGCCAACAGTCAACCTGCTCTGTCATTATCGGTCCGTCATAGCTGTAAGATCTAGTCTGTTGTTGCTAAAGTTTGCTACCCTAGCCACACTAAAGGAACAGGACATGCTGTGTTGTGTGCAGAGACCACAAATAGTTCATTTTAGTTGATTTTGATTATTTCTTGTTTCACTTTCCAGGGGACAACGCTGGATGGGCGGACTTGTTTGGTCAAACTCTACAAAATACCAGACCTGTGCAGTACTACCTAGATGAGTGTTGTAAGTGTGAACTTCTAAAGAGTTTTGGTATTTGCTCAAAAGTGTCAAATAATAATAATAATGATGATCTTTGTTTATAAAGCACTTCTCAAAATCTGCATCATAAAATGCTTAACAAGGCAGCAAAAACAAAAATGCAAAATCAACATTTTTTAAAAGGGAACAGCCAGCTTGGATCATAACATCAGTACAATATTTGAGGAAACCTAAAATCAGGTTCAGTGGATAGAAGCCACTGTCAAGGAGAAGTTAGACTAAGACATGTCAAAAGAGTGTTGCAAAAATCCAGATGATGAAATAAAAGGAAGTAAAATCGTCTCTGCAGCTTCAATTTTTAAGATGATGACTCCACAAGTTTAGTGGTGTGTTGCTATCAAAGAGGCAATGTGATAAAGATATTCACTTTTCTCTGCGGGTGAATTTTTACACCTTTACATATTTACACATTTTCCCCCATGAGGTCTCTCTCCCTTGTAGCAGAGACCCAAGTAAGAAATCTCAGAGTTATCCCTGACTCAGATTAATATTTCCAGAGCTAAACTAAGTCAGTCTTCTTCTGCATTTGACCATTTATAAAAAATATCACAACGGTCTGAGAGATGATGACAGAGCAAAAACCTTCAACTGCTCGCAGAAGCCAAGTCCTGGGTTCAGCTTTTACACATCCTGGTCGCTGGTTGTTTTTGCCTACCAAAGGTATTGATTATTGAGGTTTTTGAGATAATTTGAGATAATAACTGAAGTTGGTTTGTCACTTGTAATCAATTAATAAATCAATTTAATTTGAGTTTCAAAATAAGTTGATTATATTTTTATATTCTGTTTTATTTTCAACCTTATCCTACTATTGGCATAACTGTTCTAACTGTTGTCTAGTCTTAGCCTTACTTGTAAATGTTTTTTTAAACTTTTCTTCTTGGATTGTGCTTTATTTTTTTCCTGCTCAGTTAAGTTCAAGAGTCAAACGCTCTGCTGTCATTTCTAAGTGACAGTTTGAAAAATTGGGCTTCAATCCAAGCAGCTGTATCCACCGAGCCACGCTTTTCCTGGGTCTCCATGGAAACCCATCCTGTTTATTGAAAAATACAGATTTTGACTCCTGCAACAGAAGTTTTTTTTTTTACATGACGAGTGTGACAGTTCTCAATAACAGATGAAATTCCTGCAATGATCTGTTCACAGGACTGTCAGAACAAGCTGTTTTGCAATTTCAGCATATCCGAGATGCTGCTGCAAGTGCCCTGAAAACAACAAAATCCGACCACATCACTCAAGTTTTACTATCTTTACAATATTTCTCTGCTGCTGTATAAATCTCTATGTTGTTTGTTGTCAAAGTTCATTCCTGACATTCTTGCAAAATATGAACAATTGAGGACCCTGAAAACATCCGGAGCAGGTCTTCTGATTGTCCCCCGGAGTCAGAGCAAAACATGGAGAAACAGCAGCTGGTTATTCTGCAGCACAGACCTGAAATAATCTCCCAGATGATGCCAGACCTGCCTCAAATCTGAACATCTTTAAGTCTAGACTAAAAACGTCGCTTTTTCAAACTGCTTCTTGTATCATATAAAGGAAACTAAATTGACACGACAAATAACTTGTATTTTAAATGGATTGGCCGGGATTTTTAGGGGTGTGAATCGTGATTTTGAGAATTTGAATGTCAAAAACTCAGATTTTGATGTGTACGATTGTTTAGTATTGCAGGAGTATCCAGAGAGCTGTGACTGCATACAGACAGACGTTGAGTGTGTGGAAGTCAACCTGCAGGATATTCCTCCACTCTCTCCAAATGTCACCTGGCTGTAAGTGACCTTTTGGTGACTCTGACAACCTCAATAACTGTTTGTTGGTGCATATGTGTGTGTGTATGTGTATGCATTTCTGTCTGTGAACACCAATTCAAGTCTAAACCGAAGAGTCTTCACAATCTTCTCCTTCTTCAAACGCTATTTCGGATTAGGTCCTGGTTTCGGCTTTTACACACCCTGGTCGTTTTTGTTCACAAAGAATGAACTGTTAAACTTGAACTGATGGTCGAGCTATTTTATAATCACAGGTTTGTTAGTTTCCTTAGATTAACTGAAAATCACTTAAATAAATAATCATTCTGGTAAATAAATGACACCATCCTGTGTCTGTCATATAAATAACACAGAGCAGCCATCTGTGAAATGCAGCTGTTAATTTCCCCTCCTCGGTTTATAATCTAACACTTGAATGAGCAGAACTTTACTGTTACATTGTGTTTTGTACCATTTAATTGTCATCATACAGTTGTCCCTCTGTTACAAACTTCTTCATATTTGTGATAGTTGGATTTTCATTTCCCCATTTGTCTGCAAGATTTTGCTCACAAGCATATTTCTCAAAAAACTCAACATTTCCTCAGTATTTCTTGTGAAGAACTTCATATTTGTGTCAGTTTTATTTATGCTGTCAAACTTTTTTTAGTTCTTATTGAAGATAGTAAATGTAAAATAAATCTGTGTTTAAGGCTGGTCCAGGCCTCTTGGAAATAGTAAAAAAATCTTAAATTACTGATTAACTTTGGCCTGGAGTCTTTTTTGTTTGATGACTCTTTCAGGATGGAGCTTAATGGCTTTTACATCATTTGCTTGAACTCAGTCTGACCTTTGGACACGGTCTATTTTGATATTTTCTTTTAAGGAAACACATTAGGAGCACATTAGGGGGATTTTATGTCTCATTACAGCCTCTTTATCACTTGATGTTTAGATAGGCTGTGTTTTTACTCTGTTCGGGATGTTTTTCCTCCATTGTGAGGAAATTTGTCTCATTTTTGCTTCCTCTTAATTTCTAAATTCATGCATAAGGCTCGGCTTATCAGACTGAAACGGTTTGTACGGTATGTCCTCCCTGAGTCTTAGAACAATACTAATGCTAAGTAATGCTAATACTAAATGCGCTTCAGTTGTCCTTATATGCAAAACGTGTGCTGTGTTTGTCTTACTAGAACATTTTATGTCCTCTGTTACAGGTCCCTGAAGAGCAATGAGATCCGAGTGTTGTCTGATTTTGTTTTCTCTAAATACTCTGCCCTAGAGAGACTGTGAGTATGTGTGATGAAGACAAAAATTATAATACAGATAAAACGGTGTAAAGATAGGGAGTAATTTAATTTACTTTGATGCAAATATTCTCCTTTTATATCCTTTTCAAAATTTTTGAGAATCACTTTTAATTTGTACGACTGTAGTCCATATGAAATAACAAAGTTGGCTTTTATCACTTGAAAAATGAAAAGGGTTTTTAAAAGGCCTGATGTTGGATGTCAAAATTGTCTTTAAATCAAATTATATGAGTAAAAGAATCAATATAAAGCAGTAGATTTAAACTATCCAATATCTTCAATTCCAGGTTAATTTCTTCTGTTCAACTTAATCTGATTTGAACAGATTTAAACAAAAAGAAGGACAAGCTCAGCGAAAGCACCTGGCAAGTTGAGGAAAAAAGTTATAATTTATCCGCTTTCACTGTCTTTAAAATTCAAGAGCAGTCTCACATTTCATCAGGTTTAACTAGGGTCTAGGTTCATTAATGCTGGCTTGCTCTGAGTGTGTTTGAAGAGTTATAATTTTATGCTCGATGTTAAAAAAAAAAAAGATGGAGAAATGAGCAAAGGACGATTACTAAGGTTAAAAATCTCCTTTAATCACTTTAATCATCTGCTTCCAGGTTTCTGCAAAACAACAGCCTGCACTTCATATCCCAACATGCCTTCAGTGGTCTACACAACCTAAAGAGATTGTAAGTACTCCACAGGACTTGTTAAGGGCACTGATTTAGTTTCCTTGGTCGCGATGACATTAATGTCTCATGAAAGAAAAAGTGCATATTGTTTGTTTGTCTCTCAGTAGTACCAGTATACCCATCATTTATCATTGTGCATGAGTATCACTGCAGCTGACATACAGATAGAAATCACACTAATTTTTCATACTTGGCCAGAGTGTTTACGGTGATCAGCATCATCAACATGTTGACAGCCAACTTGACTGATGATGAGGATATGTAATAATTTTGTTAAAGCTGCCCTTAGTTTTACTTTCGGATTTTGCTCCTATAGGGCCACTTTTGTTATTAAGAATTGTTCATTATAAGTATATTATAAGTAAGTATTGTATACCTCAAGCATATATACATCTGGTATATTTTCATCAATATTTATGTTTTTCACTTTTTTCTCTCAGGTTTCTCAGTGAGAACTTGATAACATCTCTCAGTCCTGGTGTGTTCAGGGAGCTCCATCAGCTAGAATGGCTGTGAGTAACACACATACTTTAACATCACCAGATATGTGTGAGTCTACAGTGAACTCCTGGAAAGAAAAAAAAAACCTTGATATGTTCAAAATCCCCTGAGCCAGCAAAATCAAAGAGAGCTGGAAGAGTCGTGTTTAGTTGTGCTCTTAACCGTTCATAAATGTCAGAGTTCAGAGCTGCGTGGATTGTTTTATTTTCACCATGAAATCAATTTTGGGTCAGGAGTGTCATTCAGAAAAAAGGACTCTGTTTTTGCCCATTATTTTAAGAGCTAAGAGAATAAATACCTTGTTATTGTTTCAGAGTTTGGTTTTAGGTCTTAAGCTACTAAAGGTGGGGGTCAAGATTCACCAGCCAATGTTAACAAAACAAACATTATGATGCCCCCAACATTATTACAATTCCCAGTGGTAGAGTACAGATGGTTTTATGACAGTTATATCTAAATTTCAGAGGCAGAAACACTTCTGCAGAAAAGAAGTCTCCCTGAATATCTAATATTCTATTAGACATATTATAATTGTCTATTCTGTGTTGATTGGATCTAGCCTCTGTAGGTGTAGTTATAATTTTAAATGTATTTTGTTTGACAGTGAGAGCAGAGTTTCCCAGCCCAAATATCAGTTCTTCTGAAGTTTCATCAGAAAAAGTCAGATGGGTTGTGGGATGATTTAAAGGAAAGGAAAAAGAAGAAAAAAATCAATCTGTTTTCAATTTTAGAGATACTTCCTTTTCCTTTTTAACGGACAGTGCTGGGAATTGGGATTATTATGCCTCAAGCAGTTCATTTAAATGGTTGATGCAAAGTAGAGCGTTTATTAATTTCTGAATTTTTGGCCAGTCACTGGCACCTGACTGTGTTATAGTTGTTTGAAGGGGTTGATATAGGCAGCAGTGGGGGACTGGACATCTTTATGTTTGTGAAAAAAGAAAAAACTCTAAATCATTGTTCAGTGTTGTCAGTGTGGACATTGGCAGATAATCTCTAAGCATGTCTCACACATGGGAAGTACCGATCGCTGGTGGTTAAAAGCCACTCATTCAGAACTTCTTTTTCAACTGCATTTGCGTACATATAAAATGAATTTGATGATTGTTTCTTCTCGCTGTCAGCGTACATACTCAGTAACAGACATGCACTTAAGACAAGGATGACAGATTAATATAAAGGTGACAGAAAAATTAACCACCATGTGTGCAGATGTAAAACTAGCAAACATTATTATAAAATCTAACAGCAATAACCTCTTCCAAAAGTGAGAATTATTCAGTTCGATTTAGGGCCGTCACATTGTCATATTTTCCCATCACAATTTTGTGTCCATAAAATATCCCTACATTGAAACTATCACAATACTAAATTTAAAACAACATTAGATAAAACAGAGAAAAGGCAAGATATGGAACTGGATGAAAACAGTCGAAAGAATGGTCAGAAAATATAAATATTCATTTAATTACTAACCAGAAGAAGCACAAGCTTTAACCCTGAATATCTAATCTGAATCTACAAGACTTAAAGGAATTTCAGTTTTTAAAAGTGCTGAATTATTTCTTAGAGAGCTCTTTTAATCCAGTTCAAAGACAACTTAATGCTCCTCAGCTGTGGATTTAGGAACTACTGTTTATGGTTATTTATGGTTACACTGGTGTGTTGCAACAGCCCAGTTTGACTGTTGAGAAAATTTATAGCTCAACTCAACACAGAAGTGAAGTTTGATGAGAAGAGAATTAATCAAAATTATCCATTTCAACCACAAAGATAACATTATGTAGCTCTTTATTGTCTTTTGTATCATATTCGATACATACTTTTATGATACTTCCATCAAATCAATATGATCAACAAATTACTAAAAAACACTTAATACAGTCCGATATGATAAAAAGTTCTCTTGTGGTTTATCAGTTTCCAAAAACATCTAATGTATCAAACAAGATAAATAAATATATATGTTAAATTTTAAGGTGAAATAAACATTTCAGCTCAAACTAAAATTGAATTTTCTGGCCATAATGTGTGGTTTCAGGCATTAAAGGGCTAATTATAAGACAACCTTTATAAAATATTTGTTTGGTATCAGCAATAAGAAAGATTTAGGTATTTTGGGGACGACACAAACTTGATTTACGGCAATACTCCAACATTTACTCAAACATCTACATTCAGATTTGTGAAGCATGTGCATCTTGGAATCTGTTCACAGATGAGACCAAAAGATGGTATCAGAGATGTGCTGTGGTGCTTTGTTTTCCCTTAATCAAGTCATGCTCAGAGCTTCACAACACATGGCAGATGGGACTGCTTGATGAGTTTCAAATCTCAAAGCTGAGATCTTTTTTTGGTACAACAGAAAGAAGGAGCCTAAAGCTACACACAGCTTTTATACCAAACACATGAGCATTTTTGAGGCTGTCTCAAACAGCTTATTCAAATTGTCAGTACTCACAACTTCCTGGTTCTCTCTTCAAAAGGGGCGGTGCCAAAAGTTTAGAGAGGGAAAAAGCCCAGGTTTAAAATGGTTTGGAGTAAACCATTAAAATAAACAGGGGGGTCAAGGCACAAATATTGCTAACAAATAATATTTTTTTTCAAGTGTGTTGATCTTGTTTGAACACAAATAGTTAATCGCATTCATGTAAGGATATTCCTTTCCCCCTTTGCTTTTTTCCCTTCTGAGTTGGTTTCTTAAAAAAATATTGTTTTTCTGTCGTGGGTCCTGCCCACCAAATTACCTGCTTCAATGAGAGCACATGAGCTCTCGGTGTAAGCTTGATGTTTGTGTGAGTATGAAGCACTTGATGACTATGCCTTAAAACTCTATCATGGTAGTTTAAACTTGTGTTTAATGTTGTTTTCAGTCAGGTGATGCTTATTTTTAATCAGACATGCTAGTAGGTTGTTATTTTAGCCAATGGTACAAAAAGGCAAACTTGTCCTTCGTTGCCAGTCTTCATGCTAAGCTAACTACCTCCCAGCTGTGTTCACGGTGTAAACTAGAGAGCGGCACCAGTCCCCTCATCTAACTCCAGCCTGGAGCAAAAATAAGCATCTCATACATGATGCAAAAAAATTAAAAAGAAAGTTAATTGTTTTCTGTGCGAAACTAACATACGATTAAAATGTTTGTATGTTTTGTTTTACAGGATGTTGGATCATAACCCAGTGAGCATACTGTCACAGGATACCTTTATCGGGCTCAATTCTCTTGGGTACCTGTGAGTGTCACTATTTTCACTTTGATTTGGTGTTTGTTGGTTTCTTGTCACAAATTAGGTCCATGTATTTTTGAGCTCCCAGAGAGGAGAAATTGAGTTTCAGTGAGGTATCGATCCATGTGTACTCGGAAAAAAAAAACAAAGTTTACTGTTTTACGTTAAAGTTACTATGAGGAAATTTCCTGCATTTTTTAAATAGGCTGAAATTCACATTAATACCTATTAATGATGTACTAAAGCAAACAAAAGCATCAGCATCCAGGCTCAGGATTTTTACATTGACATCTATATGCCTGAAACAGGTAAAAGGGGGTGAGTGTCGCCAAGCAGCTGAAAAACAGCCCTGTTTTAATCGTTTCAGCTTAAGATTCTCACAATTAATGACACATTTGACTATCAATAGTGAGCAGCGGGAGACTGTTTTTAATCTGAAAATATAATAAGAAAAGACTTCTTTGAGCACAAGGGGCTCTGAATTGATGCAAACAGAAAGTTCCTTAGAGAAGCTTTAAAAACCTGAGGAAATGCAATTTGTTAACATGTTAGGTGAACCAGGAGTAGTAATTTTAAATGGGCCCACCTTGAAATCTCATTAGCCAGCCCAAAATCCTAAATTCAGTTGGTCATTTGCTTTATCAGGGGTGGGTTTTGTATTCAAATCAGCTGTTTAGACTGTGTTGAAATAATTTAATAATAGTTTTTGTTGTACTTAAATGCAGCGCCATTCCTGGGTACTTCAAATTGTGGGCAAAATACATAACTCATCTACTCCAAAAGCATCACTGCAACAAAAAGGTTTTGGTCTTATTGAGTTCTCAGGGAAATAAAGTTGAAAGATTAAAATACTGCCATTTTTGTGCTACTTTTTATGTTAAAACAACTGAGATATAAGATCTGTGAAAATGCTTAAAGGAGTAACTGCTATTATTTGCATGTGTGTGGGTAAAGAAGGTTTGGTAGGTCATTTTACTAAAGTTCAGAGACAGTGTTAAGACTGTTAAAGTATTCCCCATAAATGTGAACAGCTTGAGTTTCAAAGTGAGACGCATGCATCAGCCTTATCCCCATTTCCTTCTCTCAGGGCATCAAATGCAGTCATGTTGTCAAATATCTGATTAGTTGCACTATGTAAGTTGATATTGGTAAATTTCAAACCTCATTTCATGCACAGTCACGTCTTGGTGTTATAACCTCCCGGTTCAAGTATTTAGTTTGGTGGAAGACTCTCAGAAGGGATGTCAAAGTTAATTTTGGTTTTTCATAGCCAAAACGTAAAATCTAGTGTGGTATTTTTTGGCAGTTTTCAAGCCGCGGGTGCCAACCAATTTTCATAACGGAAACAAAAACAAAAGTGAAAAGAAAAATGCTGATGTTTCTCTGTTTATTCATCCCTCCGCTGCTCTCTGTACCCTAGTGTTTTCTCTTTCCATCTCCGTCCATTTCTTTAAATGTCTTTTTAATGTTTATGCATTAAGTTTATCGCCCTTTTAATCAGCCCTCGCTCTGGCAGCCTCTCCAAAGACACTTACACCCGCAGGAGAGACAGAAATGTTTCTCTTTGGGTTCTCTTACAGATTCAGAGGGTAACCTGTCTTTGGCCTCTCCTCACATTTGTCTTGAGCGTTGCCACCCAGAACACCAGAGTCTGGTTTTAATCTGAAAACTACAGGAGCTTAGATGTGCTGACTGCTCTGCAACTTCTAAGTGTCTCAGAATATTTGACTCAATTTAGTTTAATGACCGTAACGGACAAGTCCAGGAAGCCATGAACTCACTGCACTGATCATTTCTAACAGCAAAAGCTTTTGGAAAGAATGAAAGTGACCGCTCATGTCAGTCAAGTGTGACCTTATGGATTATGAATTAATGGTAATGCATCGCTGTGAACCAGGGATTTAACTTCTCTATTACGTTTTAGTGTTGAAGTTGAGAGCATAAAGATTTTTTCTGCATGTGCTCCTATGAATATTGTCAGCACAATTTTCTGAAATGAATTTGGAAAAATAACTAACCCTAGCCTCAACCCTAACCCTAACCCTAGCCTTAACCCTAACTCTAACCCTAGCCCTAAACTCAGCCCTAACCCTAGCTTCAATCCTAGCCTTAACCCTAGCCTCAACCCTAACCCTAACCCTAGACTGAACCCTAACACTAATCTTAACCCTAACCCTAACCCTAGCCTTAACTCTAGCTTCAACCCTAACCCTAGCCCCAGCCCTAACCCCAGACTCAACCCTAACCCTAACCCTAGCCTCAACCCTAATGGATAAGTTTGTTGTTAGGATCAACAAACCTATCCGATGAGTCTAAAAAATCATTCTCATCCTCAAGATATGGATCTGTATCATCAGAGCCCATAGTCCATAACTGTTATCACCAAGCAAGCGTCAGTAAGAATGAATTGTCCCTGCCATCTTCTCCTGTTTTATGTCCTCTGATGAATAATTAAATTGAACTTCTGGTTTTTTGAATTTCATTGTGTACTCATTGTAGTTTTTAAGATTTCAACCCTTTAATCACTATTAATTATTTTAACCCTTTACCGTGACATATAAATTGGTACGAAATGTATTTACCTACTTATTAATCAATGTATTTATTGACAAAGTAATATATAACTCAGTCTAAAGTTTGTTTTCAGCTTCTTAAATTTGATTCAAGCAGATGAAGCGCCACAGGGTCTTCGTATCAATCAGAATTTAAACACCTTTCATTCTATTTGACAAGATACATGAAACCAATGTTTAAAAGAATTTCCACAACCTTTTCAGAAATTTATAAGAGCCAATGTCATGCATTTGCTTGAACAATTAAATTCTAGATTTACCTTTTACTTATGTAATCACACCTACACAAGAAATTAAAGCAGCTGTGAGGGACTTTAGGTTTGTGCTTTATGGTGCCCCTTGTGGACAAAGTCATACCTCTCATCTCATCTCTTGTTTAAGCAAAAGTAGTTGTAGTAGTAGGCTGTTTTTTTTTCAGCCTGCTTGTCTGACACCTACTCTCACACAACAATAAAAAACTACAGCTTTGTTGCCGATTGTCAAATTTGCTTTTGAAGGTTTTGAAGAGGCATCAATACCAGTTTCAGTTTGTTCCTCGACTGGTTAAAGACTCTTTTTCTTAAGTTTTTCTTGTTCTTCCTGTCACCAGGTCCATGGTAGGCACCTTACTCCAACATCTCCCTCACCCGAGCTTCTGTCAGCACATGCCTACGTTGGACTGGCTGTGAGTCTGCTCTGACTGTGTACTTATGTGTGTGCAGGTGTGTAGTGCTTGTGAGTGATTCGGTAGAAATAAGCTAAAAAATTAGAGCACAGACAGAGATGGGTGTACATTTTTTAACTGATTTTTTTAAAAATGAGACCAGTCAGATTTGATTGATCAGGCTGTACAAACAGGAGGGTTTGTGTTTGATAAATCTATTAATCATCTCAGGAGCTTTAACGACTTTTAGCAGCTTGTTAGCTTTCTTTCTCATGCCGCTTATTTAAGCTCTAACTCTGATACTGCCCGACTCTATATTTCTTTCTTCTTTCTACACCATGCACACAAATCTCTTGACTTTTTTAATGCTTATTTGGATTAAACTCATGTAGCAGTAGCCTTCATTTGAACACTGTATATGCTTTTGTGTCTTGTCTGGGTCACTACACACCTTTTTTCTTCTCTCCGTCTTTTTCGTCTCCAGGGATCTTGAAGGAAACCAGATTAAAACTCTCAATTTTTCCATCTTAGAGAGCTGCAGCAAGCTTGAAGTCCTGTGAGTATCCTTTGAAATTTAATAAAACCCAGAAATGTTTGAAACAAAATCCCTTTGAGAGAGTTAACAAGAGTCATGCAGCATGTGTCTTTCTCTCCAAAACAGTGAATAAACAGTAAAGCATGGAGCACATGAGCAGATTTCAGTGTAGTTCGATAAGAAAAAAGCTCACTTTATCAGCCGTTTGATAAGAACTTTATATTTTCTTGCCTTTAACAGTATTTTTAGCCCTTTTTGTAACAGTTTTGAGTTTGCAGTGTAAGTCAATTATTCCCTAGATTACATTTCAATTTCAATTCAGACCATTTGTTGAATATGCGGTTGTGGTTTATCAGCTGGTTGACTGTCTTTCGTTTCATAATGAAACCATAATGGACCCTTTATATTTTTAGCTCCATTAGCGTCACTAATTTGTTTTAGAACAAGGAGTAAATTTTTGTTCTGTGAACTCTGGGAGGTTTTTATATCTCAAGGGTCTTCGTGTTGCAAAAACACTATCTGGCTTTCGTGATCCTGAGAGTCAGGCAGTTTGTTTCAAACTTTTCCCTCCATCGCTCTTTCTGTCTGTCTCCTGCAGACGTGAACAACAGGCACATTTGTCCGCCTGTCTTTTTGTCATGAAGAAGAGCTAATGGTCTGAAGTATTACCTGTTCAGTCACATTATTTCATAGTTCAACAGAAAAGGACACACAAAGCTAAACCTCTTTTTAAACGTGTCTTCAGCCAGCGACTTCAGATACAAAGGACAAGCAGCAACTAACGATAAATACAAAATTCATCCTAATAACACACAAAATGACTGTGCTTCACAAAAACCAAGAAAAATTAGACCAGAACAAATTGCCCAAACCAGAGGAGACCTGCAAGAAGAGCCAACAATAATGCCCGGATGACGTTGGTGTGAGCAGTATAAAGAAACATAATCACTTCCCAAAGGCAGCACAAAAACTCAATAACTGAACTGGCAATATTTCCCCCCTAACTGTAAAGAAAGAGAAACTTGGGTCATCAGATTTTTTTCCAAATGAATGTAAAAATGTTTTATTATTTTATTCTTTTAATAACATAGGAAGCTGCCTCCTTCATCTCATGACATGATTGTACAACCTTTTGGCACAATACATGTAAATGTAAAGTCCCAATTTTACTCTTTTCTTTTTCTCTGACCAAATTATAGTCAATAAAGCAAGTGAGAGGTTTCCAGATTGGACCTGAGACTGCTGATAGAATTTCAAGGAACAAACTGAACTCTACAAGTAGCATTTTTAAGTGAAGGACACACAGAGTCATGCGGCTCATAATGTCTAATGACAAGGTAGAGAGCACATTTAACCCAGACTGCCAAACATAAATGCAGGGTGACTGTGAACTGGGCAAAATGTGTAGCTGGCTGAAACTTTCATGTGTCATGTTGAGTTTTGGACATGCTAGTTAGACGTTGATAGTTTGACTCTGAGGAATTCAGAGCCGTATTTCTATAAAAAGATATATATTTTATGTGTCTCTTATCATCATAGTTCAGATACCCTCAAGTTAAACTTCTCTCCCCTCATGGTGCTCTGTAGCTGCAGGCAACATCCATGTGCAAAAAAAGAGTAACAGCAAGAGCAAGAGATAATATCGAAGATTTTGAAATAATACAGAAACTTTAATCCAAAACAAAAGGAGCGTCGTGGGACTTGATGGCAAAATGTTCAGCTTGAAATTGATGAGATTGCAGTGAGCTCCTTTTGCACTGCAGTCCACCTCAGGAGACTGAACAACATTCAGTAAATGGTTTCTGACAGCCGCTCTGTTCTGTTCAGGTTACTGATGGACAACAGGATCAGAAGAGTTCCTGAAAACACTTTCCAGTCTCTGTGGAAACTGGCTGAACTGTGAGTGTAATTATCATTTTGTTCACGTTATCAGGTTACTGTCTTACACTGAGTAATGCTGAAAGGTGGTCAGAGTGATCAATCTTTGGGTTTAAGTACAGACTGAAGAATCAGGATCTTTCCTGCTGCATTGGCAGAGGGAGTTCTCGTTGAGTTTCCAAGTTTTAATAGATTTTTTGCGGCATTCCCCATAAGTGATTGATCTAACCCGTTTTTTTCTTACGAGACAAACGTTAAGCTGGTGTGTTTGCTCTTGACCACCATCTGTCTGACAGTGTGTTCAGAGAGAGGAGGGTCAGATAAACCTACTCTGATTTTTCAGTCAGGTTAGGAATTATAGATATATGATTTGCTGAACCAATACTAGAAATATACAGGTGCAGCTCAGAAAGAGTCCTGAAAAAGTTCATTTTTTTACCATAGTTTAGACCAGAAAGTGAACCTTCTGTATGTTCTGGATTCATCACACACACTCACACAAAGTGAAATATTTCAAGACCTTTTTTGTTTGCATCTTGATGAAAATGGCTTACAGCTCACAAAAATCAAAAATCCAGAGTGTCAAAACGACAGAATAATGTGGAAAAGTCCATCGGGCACAATCCTGGTGCCTGCTCACAAACTTGATTGCTGTCCACAGCATTATTGTGGTTGGCCAGTCAACTCACCTGACCTGATCTCCATGGAGAACCTCTGGACTAACATCAAGAGAAAGATGAGAGACACCAACAATACAGGCGAGCTTAGGGACACTACCAAAGCAACCTGGGCTCCTAGAACAGCTCAGCAGAGCCACAGACTGATTGCCACCACACCATACACATTAATGCAGTAATTTGTGCAAAATTGCCCTGACCAATTACCCAGTGAATAAATGAACGTAATTTACCAGACAGTGCCCATTTCTGATGTATGAATCCTTTGTATTGGTGTTTTATAATATTACATTGTTTTGAGAAAATGAATTTTCTTCAATTTTGTGAACATTAAGCTGTATTCATCAAGATTTAAACAAAAAAGTCTTAAGATGTTTTACTTTGCAAGTGTTGAATCTAACTGAATAATTGAGTGGAATCTTTTTCAGACATTCACATTTTTTGAGCTGTTCCAAAATTCATTATCTGTAAACATTTGTAAATGTTTTCCACCATGCCTGTTTTTTAAAAAAAAAAAAAAAAACTGTGTGCATGAATTTTCCTCACAAAAATGAATTTCACATTCATTGTCTCTTTATTTGGATTTCATCTCTTCTCTCTCTGTGTTCAGGAATCTGTCCGGCAACAGGATAAGGGACCTGCCAAAAAACACCTTCAAGAGTCTTTCCAAGTCGCTCCTTAAACTGTGAGTAACTGATAGTCTGACAGCGCGGAGTGATGTGCGAGGATTAGAACTGGAGATCAGGCTGAAGTGTGGCGTATTAAGAGTGAAAATTGCAGAGAGGATTTAGAGTTGGATTGAGAGGACAGTGATTTATCTCACTGTGAACTTCTCAGTAGGAAGAAATTTTGGAAATTGAAGGAAGAAATTCAACGGAAAAACGTTCGCCCTCCTGTAGATTGTTCTCTTTTAGGGATGTTCATATCAACTCAAATTAGAGTTCCACTTTTTTCTGGCTTTTTTATTTTGTCCCCTTTTGATAATATTGAAATGATGAATCTTCAGTTTATTTAAACCATATGCAACCTTTGTTTGTTTTGTTTTTTGCACATTGAAGGGCTGTTTCATACTTTTAACTCAGTCAGGCACAAAATACCCCCCAAACTGGAGCATAAAGTACAAACCCTCTTTTAAAATGTGATATGTTTTAAGAGATTTAAATGTCACCAACAAATGTAAAAATATAAAATTAAACCTATATCTCAAGCAGGATAACAAATCAAACGATATAAGCATAGCAAAAGCTCTAGTAACAAAATAAAAGACTACTTTAAGTTGATACTCTGGACGATAAACTTGGCTCACTCTTACCTGAGTGCAGTTTCAAAAGCAGGACCTTGACTTGTGATTGAGTATTTGTACAGTAAAATATCAGGGTCAAGATAATCCTCGAGAGGAAGTTTGTTTTGTTTGGCAACAGTAAATAAACTTCTGTGAAACACTGCATCCCATACGCACAATAAGCACAGAAATACACACACAATGAACACTGAAATACACACCTCAAGGGGGACAAAGAGTCATCTGTTATTTCCAAGGCCAGGGGTACAGTGGATTTATGAGTTCTTGTCTGATCAGATGGTAACAGCTTGTACCTTTAGGGGTGAGTGTGAGTGTGGTCACCCAGAAGAGCCTACACGTAAAGAAAAAAATAACAGGATCCTCAACTTTTACTGCCTGTTCTCACAATTTGCTCAAATGTCTTCCTACTTTTCAAAATAAGAGACCTAAACCAGCTGATAAAAGAGAGGATTGAAACAGACTCAATAAAACAAGAAAAATAGATTTGAGTAAGAGCACAGCCATTAGTAAAACTCCCTTAGTTTGGGATTAAAATACAACCACTGACGTGTCTTTGCATGTGCTGTTGATTATCATGTATAGCAAGAAATCACAGTATCTTAATAATAATAAAGGATCTGAATTCCATTTCTGTCCCTAATAAAAAAAAATGTGAGTTGATTGAGTAGAAATGCCCACAAAAAAAACAGAAAAAAACCCACTTATTTACCCACCCCATGAAAACTTGAAAAATTAGGAACAGCAAAGCAAACACTCCCTCTCTGAGAAATGTCTTAACCTTCATAAGAAAATAACTGACAATAGCAGCTGTTTCCTGCTGGTAGCTTTCTTTTTTTGGAAACATCCCAAAGTACACCAAAGACACATTTGAACCATCGTTGACATGTTGACTTGTCTTCTGCAGAAAATCGTACAGTCTATCCTGACTTGTTTCTTTCTGTGTTTATCAGAGTGAAACAGTTTAAGTTGAATTGCTGCAGACAAAAACACTTTTCAGTGCACAACCATTACAACAGAAACAGCCGGAGTCAGTGGAAGAGGATTTCTGCTTTTCAACTTCCGTGTGTTCACCTAGTTCAGTCAGAAAAAGATGATAAATGTGCTAATGTTGCAGTTATTTGATATTTCTTTTTAACTTACAGCCACTTCTTCTATCCAGTATATTAAGAGAGCAGACGGATAAATAACTAGATATTCTATTTATGTATGTTTAGCTATTTTCTATACGCAACTTTTTCTTCCATCTCCTATAATTTCACTAGAAAGGTTAATCAAGTCAACTTTAGCTTCTCGAGTGAGACAAGTTTGATTACTATTGTTTGATGAAAAGGTGCAGGACCACTTATATCTCAAGTCAGAGTGCAGTTCCATGATAATATTAAAACAAAGTTAATGAGCTCCAAGCCGTCTGTTCGTTAGTGGTGAACCTTGTGCTCTGGAAAACTTTTGACTTGAGGGAATATATATGAGGAAAAAGGCATAATAAAGTCAAAAACATGTATTTTAAGCTAACTTTGAACCGTCTCGATGGTAATGTTTTCCAACGGTTTGTCATTTTGTGTTTGTGTGTGTGTGGTCTGTACAGCTGGTTGATCAGACTGAAGAGTAACTGTCGGGTTGGTTTGTGGTTTTGGTTGGATAGTTCTCAAGATAACAACTGTGCTGCCGTTTGAGTGAGCCTCGCTAGATTTCACAGGCGGAGTTAGGTACCATATCAATCCAGTGATTTTGTCATTCTTTATTTGACTATGATTTTGTCCTAGCACACTCTCCTGAACATACTGAAAACAGTTATCATGACACAAAGGACTTTATTGCTTATTGATTTTTTGTTTTCAAATTGAATTTCAGAAAAAATCTGTAGATGAAAAACAAAAAGAAAGTAAAGAAACTGTGTTGTTGAAAGTTGCTCCACTGATCCATTAATATGCTGTCTTTTTGCAGACAGTATGAGTTGAACTTACTCCCCCCCATGAGATTCTTTTGAAATAATATTGTCTACAGTAAAGAACAACCTGAACTGTCATATCCAAAATGTGTTGGATTTTTCAGTTTAATGAGCTGGGGTGCAGTTGACAACTTTTGAAAAATTCACTTTGTTGCAATCAGCTTTTGTTTTGTGTGATGTTCGGTCTTTAACCGTGAAGTAATCAAACAAAGTGAGACTTTGCAGACTGCTTTGTCAATGACATACTGTAGGCGCAATTTATGCAAGGTATAGTTCATCACAAAAAAAATTGACCTTAAATGATCGCATTGATAAAATAGACTGGAATTCATAGTGATGCCTTCAAATGATCCCCATAAGCAAATAAGAAAATCAGTGTCACAATAATAGATTGTATATCCTAATTTAATTCCTGAAAATGGTGTGAAGGTAGGTATCAGCCGAGCCACTGAAGAAACAGCAGTAGCACAAATCTCACCTGAAATATTCACAATAAATGATACAGCTGAATGTCAAAAGTCAGCAGGATGAAGTAATTTTTGTAAAGACATTTGGGAATGTAAGGGTCAAGTTGAGCAAAGCCAGTTTTGACCACATGGGGTGCTAAAATTTGCACTATGAAAGGTTCCTCCAAGGAGCTTTTATTTGAAGGTATTTTTCTCCTGACTGGTTTAACTATTTTTGTTTTGTTTAAAATAAACACTAGAAACTGTAATCCATCATGTGATCAAATTGGACTGCAAATCAGAAAAGTTCAAAAAGTTCAAATTCAACATAAAAGCAAATTGAAAATATCAATTTCATACACGATGATATTAACTTTTTGCTGCATGTAAAAAATCTGTTTGTTTCAGTAAGATTGAAATTTTCAAATTATTGTATGTACTTAATACAGCAAGCAGAATACAACAGTTCTGAATTAAAAAGTTAAAAAATAAACATGTTTTTAAAGTTAATAAGTCGAAACTTAATGCCAAAGTGCCACAAAGTTTTCCATATGTATTGCAAAATATTGCTCATGTAGATACTGGTATGTGTCATATCCATTTGATATGATGTACAGCCCTAAAAGTTTAACTTGAGGATAAATAATACATAACTATTTCTGATCCAGTGTGAGGTAACGTTGAACTCAGAAAGTCAAAAGCCTGTTATAAGTTAAAAAAAGACAAAAAATCTGGATTTCATTGTCATTCAGCTGCATGTTCAATTTCACCAAAGCACACTTAATGAAGTCTGTCATGTTTTTCTTGTTGTAATGCTTAAAACATATCAGACCCTTTGCTGATTTTATTGTAGGAATATTTCCCACAACCCCCTCCTCCGCATTCACCCCAGCCACTTCAGCCACCTGACACATCTTCAGTCTCTGTGAGTAAAAACACACACTTTAAGAAAGTGCTCTCTGCAGCCTGTGCGCTGATGAAACTCTCAATTTTCTGCAGGGCCCTGGAGGGGATAGAAATCCCAGATATTCAGACCAAAATGTTCCTGCCTATGAAGAACCTATCCCACATGTACGTACAGTCCCAAACAGAAGAGCCAGTCCTCAATTGTATCTTTCACCATGAAAAACCAAACATTTCTTCTGCATCACATTTCTATCTCCATTTTTCATTGCTTTGACAGCTATTTCAAGAAGTTCCAGTACTGCTCCTATGCTCCTCACGTCAGGTCCTGTAAACCTAATACAGACGGCATATCTTCCTTTGAGGACCTGCTGGCTAACACGGTGCTGCGGGTGTCCGTCTGGGTCATGGCGTTCTTTACCTGCTTTGGTAACCTCTTGGTCATCGGAATGAGGTCCCTGATCCGAGCTGAGAACAACCTGCATGCTGTCTGCATCAAAGTCCTCTGCTGTGAGTACCTATGCATTATTCTCTCAAAAAGTTTGAGATGTTTCGTGCAGAGTAGAAACGCTTCAATAACTGTTGCAAGTAAAGCAGAGATGAAGAGGTAAGGGGGAGAAAAGTTGGGGTGAATTTAAGGGCCTGTGACTGGCAGAAACTATTAAACTCAAATTGTATTTGGCTTATCTGCTGCATTGTTCACCATCTGTTTCCTCTCTTCACTCACTTTTTCCACTGTCTGTCAGTACATCTTTCTGTGGTTCTCTAGTGTCAGCTCAATGAAAATTTCCCGGTCAGTCTCTGATTCTCACTCTCTCTTCCAGTCTTCTTCATCCCTTCTTTCTATTTAGCTTTTTGTCCTGCAGCCTTTTGTTCTACTTTCTCATTTTTTTTTATTGGTCTGTCTTTTCAAACATGGCTGTACTTTGAACCCTTAAAGACAGAAAGTTCAAGCTAATTATCTTGATCTCTAAATCAGTGGAAAACATTTGTTCAAAACAAAACTAGAATGATGTGAAAACTTACAAACTGAGTTTTGGTAGCTCCTGAAAGTCTCATGTTAAAGGGAGATTATGGTGTAAAACTAAGTTAGGGTCAAACACACCGTAACACCGAGTTAGATACCACGTCGAGAGATGAATGTTGCTGACCGCTTGCTTCTCTAGTTATACCGACTTTAGTATTGACCACAGATAGCAATAAAGAGAGCCACACGCTCAGTTACAACTCAGTTACACACCTGTTTGCGCTCTCTTACACACACACAACAACACACACACACACACACACACACACACACACACACACACACACACACACACACACACACACACACACACACACACACACACACACACACACACACCTGCACATAGCAGCAGGATGGTCAGTTGGACTAGCATCCTGCAGCAAAAACATCCTGGGTTTAAATCTGAGACTTGATGCAACTTATAAATAATAAAACAAAAATAAGGACCTAAATATGGCAACAAACTAATGAAGGACGTACAGCCGTTAGGAAATACACACAATAAACCAATAAAATGACGTTAGGAGAAAACAATGAAAACACAAGGACAACAGGAACATGAGTATAAGAAACAACAATAGACACACAGGGTTTCATGAACACAAGGGAATAATACAGAGAAAACAACTGAAATTCATAGTAGCTCTTTGTGACATAATCTCCCTTAGAGGATGGATTTAAGATGTTTGAAAAAGTGTGAAAGAAAAACAAAGCAGGATGGGCCTGAAGAGGGACAGTGAACTACAGAGCTGGTAGCAAGGACTTACTGGTGGACGGCCTGAATGCAGACCACAGGGAAGAAATGGTTCTGGCAAGGCAGGGAGTTGGCCTGGAGGTGACTTCAGTTTAGGGGGAAGCCCAGAGAACCAGTCTTCTTGGGCCTTAGCGGCACTAATGAGGGGGTCAGCCAGGTTTCCCAAGGATCAGTGGAAGCTGGGGTTGTCCTGGCTGGAACCAGAAGCAGGGGCCTGGCAGGAACTGGCATCAGCTGCCAATGGTGCACCTGGTGCTGTTGTTGGCCAGGCCTCAGACGGAGTGACATTCAAAGGAACTGGCACAGGAACTGTTGTCAGGACTTTAGCTGGCGCAGAAACCAGTACAGAAACAGGTGTCAGCATTGGAGTCAAGTGAGGAGCACTGAGGGACAGTAGCCCCATGTACAGGAACCAGAGGCTCTTTTCTAGGAGGAGACACAGGGGTCTCCGCTCAGGGTGCGGTGACAAGAGTCCTCCAACCAAGGCAAAGGAACAAGCAGGGAACTTACTGGATTTTGGCTTTTCTTCGGACTACCATTCCCAGCGTTTCTGTCTCCAAAGCAAAATCCAGCAGAAAAGAAAGGCTTCTTCCTGTGGCCACCACTTGTTTCAGGAAAAAAAGAGTCCTATGCAAGGGGCTGATCCAAAACCATTTTTTCCCTCAAACTTTATATAGTCTGCTGGGTCCATAATGGTCAATTCATTCTGTCATATGTTTAACAAAAAAAGGACCCTACATGCAGACTATAATGAACTTAATCAACAAGAAGTCAACAAATTTACAACATCTACTCATACAAAGTCCTAACTCAAAAGCCCAACTGAAGAAACACAAAAGTTCAACACAAGGAACAAATCAGGACATGCGACTATAAGGAAATACAAACAATTAATTGACCGGAGAAACACAACAGTGAAAAAACACGGGGATAACAGGAACACAAGTGTACAGAATAACAATGCACACACTGGGACAGGAACACATGAGAATAACACACAGAAAAAATACTTCAAATACAAAACAAGGAAAAGACCTGAAATACAAGAACTCAACATGACATTTGGTTCAAGGATCTTTCTCTGTTCAAACTGTATTTGCCACTTTCTAACCAGCTATCAAATACATACATGTCAGGGGGAACCTAAAGCCCCAGTGAGGGGTTTAAGACGCTGCTCCTGAACTGAAGTGAGTTCCAATGTTACACAAAACTAGATTACACACACTGAAAGGGATGAAAAATGATTTTGAAATCTTGTTTTTAATATTTTTTGATATTGATTGGTACTTTTTTAAACTTCTTTGGTTGCTTGACCTTTGTTGTTTAAAAAATAGGTGTTTAATTGTGCTACTGTCTTTTTATGAAAAGCAGATTTTTACCTGCAAATTGAGGTTTAGGGGAATAACATTACAATAAGCTGTCTGATGGTGTTGTTGAGTGTCTCTGTCCAATGATTACTCCACCTCTTATCATTCAGGTGCAGACTGCCTCATGGGTGTGTACCTGTTTTTTGTGGGAGTGTTCGATGTCAAGTTTCGCGGGCAGTACAACCGTAACGCTCTGCTGTGGATGGAAAGCATAGAGTGTCGTACGATTGGATTCCTAGCCATGCTGTCCTCAGAGGTAACTAAGGATGAACACAAAAACATGATTAATCGCAGATCAGATCAGAGACCATGGAAACTGGGACACAAGATAAACCCTAAAATAAACCAGTGCTAGTAATATCCTAGATGCGTATTTTCTCTTTTTGAGCTCACACGCTCTGAATTTGCTGAAGCTGCTTTTTTCACTGATCCCAACCACTGCTTTGAGCATTTTTTTTCTATTCATTATTCAACATGTCTTCAAGCTCTGAAACTAAAGGAGAATTGAATGAGTCATCTATTTCTGCTCGTTATGCAATCATGTCCAGATAAAATAAGTGAACTTTTAACAGACTGTTAATTTGACATGTAGCATTTAGCCTTGGTAAAATCTTCTTTCACTGGAGTCATTACTCTCTTTATGACACTGAGGATAATGACACAGAGGATACTGGGAACTTCTGTTCTGTCTTCTTTCTCATCTGTGTAGTGCTAACAAGACTGAAAGCTAATACAGACATGAGCACCATGAACCATTGAAATATTTGCAGCGGAAATGTTATAGGCAAAATTGCCAGGGTATTTGTTACATGTTTTAAAATGTAGTCATGATTAAGCCCAGTGTGACTATAGATCTTTTCAAGTTATGTAAATTAAACAAAATTCAGCAGTAAACAGGCTTGTCGTCGTCTGGAGGCGGTACAATGAGGGGATTTGTTATATCCTACTTTAATGCCTTTAAGGAGAGTTTTTAAAAACAGCAAGCACAACATTTAAATTGAGGGTTAACAGGTTTTATTTTTTCTTTTCCTCAGGTGTCTGTGCTTCTTCTGACCTACTTGACTCTGGAGAAGTTTCTAGTTATAGTCTTCCCTTTCAGCAATCTGCGGCCAGGCAAACTTCAGACTGGGGTGAGCGAACCTACAAAAAAAAAATGTTTTTAGTCTCATTTTTTAGTGTTCTAGATTTGATCATTTTCTTGATTTTGATATTAATAGAAAACAATCTCTGGAGGAACAGGAGCAGAGGTTACTACTTTTTTAGGATGTCTTTTATAACTATTAAACTACCTCATTGTTTGAACACATTAGATATTATTTCTGCTTCCTTTGCAAAGCATTTGTGTCAAGCATTACACACAACTATTAGTCAGTGTACTTACTCCTTTTCCTTTGCTTTGGCTACTTTTACACATAAACAGAATGGTAGGTATCGATTTCTTACACTTGCTTTACTTTGAAAGACAGAAACTGTCATCACACAGTATACTTGAGCCAAAGGAAGATTTTTCTGTTTATTTTGTAAGTTTTTTTTTATGTCGGATTAGTTCTCCAGCAGATTCCTCATTGCTGCAGGATTAAATTTTGTAGTCTTATCAATGAAAGTGAAAAGTGTAGAAATCCAGCGGTGTGATTATATCCTTTCCACCAGAAGCTTCAAAGAAAGCTTCTCAGAAATACTCACACCATTTTTGTCGCCTCCCTATAAGGTGATTCTTGCCTCTATCTGGTTGCTGGGCTTCATCATCGCCGCTGTACCCCTCATGAATGAAGATGTGTTTGGAAACTACTACGGGCAAAATGGCGTGTGCTTTCCTCTGCACTCTGACAGGCAAGAAAAACCGACTGCCAAAGGATATTCCACAGGAATTTTTCTGGGTAAATTTAAGAATAACACCTTTGTTTCTCAGTTTTCTCAGTTCTTTGTGTTCGTCAGTTAGCACTTGGTGGTATCACTAAAATCTGTCATCTGAGTACAAGCTCAGGCGGGTGTCTCTATGATCTCTATGATCCAAATCAGCATAAATTTAGACAAACACTATAAAAAGCTCTCTTTGTAGTGGCATTGCAGAGCCTACAAAATGAACAGGGAACAAAATGTACTTTATATTGAAGTAATTACACACCAAACACCGTGGTGCCATCAACAGTGCAGGATTAGCCCGGATTCTTATTTCTCACTGTTCACACTGAGAACCTGTAAATGTCATTCATCATTAATATATGACACAAAAGTAAATTCCCTCTAAATGGGTGCCATTATTTTCATCCTTATGCTCTTTGTATGGGAGTCCTGTGATATGATTAATTCATTTTGGAGTTTGTCATCGTTGCTGGCTTTTGTTTCTGGGTGTCAATATGTATGAAAATCTGTCTACAAGTATATTGACCATATGTCAAACTTGGGTTATAACTTAGTTCCAGAAAACGCACCTTAACAGTATCACTGCAGTCCTGTGTTTTGTGCACATTTATTCAGTAGTAGGAGGTAATAAAGTAGATATTTTATGCTTGATTTTGGTGCAGCTTTGGAGCACTTGCAAACTATGTAGATATAAGTAGATTAATTCTACTTTTTACTATGTTGATTTATCGACTGGCTAAGGTTTCAAGTAACTTTTCATGAATAAGAGAAATAAAACATATCACATTATAAAACCTGAAGATCCCAATTTAGTGATTTTGAGACTTGTCATAAAAAAACAGTGTTCAGTTGAGTTGTATTGGCATATTTCCGTGTGTTTGAATAGTTTACGCTTTTCTTTAGGTCTAAACCTGGTAGCATTCCTGGTGATCGTCCTCTGCTATGCCAGCATGTTCTTCTCCATCTATAAAACCGGCATCAACGCCACAGACTTGAGGAGCAGGCTGCACAGAGATGTGGCTGTGGCCAACAGGTTCTTCTTTATAGTGTTCTCTGACGCCCTCTGCTGGATTCCCATATTTTTTGTGAAAGTCCTCTCGCTGTTAGAAGTGGAGATACCAGGTAAGAGAAGCAATTTCTTTATGGAACAGCGAAATAAGAAACATCCACAGGTATGTACACCTGAACAATTTTGATTTTCTCATGTATCCCTATAGGAACCATATCCAGCTGGGTAGTAATCTTCATCCTTCCCATCAATAGTGCTCTTAACCCCATCCTGTACACTTTGACCACCAGCTTCTTCAGAGAGCAGGTGGAACTCTTGCTCTGTCGCTGGCAGAGGAGACACACCTTAAAAAAAGACCGTAAAGGCCTCACTTCCTCCACCATCCTTATGGAGACACCTCGGGCCCCTTCTTACCAGCCGCCGGCCTACTTCCAGCAGATGTCATTGGCTAGCGCAGACCCTCGGTACGCCTGAGACAGACAAACTTTACCTGGCAAAAAGACTGCTGCTTTTATCTCATGGTGTTTAACAAATAGCACAGGGAGCGCCCTGGGGTCTTGCTCAAAGACACCTTTGACATGTCGACAGAAGGAGCACGGGATCAAAGCACCAGACTTAGGATTGGTGGATGTCTGTCTGCACAATTTGAACAGCAGTTTACCCCCATTTGACCCTCATCAGACACTGAGCTGAGGAATTGGTTCAAGGTTAAGTGGTGTCAGCAAAAAAAAAAAATGAGAGTTGGACTGCATGAAACATTATAATGGCATTAATTTGCTGTCATGAAAATCAAAAAAGCAAAACATTGTATTTGTTTTCATGGCGTGTGCGCAAAACACTTGAGTGATAACACACCTGTGTGACACTCAAATGCCAAAGTCCTGTGTGTTCTTTATTTCATCAACAAGAAAAGGTATAAGATTGGCCCTAATATGGCACAGGTTTATTCAGATAGCAACAAGATTACAACCTCAAATAATCCAAACATCGATCCTCAGGCCCCCTGCCTCACTCTTTACTATTTCTGCTCTCTGCTGCTTTATTTTCTCATCGTCTCCTTTAGATAAATTCATGCTTCATCAGACATCAGGCTTAACACCCTTTTCTTATTTCCTTCTCTGGTACCATCTAACACTCAGAGCTGTAAATCACTTTAAATGAAAGAACCGCATTTGCATCTTCACATAGTGTGTGATTATGGAAATAATACAAATGTCACAATTGTGGCATACATTGATTCATTTGTGGCCGCTTTTGCATCAGTTTATGTTTGCAGATGAAGCAAGTAAAGTAATGCTAGTGTCAAATGTTTATGTTGTACTGGTAAGTAGGGGACTTTTAACAAAAAATGTCACTTGTTTTCCTATAGAAATTCTGTATGTTCCACTTAAATTTCTGTTAGTGCTCCCATTTTTTTTTTACCTGAGCCAGAGGGATGCAGCAACTCATGAACATCTCTTTTAAAATGCTATGGTTAAATCGGTAATATGTGAGAAAAATGTTGGTTTGGGTTTCTTGTCACTCTACGGTCAGATATCTGATGCACAGTTGTCCTTTTTTTTAATCCATGATTTTGATACAAATATATGCTAAACAACCACATTGGTTTGTGGTGCCTTTTGTGTTAAATTGAAGACAATCATCAGCAACTGTAAAACAAAAAAATACTGTGAAAGTTACACAGTTTAAGAGAAGGGTGGTGTAATATTTGGACACATTTGAATGTATTCCGGGTAATGATAATCCCTGGAAGTTAAATAAGGACCATCATTTCCGGTTGTTCCTTGAAGAGGTGCAAATGTTTACTTTTTGTTTGTGTGTATTTGTTGTTGTTTTTTTCTTTTTTTCTTTTTTCCTTTTTTTTAATACTGTTTGGTACAGCAGACCACCTTTACTGTGGATGTTATGTGTCATGCCAGTCGGTGGCATGCATGTGTCGGTGCATGCCAGTTTTCTTACAGAGGTGAATCCTGAATAGAAATAATAAAAGACATGAAAAAACTTGAGGTACCATTGAACATTTTAACAATTCTGAAAGGCAACTTGTGACCTTGGAAAAATAACCAAGAAAAAACATCAAGTAGTTGGAGTACTTTGTAAATGCCACATGGAGGACTCAAGCAGCCCCCCACATCGATTTGTTCACTTAGCTGAAATGTGTTAGCTGAGTCTTTACATGATAATGATTACAACAGGCTGATAAATTCCTCAAGTGAATTGTGATGTTGAATGACGGTGCCTCAGCCTATTTGAACCTTTTGTCACTTTTATAATTGAAGTTTTGGGGTACCTTCATCTTAATGTGTCATCTTGAGACATACCTTATGCTCTTGGAGTTTGAAGTCATGGGCTTTTACCACACAGATGCTTAAAAGCTCATCAAACAGTTCAAGGGTTAAGGTATTGCATGAGCTGGTTTGAAAACAATGAAAAAAATGAAAGAACTCTGTTTATAGGACTTTTTCTTAACTTTAACTGTGATAAGTGAAATACAGTTGGTTGAATAAATAAGCATGATCTGAACGCTAAAAAATTGTGTAGTCTCTTTTTGACAAGTATTAGATGTAACACACATTTATTCACTTTTAGAGATAATTTTAAGGTGTAGTATGGTCAGAATTTTCTCCTCTACATTTTCTAAGGTATTTTGACGATTTAGAACAGGATTTCTTGGCTTGGCTGTGATACCCTGCTCACATGTAAAGAATGAGATATGACTTTAACACAAGTTAAACATTCAACTGAAATTGAGTATATCACTGTCTGTACATTCCTAAACTTACTCCTTAGCTTATTGTCTTCCAGCAACACTTTTTTTCTCATTTGGTTCCACAGAAGCTCTTTCATGAGTGGATTTGACCACACCTGCGCCCAGCATCCTTCCATAGCAGGTGTCCTGCCCTTGGACCAAGGTGCGCCCCTAGCGACACGACGATGGACATGGTTCTAAACCAATAGGAAACGCTCTTTGCCTCAGTTTCCAGAACGTTGCCTTGTGATTGGTTGCTAAGGGCGGGGCGCTGTCATCCTGAACAGTAGTGCTGTCAGCCGGGGCGGCACGACTCCTGGAGGAGAGAGACGAGACGGATTGATGAAAACAAGCCACAAAAACACAAAAACTAAAAAACCTCACCCTGGAAATGGTAGCGTAGTCACCAGCGTCGACGCAGAAAAGGTAACTCTGGTTTAATGCCTAACTGCTTCTGTTTCTGGCGGTGTTTAACGGGTATGTGTTGACTACAAAGGCAGTCGAGCGATGTCTTGATGTTGCATCGATATAACTACCACAGGCGCTCAAACTAGCTGTTTGGCTACCGAGTTAGCCACGGGCATAGCTGGTGACAGTCGTCGACACCCGTGAAAATGAAAGAAAATGTCACTCGGGTAGCCACGCGTTCACGTTTCCCTGGTAGCAGTGAGACAACGAACAAAGCCGCGTTGATTTGTGGGGCTACACACGGGCTCAGCAACAGTCTTTTTGTTGGTTGTGAAGACATCGCTTGTTCTTGTGATGGCGGTGATCGGTTATGTGCTGCACTGCTTGTTAGCCATCAGCTAGGTGGCTTACATTAGTGACATGCCTTACAAGTCCCCCCTGTGCTAGCTGCTATCGACGAAGGCATAAATAAAACACGGTGCATCTCACAGTGCAACACGAATTACACTGTGAGACCCACGCTCGTGTGACCTTTTCTGATCGTATGAATGATGATATGGTCAATGATGATTGTGGATTGGAATAAGAGGCTTCCATTTGTGAAACTTAAATTGTTTTCGGTCCATTTGCGTGAATCATCCCGCCTGAGTAACTGTGCACTTTATTTTCCTACAGCTGAGATGCTCAGGAGTCTGAATATTTTGTGAGAGAAAAAGCCAGGAGAACAGCATGCATTATTTACACACTCAGTTCCGGGTTTTATGTCACCTTACAAAGTGGATTTATATATTTAGTTTTATTATTATTGTTTTACATTGTGGTGTTTTGTTAATAATGAGATACCAGCTTAATCCTACCACTCAGTTTTCCTGATTCCTAGTTTGCCTTTACTGGCCTGGTCTGTCCATGCTCCCATTTCAGGCCCATTCCCCTTTATTCCCCACCCTCCTTCCCTCCCTCCCTTCCTTCCTCATGACTCAATCATAGTCCCTCTCCATCTCTCCAGCTGTTTGGCTCAGCAATGACGACCCAGTTAACTCTATTGTTCTGTGTCTGGACTTATACGCTACAAGAAACACACATAGACACTGCATGGAGTGTTGGTCACAGAGCTGTGCAACCATGATGCTTACTCCATTATATTTACGCATTCAAAAGCAGATCTACGGTGATGGAAAGCCTGTGTTAACATGACAGACATACATGTGAAAAGACAATTTTGAGGAAGAGTCAATTAGTGTCAAGCAAAGAATAACCACAAGAAATCAGTAGATCCATATTATGCTCAAGTACTATTTAGTTGCACCTTATATCCCTGTGGACCAATATACTGCTATGATTAGGGATGTGCCGATATACGATTTAATCGGGATATGCGATATTAAACGGCCACGTGCCGTTTAATATCGTGCCCACCTCCGTTCGCCCAAATCAAGGTAAAAACAACATGACCGCAACAAGTTTGATCTACTCTACTGCTTATTATTCAAAACGTTGCTGATGTATCTGCTAACTTTAGCTCCAAAAAGCTAATGCTCCCAACATCCCGTTCGCTGCCTCTTGCTCATATTGTTTTTGCGTGTCATGCTGTGCACAGAGAAGTGATTTAGCAGTTTTTTGCCATTTTTAATAACGTTAAAAGCACTGCGCTAATATCGTGATAATATCGTGAATCGTGATATTTTGGGCCACCAATATCGTGATATCAAATTTTTCATATCGGCACATGCCTAGCTATGATATAAAAATAATGTTTGTTATACATAAACATGATGATGTAAGGTGACATTTTTGGGCGCCCTACAAACAACCAGGTTGTCTTATTTGGATGACAAGATCTGAAGGTCAACAAGGTCATCTCAGCAGCGCTACACTACCTATTATCAGACTTTGTAACTTATCTCATTTGTGCATTTTGCCCTTAATGAGACTGCATTCATATTTAGGATCAATTGTATAGCTAAAGTGGTAAAGTTTATCATCATAAACTGACTCTGCAATTGAACTGCAAGTCCAGCATATTGTATTTGATGTGTAATGCATATTAATTGACACAATCTGTCATAAAAGCTCCTCTGAATTAAAGCCGTGATCGTGCTACAGTCCCAGTCCTAGTGTCTCGACCAGTGGTTTTCAACTGGTAGGTCCCGACCCAAAAGTGGGTCACGGACACGTTCTGGATGGGTCATGAACAGCCGGTCATATCAGAATTAGTAATTTATTTCAGTAAATTTTTACATAGTGCACCCTTACATTAAATGTCCTGGCACCATTTCGATTTTCGTGTGCTAAGAAAACCATCTTTCCTCGAATGAATTGACTTTTAGGACAGCGAGACTTTGTTTACACTCAATTTTTCCTGCATTTGCCTGCAGTAGTTGGCAGTTTGTGGTGAGTGACCGGAAACAGGAGGATTACATGTCAGAGTAATAGACACAAGGCAGTGATGCTGTGGTTTCGTTTGTGTTGTTTGAGTTTGTCGTGGTGCAAATTCACAATCTGCACTCTTTTTTTTTTTTTTTTTTTACGCAGTGACACAGTGGTCTCTTTTCCTCTCATGCTTAATGATATGCTTGGGAGGTTACTTAGGACTTAATTCACTTTAAAGATGTTAACGATGTTCAGCAGCAAAAACTCTTTTTGACCTCCCACACTTCTGACCAGCAGATTGTGAGTTATCCATCTTTCCTCGCTGTCATCGTTTCCATAGATACCGCCCAGCACCTCACTCCCACTGGCTTACATAACCTGGTGTTTCTGCCAGGCACACACAAGTCCACACATATACAGGGAAACTTTGGCACACATACACACACACACACAATCACATTCCTGAGTACCGCACTCCTCTTTTTCTCTTTGCCTCAGGTACTGTGGAGACGATTGGGGCGGAATCTTCTCCTAAATATTGCTCAACAAAGCAGCAGAAAACTCTCTCACTCAAAATTAATCTGATAAGCCTGTTCGAGCCTTGTGTTGATGTAATTATAGTTATGGGTAATTAATTCATTCAGCTTATTTATTTAGCTTGTTTGTGTTAGGACTCGTGTAATTAGGTCAAGGAATGTTGTTTTACCGCCGATAGGTTTGATGGGGCTCTGAGGCTGTTTGCTAATGCATTAGTCTACACATTAGAGACCCCAAGAGATAGTGTTACATAACACATCTCCATCAGAATGTATGGAAAGACCTGTGGGCATACAGTTTCTGCATGTTTGTATGTTTGCGCACGTACATGGCTAATATTTGTGCATAAATGAATGAATGTAAAAGCAGAGTATCTTCCTGTTCTTTCTTAAGTTGCTTGTTAATCGAAAGATTTTTGTCGTCGTTTTGACATTTTAAAGTTCACTAAAAAAAAGATGGGTATGTCAAATCTCTTTTATCTTCATTTCTGACAAAGTATTACTCAGTGTCTTGCAGGAAAGAGAGGATACAACTATTCTTGGCTCAGTGAAGGCGTAACAAAGAATAAAGAGAATCCAAAAAAAAAAGGAAAGAGGAAATGCTTTAAAATGCTTCCAAAACTGACCCCTGCATCTGACTCCTGAGTGGAACTATGATTTTTTGTTATGGGCTCAAGGGGGCACCATTGTAAAGCTAGCTTGCCTGATAGTGACAGGAGAAAATAAACAAAGGTGAGGGCCATCTGAATGTAGTGTGGCTTCTCAACAAGTTCTGTTATCTGTCATGTTATTTCATTTTTGAGTTTCTAAACTGAAAAAAAAAAAAAACATGTCTGATGAAATGCCACATGTGAAATACTTACAATATTTTCAGTTCATTTTGGTACCTCCTGCCTTTGCCAGGGTTTACATTCTTGTTTATTGAGAGATTCAGGTGAGGTAGAAAGGAAATGGCAATGTAAATCAGGCTACTGTTGCTCTGGTACTTGCACACATGATGATGATGATAAGGCTAATAGGACGGCATCTCTGTGCTTTGATCATGTTAAGAGGAGGTCAAAGATAAAATAAGTTTCCTGCTGATATCATTGAAATTCCTGTTAGTGCTCCTTCAGCTCAACACATTGTCCCAGTAAAAAAAAAAATTAAATAAATAAGAACAAATAACAAACACTATGAATTAGGGCTGATTTATCGGCGAGCTGATTACATCAGCCAATTTTAGCCGGTTTGAGACTAATCGGTAATTGGCCAAAACTCGCTGATTTTCGCCGATATTTTCAGAAATAAAATGCTATAAGCATGCGACTGTCACCGTCAAAGCACCAACAGATCCTACTGAAAGCAATATTCATGTTTTTATTAGTGCAAGTGTTGACAAGACATGAAATATGTATTTGATCATAAAGACTCTGCATAAATCTCAGAAGCACAACTGGGAGCGGAAAAATGTCCATGTTGCAAAGCTCCATTGTTCGACACAAAGAGGTTGATCCCTGCGGTGAGTCACGCCTATCATTAATTCTGCCCTTCATCCCGCTGAACCCCTGAACTGCAGTCTTTGCTGATGTGCATAAGCCAAAAGTAAACTTGTTTATGCCCTCATTTCTCCTGCCAGACCGGGTTGCCCAGCATCCGGGGCGGTCTGAGCGACTGTTCACATGACAACATGTTTGAGTGACAGCAGGAATAAAAGGATTTTTTTTTTTTTCTCCTGTGGCAGAGGTCTCAGGGGATGTAATTTGAATGATGAGAGGAGGGTTGATAATCAGAGAAGAAGTGGTTCATGGGGTGAGGTTGCTTCACAGGCAACGTTAATCAAAATTGAAAAAAACAAAAACAAAAACAACAACGGTAAATTAGCATCTCTAGCAGCATGTTTAAAGGCACAGTTCATCTCTAAGTGTAAGTGTAATATTTGAATGAATGTAGAAAAATAAGAAGTGCACTTAAATCACTGAGCCAAAGGTTGATTAAGGAAGAGTAGATAAGATTTTTGTTGATGTTTGACCTACTCACTATATACACAGCTGAGTAATCAGGTCAAGTAAACAAGAAAAAGACAAACCTGAGTAGCTTGTCAGAGATCCCTGATGGAGCCCATTATCATCAATCAGCAACGGTGCACACAGCCAAATATGTTTTCAGTCAGCGTATTGTAAGTTTGAAACTCCAGACGGGTATTTCTCTTGCTTCTTCTCACTGTCTGGTGTACCACCCACCATCGCCCCTGCCCCCCCCAGCAACCCAACTCTGTCTTTGTCAACAAAACCTGGGTGTTTATCTTGATTGGTTGGCCAGATTTGTCAGTTAATGACAGGATAAAAACAATCTCCTGTTCTTGTGTGTGTGTGTGTGTGTGTGTGTGTGTGTGTGTGTGTGTGTGTGTGTGTGTGTGTGTGTATAAAACTTGATATTTGGCTGTTGCGCTCCCCCGGGGGACGGCACGCCTCTCTAACTGACTTTGGCACTGTGCCTACATGCTCTTGTTTGCCACCTTTAACTATTTCCTCACTGAGATGGTTGATGATCCAAAACACTCAAAGAGGGCGTGGCCTGTGGTCAGAAAAAGAGGCTGTTTTTGTTTTGTTTTTTCAGAAAGAGATGTTCAATTTTGTGTCATAAGCATTAGAAAATCCTAAAGTTCATCATGTATATTTTCTCCAGGTAAGTAAAAGAAAGTGAAAGTTATCTTCTCTTTGACTGATTTGCTCACTTGACTTTATAAAAACAAGAATAAGACCCTTAAGCCATAATAGATATTATGTTTAGATAACTGTCTACACTGTACAGCAGCCCCCAAAAAGTGTGCAGGAGATTATCACAGCATGGAGTATGTTGTGTTGTATGAAAGTTGCGTTGTTTTCACACCGATGAACTCTCTAGTAAATTACTCAGTGGAGCTGATGTCATGACAGTAGTGGCATAAACAGCAGGAAGTCACCTCAGGGCAGGTATCTCCCAAGAGATACTGTAACCGCGCCGCATACAGAGGAGAGTAGAGTGACTTAAGAGTATTTCACGGTTCAGACTGTAAAGATTTACACAGTTTTTTATGGGTTAAAGAGGCTCCTGTTTAAGCAGCTTTTTGCCGAGGAACATTGTTAAAGTACATGGATGAAAGTGGCGTCCTACTTCAGCAGCTAGGCTGAAGATAATTTAGTCAGCATTACTTGCAATTATGGCTAGACAAAACACTACAGTGTACTTCCTCTGAGATTTGTTTCTGCAGATAAGGTTCTGACTGAAGTAGTTTCGGTTCAGGATCAGACATTGAACGTTTTTACTTCGAATAGTGACTTTTGACTAATTTTTGCATTCTTCCAGTGTATCTAAAAAGCATTTTTTTAAAGAAGCTGCTCCTCAGTAAATTGTTTAAGTTTATAAATGTGTATTTTTACGACTTCAAGGGCAGATTTTTTTGAAAGTCATCTGCTGATCAAGACTATGTGCTCATACAAAGTCTGTCTGTTCCCGTGTTCTTCCTGTTTGTGTTTGGCTTTGTTTCCCCCTTTCTTTAAAGGGGTGTGTCTGCCCTCAGTAATCCTACACCATTAACACATTGAGGTTACTGTAACTGGCTAAACAGCCTCGACCAGTGAGTGCAGGGACTCTTAGTCGTACTCACACCCACATGCCATGTGTTGGCTGTCTGAGTCAAGGAGATGCATGCCTTTCCGTTGTGCTTCACTACTACGCAAGAAGGAAAAGATGAAAAACGGAGAAGAAAAACAGGTGTGTGCGGGACAGGAGTAATGTCATAGCAAAATGAAAAGTCTACTGGGCAAGTTGGAAAAACCCCTCAAGAGACACAGAGGAGAAAAAATGTAGACAGCGAGAGGGAGAGGGCATAATAGAACCACCCAAACTTCCCAAACCACCCAATCAAGCTGCGTTCTTGGAATTGGATCCCTCCCTTGCTCACCACCTGAGAGCAGAGAAACAGAGCAGTGCCTCAGAGGCTCAGAGGAGCAAGAAACACACACAGAGGAAGAAACAAAGCACAGGTGACAACGAAAACAGGGCACACATGGAGAAGACAGCCGAAGTTTTATAGAAAACAAAGAGTGCCTCTCAAAAAAGAAGAAGATACAGAGATTTTTGTTTTACATTCGAATGAGAGAGAGGGTGAGAAAGAGACTCTGGAGACAAGAACCTGAACTCTCAGGAGTGCTGCGGATCTGTAACAACAAAGCAATGAGCTGACATTCTCTGCTTTGAATGAACACAACATAGAGGAAAGAGACCCCCGTGAGAAGAAACTGGAAACCAAAATGCGGACAAAAAGGAGATGAAGAAGAAAATAACAGGGATTTAAAGACTGGCTGAACAGCCCTTTTGAATCTTGCGCTTTTTTTTTTTTTTTTGTGAATTATCTTTTTAATTTTTTGTCTAGCTGAGTCTACAGTCAGAATCATCATGTAGTGTCTCTTTGCTCGCTCTGAGTAGGGCCAGGTTTGGACATCAAAATACCAAGTGTGTGTTGAGTCCAGTAGTTGAGACATGTCTCTGGAAGACGTAAGAAGCTTCACCAGCGTCGGTGCTGAAAGTGCTGCTTCAGACCACTGCAACGGCCACTCTCTGAGCAAAGTGGAGGAACAGAATCTCCAAAGCCAAGGCCAGGATGGGATCGTCCTGGAGCGTATTGCTTCTCTGTCAATGGACATGTTTGACCCCAGTGACTTCACTGGGAGGTTCACTAAGATCCAGTCTAGATCCAGAAAAAGGACAAACATCATCAGAGGTAGGTGCAGAAAGCTTGGGAAGTTTTGGTTCTAATTGGTCATATTAAGGGGAATATTAGAGGAAACAGTTCAGGTCAGTTTGAAGATATATTGTGAATTTACACGACCTGAGGGTTTCCTGAAACTGGAAATGAGAGATTAGTTAAACATCCTGCTAAAATGATGATCCTGCTTTCCCCAGTTGGACTATAATGGGCTGTTTTTTAAGCAATCTGAGCTCTTTTAATATTTTTGGATTTCCCCCTACCTGGTTAGACCGCGACTGCCTTTCCCTGTAAACTGAACAAAGTTCTCTCTGCTGTCAGTTGAGGACTAGGCTTGACAAGAGTCTTTGTTGTGGCTTTAGTAGACCCGGTGAAAAGTGATACCTCCTGTGTTTTTGACAAAAGAAACTCCACTAATCCAAGCAGTGGGGGGGAAAATTTAGCCTCAGTTTATCAAAAAAACTTAACCTCAGCTCATCCTAACTTCCGGGTATTATCACAAAACGTCTAAATCAAACCATGCACAACTCCAGGGTTTTAGTAAGTAGCCAGTGTTGATACAGTTTTAGTTCTTTAACTCAAAACTCTTGACAGTCCCGTTATCGTTGGAAGCATGGTCTAACTTGTACCCACCAAGTTGCAGACTAACATATTAATCAGAGAAGTTTTCCCTCTGTCCTTCTCTTAAACTTTCGTCATTGTCATCACTTTATCTGTCAGTTTCTCAATGAGAAATAGATATTGTGTTTCTATCTGTAGTTTCAGATTAAACACAAGGATACAATCCTAAAAAACTCATTAAACTGGTTCGTTACAGCTTTCTTTACGATAGAACGTGTTTGTGAGGAAAGGCCAGAAGATTTATAGTGCAAGATATAGCTGTTAGGGGAAGCAGAGGGGTCCTGACTATCATCTTTTATGTGACTTTACATTTTTCTGTGGGATTTGGCTGAACTCACAGACAAGAGAGACAAGTAGGCGTACACATATAACTGGAGTGAGGTAGGGCCTGCGTTACCAAGTACCACTTGCACAAACACGTCTTTCAAAAGAAATTAACAGACGCAAAGGTTGAATTCTGACACAGTTTACTGCAAAATTAAGTATTACGGGACCTCTCTGCTGTCATAATGTACAGGAGTGAAGCTTTGATGTTGCAGAGACAGGTATGCCCGGTATGAAAACTGCTGACACACGTGCACATTCTTCACTAAAGTTATCTATTTGATCAACCCAGCTGTGTCAAGGAGACACCACAGTGTGAGCCGTGAGCCTCAAACAGTCCCCTCTGTGTCTGTGTAGTGTTTGTGTCTTCTGTGTTATGGTGAGAAGTTCACACCCACAACAATGAACATGGGCACATGTTTAGTGCACCGACATTGACCAGAGCCGCCAACAGCTGCTCTCTTGATCATTTACCAGGTTACTTCAAACAAGTCTGTTGGCAACCATTGTCATCATGATGATTGATTGATTGATTGATTCATATGTAAGTTTACATCGTATACCCTTTATTTTCCTTTGTTTTGATGAGGATTTTTGGCTAACTTATTAGCTTTCCCAATATCCTTTAAGTATCAAAAAGAATATACTTCAATCACTATACTTGAATTGTACTTAGATTCAAAAGCAGATAACCTTCTCCCATTTATCATTGGAAACAGTCTACTGTGAAGAATGAATCATGGCCAAGGCTGTAGTTAGTTCACTACTTAATCAAGGTTTCATTTCATACCCATAGGTCCTTAGAAAAAAGGAAATATGTGAGTGAGGTTCGAAATTAATATATTCATATGTTATGTCATGTTATTTATTACCTTTAGGCACATCAATATTAAACCACATCTGCAATAATTGTGGAAATAATAACCCAACTGAGGTGTTAAATGGCTTATTTCACTCTAAAAAACTCCCAGAAAGCTCAGTCGACTAGTTATCAGCAGAGGTTTGTGGCTGGGATTTGAAATAGTGATGATGACTGTGGCCTCTGTTAATGACTTTAACCAATGAGCTAAACTTACTAACAGCTTAACTGTTATAAATATGAGGATTTGCTGTTTTTGCCATGAAGAAGATAAACAATTTTGTGGTTTTAAATTTGCAAAATTGACAGCTTTAAATTTGGAAATCTGTGATAAGCATTTCCCTCAATTTTTTACACAACTTTTTTTAAAGTTAGTAATTAATAATGAAGTAATTAATTGTTAGATTTGCCAATCAGAAGAAAAACTCAGCCATGGTCAGATTGCCTCTTTTTTGAGTACCTTACCTTGGTTTAGTTCTGACACTATTGATTTCAGGCAGCTAATGGGAATAATTTACTGTATACTCTTCAATAGAAGAGGGCGACCTCGATGCCAATGTACAGAGATCTTTCCAGTTATTTCTTCTTAATTCTGATCGGCTTTTTGATTGGTTAGGATGAATATCATATTTTGCAGATTATGGCTGATGCATTTTACCATGTGTGTTTGAAATGAGCGCGTGTACAGCTGTGTTTTTGTGTGTGTGTGCGTGTGTGTGTGTGTGTGTGTGTGTGTGTGTGTGTGTGTGGAGGAGTCACATTCCAACAGCTGAGGCCCAGCAGAATGTGAGGAATCCTGGGAGCTCCACAAGGGTGTGTGTGTGTGTGTGTGTGTGTGTGTGTTTATCTGTGATATTTGTAGGCTGAATAAATGTGGGTCCCTTGATGTAAGAAAAAAGTCCCTTTTCTCATCGTAGGTCATGCATTTGAATACATTTCCATAAGCTGGACAAGAGTTTCGCATGACACAGCAAACACTAGCCCTCAGGAAAACATCTCATTTACAGCTGCACCATAAGTTAAGAACTTGGGCCACGAAAAGTAAAACTTCATTTGTTCTTTTTTTCCCTTGTGAAAGAGGAATAATCAACTCAAAGAACTGAGTGGGGCTAGATGCCAAAAATCAGACCTCACTTAAATATCTTAAATAACCTTTTAAGCAAGTTGAAAACCACTGTACACTGGATGTTTTGGCAGTCCCAGGAGATCATTTGGAAAACCAACTTGACCACAGAGGCTGAAAATGCTATTTGTTGGTGCTACTTTATCCATGACTGTAATGAGATAAGCAGAAGTTGTGGACAAGAATAGGCCCCTTCTATATTTCTCCTCCTTTGAGATTAGACAGTAATTGTCTGTTAATATGAACCAGGCCATCCTGTGCTCATCAGCTCTCCTCTGAGCTGCAGCTTTTGCATGATACTGTATTTTATGCACCTTCTGCTCCTCCCTTCCTCTCTCTCTCTTTCTCTCTCAGTATCAGCTCCCCCTCCCTCACCCATTTGCATGTCCTGTGGCACTTCCGCAGTTCATCCAGGGAATTACAGGATGACCCTAATTATCCACTTGTACTTCCACTCGAAATCATTGAACCAATGCATCATTGCCGTGATGGCCATCATACCTCTCTGCTCGGACAGCCCAGGGGAAAATGTGAAGGTTTAAGGTAGATGGAAAGAAGTTATTTCCTCCCATCACTGTTTGAGTGATTGGTTGAGACTTAAACTGCAGCAGCAGGGTTCAAGGTTAAATTCAGCCGTTAGTAAAGAGCTTTGTTTAGTTACTGAAGCTCTAATGTAAGTCATATATAAGCCAGTGAGATGATAAGATTTTTTTTTTGCTCAAATCTCTAAACAATAATAAAAGATATATATTTACGTGTGCAAAATCAGCTGTCTTAATTTACGCCATGTCTGTTTCTATTCTTTGACATTACACAGCTGAGAACAGGAGATGGCTTGCTTGAAAAACAAAGCATTTATACCCTTACTGTAGTTCACTGACATGCATGTGGCACTTGCCTGTATAAGGTAATAGGGCTGGGGCAATATGCTTTTCTCCTGATTCGATTCTTCTATGATTTTTTTGGATGCCAATTCTACAATATTGTCAATTTTCTTGATCTTTAGTCTGCATTTATAACACCAGTGAAACAGTTGAATGATTATGATTGTCTACTAACTTATTAGTTACTAACCATATTTACCTAGAAAATACACATCACCTGTAGGTCAGTTTTTCAGATTTATTCTTAAATTAAAAAAAAACAAAAACAATTTTTGAACATAAAAATCGATTTAAAAATTGCAAAACAAAAAATTACGATACTTGTATGAATCGATTTTTTTTCTCCCACCCCTATAAAGTAATGACAGTTCCAAAGCTATATGAGCAAAAGCAGCTGGTGTCACATGTACATAACATCACCTGAAAAGAATACAAAGTATCGGTGTTACTGCCTACTACGCAGGTAACCAAAGTCTATCCATTGTTAAAGAAATTACTGTAATTGATGCAATCAAGTTCATTTACCCGTTTGGCCTGTTCGTGTGGTTTATAAGTAATGTATTTATTTTTTCCTCACTCAAGTGTTACTATCCATGTGAATCTGTAATTGGTGCTGTGTCAGTTTTTGAGACTTATAAACTGTTATCATAGTCTAGTATGGTGTCCATTGCATCTTGTCTGTTCATAGAAAGGCCATTCATCCTTCAACATTTTTGACTTTTTTCCAGACATCAGCACGACAAAGCTTGAGCTCACACACCCATCCATTGACTGCTCCCTGTGCAATTAATGCTTAATAGCGTCTAAGCATTACATTTCAGACATTAATCATAGTAATTTAGTCTCATTGATGACAAGCTTAGAGCTACACAATAGTGATCATTTCAGCTATAAACAATGGCAAATTGCATGGAGGGATTATGAGCTCAAAATAATGTACAAGCATTTTAAAGGCCCTTTGGTCAAGGGATAGATGACGTTTTAAAGAACTGAAAGAAACATTTGTCCTCGGTTTGCATGACATTATATCATCAAACAACTCATGGCCAGTTTGAATAATGGAGTTTTGAAACAATCTGCATCAGCCAATTCTCGTGCTCCTGAGGCTAATTACAAAACGCAGACAGATAATGTCTGCAGACAGCCTCGTCAGTATGGCTGCTGTCTACCAGTAGTAACATCCCTTTAAATTATAAATTTGAAGCATTGGCCATTTAAAAACATTCAGCCAACCACTTAAATTTAATGTTGTAGATTAACCACAGAAAGCTTTTGTTTTTAATGCAGTATCCTTGATTGATTCATTTCAGCATTTTCCTGTATCATACTTTCTTCCTGTAAATAAAAGCACAGGACTGTTATTTTTTATTAGACTCCACAGAAGAATTGCAGCACCTTGTTTCAGTCCTGAGCAATATCTGCAGGCCAACACTGACTCTGAGCAATGTCTGCAAGCCGTACTAACAAACTGCGTGCAGTCTGGATAATCCTCGTCAAGAAGTAAAGAGACTATATTTTTCTGTTGTGGCAAAAGCCGAGCTCAGAAAAAGAAAAGTCACTCAATAGTGCTGGTAAAACATTCTTGCTGTGATTTATTATGGTCGTAGCTGAGATCTATTGAGATGAGAATTTTTAGATTTGTATTCAGTACACACTGAATATACACTAACTAATGTGTGCTGTGTTGTAGATAATGTCATTTAGAACATAATTTTTATTGTGCATTGCATGGCTGAACAACTACTACTCAAACAACACTCATCCTGAAATCGTAAACATGTCACACACACACACACACACACACATTGCATCTCTGTGTGAAAACAGGAGCAGTAAGGACGCTGACATGCATTGCCATTGACCAGTTGTTATTCTCAGCAATTCATTAGCGCTGACTGCCTATCAATGCATCTCTTTGCTTTCATTGGCTGAGGCGGGCTTACAACATGCTCACTCAGCACTTATTGTGAGACAGAACAACAACGTTACTGCCTTTTGTCTCTGTTGTCTTCATTTCACCAATCATCCTCCCTCCACTGTCTATTCATTCACCAAATCATCTCTCCCTCGATGGTCTGCAATTCCCCTTGTGCAGTGCGATCTACTGTGTGTTTTTCTCCCCCTCCCTCCCTCTCTCCCTCCCTCCCTCCCTTCATCCCCTCCCTCTGCCTCGCTCCTTCCCTCTCTTTCTTTCTCTGTCTTTCCTCTAAGAGGATTGGCTGCTTGCGTCTACCAACATCTGTGTATCACTGTCCTGAGAGAGCAAAACAGAGAGGGGATGGGGGGTGTTATCCAGCAAGATAGCAACACAGAGCGCAGGCAGGGCTGACTGCCGCTCTCTTTCCGTCTTCTCTTCGGCACACACACGTTCTTTCTTGTGCATGCGCGCATACACAAACAAACACACACTCAGCAGCAGCAGACAGCTGCAGCATCCGCATCGCTGGCTGCCCACCCGCATCCTTCTATCCTTCTTTCCAGTCTTTCCCTCGCTACACCGCTCTTTATCTCACTTGTCCGCAACGCCTCATCCTGCCGTCCTGTCCCCCTTCTGCTGTCTGTCACCGTGGCGACATAGCCTCTGCAGCCATGGCGACCAGCCAGCAGGATTCAGGCTTCTTTGACATCAGCATCAAGTCTCTGCTCAAGTCGTTAGGAGGGAGTGAGTACAGCTAACACATCCGATTCGCTGTAGTTTGGTATACAAAAACAAATGTGTGATGCAGTCTGTCTTCACAACAGCCAGTAGATCCTGCGCTGTGCAGATACCGCTTATTTTGTTTGCATATGTGTTTGTTGGAAATGGAGTAGAACAAAAAATCAGGCAGCATGCAGCATGATCCACTCTGTCAATATTTGGCGGTGTTACGTAATGGATAATGAAAGTCCAGGGGTTGATATAGAGGGGGTAAGACCTGCTTCTGGGGTTAGCTGAGGGTAAATCTGGATCCTCAGAAGTCTCCTTTATATGAATTATACAGTATATTACTCAGCAAAAGAAGGAGTCAGTCTTATATTTCTGATATCTTTAATCCTAGTACTAAAACTGAACCAAAACTTGCAAACAAGTACAAAAAGAGATGTGTATGTTTTGATTTACTTATCTCTTATCTGGGCTAAGTAAGTCACGCATATCCACACTGGTAAAGACTTGAATGTCTCAGGCTGTTTTTGAGTCTGTGCTCCAGACAATTTTGACCAAAACAAGAGGCAAAGCTACTGTATGCGAGTCAAAAACAACGGCGTTAGACAAATGTTCAGCAGCAGCATCTACACTGTTCCAAACTGGACATACTGTACTTCACCGTGACTTCACTCTGCAATGGGCTCATTAAACTTAGACATCCAATAAGAGGAGCCCACCGCCGCCTTTATATCACCACTGGGGACTGTTATGTAGCCTTCAAGCATGTTGTCCGTCTACTGTGGCCTCAGTGTATTTCTTATTGATACGTGGTAGAGGATGCAGAGATGAGCCAGCAGAATCTCCTGTTGTTGATCCTCATTTATTGACCGGACTCTGCCTGTGTTTGCTCTCATTTTACGCATGTATACATAAACCTGTGATTACTTTTTTTGCAAGTAAGAGTGGTCTTTAAGTTTTTTTTTCTCCTATTTATCAGAGATCACAACAACTGTTGGGCGAGTGCATGAAGGGGCGGCTTTGAGGAGCTCATATGTTTGGTATAAGCTGAAGGTTACTGTCAGCAGGGGTTATGTTGATGTGAGGGCTACAGAGGAGGAAATGTGCTAATGGTCCCACCACTGCTTTTCATAATCACCTGAAAAAAATCATAACAAGAAAGGATCCATTCATCTATTTGACTAAACCCAAGAGTGTACATTAGTGTGCGTCAAGGTCATGAATAGTGGAGGCAGTCAGAACAGGCCGAACAGGCCAACTAACTCCATTTAGGTTAGATAAACAGAAAAATAGCTGACCCCATCAGGTTCAACTGGCTCTTTTTCATACCAGCCTGACTAAATTAATCAAGTGCAGGCTTGTATCATCTGTAACTACATACTCATGGTGAAAAGAACAACCCTTAATCCAAATGTAAACACAGAGATTAGCCAAGCAGGAAAATGTCAGCACACAAAGGTAACCTGCCAACTAAACCCGTGTTGTTACAGTTTCACGATGCTCTCAAGGGATTGTTTACATCTGTAATCTTTGCAAAAAGAAAAGAAGTGTAAATGGGGCCTTTGTTGAAATTATCCCTTTAAATGCTAAGAAATAAATACCAGCCCTAAAAGCACATAGCCTCACCTTTTGTAGTGCTTAAAGCTTTTATAATTAACTTAAAAAAAAAAATCTCAAAGAGAACAGTCACTGTGAAAATTCCCCAAATGCATTAATCACAGGCAGTGAGAATCAGTCAGCTGCCTCCTGTGGAAACATGCAGGTTTGGTTCTGCTAGGTCTTGTCAGAGGCGGTCGGTGTGGTAATTGTCTGCTCCCTTTAAAGTGACTCATCGCCAACCACTTTAATTCAACGCTGCCAACAAGCAGATGTGGAGCCATTTATCTTTTCACAAGCCTGAAAAACACATTGCTTCCAAGTCCAGGTTCAAATTTGTCTTTTATCTTAATGTCCAGATGGAGAATATTCGCTAATGTGTCTGTTTCTGATGTCCAGGGCGTATGGATTTTTGCCTCACAACATATGATTCATCGCCTCTGTATGCTCATTTGTATGATTTGATTGATGAGAGTCAAACTTGGACGTACAGTTGCTGAGATCGTCCCTTTACCAGTCCTGCTGGTCATGTTGTTCATTTGCATCATCCATGAATTTTTTTTTTAATCTTACAATGTCACATTTGCCACAGTGATGTCCATGATGTTTTGACTTGCAAACAATCCAGGGACGAAACGTGTCAGCTTGGTTCCTCTTTAGCAAAGAAAATCATAAAGTTACATTCAAGTCTTGAATCAGGGGATGTTAAAGTTTCATTTTTTTGGCTGCTTTATCCTGTCAAGTATCATAAACAGGTGCTTATTAAAATCTTAATGTTCCTCTCAGAATATATTCTTAATTCATTACACGCCCGTCTTTACTCCCCCTCTCTTTATTTCTTTGTCTTGGCTTTGCTTACACTGTACTTAAATGTAAGTAAAACCAAGGTACAGCTCTATTGACCGGACGTGACAGATTTCTGCTGACTCATCACTTACAATGCTGAGTCAGGAAACATTTACAAGGGTCTCAGGAGGCTCCTGGGTAGTCTGTATCGACAGCTTTATTGCTCATTGTTGAGTCTCCCTACTCATCACCACAGACACACAAACACAAGGCTGTAATCTGACACACATACACACAAACACACAACGTAAATTCACGTCACTGACAAACTGTACTGTTGTCTCAATTAAGAGGCAACATTTGCTGAATTAAATCAGTGCCGTTTGTTTTGTTAGCCTGCTGAAACCACATCATGTGACTGTCCTCACTGATCAACAATTTGTGTACATGACGTGTGTGTGTGTGTGTCTCCGTAGCCATGTTTGCGTCTGAGTTTGCATATGTGTGCACTTGAGTGTGAGTAGGGGTCAGTGGGAGTGGTGGGTATGTAAGAGAGTGACCTCCAGTGGTCTATATATAGCGACTCCCTCCTCCCGTCGCCTCTCTCTCGGGGCAGTGTTGAAATTCCAACCCAACTCTTCTGGTCAGATCTCCACAAGGAGCAGACTTTACTTAACTGCTTCTGACAACTGAAGGACAGCCGCAAAACCGCCACTGAAAGAAGCACTTCATCTCCAAACAACTTTCCAATGCAGGGATTCTAAGGAGCCACTGTGCAGGGACACGATGGCAGGCTGGAGGCGGAGCAGAAGTTAAAGTAGAAACTGATAGTTGGTCTAAGGGCTCATATAGCTCTCTAGCATGGGGCCCTATGCTGTGTGTGAGCCGCTGCATAAGACTCTCCTGGAGCTGTACAGTGGAATATTTTCCAGTCTCTGTTGGTAGACTTGCCTCAAGCCTCGTCTACTACTTTGAGGAGACACTTTGACAGCATCTCTCCCTCTGTGATTCCTTACTGTCTGCTCTGGGGTTTCAGCTCATCGTCACCCGGGCAGTTTGAACCTCTGTTATGGCTCTTCTGGTCTGTGGACACGGTATATGTTCTTCCTTCATTTGGATTAAACATTGGATACAGCAGTCATGATCTCTCTCCTGCTTGCCCCAGGCAAACATTTTTCACTGTTCTTTCTCATTATTTTCTGAAGGATGGAGCTTTACACTTTTAGCTTTGGTTGAAATCTGCCCTGTGCGTACGCCAGGCACAGCGATGGCTGGATATTAAAGACAAACTTCTCCCACAAGGAATCATTTTTACCTGTCAATCATGGGAGCTTTGTGTCACACTTTGTAGACTGCTCAGCTCCCCTCCAACCCCCCTCCCAGATTCCTTTTCTCCCTCAATCCCTCTGTTTTATCCATTTTAACCCTTCTCCACCCACTTGTGTCTTTGCCCCACTGTGTGGCTGTCTGCACCATGGAAGTGCCAACTAAATGGAGCAGGGCTAGTGTCATCAGCTTCATCAAAGGCCTCGGTAAGCGTGCAGGAGTGTGTGTTCATGTGCGCGCCATATTTGCATCATTTGAGTGCTCGGATTTCACACAAACAAGTTGTTGTCTGTGAGTCCCCGGGGGCCTGTCCTGTCCAGGAATTAGCATTTACACCTCACCTCTTTAGTGAGGTTGGGTCACGTGGTCAGGAGAGGTCAGATGGGCCTGACAGAGTTGTTAAGTCACACACGCCAGACACTTCTGGGAAACGCTCGAGTGAGTCATTGTTTTGTTTCCCACCTGATGGGAAATATCATTTATACACCTTTAATTCCTGTGAAACAACAAATTGCTTGAGTCTCACAAGCTTCCTGTGTACTAGCTTTTCATCCGCAAACATTGCTGAAACTCGACTCTGTGAGTTGTTGGTTTCGGTCAGCTTTAGTGGCTGACCCACAATTCGATCCCTTATCACTGCCGATGCTTGTCGAGAGATACGTCCCTCAGAGCGAAAATGTCACGATGTTATATCTTTGGGTCATGTGACAGGAAATGCCCTGTCCCCGTTTAAATGTATCCATCTATTGTCGGTCTTTCACTCTAACCCCCAGACTCCTCCCACTCTCTGTTTATCTTCCTCCCTGCCTGTTTATCAGCACTTATCTTGAAAAATTATGGTGCCCAGTTTCCCTCATAATGTAATCAAATGGGAGAAATGAAAACATTTAAGTCCAAGATTGTGTGTCTGTGTGTGTGAAGAGAGTGAAGGTTGAGTGTGTGCATGCTTTTACATGCCTGGAAAGTGTTCTTTGTCAAAGTTGAACTTGGAATCAAAAGCTTAAAAAAATTAATGAATCATAAAATAAATGAACATTAATCTGACGTGAACAAATTCTTCATATTAATCCAGAGTTAATTTACACATGACCAGAGAGACAAGATTGATGTCTCAGCTGTTTCTCTTCATATAATGAAGGTTGTTGTATGAAGATTAATATCTTGTTCATAGTTCTAGCTAAAGACTGCAAGAAAAGCACAGGAAGTTATCAGTACAAGACGTGGATTCACTTGTTTTCAGCTGAGGCAGGTTGATGGACGGGCATCTGTAAGTGAGGTGATGTGAGGTAAAGATACTCAGTGGGGTAAAAAAGACAGTTGCATGCTGGCGTTTTGAATACGCCTCACGCTTGATTGGAGTACTGCTTGTTGATTTTGCACACAGAGTAATTGTAAGATTGATATGATGGATTTTATGGGGCATACATATTACACCTAAGCCACAGCCGAAGTATCAGGCTTTTAAAAAAATCTCATTTAGACTCATCAACCTGTCTCGACTCTCCCCAGCCTCTCCAGTGGGACTAAAGCCGCCCCTCCCGCCAGTCAGTGGAACCTTGGGAGAGAGGAAGGGTCCTGTCGTCATGGCGCCCGTCAACGTGGACCCCGAGAGTAAGCCTGGCGAGTTTGTCCTCAAGAGCCTTTTCGCCAACTTCACCTTGCTCTCAGAACGCAAGATTCGCATCATCATGGCCGAACCCCTGGTGAGTGACTTTGCAGTTTCATTTCGTCTGATTGGGTCTCTTTGTCTCATCGTACGTCTCTCAGATTACAGCATTAGACAGGTTTACTGTTCTTGATATTTTATCTGGCTGTGTGATTGAAAGTATGTCCTCGGCAGTCTGGTGGTTTCTTCATGGAGGTCTTTCAAAGATGCTATTTTCTGTCTGTTTTTTCTTCAGCAGGTATTTAAGTGTGGATCTTTTTGTCACTATCATACAGTAAAACCTTTGGAAGTTGTTTGGAGAGTAGAGAACAAACCTCTTTGCAACCATTGGCTGTTGTCTTCTGGCTTTTTATTTGTTTCACCTGCTGCCTTCTTGTGATCTTTTGAATCTTTACAGCACACTAGAACAACAACAGCCACAAAGACATTACATCATTACGCAATGTTACACACTTTGGCATATAGATGTCTGGGAAATTTGATATTTGATATAGATATTTGTAATGATATATAAACAGTACATCCTCTGGCCTATGTGAGGTATAGATTAAAAATGTTTAGGTCAGGGATGCACCGATCCGCTTTTTCACCTGCGATACTGATACAGATATCTGCAGTTTAGTATCGGCCGATATCGATCCAATTCTGATACAGAAAAGCTGAATTACCTTTTATTGTAATCTGAGGTATTGTGATAAAGTTCAAGATAGCAGACCCCTTTGCTTGCTCCATTTTGAAAACAATGTGGGCATCTGCTCAGTGTGTTTACTTGTAGATCCCACTCACAGTGCACAGCATAGAGTTAGACTGAATAGATCGGCCTCTATGCATCTGGCCCATTGTCATGATACGCGATCTAGAATTTTCTTCAGTTTCGGGACTGATTTCAAATATCGGATCCGTTTCATCCCTAATTTAGGTATCTAACTCAAAAGTTTCATAAAAGGATGTCCTCTCTGGTAGGACATGATTTGATTGTTTTCCCTCTGCCTGTTCTTGTCTCTCTCAGGAGAAGCCCCTTAACAAATCCCTGCAAAGAGGAGAGGACCCACAGTTTGACCAGGTGTGTGCACACACACATCATCGACATGGACTGACCTCTTTTCTCTTACATTTTCTAAATCCTGCTGTTCCATCGTTATATATTGGGAATGGGATTAACTTCTTTCTCTCTCTCTCTCTCTCACTCCTCCCCCCACACTTACCTTCAGTTGATCAGCACGATGAGTTCCCTGGCGGAATACTGCCTGCCCTCCATCCTGAAAACACTGTTCGACTGGTACAAAAGGCAGAACGGCCTGGAGGACGAGTCTCATGAGTATAGACCGAGGGCTAACACCAAGTCAAAAAAGTGAGGAAACAGCAACAGGAAACACATGAACACACACAGACCATTCTTTGTAAATCGTAATATCGAGTTCAAAATGTAAATAGTGGACATGCATTTTATTCACATGGTTGTTCAAGAATGACCTTTTTAACAGAAACTGATGAAATGGACCTTGAACATTGGACCTTGATTGTTGAACAAAGTCTGTTTCTGTCTGTCTGTCTGTCTCAGTGATGAGCAACAGAAGGACTACTTATTGGAGCGGAGGGATCTTGCAATCGACTTCATCTTTTCACTTGTGCTGATAGAAGTTTTGAAGCAGGTGAGTCTGACAGGGACACACTTTTAATACAGATCCTGCATAAAATGTGACAGGCTGTCAACCACCTCAGAAAAGAGTTGAAGTATTTGACAAGCTTTGCTTTGAATAATGACATTCTTGATATCTCGTCTCTTTCCAAACCCAATGATGGAAATTGTGAATTAATTAAACAAATGTAAAAGGTGATTTGCATATTATTGATGCTGCTGTCAGAGATTTATGCAAACATAATACGCACCAGGCTTCCTCTGCAGATTACAATGACAACTCTATCTCTTTACCCAGATCCCCCTTCATCCTCTTTTGGATGGACTCATCCAAGAAGTCATAAACCTGGCATTCAAGCACTTCAAATACAAGGAGGGGTGAGCGTTATTAACAAAGTTATTTACATATTAAAACAGGATTGGAATAGCAGATAAAAAGGTTTTTACAGATGAAATCCACATATATGTATGCACAGCTCTAGTAAAACTGTATATTATGTTTGATCAGAGTAATTCTTTCTATCATCAAACAATGTAATTTGTATTTTTGTGTTTATTTTGTAGGTATCTGGGGCCAAACACTGGCAACATGCACATAGTGGCTGATCTCTATGCTGAAGTGGTGGGAGTTGTAGCTCAGTCCAGGTACTGACTCAAGTTTATTAAGCAAAGCACTGTTTACACTCGCTGTTTGTGCACACACATTACCTGAGCAAGCAATGTTTATACTGTAGACAGAGTTGATCATGTATGTTAACATTAAGGTCCATATGTTTCTTATGTTTGAATTAATCTCCTATCTGAAGTCTGTTACAAAACCTGTACATCTGCACTTCTGAAAACATAACTACCACAGAACACCAACATGGTTACCAGCGCTGAGATGCAAAGCAGAGTTTTTGTTCTCTGCTTCCATAGCAACAGCTAACTCTAAAGTCCTCTTAGGTGAGCTAACTTCGCTGTAAATAGCCACATTGAATTGAGCATTTCTGCTGATGTTAAAGAAAAACAGGGTGAACTGGATCGCATTAGTCATCACAGCTCCTGATTAACATTTCCTGCCTTGCAGCTGTCAGTCTGTTGTGTTGGTTTTCCCTTTATAAGTCCTTCAACACCACTGTATCTCTAACTGTGCTCCATTAAGTCTTCATCCTCCTCCTCCTCCTCCTCTGCTTTTTTCTTCTCTTTCTGCCTCTCCTTGTTTCTCCACCTTAAACAAACCAACATCAAACTGACAGGACTTCTTTCCGTGGATTTATGACTGTACATGTAGTTAGTCCTCTTTATGGCAACGGTCCAGTATTGAGAGGTCGCCGACTGATAAATGACAATAATCAATCACAATTAGGTAATTAGCACTGCTGTGTAATTATTTAGATTAGTGTATAGTCACTTTAAATGCTGCATGTACAGTATCTTAATTTTTGGGTGCCACTATTCAAATGGCAGTGAGTGAAATATCTGTGATACAGCTAAAGATAAGTAGATTTTTTTCTTTTTGGATTCATGTTCATTTTTCAGGTTCAATTTTATTGTGTCATACGTGGAGCTTAAATTTAATTTGCTAATTTGGGTCATGTAGCTGCTGTAGGCTGGTTTGTCAGCGCGGAACATTGAAATTTGTAGCTACGGTAGCTACCTGTCCTCCTTCTGACCCCATTTCCAGCAGAAACAGCAATTACATATATTATCCATTTGTCTTGAGCGCAGGGGAGTAACAAGAACAAATGCCTAACATACCCAGTGTGTACTGACAGTTAATTATCGTGTGTTTGTGCAGTAGTAAAGATGTGTGTGTGTGTGTGTTTGTGATGACGACTGAAGATAATGACACTCTACATGATTGTCGTTGGTCTGTTTAATGTTGCGGGTGATGAGAGATGAGCGCTGTTCCAGTTTTCCAGGAGGTTATTACTGTGATGGAGGAAGTTCACAGGGCAGCTCAGCAACTGCACTCACACTCACACACACGCGCACATTGACTTACGCCATAACAGCATTTAATGTAGTCATTGATCTGATAATGGATCAGGGTCAATAATACTCTGAGATTTAGTGTAGCAAACATAAACTGTCCTCTACGTGGAGGATTGGTTTTTCCACTTGATTAAGCTCCTTTGCTCATTTCTTACACCCTTCTGCATGCCATTTATTTTCCACTTTTACACACATGGCTGTGAAAAGGATGAGCATGTGTATTTATGTATATTTTACTTAAAGACTCAGCACTGAACAGAAGGCTGTTGGCTGTCACACTTAGTAAACTGCTGCGACAACCCCTATGTAGCATGTAAAAGCACGTGAAGAAATAGAAGGCGCCCAAAGACCAAGTGCGCACACACACACACACACACACACACACACACACACACACACACACACACACACACACACACACACACACACACACACACACACACACACACATTCCCTCCACATCACCCCTCCAGATGCCTTTCTAAATATAGGCATGTGGTGCACTGATGGTAAAATCTATCTGGATAGTGGGTACATACACAAGTGCACACATCATTGTGTACATGCAGAAAAAAACAGGTGGATAACACTTTATAATAACAATCCGTAATAACTAGTAAACTGATCATTAGCAAACTGTTAATTAATGAGTTATTAATGACTTGTTAAGTGTCTGTTAATAGTTTGTTAAGGATTTATAATGAAGCCTTATAAATAGTTAATATATCATTAATAAACTGTTAGTAAATGAGTTATAAATGACTTGTCAACTGCATATTAATGATTTATAACTAAACCTTAAAAAATTAGGACTAGATCATGAGCACTTTGTGTTGCAGCTTAAAAGCATGAAAGGTGCTATATAAATAAAGTTTGATTGATTGATTGATTGATGAACAAGGTATAAATAAATTACTAATGACTTGTTAACTATTAACTGATACTTAACATGTCATTAGTAAGTAATTTACTAATAGCTTGATTCATGATCTATTACTAATTTATTAGGTATAGGTATCATTTATTACTATACCTTATAAATTAGTAATAGTGGTATAGTTAAGGTATAGTTATAATTTACAACAAAACCTTATAAATTAGTAATAGATCATAAACAAGCTATGAGTAGATTACTTTCTAATGACTTGTTAAGTATCAGTTAATAGTTAACTAGTCATTAGTAAGTTATTTACTTAGAGCTTGTTCATGATCTATTACTAATTTATTAGGTATAGTTATTAATCATTAACATACAGTTTACAAGTCATTTATAACTCATTAACTAACAGTTTATTGATGATATATTAACTATCTATAAGGCATTATTATAAATCCTTAACTAACTGTTAACAAACACTTAACAAGTCATTAATAACTCATTAATAGTTTACTTATGATCTATTAACTAGTTATAAAGGATAGTTATTATAAAGTGTTACCAACAGGTGCATTAAGGAGGAACAAAAAAAGGTTTTTCTTTGCATACTGTAAAAGGACATTTGCAGGGAAATACATCAAAGTAATCTTGCTGTTTTCATTGTTTAATTACGACGTACTCATGAAATCATTTACAGGAAAACTCGAGAGAGTAGAGCCTCTTATTCTGACACCATTTCTACCACAGGTTCCCAGGAGTGAGGAAAAAGTTCATCTCTGAGCTTAAAGAGCTGAGACAGAAAGAGCAGAGTCCCTATGTCATCCAGTCCACCATCAGCCTCATCATGGGACTCAAGTTCTTCCGCATCAAAATGTATCCTGTGGAAGACTTTGAAGCCTCCTTCCAGTTTATGCAGGTAGACCGAGCTGAGATCATTTGACAACCCAGCTGTTGTTTCAACTCAAGGGGAGTTTCATACATGGCCCCTTAAGCAGTTCAGTTCTATTATATGAAAACCTTCTTACTTAAGTAACAAGGTGCTCAGAGCTTTGTTTACGGCCCCTTTGATGGTAACTGCATTGCAAGAGTGTTTCTCATTTTTCTCCCCTATTAAAAAAGAGGTTTGTAACAGGTGACATTGTGTTTGAAAATATCCTGTCTGTACATTGTTTCCCTCGCTGTCTCTGACCTTTCTCTTTCTTTTTCTCTTTCTCTCTATCTCTCTATGTCTTCAGGAGTGTGCACAGTATTTCTTGGAAGTGAAGGATAAAGACATAAAGCACTCATTAGCTGGACTGTTCGTGGAGATACTTGTACCTGTAGCTGCTGTAAGTGCTTTCAAGTTTACTGCTGAGTGCACTTTTCATTGTTGAGTCAAAATGAAGTCAACATTTATTGTGCTCCGTGAAATAGGAGTTTTTTAATGCATTAGTTTTACAGTAGTTGCTCCTCGTGTGTCAGGATCTTGCTTTCATTTCTTTTTTTAAATTTTTCGATGTACGCTGACTACTGTTGACCACTTTTAACACCAGTTAATAATCCAAGTCATGCCCCGCTCTTAACTCCTGGGTTTTTTAAAACTTTTTTAATTTAAAGATTATTTTTGGTAATTATGTGCATTTATTCAAATAATAGGACAGTAAGTAGTGTAGTTAAGAGAGTGTGGCAAGACAAGACCATGGCCTTTCTATATGGGGCATAGGATTTAATGCCTGAGCTAAACTCGTCACCCAACAGCTTCTAGATTTTCAGAGGCAGTTTCATAGGTATCTATTTTATCTGTAATTTTGCTTCACAGCGTGTCAGTCAGTCTGAATGTTTAGAGTAATATCTTGAGAGTTAAAAAAATCCTCTGGTCATCTACAAATATGATTCCTGTCAAGCAAAAATAGCTCAAATCTGTCTGGACTAAACATCTTTATTATTTATTATTCCCCAGACCGTGAAGAATGAGGTGAACGTGCCGTGTTTACGAAACTTTGTGGAAAGTTTGTACGATACCACACTGGACCTGTCCTCGAGGAAGAAACACTCTCTGGTAAATTTTCGTTCTTCTGTTTCATCACTGCTCATCCCTCTCCATTTCCTCTCCATTAACAGCGATCGGTGAAAGCACTTACTGTACCCCTCCAACATGTGGGCTTTTATCTCTCAGTGGGAAGGAGGCAGAAGTGCGGTATGCAGTACACGTGCTGGATTTTTGATGCAGTGCCAGATGGGTAATAGTTGCCCACAGCAGGGGCACAGACAAGGGAATCAGCAAATTAGATGCAGTATGTTTCCCTTATTAAGAATAAGCACGACATCAAGCAGCTTGTTTAAATTGTCAGAATGGGATTAAACTTCGTTTGCTGATATTTTTAATCCATGACACAGCAGATTACAAACCATACATGAGCAGGACAACAGAAACTTCATGTCTCCAGATATTTAATAATATTGGTGTTACGGATGAACTAATATTCAGGATTTAATTTGATTATTATTATTTTATTTTTTTCTGAGTCATTTTCTTTTTTTTGGGTTTTGTTGTTTTGTTTTGTTTTCTGTCTAACGTGTGGAATAAGATTTTTTGAATGTTTTGATTTACTAAGAAGGATAGGCGATAATAAGCTCTTGCTTCAGCCTATGCCTTTTCGGTCGGGTTTTCTTTTCTTTGTAATCTATTGTATATATTGAATGGATATGACCAGATCGAAATAAACTTCAAACTTCACTAAACTTCGTTTAGGTAAATTCTGTTAGTAATTAAGTCTTTCTAATCATGTTTTGGTCTACTATTTAATTATTCGTAAGTCCTCTAAACTAGAACTAGTTAAAAAGGCTTAAACTAGAAATGTGCAGAAAAAAAAACTGCAGTTTCAGAAATCCTTTTCCACTCATATTTTTCAAGTTTATATTTAGCCAACTTAAGAGCAGTGACGTGTCATTGTCTCACGATTTGTTGTCAGATATGTTTTACATTGAGGAAAAAATTCCCCTTTTTCTCAAAAAAACATCGCCACGCCTTTGATTCCACAGTCTTCTGATTGACAAACTGGATAACAACACTTGACCTGAAGCTGCTGTGTTGCATTGCTGTCTGTTGTTCTATTTGTGAAATGTGTGACAGGCTGTGACAGGGACGGGTGTTATCAGAGCTGCAGACATGTCACTTGTCCAGCATTCATGCATCCCTCCATAGATTCTTCAAATACTATAAGCAACCCATGCATTATTGACCCCGACACACCTCCCTGCACACATACTGTCTGTCTTTTCACTTTTTCCAAACAAACAGCGCGCAGGTATGCGCACAAACAAAACAAAACAATAATCTGCCATGTGAGAAACGAACTGACAGGCACGACGGCAATGACAGAAATGCGGTGTATTTCCTTAATTGTTATTCTGAGTGTCTGGGAGACACTGAAACAGGAGATAACTAAAACTCGTCTTGATAAGAAGTGACAGCTAAACGACATACTCCTCAAACCAAACGTTCATGACAAGGGTGTAACTGGACCTACACTGCTCATTAGTGAGACATTTGTGTTAAAGAATGATCTGTATGCAGACTTGCATTCTCTCAGCAGGTGATTGAGCTGACTAGAGACCAAGTTCACATTCTTGTATGTGAACTTTATGTTGGAACCGTCAATAAAATAACCTCTTCCATTAACTTTTAATAGTTTGTTTTCGCTGCAGGCAAGAGGACACACAGAGAAAGCTGTGTTTCGCTTAAATTTAGAGAGGAATAAAAAGATGATTAAGGGGTAAGCAGGTTTATGAGAGACTGATGAGACAACAAACAAATCTATCACGATTTTGTGCTTTGTCCTGAATAATTGATTGTTTATTGTAAATAGAAATAAAAGCAAACCTGAGAATTATATTGAAGCGTGAAATGTATGATTCTCAAGCTGGATTGTTTGCATTCTGTCTTTACTACGAAATGATTAACTTTCTATTAGGATGTTTTTCTGCCTGTCTTCTGTAGTGCCTGATGCAAATGCGCCCCATCTGTTGTCTCTCCCCACCAGGCTCTATATCCCCTGGTGACCTGCCTGCTGTGCGTCAGTCAGAAGCAGTTTTTCCTCAGCCGCTGGCACATTTTCCTCAACAACTGCCTCTCAAATCTCAAGGTCAGCCATTCTGTTTACACCATGCATGTGCAAAAATAAACACATTAGGGGTCATTTGTAAAAGTAATAGGCAGTTTTTCGCTTTCAAACAAGGGCTGTGCAGTCTGTGCAATACATTTCCTGCTCATGGGAGTGAGTTTTACAAAGTGACAAACTGTTAACTCACATGTCTTGGAATTGAACTCTTCCATTGCAGGTTAAGAGAGTAATGATTGTTAGTGACTCATGAAGAAATCTGAACAACTCAGTTCAGGCTCACACTGTTATTGCTGAGAAAGCAATGTGAGAGTAGTGCATGCAGCAAATTTTCACATATCTGCACAGAGTACAGTATGTCAGGAATGTCTGTCAGGGTGCCATAGCATATCTCTGAAAAACTTAGTATTTCCTTATGGCTGAGGGGTAATTGTGTAGCTCATTTGTCCCTAATCTCAGACACTAATTTTTGTGTGCATGTGTGTAATTTGTAGAATAAAGACCCCAAGATGGCACGTGTGGCTCTGGAATCTCTCTACCGTCTGCTGTGGGTCTACATGATCCGAATTAAGTGTGAGAGCAACACTGGAACACAGAGGTAGTAGCTCCTTACATTATATATGTATCTATTTAATCAACTCAAATAAACTATTGATTTTTTTAAGCATATTGTGAACCATACTGTTCTATTACGTACTTTTAATCAAATATAGCCCTACTTGTTCCTTTTTGTGATGTTGGATGTCTTACTTTGAAACTCAAAGGCTCTTTTAAAGGGATATTCCAGCGTAAAATAAAGGAAGCTAAAATGATGTTTGGTGGCTAGTGCTGTGGCTGGGACCCTACATGTACTGTTAATGAAGGTAGCTGCTGTTCTGAGCATTATTTGTGGCTATAGAGTGGCTTTTTGATTGAATGCGTGGCTCCTGAGAACACTGTGTATCGGCAACATTCATCTCTCAATGGGGTGTCTAACTTGGTGTTACGGTGTGTTTGACCCTAAATTAATTTTATCCCTGAACATTCCTTTAAACTCGAACCTCTTTGTGCTCTCGTCCTCTCCCCCAGTCGTCTGACGTCCATTACGTCCACTCTGTTCCCCAAAGGGAGCCGGAGTGTTGTGCCCAGAGACATGCCGCTGAACATCTTTGTCAAGATCATCCAGTTTATAGCTCAAGTGAGTTTGACTCGTTCATGTGCAAATTTACAGAAAAAGTTGGTACCTGTCTGCTTGAGGTCAAAGCAGATGAGAAATCAAGGTGTTCAGTGTTGAGTGAAAAATGTGTTAACATGCAGGATATCTTCTGTTTTCCACCTTGACCCTAAATATTAGAATGTACTCACTTCTACATTTGCTCTCATAAACAGGATTACAAAAGATCGTCTATCTTTTCAAGTTTTTTACAGAAATCCATTTTCACACTGAAAAAAATGTTTTCTAATGGCTTTTGAAACTCACAGAAACATTTCCATAATATACACACTCATGATTGCTTCTATCGCCAAACAGCTATAATGATGGTTTAAATAACTCAGTAAAGATGACTCAGACTTTATGCCAGTCGATTGTTTTCTCCTTTTCACATTTGCTGTTTCTCTATACGATTAGTTACATAATAATGTGTCCCATCAGTTACATAATGCAGTTGAACTTAGCTGCCTCTCACAACACATTAGCTCAAAAAAATCCTGTAACACCAGTATGTTTGCCATCTTTTCAGGAGAGACTGGATTTCGCCATGAAAGAGATCATATTTGACCTGCTTAGTGTCGGGAAACCTGCCAAAGCCTTCAGTCTGAACCCGGAGGTACAGCAGATGATCAACTTGTCATGTAACAGGGACAGACATTTATGTACAGTCATCAGTCACCAAAGAACAAAGTGCCCTCTGTTGCAGCTTTGACAGAGAGTGCAACACCAGTGTGAAGAAGCACCTCCAGGGTTGATCATATACAGATTGATAAGAGGAATCTGGTCTTAAAAGCAGAACTAAGTTGTTAGAATACCTCCAGTGGTTACCTGCATCAAGTTTTAAAAAACACTGAAAACACAAATCTTGAAAGTAAAAGATCTGGGATGTGTACACAGAAAGATTCTTCATACCAGATCATCAAATCATTATTTTGCTAGCTCCTACAAACACAACAAAAACAACATCTCTTGCCAGATCTTAGTCAGCGAGTTGCATTATGGGTAATGTAGACACCAGATGTTGACAAGGAAAAGGATAAGGAAGATCGTTTCCTCTGCTTTGCAATAGACTCTAGGTTCTATTAATAGCATTTGTGGTGAGTATGTCAGTGGTATGAAGCTTGAACCACTTTCAAGTGATGTGCTGAGGTTAGCAGTCATCTAGTAAATATGTTTTCGAGAACATCAAACAAAGAAAAATGCATACAAAGGTGTTTCTGTTTTATAATATTCATTTAGTTTGTATTCATTTCCTCTCTTTGTTGTTATTATGATCATTATTTTAAGTTAGAGCCACAAATTGGATTGTGCTTCGGTTTTTCTGAATGGATTGAGGATGTTTTGTATTTGTGTTCCAGCGTATGAACATAGGTCTGCGGGCGTTCCTGGTGATAGCAGATGCTCTGCAGCAGAAGGACGGAGAGCCTCCCATGCCCAACACAGGGGCCACACTACCGTCTGGTAACTCGCTGAAGAAGAAGAAAACTTATCTCAGCAAGACGCTGACTGAAGAGGAAGCCAAACTCATAGGTCTGTGCGTTAGCTGAGATGTTTTCTACGAGCCTCTTATATTTGAATGCTTTCTCTGATGTCTCCGTCTTTTCTCCACAGGCATGTCTCTGTACTACTCCCAGGTGAGAAAGTCTTTAGACAACATCTTGAGACATCTTGACAAGGAGGTGGGTCGTTGTATGATGCTCACCAGCGTCCAAATGCTCAACAAAGAACCAGAGGACATGATCACGTATGTAAACATGAACCTGTGGCGTGGCGTATAACTCTGATTGATCATTTCATTTAGTTGCATATTTATCCTTGGTATGTTTGAAACTTATGCAGAACAAACAGAAGTAATTTGTCTTGTACTATCAATGTGTTGGTCTTTTTCTTGATACATTAAACAAAAAAATAGTTCTAATTAAAATATGTTGATTTCATAATTAACAATCAATGACTGAAGCTTCTTAACATGGTGAAACAGTTGTATATTGTATCAGGCTTAAGCACTGAGAAGGAGTTAAAAGTAAATTTATTGTCTAGCCTTCACATAATCAACAAAAGCCTTGTTTAATTTCTCGATGGAACTTGGAGAACCTCAAGAACAAGCTGTCGCTGAACATCTCAGACTGACAGGAAATTAATCTGAGCACCAGGGTCTCAAATCCTGCGACAGTCAAAGTGAGTCCTCTGAGGCCGCTGTCTTCCCCGCTGTCTAAGGACCTAACTCTACTTTAAGCTCAGGAGGCTGTGGATGGTGAATCTTTTTCTTGCCTCGAGTTTGCTAAATGTCCCATGTCTATCTCTCACAGGGGTGAAAGGAAGCCTAAAATCGACCTGTTCAGGACGTGCGTCGCAGCCATTCCTCGGATCCTCCCTGACGCCATGTCTAAACTTGAGCTCATAGACCTGCTCTCACGGTGAGTTTTAGTTGGAGCGACTTTAACTTGGCCTGACTTATTCGCTTGTTATATATTAACATAAACTTCTGTGGTTATTTCACGTCTGTCCTGCTGAGGCATTGTGGGTTTTTGTGTAGCCATTGGTATAGAAACATGGACTTTAACCTTTCTTATTTGTCCCTCAGACTTACGGTGCACATGGATGATGAGCTTCGCCTCATTTCACAGAACTCCCTACAGAGCCTGTTGTTAGATTTTTCAGACTGGAGGGAAGACGTCCTGTTCGGTTACACACATTTCCTTTTGCGTGAGGTAAGACTCACAAACTCAGAAGACACTGAAGGATTACATAACGCATTACACATCTATTACATGTGTTTAGTCAGAACTTACTGTACGCATAAATCATGAAGACATTTTTGTCATGATGCTGTTTTTTCTTTTTTATTGCTTTGAACACCTGCACGTCTCTGTCTCCTTGCATGTAGTCACTTGAAACCATAAGCCTTTTAGTTATCTGTGTGCAGACAGTTGTTTCTGTCGAGTTTTATCCTTTCTTGCTAAAATGATCCTCTCACCTCTCATAACTATTCCAGGTCCAAGACACACATCAGGGTTTGCAGGACGCATCTGTGAAGCTCCTCCTCCAGCTGCTCACACAGTGGAGGTTAGCTCTGCAGCTCCAGGGGAAGATGCGAGGAGGAGTTGAGGTTTGTAAAAGAGGAAGTTCACCCTGCTGATACTTGTATTGCAGCTTGTGTTTTTCCTCTTGTACACCAGGTGTAATGTGACATTGGTTTGAAATGATATTTATGATAAACAGGGTTAATCAATAGCTTATTGTCTCTCTTAACCATCAGTCCAGCCCAAGACTGCCTGAGCGGAGCCCTCACTGCTCAGTTCTTCATGCCGTTGAAGGTCTAGCCCTGCTGCTGCTCTGCTCATGTCAGCTCAGCACAAGGAAGCTGGCAATCGGTGTGCTGAGAGAAATACGCTGCCTCTTCACAGCTCTGGGACACGCTGACGTAAGAACAGGAAACTCAAGTCTACACCAAATTTAACAGAGATTGAATCCCGAGCTTCTCTCACTTTTTAAACCTCAGTGTAGATTTTTAGCCGACAAGTTGACATGAATTCAAACTTATCAGACAGTTAGTGGCCGATCTTTTGATGACAAGGGGTGGACATGGAAATATAAGGATATTTTCTCAAGTTGTATGGTGCTGTTAAAAAAATAGCTGACTCTATGAACGTCTACCCCTCCAGGATGATGACAAACCCATGATAGAGGTCATGGACCAGCTGAGTCCAGCTGTGATGGACAGCTTTGTTCATGTGGCCGTCTCTGACTCTGTAAGTTCGCAGGTATAAGCAGAATAAGCTCCAAATGACTTCTTTGCTTCCATGTCTTCATTTCAATCGTCTTCTCTCCTTTCCCTATAGTCCACCCTACCCCTCAACCACCATGTTGACCTGCAGTGGCTGGTGGAGTGGACGGCTCGCCTAGTTAGCAGTTCCTATGACGTGAAGAGCCCAAGCCATGTTTGGATCTTTGCTCAGTGCATGAAGGACCCATGGGTGCTCTGTCTCCACATTTTCTTGCGGCAGGAGCACCTTCCCAAACACTGCCCCACTGCTCTGGGATACGCCTGGCCCTACGTTTTCACACGGCTACAGCTGCTGCTACCACTGGTTGACCCAAAGTAAAGGAACACACATAAATAAAGTCTTAGAAGTTTCACTTTTAAATCTTTAAAGATACATGCTTATGAACATTTCTGTATTGTCTCTCTGCAGCAGCCCCGTGAACGCCAAGAAGACCAGCACTGCCGGCTCCAGTGACAACTACATTTCTCTGTGGAGGAACTACCTGATCCTGTGTCTGGGCGTGGCTAAACCGAGCATCATGTCGCCTGGTCACCTCAGAGCTTCCACACCGGAGATAACCGCCACTACGCCTGATGGCAGCGTCACCTATGACAACAAGGTGGGTGCTGGAAGAAGCAGCAGAGTTTTTGTTCAAATCTGGAAATTTCAGATATGTTAGAGACCAACAAGTGATTTTCAGGTAAGGACAATAATATTAGAATGCAATAAATTTCTAATACTCGTAATATATTGTTGCCCTGACAGATGTGGCTGATGGTAACAGTCATAAATGCTAAAACTTTGATATTTTACCACAGTGAGATTCTGGCTCATGATCACTGACGAAAAGGTTTATTTTATTTATTCATTTTTGAACAGATTTGACAGGTAATGTGACCTGACCCGTGTCTGTGCCTTTTTTTTTTTTGTTGTTCTCAGGTGATAGGCACTCCATCAGTCGCCTGGCTTTTAAAACAGCTTGTCCCTCTAATGAGAGCCGAGAGTTTGGAGATCACTGAGTCTCTGGTGCTGGGGTTCGGATGCACGAATGCTCTGGTCTTCAGGTACTAAAAACCAACAAAACACCTCAAACACATCAGATCAGAAAGCATGGAACTCCTTGCAGCTGCCAATATCCAAACTCGCACAGAAAACATTTAAAAAGACAACCAAAAAACATCATGGAAATTCATATCTGTAAAATAACACATGGGGTGCTACGCATGCTGGTAGGTTTTCTCGTTGTTGTTATTTTGATTTGTTTCACTCCTTTATTTTATTTTATTGTGATTTTCTTTTTATAATCATCAGTGTGTCTGGTTTATGTCCCATGATGTAGATAACAACCCATATGTTTTGTTTAAATCTAATGTAAGTTCCTGTCGACCCGTCTTGTCTTTTTCGGGTTCTGATCATAAATGTACGTTTAAATGTATTGTTTTCAAATGTGGACCCCATGATGACTAGCATTGCTATAGAGCACAGCTAATGGGGATCCTAACAAACAAATCAGAGTCCGACAAAATGAAGTTCATCACAAAAACAAGTGTTTGATTTTATGCTCAGACCGTGGATCCTGCTGTTTGCTGTTCTAATTTCATTCAGGCCTGTTGTTTTTCCGTGTGATTTTTCACTTTGGCAGAAGATAAACCCACACATTAAGCCCTCACAAAGAAAATGAATAATGTGCTAGATGTGGTCCTGACCTGTTACGTAAGAAAGACATGACTCATCAGTCTCTTAACGCTGCCATCCTTTATTAGTTATTCCCATCAGTCTTTACATTCACATCATAACCGAGATGAGCTGCATGCCTTTGAGACAGTCAGCGGAAAATAAACTTGTGTCACTGATGTAGAAGAGATTTCTCAAGGGGATAGAGATGTATCATATTTTTCAATAGACAGAGGATCCTTTGTGAAGCGAGGGTTTTCATTTTAAAGAGATCGTCTATTTTTGACCTGAAATATTTTCCAACAGAATACTCATTGTTGTAAAAGAGATTAATATCTCCCCAGACAAATTTATCTAACATTACAGAGTTTGGTTTTTAGGGCATTTGACATTTGGGTTGTGTAAGAGAGATATCTGATACAAACTCTCTGTTTCCTTAAATCAGAACATTCTCTGTCGATAAGGAAGTGAAATGAGATGATCACACTTGTCCTTCTCTCCTGTGTGTGTGTGTGTGTGTTTAGGGAGCTGGTTGAAGAACTCCATCCACTGATGAAGGAAGCACTGGAAAGGAGGCCTGAGGTAACACACACATGAACACACACAGACACAAACAAATGAAATAATAATGAATAATAATAACTTTATGTACATAGCACTTTTAAAAACAAGAGTTAACAAAGTGCTTTAACATGCAGGAAAACAAAGAAGGATAAAAATAACAGAACAACAAAAAGAGACGACTTGGGGGGGAAAAGAGCCTTGACAAGACTGAAACCCAGACTACTAATGTGACATTATTGGCAATAAAGAAATAAAATAAAATAAAAATCAGTGGAACACATAAAAGCTTAGCTGAGACATCATTAAAACGTCTCTGTAAAAATTAGGAAGGAAAATTTAGATTTATCAATCACAGAGAGAAAACTGTAAAAAAGAAATATGCATCCCCCACAAAGTATTTTAACATTTTAAGGCCCACTCATTTCACTGCAAATAAAACAGTGTATACTTATCCTTGGTAATGGTTTTGTGTTGCCCTTAAGATGCTCCCGGACACTAAAAATCTGGTGTGTTATTTCAGAACAAGAAGCGCAGAGAGAGGAGGGATCTTCTCAGGCTGCAGCTGTTAAGGATCTTTGAACTCCTGGCTAATGCAGGAGTCATCAGTGACAGGTACCACCTACATTCATACTCTGAGTGCTCTTGAGTTGTATCGGCAGTGATTTTTGGTTATGCATTTTGGCTCATACACTTAGGCGTAATCATTCTTTCATTGCTCATCTTATCACCCCGTCAGTGTGAAATGCAGCTGTCTCTTTATTGCTTCCCTGTGAACTTGGAGTCTGCAGATTAACATGTCTATCAAACAGATTACTTCTTTCATTTCAAAGATCATGTGTTCATCATCTGCTCTTACTTATTATAGCACCAACGGAGCGCTGGAGCGCGACTCCCTGGCACTCGGTGCCTTGTTTCTTGAGTACGTGGATCTCACTCGGATGCTTCTGGAGGCTGAGAATGAGAAGGAGCTCGACGTGCTTAAAGACATCAGAGCGCATTTCAGCGGGATGGTGGCGAATCTCATTCAGTGTGTTCCGGGTAAATAAGTGTGCTATTGTTCTGTTAAAATATATTCAACAGAGCACATATTTTTTGTGTGCGTGTTTTGCAGCTTTAAACTAAGTTTTCACTCCACAGATTTTACAAAAGTAAAAAATTGATTTTGAAATAAATCAGATTTTTGTCTTCTATTTTGACCCTTTTTGATTTTCCGTCTCCCTCTCAGTCCACCACAGGCGCTTTCTCTTCCCCCAGCAGTCTCTGCGACATCACCTCTTCATCCTCTTCAGTCAGTGGGCCGGACCCTTCAGTGTCATGTTCACACCCCTCGATCGTTACAGTGACCGCAACCACCAGATCACTCGCTACCAGTACTGCGCTCTAAAGGTAGAAAAAACTTCACCCTCAGGAGAAATTATTTAGCACTTTATTCTGCAATACTTTAGTGTTCACTTTCTTTCCGTCACACAGGCAATGTCAGCGGTTCTGTGTTGCGGTCCAGTTTTTGACAATGTGGGACTCTCGACTGACGGCTATCTCTACAAATGGCTTGACAACATCTTGGCCTGCCACGATCTTCGGGTAGGTTTAATTGTCTACCGAAACTCTACCTAAAGTTTTGTTCTGTTACGCTTTTATCTGTCGAATATAAAATAACGTTTTCCTCTAAAGGTGCACCGTTTGGGTTGTGAAGTGGTCATCCTGCTCTTAGAACTGAATCCAGATCAAATCAATCTGTTCAACTGGGCTGTAGACCGCTGCTTCACTGGATCGTACCAGCTAGCTTCTGGCTGCTTCAAAGCCATCGCCACTGTCTGTGGTAACAGGTGGGGAACTGTGTGGTTGTGAGAAATTCTAAAACAAAGACACTTAACATTCAGCAGCTTTTTTATTCAGACTTCATTCTTGATGCCACCCACATCTGTTGTCTGTTACATTTAAATAATCAGTTTTCATTCTAGCAAACAATTCATGACCATTTGTCTTTTCTTTTCCAGAAATTACCCATGTGACCTTGTTACCTTGCTCAACCTGGTGTTGTTCAAGGCGTCAGACACCAGCAGGGAAATATATGAAATCTCTATGCAGCTGATGCAGGTACAGACTGTACATAATAGAAAAGAACTCAATTCTCAGTTTGTAATATTGATTAACTGCACAAACTTTGCGATGCGTATCGGCAGTTAAATCTGTATGATGCGTCTGCAGGTGCTCGAGTCGAAGCTGTGTGCGTACTCGAAGAGGATGGTGGAGCAGAAGCCCGGTAATATTCTGTACGGGACGCACGGCCCTCTGCCCCCGCTGTACAGCGTCAACCTGTCCCAGCTCTCCATCCAGCTGGCCAGCATGTACCCCGAGCTCACTCTGCCTCTTTTCTCTGGTAAGTGTTTTCAGCTTGACATTACGTACAGGTCATGTACGGGGAGATCGAGTCAGGTTTTTGTCGTGTCAGAAATACCAAAACTGAATTGGCATCATATTTTTGTGGAAAAGCATGAAGTACTTATCACACCTCTACCTCATACACTCAAACATCATGTCTCTCCACACTGTGATGTTTCAACAGAAAATACTTCGAATTGAATAAAAGAAACTGAATTTTCAGAATGCTGTTTTCTTGGAACATTATTGTTTGGTGCAGCAATTCAGTGAACTGTTAACTCTCTAAACCCACACAGTCAGACTTCTTAAGAGTTCTCCGTATTTGCTCTTTCTGTTGTATTTATCTCCTCATGTGCTTCATACATTCCTTCCACTTCCACTTTTTCTTTTCAGAGGTGAGCCAGCGATTCTCAACCACACATCCTAACGGCAGACAGATCATGCTCTCCTACCTGCTCCCCTGGCTTAGTAACATTGAGCTCGTGGACACTGGGCTCATGCCCCCGGCCTCAAGTCCCTGCACGCCTGAGGAGGAGCCAAACGGTCAGGGTCAGGGTGTTGGTCTGTCTCCATGTCTACGAGGTAGCGGCTGGGGCTCCCTGCAGGCAACCTCACTTGTGCTCAACAACCTCATGTTCATGACTGCTAAGGTAAGAGGCCTTATCTGCAAGACTTTTCTTTGTATTTAAAAAAAAAAAAAAACACGCACGCTCTTTAACTGTTTTTCTTTACATCATCAGTATGGAGACGAGGTTCCTGGCCAAGAGATTGAGAATGCGTGGAACGCTCTGGTATCCAACGAGAGGTGGAGCAACAACTTACGGATCACTCTGCAGTTCCTTATCAGCCTGTGTGGAGTCAGTAGTGATACAACACTCTTGCCTTATGTAAGTGTAGTCTGCACGCCGCCTACACTGCTCTAAACTTGAAGTCCCCTCTTTAAGCGTTTGTCTTAAAAATATTGTGAAATATGATACAAGGTCAGTGTTGATTTGACAAATACGGAAAGCTTATGCTAAATGAATGTTTTATCTATTTCAGATCAAGAAGGTGGTGATTTACCTGTGTCGCAACAACACCATCCAGACTATGGAGGAGCTTCTGTTTGAGCTGCAACAAACCGACCCGGTCAATCCTGTGGTCCTGCACTGCGACAACCCTCCCTTCTATCGATTTGCAGCCAGCAACAAAGCCTCCACTTCACAGACAGGTAAAAGGACAGACCCCTGAGTATCGTGCAAGCTTAAAAACAGGTGAAACTGACTAGTTGACTGTTAATGTGGAACTTAATGAGTGTTTGTTTACATTTGTACTATCTTGTGTGTAGGCACCACCTCTAGCAGTAACACTGTGGTGGCGGGTCAAGATAACCTCGCAGACACAGATGAGAGCAAGCTGGTCAGAGACAGTGAGGATCGGTGAGTATTAATACAAACTTATCATACTTTAAGTAAATTTGTACTTTGTAAGTATAGAGATTCAACTTTCATGCCATTCATTGTCTCAGGAGGGCCAAAGCTCACAACAGACTGGAGTCTCGCTACAGCAACAGCTCTGGAGGCTCCTACGAGGATGAAAAGAGTAAGTCCTGTTTGATTTTTCATGAGAATGAATCTGAAAACTGACTGTATACTTAGGCTGTGTACTCATGCATGCAGCCCACAGAGACTTATAGCTGTCTATGATTTTTTAAAGGCTCCAGGACATGGATTCTGTATGTCAGACCATAATGTTAAATCCTTATTGTCAACAATCCTCTTCATACGCATGTAAAAGCTCAGAGTGACAGTCGCTTGTTTTTGCAAGGTGCACTCTAGAGGAACACCAGACAGAAACCTAGGTGTCGTTCACTGCTGTTGAATTTTGTCACCGGTGTCACAGCTGTAAATCAAACATGTTATTTGGAAACAGGCCAAGACCCACCATATGTCCCCTATGACACAGATACCGATTTATCCTCAACCACACTGATGGCACCAAGTCTATCTTTAGCAGGCGTCTGTGTTGGGAAGCTTCCACGTGTGAGTCTGCTGCTGCTGCTGCAGTCCTCATGTGACTGAGCAGAGCTGTAATGGACTGCCAGTAAAAGGCTGAATCCATTTTCCAAAACTCGATCTGGAAAACATCGAGCTCAGGAGAGTTTTACCGAGCCAGTTTTTTAATTGATTATAAAAACTCACTCACTTTAACCTTTAAAAAACAGGGGTTTGACTTAACAATAGGGCTTTTAAGCAATCAAAACACAACACAAAATAAAATGAATAAAACAAGAATAAAGATGGTAAATAAAGGATAAACAGTGAGGCATTTTTTTTATCAGTTTAACAGCATTGGTGGGGAAAAAATGCTATTTCTGTGGCGTGTTGCTAATCATCTGCTTCGACACTTAACTCCCTCTCAGCAGGTTCAGGCACTAAAAAAATACATTTTAGAAAGTGTCAGTGTTGTTTCTAACAGTCCTGTTTACTTTTGTAGGTGACAGAGAGGCAACACTGGGAATTTCAGTTTCTTTTATAACCAGTTAAAAATTCCTCACAAGAGTTTACCAAAAAAATGTCTGAATTTACATTTTTTTGAAAAGTTAATAATTTTGGAAATATCCTATTTTACTTTCTCCAAATTTGATGTCTAAAAAGTAAATGATGATGACTCCACCACTGGCCAGCTTATATAACTTAGCATAAAGATTATAAACAGGGTAAATGTCTTAAACACAGAGATCAGCGTGCTTTATCTTGTTTTTTTAAAAATGAAAGCAAAGAATTTTCAAAATTGCCAGTGAATGATTATGTTCTGAACTTTACCTTTTTGAGTACCAGATATTGAATTCGACCTTTTGGTTCCCGTACATGCTGATGAAGAGAGTTATTGAATATCTGACGTGTGTCTCACTCGTGTCGGATCATCAGATGTTTGGAATAGTTTGTGAATGACCTGTCAGAGACGCTTTCTGTCTCTGTGTTGCTTTGATGTTCCTTCATGGGAACTCTTTTTCTGCTCGGCAGCAGATGGTCAGTGTATTTTTAACAGATATCTTCAGAGTTTAGCGAGAAAGCCAGGCCCAGTATGTTTAATAATAATGATCACTGATTAACTGTGTCTTTATGAATTAACTGAGTCTCCGTTCTTTTGTGTAGCAGACCCACTCCCACCATATGCTGGTTGGTTACTGGGTGTTTTGGAGACGAACCACCCTCAGCCGTTACCCATGCCCGTTAACGGAGGCTGCTGGGCCCCTCTGGTCGACTACCTCCCAGAAACCATCACTCCTAGAGGACCGCTGCATAGGTACACTTCACTCACAAACATGAACGTACATGACAGAGGTAGTCATCTCTAAAACAACCTCAAAACAGACTCTGTGATCCAGCTATCAGCAGAGTCAGGAAACCAAGGTATTCTCTCACCTAGTAAGGCGTAGTTACACCTTTAACAGATGCTCTGATAAACTTCGGCGTGGAATGAGACAAAGCCAGCTGCTGTGATATGTAAAGAATGGATATCAGAGTGGATTTACAATCTACCTTCTTGTCTTCTAATGATATTCTGGTAAGATTTATAGATCATACAAATCATGTTAGGGTTTGCTGATTATAGTTATTACATTAATCTGATTGTGTTTAGGCCAATTTTCTTTTAATTGTGATATCGTGTCGAGACAGGTCAAATGATTCTCACAGTTACACAGCACACTCAAACATTTCTTTTCAGAAATCACTCATTTATAAAGTGAGAATTGAATATTTAAGTTTTTTTAAACTTAGCCCATTTGTCTAGAGTTTAACTAACGTTCAACCACAAACAAACTAGTTCTGACGAGTAAAATGTGATTATTTTACATTTTCCTTTGTCATCTTTGATAGTAAAATGAAAGTTTTCAGTTTAAAAATGATGCTGACGGAAAAGAAAAACAACCTGGGCACACTCAAACCTGGGAATTTTCCCTTAGACCCACCATCAGTGAAGGGTTTCCTTGTTATCCTTTTGTACTGATAATTAAAGAAATGTAGTTCAGGGAAATGTCGGTATTTAGTCCACTCCCAAGATTCTGTTGTGTCCTCAGGTGTAACATAGCAGTGATCTTCATGACTGAAATGGTGGTGGACCACAGCGTGAGAGAGGACTGGGCTTTACACCTGCCCCTGCTATTACATGCACTCTTCTTGGGTAGGTGTACACAACACAAACACAAACAAACACACACACAGCTAACTCAATTTGGTTTCAATTTAAACAAAGTGAACAGTAAAATACTGTCATTCTGGATAGTGTCTTATGTGGCGACATGAACTCTCGGGTGGGCCAACCACATCAACTGGACCTGAGGAGATAGAATCAAATGAATGATCATTCACTGCCCTCCTGAATAGGTTGTTTACATTCCCACACACAAGAATAACCTTCAGGTGTGTAGGTATTCTCTGACGTCCATTAAGCTCATGCCGTGACAGTCTCAGGTTTTATCTTTTATCCCACACAGACATGCGTTTCAGGACAGTCTGTTCTCTTGTGTCACAGCTGAGACATTCCCTCAGGGCCTGAGTTTCCCACAAAGACATTTGCTTAACATGTGGACACATATCTACACCACCAACGGTGCAGAACAGATATATCATTCACTCTGCATATTCTACATACTGACATGAGTCAAGATCAAGGTGTTCATTATCATCCATTTGAGTATGTGTGTATGTGTAATCCAACCTTTAAGAAGACAAGGTGCTGCATTATTCTGCTGACTTTGGCGTCATACTCGTCTGTATCTTGTTATTTTCCAGGTCTGGACCACTACAGGCCCGAGGTTTACGAACACAGCAAACGTCTCCTCCTCCACCTCCTCATTGCCCTCTGCTGCAACAACAACTTCCAGGTCAGAGTGGGAGCCTCAGAAGTGTTGTTTAGTACTAGACACAGTGTTACGAAAGAGGATTAGGGCCACATGAGGAGAAAAAAAATAATTACAGGAACAAGATTAAAGTTGAAATTTCGAGATTAAAAAATCGAAATTATGTCAATAAAGTCAAAATTTCGAGATCAAAAATTGAAATTTCGAGATTAAATTTGAATTTTCGAGATTAAAGTCGACATGAATTAAGTCGAAATTTTGTGGATTAAATTGAAAATTCGAGATAAAAGTCAAAATTTCTAGATTAAAGTCGACATGAATAAAGTTGAAATTTTGTGAATTAAATAGAAAATTCGAGATAAAAGTCAAAATTTCTAGATAAAAGTCGACATGAATACAGTTGAAATTTTGTGAATTAAATAGAAAATTCGAGATTAATTTGAATTGAGGTCGAAATTATGAGATTAAAGTCGACGGAGATAAAGACGAAATTTCATGAATAAATTCGTAATGTTGATACATACGTGCTATACAGCGAGGCTGTATTGTATTGCAAGATACATAAGACAACTGATCAAGTTGATTGATCCTGAAGGTGTGGAGCACAGATGAGGCGCAGGCATTACCGAAGCCGAGGACCCAATGCGCTTTGGCACATGGATGGCTACGACAAACTTAAGCCATACGGCATTTCATTTCGATTTTTTAAAATTTCGACTTTAATCTCGAAATGGAAATTAAAAAAATCTCCCTCCTGTAATTATTTTTTTCTCTTCTTGTGGCCCTAATCCCCTTTCGCACAGTGTTCATGGGAAGTTATCAGGTGAAATAAGATCATACCTTTTTCAGATGAGCTTCAACAGTCACTAACGGAAAGTTGATGTTGTGTTTCTAGGTCATAGCCTCCGTTCTGATGCTGACAAGAGAAATCAGTGACAACAAGACCCTCACTATCAAGTCCAGCTACCACACAGAGTACCAGCAGTCACGTAAGTTTAAAGCACAGAGCAACTTTTCCCACTCTGATCGACTCTGTGACAATTGCTACTGTAAATAAATGCTTGTTTTACCAATTTTTCATATGAATATGCTGATAGAAATGAACTAAAAAGGTCAACTACCAAATAACATAAAAGCAGCAGTAGTTCACCTTTCTTTTATCATGTTCCCTCAGATGCGCCTGACTTCCTGCGAGAGTGGCAGGCATCCCCAGTTGTAGACTCTGGCCTCAGCTCCACCTCAAACTCCTCCTCTGCCAGTCTAGGTGGCGGCAGCACTGCAGGCAGTGTTGGAAATCTGCCCCTTGTAACACCCGACGATCTGGAGGACCTGGAAGACGCGCCCAATGAGACGGACGAGAAGACGAACAAACTCATCGAGTTTCTCTCCACCAGGTACACAAACTCACATAGAGAGAGGTGATGTTGTAAGCCATTTTAGGTGTGAATCTATTCCAGGTGTGAAAAATCTCACTGTGCGCATGGAGTGCATTTTAGTGCTTGTGTAATGTGTATGTGGTGTTACTGGTGGTGGGTATACAGTGCCTGGAGTACTGTGTTGTCATTGCTCAGAGCGCTTGGGCCGCTGTGGGTGCATGAGGACATCACACCGAAAAACCCCAACTCCAAAAGTACGGAGCAGCTCACCAACTTTCTGCGCCACGTCATCTCTGTGTTTAGAGAGTCCAAGTCAGGTGAGGAAAGGAGTTTGGTTGATTCTGTTGTCTGAATATTCTGAACATGATCTGGAGTGTCTTAGAATATCAAGTCCAAAATTCTGATAAAAACAACTTCGTATGTTTTCCTACTTTTCTATTCATACAGATTTCCATCTAGAGCAGCAGCTTAGCGATGTAGCTCTACAGACGGCTCTGTGCAGCTCTTCTCGCCACTACGCTGGGCGTTCCTTCCAGATCTTCAGAGCCCTGAAACAGCCGATCAACAACCATGCGGTTGCAGACCTGGTGTCACGCCTCGTCGAGGTGGTAGGGGAGCATGGAGACGAGGTGCAGGTAAGAGAGGAGAGGCTGAGTCTGAATGAATTATCCATGCCTCCACATCCTGCTCACTCTACAGATAGTTGTGCATTTTAGAATCGAATAGAATAGCCTTTATTGTCATTATGCAGGTTATTACTCAAAGAATTGGAGAGGCTTCTCTGCTGGTGTGTTATACTGTAAATATGAATATGTTTGCTGTCCAATAAAAAACACGTATCTCCAAAATTTGTTTGTTTTTTCAGGAACATTAAAAAACTATTTTTATTCATAAACTACCTTACAGAATAAACCCAAAACACTGTAATTAGACACAATTAGGACCTGAAATCAAAATCTATATTTACACAGTCATCATTGATCTGTTTGATATTGTAAACGGACTTACCTGCTTTGCGTTGTGAGTGATAGTGGAGATACATGTTTTTTTAATAATGCACTCCAATGACTTTTGGTTAAAAAAAAAAAAAGTCCTGATCGCTAAAAGTGGAGATACGTGTTTTTCATTAGACGGCGACAATATGTTCGTCTTGCAAACATTCTTAAAAACAACCAACAAGTTAAAAAAAGACAGACAAGCAATCAGCATCACAGCAATGACATGAAAAAATATCACAGGAAAATTTCTAATATTGCAGTGAGGCTATTGCACAAGGATTGCATACCTGTACATGTTTGCAGTATTGCACAGTGGGTGAGGTAGTGTGTCAGGTGTGAGGGTTATTGCACATGAGTGTTCAGTCCAGAAATGGCTTCGGGAAGAAACTGTCTCTCAGCCCGCTGGTCCAGGTTCTGATAGACCTGTAGCGCCTGCCTGAGGGCAACATTTCAAAGAGGTGGGATTTTGGTGCTGTGATTGAATTCAGTCCATGTTTCAGGGTTATGTGATGGAGGTGCTTTTGACGCTGGAGTCAGTGGTCGTGAATCTAGCAGAATGCCTGAAAAACAGCGACTTAATGGCAGCGTTAACCAGGTAGGTCTCTCTAGTCCTATTGAACAAAATATTTTAATCTAATCTCAAGAATTTCATGTTGAGAATTTCTCAACAAAGCCGTGCTCAAGTGTTTCTATCCTCCCTGTGTTTGATTTTTAGGACATCCTCACCAGACTTTGTGACCAGTGACAAACTGATGAACAGAAAGAGTACAGGTCAGCTGAATTTCCCTGGTCCTGGATTTGTTGGTCTGTCTTCGCAGCGGCACCAGCGCTCCTACTCCGTCCCTAAGAAGTTTGGGGAGTGTGGCCATCATGCAAGTGATCCTCCTCGCAGTGCAACTCTGGATCGCATACAGGCAAGAAAAGAAGACGCCTCTCCTGCAAAGAAATACACTTGTGGATGAGAAGCGTATCACTAATACAATTAAAAACTTTTTTTTTTTAATCGACAGGCTCTCAACAGTCATGGCCTTTCCAGATCAGGTAGAACCCCTGGGTCTTGCACATCATCGACCAATCGAATCGATCCGAGTGTCCTCTCCGACCCCGCCCATATCTCCCATCCGTCATCAATACTCGCTACAGTGTTCTGGGTAGCGGTGTCACTGATGGAGTCAGACTTCGAGTTTGAATATCAGATGTCACTCCGCCTTGTTCACAAGTTGCTGTCAAAGGTAAACAAGCCAAGATTCAAGAGAGGTTGGATTATCAGCGATGTGCAGAAATCTGATCAACCGTTCTGAAATAATCCTGATGGTGTCCGATTGCATAACAAGTGCACACTAAATCATTCAAACAGCTTCGGTTCAGTTACAGTTGAAGCTGAAAAACCTTTTTTGTTCCCAGGTGCCATTAGACAGAGCAGAGAACCGTGAACGCCTTGAGAAGCTGCAGGCTCAGCTGAGGTGGAGCGGCTTCTCTGGGATTCAGCAGCTTTTGTTAAAAGGTTTCACCTCCCAGGCCACGTGCGATCTCACCTTACAGCTCTTCTGCCAGCTCACGCCTGTCTCACGAGTGCCCGTCGTTGACAGCTCACAGTCCATAGGTGGGGATCTTGGGTTCATGGTTATGTGTGGTCATCTTGTGTTATTGTTTGTACTGCATTATGTGGAGGTAAATTCTTTCCGTTTCATGCAGGTTTTCCTCTGAACGTGCTGTGTTTGCTGCCTCACCTGGTGCAGCACTTTGGCCACCCGAATCAGTTTTGTAAGGAGAGCGCTGAAAGGATTGCACAGGTAATGACTTCTTTTGATTTCTGCCAAGTACTCAGTTTAGGTGAGGTCAGGCCGTATCAATTATTAAACCAGGAAAGAGAAACAAGCTTGCACAGAAAAGAAAAGTACAAAGTTATGAACACAGATGCACAGATGCTCATAACAATGCCTCCTCCTCCTCCTCCCTCTTCTTTCCTCCCTCAGGTTTGTTTGGTGGAGAAGAATACAAAGCTGTCCCATCTGGCCCATGTGATGACCCTCTATAAAACACGCTCCTACACACGAGACCCTTTCTCTTGGGTCAGTGTGGTCTGTCGCTACCTCCACGAGGCTTTCTCCGACATCACACTCAACATGGTCACTTATATGGCTGAGGTAAGTGCTAATGGGTCTGCATTTTCAAGCTCATTTTAAGGGTTCATTTAGGTTCAAGTTGGCGTTCACATACTCACTGAATGTCTTTCTCCATTTTACAGCTGCTAGATAAAGGACTTCCCAGCATGCAACAGTCTCTCCTTCAGATCATCTACTGTCTACTCAGCCACATGGACCTGACTGCAGTTCAAGTCAAACAGTTTAACGCTGATGTTACTAAGACCATTGAAAAGTTTGTCCAGGTAGCTGTCCATGATTTTTTGTTCAGTGTTTGTTGTTAAAGGGATATTCTGGCGTAAATTAATTTAGGCTCAAACACACCGTAACACTGAGTTAGACACCCCATTTAGAGATAAATGTTGCCGACTGCTTGCTTCTCTAGTTATACCAACTTTAGTAACGACCGCACGATAGCAAAATACAGCGGTCTGAGGAGCCAAGCACTCAACCAAAACGTCACTCTATAGCCACAAATAATGCTCAGAACAGCACCTAACTTCATCAACAGTACATATAGGGACCCAGCCATAGCACTAGCCACCAAACATTTTTTTAGCTTTGCCTGATATCTTTAGCAAAGAGACTAAACACAACTCACCTACTCTCCTCCAGCAGCCCCTTGTTTGTAGTGAGACCTCAGGCCAGTCCATTACGGACTACAGCGGGGTGACGCAGCTCAAGGAAGAACATTTATGATCATTACTTTATCATTTCCTTGAAGTAATAATCACCAAATTAATCCTTTTGCACTGCAGACGCGGTAGTTCTTCTGCCTTAGCGTCTCGGTCTGATTACATTTCCATGAAGAAATGATCATAAATGTTCTTCCTTGAGCTGTGTCACCCCGCAGCAGTCAGTTTGGACTCGTCTGAAGTCTCCGTACAAACAAGCGGCTGCTGGAAGAGAGTAGGTGAGTTGTGTTTAGTCTCTTTGCTAAAGAAATTAGGCAAAGTTAAAAAGATGTTTGGTGGCTAGTACTGTGGCCAGGACCCTATATGTACTGTTGATGAAGTTAGGTGCTGTTCTGAGCATTATTTGTGGCTATAGAGTGGCGTTTTGGTGGAGCACTTAGCTCCTGAGACCGCTGTGTATTGCTATCTGTGGTCGTTACTAAAGTTGGTATAACTAGATAAGCAAGCGGTCAGCAACATTCATCTCTGCGTTACTGTGTGTTTGACCCTAATTTAATTTTATGCCAGAATATCCCTTTAAGTTTGCGCTGCCCTCTCAATTAAAACATGTCTTTGATTTTATAGACAGTACACTGGAAGGATGCCTTGAACATCCTGAAACTGGTGGTATCACGCTCTGCCAGCCTAGTTCATCCAGTGTACGGCCACACACAGGGTGACCTGTCAAACCTGGAAGTCAGCAGGGTGTGGGATGGTTCATCCAAGGCTTTACCTGGAAAAACCCTCGACTTCACTTTTGACATCTCTGAGGTAAAGAACTTAAAATTGATCTTTTGTCATTACATGTGCATCTCTTTGAAGTCTTAAAGTGGGAGTACATACATTCAAAATCATCCTTGTTTTCTCATAGACTCCAGTAATTGGGCGACGGTTCGATGAGCTCCAGGGCTCGGGGGTTAGAGAGGGGAAGGCCAGAGCCATGGCTGTTACCCGCAGCACTTCCTCCACCTCCTCTGGATCAAACTCTAACACTATCTTGGTTCCTGTCAGCTGGAGGCGACCGCAATCCTCTCAGGTAGATTGCAGCTCCTACAGTATTTTGTAATTTTCTGATTTAGCCTTTAAAGTAAATCCTTTTAAGTTAGTTTGCTTCTTTTTATGTATTCAACAACAAACACATTTGTGCCTTTACTGCCTTTCTCAGTTTTCTAAGAACAAGAACAACTCTGTAAGACTGATTGATTGTTGTTATAAAAACTGAATTAATTTAAGATGTACAAGCAAAGAAACAGGAAAGACCTCTTGTCTGACAAGGATTATATCTACTCTGTTTAATTCTTTTTTTCTCTTGCTTTCCTTCTTCTACAAACAGAAAAGAACCAGAGAGAAGCTCGTCAACGTTTTGTCTCTTTGTGGACAAGAAGTTGGACTCACCAAGAACCCATCTGTGAGCTACTTTCCGCCTCTTCTTTTAGATACTCAACCCTCACCGTGTGCTTCTTCTAAACAGCCACATACATTTTAACATGAGGATATAAGACGCTTGAATTTTAATGTAGCGTTTCGTGAACTCTGGAAGTTAAGCTTTGGTCATTTTATCAGAAGAAAGCGTCCACTGTCACGCTTGATATTTAAAGAGGATAATGCCACCATCATTTTTAAAGAAGTCATGGCTTTCATGCAGACCTCATCACCTTTCTCGTCTTGTTTTATCAGGTGATCTTCTCGTCTTGTGGCGACTTGGACATGATGGAGGTGAGAGAGAGCGGCGTGTCGTCAGAGGAGGGCGGAACGAGAGAGGACACGCTCGACGACACTGCCAGTGAGCAGCAGTTTCGTGTTTTCAGAGACTTTGACTTCCTGGACGTGGAACTGGAGGACGGAGAGGTTAGATTTATATCCTACTCAGTTTTACTCACGAACACTTTGATGATCACGTTTCTGTCTCTGTTTTTTCTGTCTGATCTTTTAACATGTGTTTAATTTTCCACCTGTCGTTCTTCAACCACAACATATTTGAAATGTATATCTCTGCCCCTCCTCCGTGTCTCTCTCTCTATCTAACTCTGTGTCTCTCTCTCTTTCCCTCGCTGCCTAGGAGCTCCAGGTAAGGTCTCTCTCCCACTGAGCACTCACATTGGCTTTTATCAGTGCTGTGGTGTTGCTGGCCCCTTTGTTTCCCCTTGAAGAAAACAAAGATGATTGTGCTTCATTTTGCTCTCACAGCTTGGTTGCCAAACTATATTTCTGACTATACTGCTACATGCCATACCGGATACAAATGATACTACACAATCTTTTATGGGACAAGATGATCAGTTTGGATGCAAACAGCCTTTCCAGCGTATTTCCATCTCTTGAATAACAGTTCATTTTGCATCTTGTGCTTGTCAGACGCTCTTAGGGAATAAATATTCAATATCTTGGAAGTTGAAATGAAAATGTTCTCACTGCTGCCCTTTCCTCTGCCCTTGTGCCATGTGTCTGTGCCTGTTATCTAGGGCGAGACAGTCGATAACTTTAATTGGGGCGTGCGTCGACGATCACTGGACAGCACGGAGCTTGGGGACCTGCTGGAAGAGAGCCAACACTCAGGCAGCACTCCCAGTCTCGGACACGAGGACCCCCATGACTCAGATGAGTCATCAGAGGAAGAGGAGTCTTCGACTAGCCAGAGTCTCTCTCACTCTCAGCTTGTGCGTAGTCATAACTGTGTGATCAATACCCCATTCACATCCACTGCAGTCTGAAATATGGATTGTCTCTTATCTCTAACAACCAAATAAGGGGCGTAAGTCCATCAAACTCATAGATATACCTGATCTGCTTTCCTATTCCAGACTAACCCTTCTCCATCGGAGGAGACCAATCATACTGATTCTCTGTCTACTTCTTACGACACTTCTGCCGACCCACAATCCCTTAATGCCACCACGCCAGGCCAGGGAGCTCTCCACGACGAACTCAGAGGCTTACATGTGAGGAATAATACTCACATATTGTACACTTTTGTTTTTAAACCGAATCTGCATGACGTTTAGAATAATCAAACACCCTTGGATCTTCAGGGAAGGGCTTGTGGCGATGATGAAGACACTCACGCTCAGGATGACGAGCTGTCACTGAGCGCAAACGAGATCCCCCAAGGCTCCGACGGTGGCGAGAGCTTCACCCTGGAGCTGCCGGGGCAACCTCAGGATCAGCCTCTCAATCTTGGCCGTGGCTTCAATCCTGAGTACTGCCAACCACCTCTGGACTTTCTAGACCCAAACTGTCTGCCCAGGTGAGTGTGACAGGAAGGAGTGTGGGGATGGAACAGCAGACATATTGATTGTAGATTATCTGAAAGTTGTGGGACAAAACTTTGGTCACATTGTAGTCTGAGGGTTTATTTTTTACCAGTTTGAACACACAGATCAGTAGATTAGTTCATGAACGGGTCTGGAACCATTCAGTTTTTCCCACTTTTTCTGAGGGGATGATTGCAATGGTTGCATACAAAGGCGCCCCTGAAACCAGTAAGGTTAACACAACATGTGATGTAATGCAGAGCAACACCAACAGTGGCATACAGAGGAAAAAACACCTTTCTCTCCAAGAAAGCTTTAAGGCTCAGTTATTTTCTTTCCTAATACTATATGTACCAGATCTAGACAACAGCAATCCTACTGTTCAGCTCATGTAGTCCCATGAGACATCTGTTTACTTTATTTTGAAATAAATCCTTTCCTCTTGGGAAGGATAAAGTGCTTTTTTTTCAGCTGTGTCCCCGTTTCTTTCTCTTCGTTTTCCATGGCTACAGCTTGCGCGATGATGTGGATGACTTGGAGGACCTCGGTTTTCCTCCTCCTCCCTCCCCATTCTTCTCCGCCATCCTGGCAGCCTTCCAACCCACGGTGTGTGACGACGCTGAAGAGGCATGGCGATGCCACATCAACCAGCTCGTGACCGACTCGGACGGGTCCTGCGCCGTCCACACGTTTCAAGTCTTCTCATCTCTTTTCAAGGTAAATGACTAAAAGTAATTCTTTTTTTATAATTGCTTTGAAGTCATCAAACTCTGGAAGGATTTAAATGACATTTCCACTCTGTTAACTCTGTAAACTAACTCTGATATCCCTCAGGATTTTTTTAGTCACCTGTGTAAAACAGTCCATGAAGCCCTAAATCTTTGTTTTTCTTTCCCAGAACATCCAGGGTAAATTCTGCCTCCTGACAACTGATGTGGCCACATACCTTGGAGAAGGTTTAAGGGGCATTGGATCAAAGTTCCTGAGATCCTCACAGATGTTAACCACATGCTCAGACTGTCCCACAATCTACATCGATGCTGAAACAGTGAGGAGTATTGACTTGGCATTATTTATTTTCTTTGACTGGCCCTCTATTGAATTGTCATAACATGTCAAACGTATTTTTCACCTCCTGGTATCTTCTTCTTTGTAGATCATGTCATATGGTCTCCTTGAAAAAATGAAGTTCTCAGCGCTGGAGCTGCAGGAGTATCTGGATACCTACAACACCAGAGAGGACGCCGCTGTATCGGTAACCCCGCCTCTTCACCGTATTCATGAATTTATTGTTTTTTATGTAATGTAAGAAACAAATGAATGATCCTTCTCTCAATTTGCATTTTGCTGCTTTAGTGGTTGAGGAACTGTAAGGATACATTTCCCAGGTGCCCCGGTGAAAGTGTGGTAACCTGCCAGCCAGGAGACTCCGAGGAGAAGGTACAGACATTTTTATCCTGTAACATGGAGCTTTCAGGCAAACACACTCAACATACGAGGAACTTCTTCACCTGTGCTTTGCGTATTTGTTCTCCTTCTTCTTCTTCGCTCTTCTTTCACACTGAGAAGTTTGCTCTCTCTGCATGTTTGCTGTGTGTTTTGTATTTTGCCTCTCTGATTTTTTTTGTCCACAGGCATCGAGGTCAAAATAGGATTTACTGCTTGTCTGGGTGTATTAAACATTGTTGACTAATTCTGACTGTGAATAGCCATTGTTTACTCTGTGCTGTGCATGTGTTTGATTGACGCTCTATCTTCCTCTCACCTCACTCTGACGCCCTAACATGCTCTCTCGCTGTCTAGCAAATGGAGTCTCTTGCAGTAAGTTCTCTTCCAAGTTTCTTCACTTCACTGCCCTAAATTCTACAGTAAACTGATTGATTTACTTTGCGCAGTATAACTATTTAGACACTGATGTTTGTTTGTATTACTTCTGCATGTGGGTATAATTATTATACAGGGTATGATTTGAATGAGCTGCCTTGTTATTGTGTCTTCCTCTTCCATGCTGCTGTTAAATCTGTTTATTCATTACTGTCTTCTAGCAACTGGAGCTTTGTCAGAGGCTCTACAAGCTGCATTTCCAGCTTCTGCTGCTCTTCCAGTCCTACTGCTCACTCATTGGTCAAGTTCATGCCATCAGCTCTGTGCCCGAGGTAAGTCAACTCATATTTCAGTAGAAATCATTTATAGTCTTGACACATGGAGCTCTTTTATTGTTGAGTATTTATTTATAATAAGGATTAAATGTAGGGCTGGGCGATATGGCCTCAAATCAGTATCAGGATACATTAAGCAGATCATCTTGATAATGATAAATAGACAGTAACTACTCCACAAGCTGCTCACCCCCTCCCACATTAACTTCATCTTCTTCAGCCGCCACTTTTGAACCGTCCCCCATCTCCTCACCTGTCTTTCCTTCTTTGTTATGGACTGGATGGAGTGGCATCAAGTCTCCGACGTAGGACAGCATCTTAAAGAGACATGAGATCATCGCCTACCTACACACATCCAAAACCAACTTTTATTTATTTATTGTTTTGACACCGAATATATTGACATGGGCAAAATGATGGCGATTATTGTCGTTAATTTCAGTATCAGTAAACTTTAAGTTTATCTCCCAGCCCTAATTAAATGTATGCTAAATACTGTGTCAAACTCTAATAATGTATTAGACTTAGACAAGGGTAAATGGCTTAAGTATGCTGTCGATGCTTGTACAGTTACGGATTAGTGTTCAAATCAATGTCAGTATTTACAAGTATATCCTTATGTTTGTTTCAGATAAAACTGAGTTGGTTGGTATCAGTCGCTCATTGAAATTCCTTTGTACACCAAGTGACTGCTCACAATCTTTACTGATTAACATACTCAATACTGCAGACAGGGTGCAAGGAAAGTTAGTCAAAAAGTCAAGTTCAATAAACAGTGAAGAATAACAGCTCAACAACAACAACAACAACAGCAGCTTTAAGAATAACAAAAACATAAACAAAGCTAAGTAAGAATACAGAGAAGTAAATGTATTCAAAACCCACCTGAGTCACAGCAGACTTGTCAGATTTCCTCGCTGCACAGAAAAGCTTAAAGAGATGGAAACAGGCAATCACAGTCTGTTGCTTTTGCTAAATGTCTATAAAAGCTAAAAAAAATAAAAAAAAACCCTGCTGTTTTGAAATATCTCCTCATTAAATATTGTAAAAGCTTACATTCATCAACACCCTCACTAAACCAGCATCTGTCTCCCTCCCTGTAGCTGCTGAACATGTCGCGGGAACTGACCGATCTCAAGACGAGCCTGCAGGCTGCGGAGGCGGCTGTAGCCAGCGACTTGGAGCACAAACTCCTGGCTCACACACATGCGCACACCACCCAGATGGCAGCAGTGGTTGTCCCCAGCTTCCCAACATCTGAGGCAGCCGTGCAAGCCATACTGGAGTGCCTTAAGAACCACGAGTTCACCAAAGCTGTGCGTTACATCCAGGAGTGCAGGTGAGTTAATCTCAGTCTAAAAATAGAGGTTATGGTTACCAGGTAACATGAAGTGGTTTGTTCTGGCTGTCATGCTGGCTCAGCTGTTTTAAGGACATTGATACTTGACTTTCATATAAAGGTGAAGGTGTGACAGTCCTGTCCTAAACAGGCTGTATGAAAAAGGTTATAGATCGTAGGTTACATTGAACCTTGATTTAGCAGATCTCCAGGGTCATCGGTCACATGTTGGGAGCAGGAGAAGAAACGATTGGGTCGTTGATGTCTTTTTTTGTATTTCTCTTCCAGGAGGCAGTGGCCCAGCGGAGTATTTGGTGGCAGCTCAGAGAGCGAGGTCCAGACGCTGCTCAACGTTTACTTCCGGCACCAAACTCTGGGCCAGACTGGAACCATCGCCCTGGTCGGTTCCCGGCAGGACCTCAGCCTGATCTGCTCCAAGCTGCTGGAGCTCAACGGGGAGATCCGCGACATGATCCGCCGCGCCCAGGGTTACCGGGTTGTCACAACCTACCTCCCCGACTCCAGTGCCTCCGGGACCAGTCTCTGACAGGACCTCAGGAGCCCCCCACCCCCTCCTCCCCCACCCTTACCTCAACCATTGACGCTTCCGAAACCATCCCCACATCCACCTCAGCCTCATCTTACAGAGGAGTCCCAGCACCCTCACACCTGGCCCCTCCCTCCTCCTGTGTGTCTGCTGCCCCGGCTGCACAGCTCCAGACAGATACCTGCTTACTCCCCCGCCCGAAACAAAAACCACATTTAGACCCAAGTCTTTCTTTGACGTCCTCATCTCCATCTGCTGTAGACTCTGACAGCAATTTCCCCGATTTTCCCAACCCCCCCGATCTTTTCTCATCACACAGATGCTTGAACGCACCCAGCAGACCAGACTTTACACTGCCACGCACACACAAGCACAGGAGAACTTATCAGGATGAAAATCCAGACCTCTACAACCCTTTCAGAGGACATTCATCACACAGCTCTCCATTGTTAAATTTACACAGCAGCAAACACCTGAAATCAACTCTGACCTCTAATGTCTTACCAACTGTGGCCTCAGAACCCACCCTTCTCACACAGTCCGACAAAAACACATCACCCACTCCCCCCAGAGGCTCACATCTCCCCCATTTCCCCAGCTCTCCATACAAACACTCAGCCCCATCCCCCACACTACACCCAGGCCACAGCTCAGTCTTAACGCACAGCCCTGCTCCATCCTCGTCGCTCCTCACTACCCCACCTCCTCCTCCTCCTCCCCCCTGTCCCACCGGCCCAGGTGAGGCTGCAGCGTGGGGTTGCTGTTGCTCCTTTGGAGGCGCTGCTGCACCCTTATCTCGCTACCTGGGGAAGGTGGGGCATGCTGCCGGGCCTCTGTTAAAAGCAGGGGGGCTTCTGAATGCTGAGCCGTCTGATGTCCAGACCTGAGACTGTAATCTAACGATGAAAACTGACCTGAGGAACTTTGAGATTTTTTTAAAACAAACGCCTGAAACCAAGAATTTCTGAGCAACAATCGGAAATGTGGTTCTCAGGAAGAAAGGCAACTGATCCAGAAACCCTAAGACTTGATAAGATATATCACTTTACCCTCTTGACACAGATGGCTGCCTGCTGATAAAGATGACCTGATGTGACTCTTTTTGAGTGCTAGTTTTGCTTTACAGCTACATGTTGTAAGCCTTCGGTGTTCCACGTCCGTCTCAATGGTCATTATCCAGCATATAATCTGCTCTGCACTTGAGGACCTGTGAAAGCTTTTAGCTTTTTGCACCTGCTTTCCAGACGAACTCTCAACCTGTTTGAACTTGATTGACTCTTAGCTGCCCCCTACAGGAGGACAAGAGAGTAGTTTGCTGGGAGTTTCAGTGAAACAACTCCTCCAGACACTACGATATGTCACTGGTAGAGTTTATCGCTATTGCACTAAGTGGAATTTATTTTGGTATTAGTTTTTAAAACAAAATGAGATTGTGTTACTGTTTGTTTTGTTACTGTGAGAGAGGAACAAAAATCGAAAACTTTCACTGCGAAGGAAAAGCCCAAAGCTGGATGAACTCTTCTCTCCTGTTGTGTCTACTGTTTAGAGACCTCACGTTGGAGGAAATTGTGCAATGCATGACCCAGGTGAATGCTTTCTACTGTATTTGTGTCCCTGTTTCTCCCTAAAAAGTCTGACCTCTGCAGACTGACTGAAAGACTGATGGACACAGAGCGGATGCCGAATATTCAAGCGCTATTCCTCGTGCTGCCCTTGCTCTGTTTATACTCTGTATCAGTGAAGCAGCTTATCTCCTGACTACTGTTGTAAACGTTGGTAGAATAATCATGCCATTATCCGTGCACTCCTCTGTGGCTAGTGTTAGCATCATTAGCGAGTGTACACAGTATATTTCTCACTGTCCTACACTGTATCCAGCTGACCTTATGTGTTCACATGCAAAATGGACTGTGCATGTATACACTCAAATATTTTGTCTCTGTGTCTTCTGTTACTAGTAATAGGCACACAACCGTTGTAGCATATGTTTGTGTGTGGTATGTAGCTACCTTACACGTAAGGGAAATGCTGACATTCAGCACTCATTGTTGATGTTCAAAACTAAACCTGTGCTACTACTGAAGTTCAATACTTTGTCATCAGACCTTTTGTGACCGTTTCCCTTCTGAAGGTTATCTGCTGTACAAATATCTTTTTTCCTATTTATATCTGAACTGCTACAAATCACTCATTTGACTTCAGTTTTATATTGATGTTCTCTCAAATCAAACTGCCATGCATGCATTGTCTTTGTACTGTCTGGAGTGTTTGAAATATTTATTTGCAAAGAATCATTTTATCTGAAAGATATGTTTGAATGAGGTACAAAAGGGAGCTTCAAGCTCATGCGGGTATGCTTTTTTTTTTTTTTTTTTTCCTTTGTGGGAGAACGTGTGTGTGCATGCCAAACATGAAATTGCACATTTTTAAAGCTTTTTAGATTCAGACTGTAGTCGTTTTTTTCACCTTGTAAATACTTTTACAGCCTTTATGAAGTTGTTTTCAGTTGATGCTCTGTACAAGTCAGCGTCCAAGTAAAAGACATGAAAATCACGTCCACTGCATTTCCTTTTGAAACTCCCAAACAAGCATTTCACCTACAAGAATTTTTCACCTCTTGAGAAGAATTTGTTATTCTTCACGTAAATAGTTGTCACGTCAAGCACCAGGTTTACTGACAACAAGGCAGTCCTTTATTCAGAAGCTGCTTCAAATGAACAACTCGAGCAGAGTTTCAGCCACTTGCTGGAAGGAGAAGAATTGAATTTCTCAAAGTCTCTCACAGGAGACAACTTCCACTTTCTGACACACCTAGAAACAATGTCTGATATTTTGATTGTACCATCAGATCTACATGAGTAAAGGGTGATTCCAGCCAGTGTGGTCATACAGTGCAGCTCAAACAATGTATTTGAAGCTGTAAGTGGCGTCACAGGACAGCCTCATGCCCTTGCAGCGACAACACAGGTCCTGGCGGTGAGCCCTCTTCATGTTGATGTGCCTCTGCTTCTTCTCACAACTGCAGGAAGTCAGAGAGCAGCCCTGTGAAACAGGAGACGTATCAGTTCAAAGCCAGTCGTAAAAATTTGATTTCTTATGTTTTATCTGCGGGCTTTGAAAATACCTTGCAAAGGATGGACTCCACTCTGTAGGGGTTAAACCCCACCTGACACTTCCGGCAGAGCTGCTTGAAGTACACCTTGAAAAAAATGAAAATAACTTCTAGTTCTGATTTTTCCGCAACATATGAAATAGATTGCATGCTAGTCCATTTGGTACATTGCTGTATTTAAGATGGCTCACCAACCTTACTGGTTCCAGAGATGCACCACACATAAGCACTCTCCCACCGGATGTTACATTTCTTGCAGTGGAAAAAGCCATACCTCTGCTCCAGGAACTGAAATAAAAAACACTTCATTTTACTCAGACAGTGCACATAAACATGCAATAATTCAGATTTTTATGAGGTATACTGCAAGGTCAATTCTGAGAATGCTCAGATTTCAGGCTTAGTCACCAACTGCTAAATGCAGCATCTGGCATAGGTATAGGAACCCAAGAGGTCTAGCCCTTTAATGCCTTTTGCATCAAATTTGATACATACTTTTATATACTTCCATCAAATCAATATGATCACCAAATCACAAAAAAAAAAAACACCTGAAACAACATCTTGTGGTTTATCAGTTTCCAAAAACATCTAATCTATCAAACGCAATAGATAAATATTTGTTAAATTTTAAGGACATTTTCATTTTTTGGTTTTCAGTACTAAGTAAAAAAAATTCAGCTCCAAAAAATTTTGAATTTTCTGGCCTTAGTTTGTGGTGTCAGGCATTTAAGGGTTAAGTCCACTAAAAACTGCATATGATCCAGTCTGATCTCAGTCTTTATGTTGTGTTTCCCTCGATTAAGCTTAATTTTATCGTTTGTTGTTTAAACAGTGGTATGAGGCAGAGACTTAACTGTGTTTTTTCTTTTTTTAAATCAATTTCTCTGTGCCTCTAGATTCCAGTGTGAAATTAAATAAGGGCTTCATTGTGGGGTCTTTATTGATCTTCAGGGCTTGCTTTCTCCTAAATGAAATCTTTGTTTAAAAAGAGCATTTTTGTAACCGATTTTTACTTTTATTCTGCAACAATGATCACATTAGCCTCGAGGCCTCAAGTGTTTCATTGTGTAGGTTACAAATAGGCGTATTTTTGCAGATTCATCCAAACAAGAATTTGGCCTTTTTGTGTCCCTAGTAGAAATACGGGATCCATCCACTTTCTTTTCAGGGGAACCCACCTGAAAGTTAGACCCCTTTGCAGACCTGTTGAAGGCTATCTTGAAGTCGTTTGTCGTGTCCTCACAGCTGTGATCGATACAGGCATCTGTACCACCTTCTTGTTCCTCAGCCTCGGCTTCTACCTCTTCTGTACTTCCGCCATCATCCCCGAGTTTCTTCAGGATTAACCTGCGGTCAAACACGGGGGAATAGATGGACACGGGCCTCAGGAAGCGCAGGTTGCTGACAGGCGGTGTTGTGAACAGATCTACGCTCTTTGGGGGGTGGTCGTCCTCCAGGTAGTGCAGCGTTTTGGGTCCCAGTGAGCACTGCACAATTTTATCCACTTTGGCGTTGACTTGCACACCGCACTCTTTAGTGTGTGCCCTCTTCAACTGAGGAGGTAGACTCGGGTGAACCTGCGACAGGATGGTCCTACAGAGCTCCAGGTAGTTGAGGCCCTGGGGGGTCATGAAGCGGCCCTCTCTCTTCGCCCAGCCGATATCTTGAGCTGGTCCTGGGGCAAGGTACGGCGTGAGCGTGGACAGGAACCCATCCATCCTGGCGCCATGAAACCGGTCCGAGTCCTTCCTGCTTGGATTTAAACATATGACTAATTGGCTGATTGAGAACAGGGGCGTGCAGGCTCTAAGTATCAACCGAACCAATATCGCGATATTTTGATGTACAACAACAAGAAGAACAACAAGGTTGAATCTAACATTTCTCATATTTTATTCAGTGACTGAGCTAAATATTGTTTTAAATTCACTGCTGTGTTTTAGATGAGTCCGTCTCTGAAACTTTATACTGGAGCTCCCCCTATAGCTTACATTGGTAAGTGACCAATAAAAAATATAAAGGGTCTTAAATTGGTTTATTTCTATTTGATTTAGGTTATTTACAGTAGACTAGCACTGTGGCAACATCTTTTTTAATTATCATATGGTTCCAAGATCCGGGAAATATATGCCAAAAAAAGCACAATATGGTTAAATGATTAATGTAAATTGCATTACCTTTTGGTATCTTTCCTAAAAAGTATTATTATGAACAGAGTCTCAGAAGTACTCTTCAATAAACTGACATTTTTCTTTCTAAAAACACTTTATTTGTAATTTTCAGTTAACATACAGAACAATCGTATTCTCTGTATTACAAATAACTACAAAAAACAGTCTGGACAATAGACAGAGACAGAGCAAAGAGGACAAAAACAAACAAATTAAAAAAAAAAAAGAAACAAAGTTTTTTTAAATTTTTTTAATATATTTTTTTAAATAAATGTCTAACCCCTTCACCCATGTAACCTTCTAACCTTCACAGACTCCATGAATTGATGCCCATCTCCTAAATATTTGGTCACATGATCAATTTCTTTTACCATTTTCAAGCAACAGGAGGTGGCTCAACTTACCCTTTGGCTCATCCTACCTCATTCTCCCCTATCTGTAAAATAACTTTTTTTCAATAACCTATTTTCGATGTGATAATCTCTTTGATGGGCATCTTTTTATAGGATATCGAATTGTCTATCGAGAAAACTTGAAGCTATGATATAAATCAAATTAATATATTAAAAAAACAGTATTTCTAGTCTGTTAATATGAAGAACAAGGTAATACGAGTATACCTTGAAGGGTCCATATACATACACTATGTCGTCCTATAGGTGGCGGTACACACTCGCATATGTTTTGTACCCATGGGCACTGAATCTGTACATATTGGCGCCATTTTGGAGCTAGGAGGGGGAAGAGAGCTGCAGAGGAGGACACGATTGATCACAATTCACCGTAACAGGTAAGAAAATAGACAATTGTAAAACGAATTTTGATTGGAAAGTGTCGCTATTTTCAGCCACTGCAGCGAAAACGCGGTATAACTCGAGATGTGTCCGCGGAGATGCCATGTTTGCAGCGCCGAAAGAGGTGGAGCGCAGCCCGCCTTGCTCGCCTCTGTTCTCGGCAGCCGTGTCCGATCACGGCGCTGGTTGACCTGGTCCTGCGGCGCTAAACGGTTAGCCAGTGAAATACTACCCCGTGTGGCAGACCCTGTGAGCAAACAATGACTGCCCTTGCGTGTTAGACTCGACCCTGAATGTAGATATGGATGTAAGGGTGGTGTGCCGGGGTGTTTTGTTCGGTGCAGCGTTACTATCTGTCCGCCCTCTGTCACTGAGATTGCTGCTCATTACGTTAGCGAGAGGTTAGCTAGTGGCGGCTAACTCGATTAGCCATGGTCAACACAGCAACAAGGCAGGCTGGCTGCACCGTAGCGTCTGGCCTTGACATGCAGTTTTAGCACAACAATAACCACCTCTACTCAGTTCATATCTCCCCTTACACTCGCTCAGTAACCTTAGATCACATTAGAGTTAATGTGGAGATCATTTCCATTGTGACCCTCATCATTACGAGCTCCTCGTAAAAGGCGCATTGCTGGTGGGGATATACTCAATGATGTGTTGGCTTGTTGAAAGGCTGCATGTATGCATAAACCGCATACCGTAGAGGTTTGTTTTTCCATTTCTGACATGACTCGTATGGATTTCAACAACCTCCCCTGATGTTTTTCAGGCTTGTTGTGAATACCACGTTGGGCAACAACACCATACAGCATTATTTATATCAGGGCAAAGCTGCTGTACAGACAAAAGGAGTTATTCCCAATTCTGGATGATGCATGTTTGTTGTGTAAACCGGGTGCATTTATTCTGACAGGTACTAAAGTGTGATTATTGAGCTTACTGGGCTGATCACACCCGTGTTAAAATTATCCTGCATCAGTTGTAAGTTGTTTCATTTTAAGATCTTGTTACTGTAAAGATCATCAGATGAACTCCCTCACAAGGAGCAAAGCTGGAATTTGATGATTGTATGATTGCATTGGTTAATAAATATGTACACATGCCCGTGCTGACTTTGGGTTGAAAAAGGAAGAATAGGTAAAAAAAAAACTGATGACATACTGAGAAATGTTGGCGTTGCAGTAGGAGGTTATCCAGGCATATTAGGGCAAAGTAAGCATACATCCAAACAATAAAAATAATAATAATTCAAATAAAATTTAAAAAATCTAAAATGAAGAATATTTATTATACTTTGGTTTGAGAAAGGAAGAATAGGTTAAAAAAAAACTATTTGCTTAAGTGATGACAGAATCTTATGGCGTTGCAGCAGGAATTATCCAGGCATATTAGAGTAAAGTAAGCATACATCCAATACATACAATATTTTTAAAAAAATCTTAAATGAAAGAATATTTATGAAGGATAACAACTGAAAAGATGTGCAAATATTTTGGCAAAAATAACCTCATTAAAGATCTACTCATACTCATATCCTCACCCTGTAAACTGAATTCAGTTTGTTTCATCATTACATGAGCTGCTGTTGTTGTTGTTGTTGCTGTTGTTTTAATGTTGCTGCTGTCTCTCTCTCTCTCTCTCTCACCCTCATTTTGTACTCTCTCCCTCCCTCTCCCTTACTCATTCTCTCTCTCTCCTTCCCTCTATCTTGTTCTCTTTCTCTCTCCCTGTCTCTCTGTATTTCTCCCCAACCCAGCAGCGGCTTGGTGGCTGTCTGGCATGAGTCTGGTCCTGCTCACGTTTTCTGCCTGTTAAAGGAAGTTTTTCCTTGCCTCCGTTACTCATGTTAGATAAGATGGGCCAAATCCCATCTTAGGTTGGGTCTTGATAATTCATCAAACAATGAGCATGGTCTAGGCCTGCTCTTTTTCTTTTGATTAGATTGCAAAGAAGCTGCAGCCCTTAAATTGTATTCCCCAAAATTAACAAGAAAACTGAGCAAAATTATGTTTGGTCAATAGTCTGCTGCAATTCCTGTTTGTACCCGGATTTTGTGTGACAGTGTGTTTTTGTTGAATTTTTACAGGAGTAAAAAAATATGTCAAGGTTTGGTTCTCCACATCTGTTTGTTGTCATACCATACACTAGTTTCTCCTTGCAGTGCAGCTCAGGCTCCTTCTTGATGTCTGATTCCCATAACCTCCACTGCTTCTTATCTGCTTTGTTGTTGTTGTATTCATGGGGTCAGATAGATGACCGTTCAGAAAATGTATATTGCGTTTGATCTCAGGGAAAATAAACTATGTGACAGCACTTCTCTATTCTGTAGTAACCCTTACGTTTTTGTTTGTTGGTTTGAGTCGGTGCCCACCCGAGGGTCAGTGAGTTCACTCTTACAGCCAGCTGGTGTCCAGTTCTCCCTGTGTTGCCTGACAGTCACTCTCTCCCCCTGTGATCATCCGCAGGATTAAAACAAAGGATGTCCGTGTAAAGGTTCAGATTAGGTTAGGAGGACTGCTCTGTGTCTTCATATTTCTGCTGGCAGTTGTATTAAAGGACTCAAGAGCAAGAAGAGAGGACAGAGACCAAACCCTCATAGGGGGGAGGGGAGTCGGTGTGATTTACTTAGAAAAACACTGGGGTGGTGAAAGTAGTTCATATTCAAGAAGGTTGTTTTTTCTCCTTTTGTACCTTTGTTCATATTTGATTATCTACTCCTGCTTCTTATTCAAAGTGAAATTTTCCCCGATGGATGGCGCCGTGACAGCCCCCCCAGGTTGAGAAATACTTCTCTCTGATTGGCTGCCAGAGCTATGTGTGTAAGTGTGCATTTGTGTGTCAGTATGGTAGACGGAGAGAGAGAGAGAGACGGACTCAGATTTGGCAGCAGCTGTGGGGTGGAAAAGAAGGTCAGAACAGAGCGATTTGGCTGCCTGCCAGTGCTGGACAGTGTGAGTGTGTGTTTGGCCCTGTTTGTGTGTGTTTGCGTGTGTGTGTGTGTTTTTCTCTTATAAAAGCTGAAGTACAGCTGCTGAAAATAGTTTGTTATTGAAAATTCAGTATTGAATTCTGGCCTCTAAATGAAGCCCGACAAGCGCTTTTGTCAGGCAGCGGACCTCCTGACCCAGACTGCTTCATTATCATCAATGTTCTTTGAACGGTAACAGCAACACAAATTCACAAAGAAGACATGGGCCCATATATTTGCTCTTGTTTGTCCTCCTAAGAGATGCTCGTGTCTGTACAGTGTAGTTTCTTTCTCACTTAGTTTGATGGATGTGCTGCTGCTGTCTTGGTCAGGGATCCTAAAAAGGTTAACTTGTTACACTAATGCAACTCTCTTGGCTAAATACATCTGTGGTGACAGATAACATACTTTTATGTGCAGCAGTCACAAACACCGGTGCGATGTGCATCTATTTATGTTTTCTGTTGTTGTTGCCACTGTCTTTGCTGTCATTGAGGCAGAATACACAAAAAATGTGGCAAATTATCTTGTGATTGTTTTTGCCTTTGCTCTTCAGTACAAATACATAATCAGATTTGCATTAAGCCCTATTACAGTCCATTTATACAAGTATTTGCCTTGATTTGTTGCTAAGGCAGTGATGAGAGAGGAGCAGTCCTTGTACAGCACAACAGTTCTGAATCGGTGTGAGAGTCTGAACTAAATCCTCCAACAAAGGTAAAGGATCCAGATATACCATACCAGTGAAGGTGTCAGGACAGTCAAACAATGTAGATTGAAGCACTCAGTGCGACCATGATATAAATTTTCTGATCAGTTTATTGAGAGTAAATGTTTCTTGGTTTGGGTTCCCATTTTCTTTCAAACTCAGATCAACCCTCAGAAGTCACAAAGTCTGCCAAAGTGAAGCAGTCCAGGTTTATTTTTCAAACACACACACACACAATCATGCTCATGCGTACACACAGTAGTTACTACTATACACAGGGAGTCAAAGCAAATAGTGATGACAGAGAAGTCAAATAGACACAGGCCTGATAAGGGCTGTTCTCTTAAGTTGGAAAATAGATCTTCTCCTCTACTGTAAAGGAGCTTTGGTGCTGGGACTCTGACCATCCACAAACTTTTTTCTGTAACTTTGCCATCCTTAAAAGATTTCTTGTGTTTTGCTTGAAAGTGTAGCTGGCTAACTAAATTTATGCACTACCATCCTCACAGTAACGCCACAACAAGTCCGTGCTACATCTTTACGTCTAGCTGTGATGAGTACAAGCGAGTTTGTTTTTCTCTGCGATGCATTGAAGTTTATATCTGACAGGTCATGATCTTAAAAGAGCGCACACAGGGAAACAATATCACCCATTTGACATTAAAGATTCAAAAGCAAAGGAAACTGCTCCATCATCGATCTTTCAGGGCGTATTGTAGAGATGATAATGATTATGAGACACATTTACAAACACAATAACGCCACGTGAAACATAATCACTGTATAATCTTAACAAACATAGATCGATCAGCCATCTGAATTCCTATTGATCAGATGGAGTTAGCAATAGCTTTATATGAAGCACAATATGCAGGGTTGGGCCTGACCGATATGGATTTTTTGGGACCGATGTCGATACCGATTATTGGGGGGGGGAGTCCGATTAATTGGCCGATTAAAAATTTTTTTTAATGAAGTTATAAATGCAAAAATCGGTGAGTTTTGGCCGATTACCGATTAGTCTCAAACGGGCTAAAATTGGCCGATTTAATTGGCTTGCCAATAAATCGGCCGAGCCCTAATGCGAGGTTGTGCAGAAATCAAAATCTAACAAGTGTAGCAATGTTACAACTACGGCTGGGTGATATGGCCTCAAATCAGTATTACGATATATTGAGTATTTCACCTCGACAACGGTAAATAGACGATAACTACTCCACAAGCCGCTCACCCCCTCCCACATAAACTTCGTCGACTTCAGCTGCCGCTCTAGCCGCTACAACTTTTGAACCGTCCTCCATATCCTCACCCGTCTTTCCCTCTTTGTTACAGACTGGATGGGGTGGAGTCACATCTCTGACATAAGACAGCCTCTTAAAGGGACATGAGACTATAGCCTACCTACACACACCCAAAACCAACTTTTATTTATTTACTTCTTTTTGGACACCAAATACATTGACATGGGCGAAATGTCTTTGGTTATTGTTGTAAATAACCCAGCCCTAGTTACGACAATGTGTGTCAGCTTCAGAGAGCATTTAATTTCATGTTGTGCCGCAGAGATGCCTTAATTTAAAAATCTTGTTATACAGATGCAGGAAAACAAAAACATTGTAATGCAAGAAATTATAATGCTCATTAAATTTGCATTCCCTCACAGTTGTAATAATTGTTGTTATGATCTATTGTGATTTAATTCTTTGCAGTCCCAGTTATAATGTAGTCAGTGACAAATGAAACAGCCCATCCATTCACCAAACCGTACCTTCCTTCTCTATCGTATCCTCAAACCAACAATATACAGTTTAGTTTTAGAAACCAACAAATGCAGCAAATTCTCTTCAATATCAATCAGATTAAAGTCAATACTGTTACTGATGGCCAGACAAGCCCCATGTATGATCACTTTCTGCCAATGTGCTTGTGGTTCATGTTGATGCAAACAAGTTTAGTCACTTTATCTTACTTCACTCACACAAGACAGCAGACAAAGGTATCATCTCAGCCATCACGATAATAATAAGTAAAGTTATTTAGCTATAAACACTGCGGTTCTAGAGTGAGGTGAATTGATCCTGTGAAGTTGAATCTTTGTTTTTCCCACAAAGTAAAACTAAGACTGTCAGTCAGTCAGTCAGAGGGACTGTGATTGACAAACACAGACCTGTTCACTGGGACTCGAATAGTTTAGGGAAATGGGATACCTGAGACACGTCTCTGAAGAAAAGCGCTGTTTTGATTGCTGACACGTTTTCTGAGGCAGTTATTCAATCTGTATTCTCCTGATTGATTTGTTGCAAAACAGCTTACTTCCCTCTGTTACTCTGAAATCTCCCGGGACGAGCCCTTGACTTCCAGCAGTGTTGCCGTGACTAATGCGCTGCTGCACTGAATGTTTCCTCCCAGTGTTTTTTGAACCCCCGGTGTAAAAACGGCACATCATGAATTTATGTTGAAAATTTAACCATGCGGACCCTCTGTATATTCATGATTTAGGAGTCTCACTGAACAGAGAGGGTGTATCCAGTGAGATGTAATAGTCAACATGAAGTCATATTCAAACTAGCTTAACATGCATTTTCTGTTTTGTATCTTTAATGGACTGAAAGGTGGAGCAGGTCAGCTTACCGTCCTTCGACTAATGTGCCCATGAGCAACCTTCGAATTAAAAAGTCAGAGTTTTTAAGGACGTGCAAATGCCCCAAACATGAACTGTCTGTAATCCTAAAGAGGCTGTACTACTGAGAGACGCAACACAACAGAAGCAGCAGCTTGAGACAAAAAGACTGCCTGCTGTCTGAATGCAGCAATCTCATCTTTCATTTATCTTGTTGAAACGCGGTTACTTTGTTCTGAAAACCTTTCTGAATATTTCAGACGGCTTTATTACCGTTTTCTTCTGAGAACAGAGCAGATCTTGTTTGTGTTTGTTAAAGTTACCGTGTTTTATCTTCTTGAAGGTTTTTTTTTTCTGCTGCTTTTAAAGTTTTCTTAGTTGGTTTCTGTCTCACCTTTTTCTGACTCTTTCCTTCTTCTTCTTCTCCTCCAGGCAGTGAAGAGCTAAAGAGGATGGCTCACTCTAAAGCTCGAGTCACAGATGGGAAGGTGACCTACCCCCCGGGGGTCAAAGAAATCTCGGACAAAATCTCCAAAGAGGAAATGGTCCGCAGGCTCAAGGTCGGTGTGTTTCTGCAGCAGCTGTCTCCTCGGTTTATTCTGTTCAGATTGCACAGATTCATCACATCATGCTTCTCTTTATAATAGTGGCCCATCATCAAGCATCATTGATATTTTTGGAAAGTTTTTTTTTCCCCTTTTGAACAATAAAATCACTCAGATCTCTGTAATTTTTCACTCAGATGGTTGTGAAGACCTTCATGGACATGGACCAGGACTCCGAGGAAGAGAAGGAGTTGTACCTGAACCTGGCCCTCCACCTGGCCTCCGATTTTTTCCTCAAACACCCAGACAAAGATGTCCGTCTTCTGGTGGCCTGCTGTCTGGCAGACATATTCAGAATTTACGCTCCAGAGGCTCCGTACACCTCCCCAGATAAACTCAAGGTGCAGAGATGGAAATGTTGTTTTTTAGGATGTGATTGTGCAGAACTCTTTAGTCGTCGCTCTGAAATGTTGGCAGCAAAACAAAACTCTTTGAACATTAGCTGCTCTCATGATACAAATCATCTATTTACAGAACTGATGCCAATTTGATGCTAATTATTTTGAAATGCCTGCAGTGATCAATCTGAAACGGATTAGTTGGTCTGTCTCTACAACTAATACACAACTGAAATTCATCATTTATTTCTCCAATTATGTTTTTTGGCATCAAAGCTATTAAACTTCTATATTTGTTCTGTTGTGCTCGATGGCTACTTCCAGTATGTGTGTGCAGAGTTCCAGTATTGATGGTGTGTGTGTGTTTGTGTGTGTTTTCTCTTCCCCAGGACATTTTTATGTTCATCACAAGACAGCTCAAAGGACTGGAGGACACCAAGAGCGCTCAGTTCAACAGATACTTCTACCTGCTGGAGGTGCGTCACTGCTCATGTAGTTTTACCACACCTGATGATCTAAATCGACGCTCACATCGTCCTGCAGTTATTCTTTTTAAATAGTGATAAACACAGCAGATTAAAAATAAAACGAGAATAAGAAATTAATTAATTGAACACTAAGTTGGAAAAAACACACCAGGCATACATTATGTTGTAAAGCAGTGCGGCTCTCTCTATCTTTAAGACTCACTACAACTTAAGCCTGATTTTAGGATGTTCCTTTGGTGGGTGAATATTCCTCTGCGGCGTCTGTTGCTGAACAACAATAACCTAATATAGATGCATAATAGATTTTCTCCGTTAATTAAAACTCTAATGGTCTTGAATATTTCTTTTGTTGTAGCAATGCTGCAGAGTCTGAGTCAGGAAAGAGAAGCTCTGCTCCTTTTGAGCGCTTGTTGATGGAGTGATGTTTTATTGAATAGTTGTATAAATGGCTCGGCGAGGCCTACTCAGAAGTCTATTTTTAACTATTCAACCCGTTTGAGACGTTGGTTGTTGTTTCGCTCGTTGGCTCAGTTTCAGAATACAGTAACAGTGTCGGCTCTGCTTTTAATCTACATCAGCGAATAAAGAATATTTGAGTCTGACAGTTCCGTCTCTTATCAGTGAGAGGCTGCAGCAGTCCCTGTTGGTACAAAACAGTTTTGAAAAATGTTGCACGGCTTTTGTAAAAATCTAAATCTGCCCTGTTTTTTTTTCTGTTGGGTTTAGTCTGTTTTTCAGTCTTCTGTTTTTGTTCTTAAAATGTTCCTTCAAAGTGATTTTAAGAAAGTTAATAAGGGGCAACTTGAGCCTAATTGGAAATAAAGATCGACTTGAGTTTCCTCTAGATTTTAATCAGCAGAAATAAAAAGCCAGTGTTCATCGTTGAACAGTAGAAACATTTGAACCAAACGATGGTGGAAAGAGGAAATTAGTTTGGGTAATATCACTTTCTCCACGCTTATACAACAAAATTATAAAATTTATTAGCTACTCGCTGCGTTAGCGTTACTGATTGAAAACAGCTCCAGGTAAACTGTGATAAAAAGAGTGAGTTTATTCAGTGTAAGATGGATATATAATGAGGAACATCACTCTTTTGTTTCACTCTGCTTAACAGTGAGCTTTACAACATCAGAATTCAGATCTGCCTTTTTGATATGATCACCAAGAATGAGCTGAATGTTGTTTCCAGCCAAAAATAAAGCGATAAATAGCAAAAACGTAATATCTGTCTGAGACGCAAGAAGCAGACAGGTATGTATGAAAGAGGATTAGGACCACAAGAAGAGAAAAAATAATGACAGGACAGAGATTTTTGTATTTCACTTTTGAGAGTAAAGTTCAAATTATAATAAGTCAAAATTTCAATTTTATTCATGTCAAATTTAATCTCGAAATTTTGACTTTAATCTTGATATTCTAATTTTACAATCTCAAAATTTCGACATTATTCACGAAATTTCGACATTTTGTAATCTCCAAATTTTGCATTTAATCTGGAAATTTCAATTTGTAATCTCAAAATTTTGACTGTAATGACAGAATTTCCATTTTATTAATGTTGAAATTTTAACTTCAATCTTGAAATTTCGACTTTATTTACATAATATTGATTTTTTTTTAATGTCGGAATTTCGACTTTAATCTCCTTCCTGTAATTATTTTTTTTCTCTTCATGTGGCCCTAATCCTCTTCCGTAGGTCTGCGTAGTGACTAGTGTGTGATCATAGTGAAGCTTTGAGCAGCCAAAGAGCATGAAATGATCATTTAGAGTGGATAGAGAGCAAAAATAGAGGTTAAGAGGGTTACTATCTGATTCATTTGTTTGTAGTTTCATGTTTGGGTGTTTGTCTTTAATTGGATTGGATTGGAAAGAGAGACCGGAAATGTGAGGGGTAGAGAGTGGGGAAGATATGCAGCAAAGGGTCATGGGAGGGAGTCTAATCAGAGACTGCTGGAAAGAGGACTGTAACCTCTGTATATGCGGCTCAAACTGAGAGGCCAACCAGCACCCTTTATTTTGCCTGAGTAACTCAAACACCACTCTACTTAAATGCTGTAAATTTTGCTCTTTTACCACCCGAGGCGTAAATAAACAACTGTTTCAATTCAGTGACAACTCGACTTAAAAGGATAATAAATATAAATGTTGAATTGCTCTTTGTTTCCTCTGAGTTAAAGTGTGAAAGGAAGTGACTTTGATTTGATTTTGACCTCCTGCCTCTTCTCTGTTGTTCAGAACATAGCATGGGTGAAGTCCTACAACATTTGCTTTGAGCTCGAAGACAGCAATGAGATTTTCACCCAGCTTTATCGAACGCTCTTCCAGGTCATCAAGTAAGTCTCACTAAGATTGTTATCACTTGCATGCTCCTTTTCAGTATGCCCACCCCCCCCCCTTTCTTTTTTTTTTTTGCTATTCAAATCAGCAGCATGCAGTGACAGAAACAAGCCCCCGTGTCCCTCTCTAACACCACAATCTGTCTCCACTCCTGCATCCTGAAACAGCTCAGTAGCAGTCCAGTTGTTTCTCTTTGATTGCCCTTCTTCCTCTCTCCCCTCTCTCTCTCTCTCGCTCTTTCTCTCCTCAACCCGCTCTCAATTTCACTCTGCTCAACACAACCTTGAGGGCTGAATTCTGCAGCACAGAATTTGGCTATTTGCCATCTGAGCAAAACAGTGGTTGTGTGTGTGTCAAGGTTGTGCTGGCACAATGCTCGTTTTCTTATATAGGAGCAATCTAAAGAGCTCTGCTTCCCTTTTGAAATACTTGCAGGGAGCTTGACGGTTTTTTTTTTTGGGGGGGGGGGGTGCAGCAGCCCTCTTGTTTGTGTGTGCATGTTACTCTGTTAGTGAATGAGAGGTAATGAGACTTGTAATGCCTGGCAGCATCCAGGGCAGCAATTGCAGAGATACAAATCGAGGTAATAAGCTTTACCTCCTGCAGTCACGCAGATCAGTATGAGGCAGTAAACCCACCCTCATCTCTGTCTGTGTGGCCCCAGTTTGGGTTTGAAATGAGAAATACATTAAACACAAACATGAATCCCTGCTGCTGAGTGAAACACATCCATGTTGCCTTAAACACTGATGGCTCTGTAAGCAAAATTAGAAATGACTACACTTTGTAAACTACCTAGAAAATGTCATTTATGTTTTAAACCCAGTCAGCTGTAATTTGCTGGTACGTTTGGAGAGGATTTTTAAAATGATGCCATGATGCCATCTGTGACCTTTTAACCCTTTGTGCTTCGTTTCCCTAGCAACGGCCACAACCAGAAGGTGCACATGCATATGGTGGACCTGATGAGCTCCATCATCTGCGAGGGAGACACCGTATCCCAGGAGCTGTTAGACACCGTGCTGGTAAACCTGGTGCCAGCTCATAAGGTACAGCAACATGCACAATACGGATTCATGAGCACATGCACACGGTCCCATCATGGATGCTGGTGCGAATCAAAAAATGGGTCGCTAACAGTCATAAGTGAGCGTACATGTCAGTAGACTGTGCTCAAGATCATTTTCCATACACTGCAATTCAGTGAGACCCCTGCAGGTGAGGAAAGGTAGTGCATGTTTTGCACAAACCTCAGTGGAGAGCTCTACCCGCTCCAAGCATCTTAATGTGATGCTGTGGATCTTAGAAAAGCAATGACTCGTAGTTTACACCCATATTTGTTAAAAATGTTGTATTGTTAAACAGATTTTTGTAAAAAACATGTGTGTTTTTCTCTTTTTGCAGAATTTAAACAAACAAGCATATGACCTGGCTAAAGCTCTGCTGAAGAGGACTGCTCAGGCTATCGAGCCCTACATAACCAATGTAAGTCTGTTTGCTTGGACACATACTTTGTTCACACTTTGATGTGTTTGGCTGGATTTTGTATTTGCAGTCAACGTGGGATACTTTTTATATGCATACAATTAAATCGAGGAGTTTTTCAGAGCTGGAACACTTAAGTGATGTGTAGTCTTACCTCATGCAAGAGTGTTTAGACTAGAATAAGAAATCTCTTGGACCTGCTGGGCTGTCATACCTGTGCAAAATCAGCCATCAGCATTAAAAGTTTGATGTATCACACGGTTTAAATCAGATACATCCAGTTTCGGTCTCATTTATCCATTTACTTCAGGCTCCTGAAATGGGATGAAATGGTAGGTTTGAGGAGGAGCCCTGACAATTCAGAGTAGATGTGTGATTGGGTAAAAACTAGATTCCTCCAAGCTCTAAGGGTGCTTAGTTTTGACTGATGTTTAACCTCATAGTGTCATAAAGGAACACAGTAAGGAAACATCTCTGTAATTGTCTAGCCAATCAAGCACAGTAGTAACAACAGCAAACCATTTGGCTGTAGTTTTGGCAGTGCGGGCAGGTGCTAAATTCAGCTTTGCTATAAAGGGTGTTGTCTGCAACTCAAGCGTGTCTCAATATTCCAAATCCAAATATAAACTCATGATTTTGGGGAAAAGAGATTTGGCTGTAAAATGTTCATATTCATTGTTTAAAAGCACTTGATAAAACGAGGTTTGAGTCTCAGGACCATGTTGGTTCTCCATTTGGATGTGTTAGCAGTCATATTTATCTGTATCTCTCTGCTTCAGTTCTTCAACCAGGTGCTGATGCTGGGAAAGACTTCAGTCAGTGATCTGTCCGAACATGTTTTTGATCTCATCCTGGAGCTCTACAACATAGACAGCCACCTGCTGCTGTCAGTGCTGCCGCAGCTGGAGTTCAAACTCAAGGTAACAAAAACACTCGAAACACTTTAAAACCCTGAAGTGCTCTGCAATTTGACAATAGAAATGTATGTATCATATGTTATGACGGTGGTTCTCAAATCCAGTCCTCGAGCCCCCTCACTGTCCTGCATGTTTTGGATGTTTCCCTGCTCCAACACACCTGATTCAAATGATTAGCTCGTTATTGAGCCATTACAGAGCTTGGTAACGAGCTGATCATTTGAATCAGGTGTGTTGGAGCAGGGAAACATCCAAAACATGCAGGATAGTGGGCCTCGAGAACTGGACTTGAGAACCACTGTGTTACGATACGTTAGAGGTATCTGAACAAACAAGATATGATAAGAATAATAATGATCTTGATATTTAAGGTGATGTCTACAGCAGCAGTTATTGTGTTAGTACTTGTGTTGTATGTGTAGTCATTACCCACACAACAGACTCAAAGCCAGAGTCCTTGCCTCTCACACACAGAATTACACATTTCCACTTTCTCTGCAGGTTTGTTGATTCATATTAGAAATATAAAGCATTCAGCCAGTCAGCATAATGTTGCCACTGCAGTGTCTCATAAAGGCATCCCGCTGATGGATAACGCTCATTAACTGTTCAGAAGGAGTGTAGATCACTGCTGTCTCCTCAAAATAATAGCTGCGATAAAATCTCTCCCTCTAGGACTACACACTCTCGCTCTCTCACTCTTTCTCTTTTTCTTCATGTCTTTGATACTTATTTATTTTTCATCTTTATCTCTGCAAGCTTGTTTTCCCTCCCTCCTGCTCTCCTCTCATCCTCTTCACTTCCCCGTCTTTACTGTCTTTTTGTCCCTGCTGTTTTCCTTCCTTTTGCTTCTTTCTAAAACAAGATTAAATACCAACCGAACCGCTGCTTTTTGGGTTATTCAAACTCTAATGCTGCCAGCGTATTGAATGTAAATGCCTCGGCTTGTTTGTCCATTCAGCACAGCCCAACTTTGCGCATCACTGCCCTCTGTCTTTTCTCCCCCTCCTCTGTCTCTGCAGAGTAATGATAATGATGAGAGGCTGCAGGTGGTGAAGCTGCTGGCTAAGATGTTCGGAGCCAAGGACTCGGAGCTGGCTGCGCAGAACAAACCTCTCTGGCAGTGTTACCTGGGCAGGTGGGTTACAGGCTGGGGTCATGGCATTGACAGATCCTTGAGTTGCTGGAAATGCCTTCAAACCCTCACGGATAATACCGACAATTCTCTTTTATAAGTGTTTACCAAAAGTCCAGTTTTCTGTCTTCTTTTTTTTTGTTATATTTTATAAAATTTGGTGCAGACTCACATTATGACAACATTTTGGTCAGTCATTTCTTTTACTTTCCTGAATAGTGAAGGAAACTTGTTTACGCTATTTTAGCTCATCTTTTGACATTTGTTAAAAAGTATCTTTAACACCATCTTATGCGCCATTATCCTTTTTTATTTTTCAACACTTTATTTTCAACACTTCTGTTAATACATAGTGTTTTTAGTGTTTAATTTGTCAGTATGAGGTGTCTGTGCCCGGCAAAATCCTGATAAATCTTCGTAGAAACTTCAACCATTGTCACGCCCACTTACTGGCTGCTGTCAGCTTGAAATCACTACATTTAACAGCATTAACCGACTAAACCAACAGAACACAAAGGGTAAATGTCAGTCCTTGGACAAAAGTCTGGAGAAAACAAAATTTAAACCACGGCTGAGGTCTGTCAGTGGTGTTTCCCAGCAGGCAGGAAACTAAACTAACAACAGCTAACCAGCAAATTTCAATTTTCTGTTTGGTGAGTAAGTCTCTCACTATATACCGATGCTGTCTCTTTAAGGGACACAAAAATATAACAAAGGAAACAAGAAACCAAATGATAGTCACAGCCTAACTGTGTGTTTTGCATGAACTGTGGGAGTTATCAAAATCAATTTTAAAATATACAACATTAAACCTCAAGTTAAGGGAAATTTAAGGTGTGTTCCTGAAATCTCAAATGATAAAGATTAAGTCTAAAAAATGTCTTAAAGGTGCACAGTATCACTTCAGGATCATGGTATAAACTCTGCCATTTGTTTTATTTACCTTTTATGCCAAACTGCTGTTGAAAACAACAACAAAAATGTTGATTAAAACCAGTGAAATTCTTATCATAAAAATCTACAACCAGCAAAAGTTGCCATGTTTGCTTAATTATCAAAACTGAAAATGAGTCCATTTTAAAATATAATTGTCTTTCTGTTTGTTTAGCTTTCTTTCTGACTTCCTTAATAAGACCTCAGGTTTATTCGGATCCTGCCTGAACTTCACATTACATTAACAGACGTTTCCTTTCCTTAAAGGTTTAACGACATCCACGTGCCTATCAGATTGGAGTGCGTGAAGTTCGCCAGTCATTGTCTAATGAACCACCCAGACCTGGCTAAAGACCTCACAGGTAAACCAACCAGCCCTCGCCTTGAACGTCCAGTTATTCTGCTTCTCATAAAATGTGACTAGCTTTGTTGTTGTACCTTTTAAATGTAGGTACTGGAGACAATTCAATAAGTTCTCGCTTTGGTTATTCTAAGTGCGCTCATTTATTTCTGTCTTCTTTCCCAGAATTCTTGAGGGTCAGATCACATGACCCAGAAGAGGCCATCCGCCATGATGTCATTGTCTCTATAGTAACAGCAGCCAAGAAAGACTTGTCTCTAGTCAATGATGCATTACTTAATTTTGTAAAGGAGAGGACCCTGGACAAGAGAGTGAGTGGGGAAAATTGTTCATATATTTCCATACCATACTTTCCTCTCCAGTCTTTGCCAGCAAGCATTGATATTATTGTTTGTTTTCAACGTTATTAATATTATGATCTTTAACTTTAATTATTTATCACAATACGAGTCATTTTTTCTCTATATATATGTATATTTAGACTCTTAAAGAGGACCATGAACTGAATGAGCATCAAACATTCAGTGCAGACACAGAAACCACATTGTGAAAAAACACTAAAAATTTCAGATCTTTAAAGAACCGCTAATAAAAATAATGAGCACACATGACACGCTTCTATACATCCACAAGAACTCTGTTGTTCAGAGGGTGTTAGTTTCCACTCGGTGTGCTCGGATAGATGTTGATGCGTCATGTGATACATGAAATCTGTGCATTTATGAGTGACAATTGATTTCTCTTTGGTAACTTTGGACATCCCCTATCTGCGTAATGTGTGCATTAGCCAAGCCTCATGTGAGACTATCTCAGCTACTTTGTGGCAGAAGGGGGTTGAAGATGGCAAGATGAAGCATTTCCACACCACTTGATGTCTTGATTTCCGTAACAGCTCTTTGCTAGTTTATGTTGCTTCTTGTACAGGCAAGTGAGGTTTGCACAGATGGAGCCCAAACTTCCCTCTAACTCTCTCTAAAACAGCACATATCTTAAAGTTTCAACCAGCCCAGCCTTGGTCATGTGACTGTTTTTCCTTTTTGAGAACTCCAGCCATTTAACCAGTCATAATTTCCCTTGTCCTGTCTGTTTTCATCAGTGGCGTGTCCGTAAAGAGGCCATGATGGGCCTGGCGTCCATCTACAGGAAGTACTCGCTGCAGGGAGAGGGAGGGAGGGAGGCCTCTAAACAGATTTCCTGGATCAAAGACAAGCTGCTCCATATCTACTACCAGAACAGCATCGACGACAGGTTTGTGTTCCTGGCAGCTGTAGGAAATCAAAACACTGTCATTAAATTCAACGGAGGATTTAGTCCTGCTGGGAGAAATGTTTAAAAAGTGAACATTTTAAAGCTTTAAAACTGCTGATTAGACTCTCTGAAAGTCTGCTGACTTAATTTGTGCAGCTGCAGCTTTGTATAAACAAAAACTGTCAGTAAGTCGCCTTTAATTTCTGCATTTGTTGTTCTTTGATTGATTTGTCTTCCTTTAGATAGCCGGCAAATGTGGATGATAATAATATCACATTAAAATGGAGTAGACAGCGGACTTTAACAGTGTGTCAAAACCTTTCATTTGTCTCGGACAGGTTTGAACAGTTAAAGGCTTCACTCTCCACTCAAACTCTATATTTTAAGAGTCACTCAGGGAAAATGTTGTTGAAGAGGAGCCTACAGTAGCCTCTGGATATCAAAGCGCTGAGCAGTAACAACTGTTTTCATCGTTAGGTAAAAGATGTAGGACTCATTTTGTGAGTCAGCGTCACTTTGAGTCGAAAACTTTGGTTTTGTTATTTTTTTCTCGACCAACACAAACAACAAGGAGAGTCTAAAGTGCCTCTCTGGTGGTTGTTGAAAGTCATTCTGCTGAATGTCAAAAGCTAAAGCAGCACTTAAATAAAAAAGGTGGGAAAAAAGGAAAAAATCCAAATACACAACAGCAACCATGAAACAACACCCCAGCCTGGGATCTGACTGCAGAGAAGTGTTTGAGGGTGCAGTCCTTTGAGTCACTGTGCTGCAGTGGAGCCGCTCAGCTGCCAAAGGCAAAAAGTCTGTGTTGTGACAGACAGTACCTGAGAGATAGAGAGAGAGAACGAGTGTTTCTCTGCCAAATTTAAACACTTTGAGCTTCTTAGCAAACAAAATCCTGTAAATTTGATTGTTTAAACTTTAAGATTGTGGGATTATGTCGAGTGTGAGAGCCCGTTCCACTCCACAAAGATGCTCTAAATTCAAGTTTCTCTTTTGTTTCTTTCCTCTCATGTACGTGTCAGGTTGTTGGTGGAGCGAGTCTTTGCCCAGTACATGGTCCCTCACAACCTGGAAACCACAGAAAGGATGAAGTGTCTGTACTACCTGTATGCCACCCTGGACACAAACGCTGTCAAGTAAGTCTAGGACCAGTGCTAAAAAAAGACACCTCTTCTTTCTCCAGTTTTTGAACCGTGTCAAAGAGAAGTTCATAATGACACCTTTTAATTCCTTATCCCCCTTTGACCTTTAGAGCTTTGAACGAGATGTGGAAGTGCCAGAATCTGCTGAGACATCATGTCAAGGACTTGCTGGACTTGGTCAAAAAACCAAAGGTAATCCAGACCACTAAAAAACTGATTGGCAGGTTATGCACTCATGTTGTTTCATATTTCAGTAACACTTAATTTTTTGGTACACTTATTACCTAGGTAATTACCTAGTAACAACATTACAAATTATCTGGTAATTACATGATAACTACTAAGTCAATACTGTCTAGCTACCAGGGAGGTAACCTTCCATCATCATACAAATCTGAAGCCGAATTGCTCTGGTATTTGCTGTGATAATGCTCGGCTCAAACGGTGTATCACTCCGCAATCTTTGCACGCCCATAGGCTGTATCAAGTGTCAATCAAAGAAAATAAGAACCCCAAATAGCTTTTGAAAATAGAGCTGCACAGAAAAAAAGAAAAAAAGAAAAACTAGACAGTATTGACTTAATAGTTGTTATGTGATTACCAGATAATTTCATGTCGTTACTAAGGAATTACCTGTTAATTACCTGGTAATAAGCGTACCGTAAAAGAAAGCGTTACCCATATTTCTAATCTGATTGTTCCTGTTGTTTGTTTGTGTTTGCTGCAGTCAGAGGCATCGAGCAAAGCCGTTTTCGCCAAAGTCATGGTGATCACAAGTAAGGACACGCATCATATAAGTGCATGCATCCATTTGAATTACAGATTTAGACCTCCATGTCGGTCTCTCAATCAGCAAAGCCTCGGTTCTGCAGAAACTGCTGAAACAAAATCCCCCTCACTTCCTGTGTTATGAATCTGTTCTTTGTAGATATCAGCTCTTTCATTTTGTCCGCACAGGGAACCTTCCAGACCCGGGCAAAGCTCAGGACTTTGTGAAGAAGCTGGCTCAGGTCCTGGATGATGACGAGCGGATCAGAGATCAGTTGGAAACCTTGGTCAGCCCCTCATGCTCCTGCAAGCAGGCCGAAGTCTGTGTGGTGGGTATTGATGTTTCCCAGATCAGATCACAGAGTTGTGCCCTCTCTTTGAAATTCCGCCGCCTCTCTCCTGGCTTTGTTTTTATTATTTATCTCTACGATAACTCTCCCTTAAAGATAAAGTCGCACCAAATTCATTGAAGGATAACCTGGGAAGCTTTTTCACTCTGACAGAGTATTAAGTCCTTTTTTTTTTTTAAAGTTACAAAACCAAGAGAAGAAAACAGTTGAGCTAATGAAGGAGAGTGTTTGCTGTTCTCTCTCACACAGCGTCAATAATAGATTTTTAAACCCCCTGCTGTGCTGTTGAACCTCTAATGATCCCTGAAAAAGACTCTCTTCATCCACCAGCACTGAAGCAACAGAAAGATTTTTCAGCAGTTTCACAATTAGATGTTGTTTTAGAGCAAATTCAGCTCTTTACTGACTAACATCCTACAGAGTTCAAGCATTTAATGACAGGATGTTTTAGTTTAGACTCTGGTTTAGTTCATGTTTGCTCTCAAACTGCTCATAAGTTCAAGATGCGTACATGAAAATAGTCAGATTTAGGGCTGGGCAATATGGGAAAAGTTTATCACAATATAAATTTTTTTCATATCAGTCGATATCGATTTATATCACGATATGAAAAATGAAATTTAACAGTGCTTGTTGGTAGCATGTCCTTTGCAAAACAAGAAGCTACTGCATCTGTGAGGTCTTTGTGTCTCTTTGACGTTTTGTCGTAAAGCGTCGCACTAGACCAGTGGTTCTCAAGTCCAGTCCTCGAAGCCCCTCACTGTCCTGCATGTTTTGGATGTTTCCCTGCTCCAACACACCTGATTCAAATGATCAGCTCGTTATTAAGCCATTTCAGAGCTTGATAACGAGCTGATCATTTGAATCAGGTGTGTTGGAGCAGGGAAACATCCAAAACATGCAGGACAGTGGACCTCGAGGACTGGACTTGAGAACCACTGCAGTAGAGAACGCAGTCTGAATGGTTGATTCAGCGTGGCGCAGACCCAGAGCAACTCCCCTTTTCATTGGCTGTTCGTATAGTCTACCAAAACAGGGCAGAATACTGGCTATCGAAAAGCATATTGATCATGTTTCATCTCGATATCAGGGTACATTCATTTTTGAGACATATTATTATCGTTTTATCGCCCCGCTATAGTCAGATTACTATTTCAAGAGTGTTTAAGTTGAGGGTTTTAAAGCAAACGGTTCTTATAGACTCACCTGACGGATGAAGCTTCATCCCTTCATCATCATTACATCAGTCCTGTCACTCTTCTCTAGTTTATCCGTGCCTGAATGGAGAGAGAATATTTTATAACCGTTGTAAATGCAGAACAAGAAGCGTTTCCCCTCTCCCTCTCTCTGCTGCTGCACTCCATGTTAGCTTTGAAAATGTCATCAATTACAGGGTCAGTTAAAAGTAAAACTGAGGTATAATTGGGGCTGACCTGGTAGGATTGGTTCCCTGACTTTTATAACCAAAAGGAAAATAGAGTTCATGACATAAACCACTGCCTCTGAAAACCTGATTGCTTGAGTAAATAATGTGCGAATTAAAATGAGCCGAATACAAAAGGCCTTTATGGCTTATATCTAGGGTGCAGTATATAAGAGAGGGAGTAGGGTACTGGTGGACAGGATGTATGTGCTTTATAAACACATTGTGTGTGAACGGGGGCACAGATGAATGTGCGATTAGAGCGCTGGGATGTAGAGCGAATGTTTATTTATTTATCATGCTTATTATTTATGGCCTATAATGAGGCTGCCTGTTGTTTATGTTATGTTATTTTTCTTCTCTTTATCATCCAGTGATTATAATCCTTCACTTAGTTTGTATCATTTGTATTTTTCTTTCACAGTTAACATGAAAAATAGACAAAAAGATCTAAATATGAATTTAAACATACATGTAAAAAAATCTGGCAGATCATAGGGCTTCATGTAAGCGATACTGTTGCAGTCATCTGTGTTTCAAACCTGGTTAATGAACCTCACATCTCTTCCAAGTCCAAAACAAAGTATTTTTATAGTATTTTGATACATGTTGATTACTTCTGTGTCACCTTACAGCGAGACATCACTAAGAAGCTCGGCAGCCCCAAACAGCCCAGCAATCCTTTCCTGGAAATGGTCAAATTCCTGCTGGAGAGAATCGCTCCTGTACACATCGACACGGAGTCTATCAGGTACGCTTCAACAAAAACTCCTTTAATTTTAATTCTCTCTTGAACACTTTAATCACAGATCCTTAAGATACAGAATTGAACGGTCTTGTATCTCTCTTTTATCCCTCAGCGCGTTGATAAAGCAGGTGAATAAATCTATAGACGGAACAGCTGATGACGAGGAGGAGGGCGTCCCCACTGAAGAGGCTATCAGAGCAGGACTGGAACTGCTGAAGGTGGAAAATATGTTTCTATCTGTGAAATACGATGAATATTAGGTGTTCATCGCATTACTTCAGCGTCGCTCCACCCTGTTAAAGCACACTGCATGAAGAGAAAATGAATCAAAATGATTGGCCCCACACTCGTGGGTGTATGTGTGAATTACTGCCTACAAATCCAGCAATCAGTGAATGATTAGACTTCTTGTGCTCCTGTCTCAGTGAGTGATATAATTGATGATGGGCACAAAGCAGTAGAGGGAGAAATGAACAAACATTGACTGATAACATCACTGATGCAGTTTCCCCTGGAGGTGTGGTTGACAGCTGCATCAATCTCAGTGAAACAAACACATTAAATAATGATGATTTGAAAGCTTCAATCCTTTCACTTAATCCGTGTTAAATCATTGAATATATCAAACCTTTTCTGTGATGACTGTGGGATTAATTGTAGAAAGAGTCCAGACGCTGAGCTTGATTTGTTTTTGTTTTTTTCTCCCACAGGTGCTGTCGTTCACACACCCGGTGTCGTTCCACTCTGCAGAGACATTCGAGTCCTTGTTAGGGTGTCTGAAGATGGACGATGAGAAAGTTGCAGAGGCCGCACTGCAGATCTTCAAGAACACAGGCAGCAAAATGGAGGAGAGTTTCCCTCACATCAAATCGTACGTTTCATTGCCTGATTGGTGAAACCCCAATTTTCAACATGACAGGATTTTTATTATTATGAGAGAACTTTCTGGTGTTTGTAACTGTTTGTCCTGCTTGCTCCCCCAAGTGTTCTGCTGCCGGTACTGCAGGCGAAAGCAAAGAGAGGCCCCCCTCGCCAGGCCAAGTATGCCATCCACTGCATCAATGCCATGTTCACCAACAGAGACACACACTTCGCTCAGATCTTTGAGGTCAGTCATTCACAAATTCTTGTTTCTAAGTTTTGATTTGATGAACAGAATGTGTGAAGTTTTTTCTAATGACTCCATATGTTCAGGGTATCCACTGCAGGGTCTCTAAACGTCTAGAATCCAATAATTTGAATTTAATAATAATAAAAATAATAATTACGTTTATTTATATAGCCCCTTACAACATCTGGAAAGATAAACAAAGTGCTTTACATTACGATTACACAGTCAAATACACAAATACAGGAAAAAGAAAATATATGACAAGTGACAAATTTCACAGGATATTATGACAAATACAAAGGAAAGAGAACACTGGAACGATCAAATACAAAGCAAAGGCAAATGTCACTGAATATTAAAAGCCTGTCTTAATAGGTGAGTTTAGAGAGATGTTTTAAAGAGTGCCAGGTCATTAATAAAATGTAATTCAGGGGGTAGGGAGTTCCATAATATCAGGGCCGTTATTGAAAAGGCAGGATCCCCTCCACTGTTTAAAATGTGAAAAAGGACCCTCCAACAGGGGCTGTTTTGAAGACTGGGGTCTTAAAATTTCTAAAATTCTCTTAAAATCTCATAAAATGTCTTGGATACAATTTTGAAAGGTCTTAAAAATGTATTTACTATACTTAAATATAAATATTATGTCGTATAACAAAAATTGATTGAAGTAATACAAAATGTTCTAATTTTCTCCATGTCTTTTGTACTTTTGGGTCTTGAAAAAGTCTTAAATTTGACTTGTTGAAACCTGCAGGGATCCTGTTTGTTGTGCTCTTCACTTTCAGCAGGACAAAGGTTTAGATTAGAGTGATTGAAGGAGTTTTTCAGATACAAAGTTGTGTCCGTGTTTTTATTTCTAGTCTGCCAGGTGTGAGCTAAAATCAAACGGTCGATGCAATGTTGTGCGTTTGTGTTTCTCCAGCCTCTGCACAAAGGTCTGGACCCGGCAAACCTGGAGCAGCTCATCACTCCTTTGACCACCCTGGGTCACCTGGCTCAGCTGGCCCCAGAACAGTTCGCGGCACCGCTCAAATCTCTAGTCGCCAACTTCATCGTGAAGGATCTGCTCATGAACGACAGGGTATGCACAGCACACCATAAATATTTTGTCATTTTTTTTGTCCTGTATTAAGGGTCATGGCTCCTTTTGAATGTAATCATCAGTTTAACTAGCTAGAACCTGATGGAAATCCTAAAGAAGTGTCACTGAAAGGTCCCTAAAAAAACTGTTTTTGTTGTCTGTTCACTGCACACGTTGCACCTCTGACTGTATTTTTTGTTCTGTCTGTAGATCCCAGGCAAGAAGACAACCAAACTCTGGGTTCCTGATGATGAAGTGTCTCCAGAGACTATGGCCAAGGTTTGGTGAAATCCTACTGCAAGCTCTAAAAAAAATCTGTCCACGTTCTTAGAGCTCTGCTGCATTTGGATGCCTTGTTTTTTATTTTAATCTCTAGCCCTAAAATGGATCATTTTAACCTTTCACCTTCTTCTGTTCAGATCCAGGGCATCAAGCTGATGGTGAGGTGGTTACTAGGAGTGAAGAACAACCAGAGTAAATCAGGCAACTCCACCCTTAGGATGCTGACAGCTATTCTGCACAGCGATGGAGACTTGACTGAGCAGGGCAGGATGGGGTAAACACGTCTTATACAGCTAATTTGATCAAAGCGAGAGAACTGTGCTTCAGATTATTGATCTGTTTGTACCGTGATGCTGGATTTTCATGAGAAGACCTGAGAATATGACAGCCCTGCATTCATAAATGTATTCTGATATATAAAGAGGTTGTTATTCTTTCTCTTCCCGCAGTAAACCTGACATGTCGAGGCTGCGGCTGGCAGCGGCATGCGCCCTCCTCAAGCTGGCTCAGGAGCCCTGCTATCACGAAATCATCACCCTGGAGCAGTATCAGCTGTGTGCTCTCGTCATCAATGTGAGAACCCGCTGAGGTCTCCTCAAATGTGTTTGAGGGCCCGGCTTAGTTTGAATTTTTCATGGTTTTGATTTCGTGTTGCTAGGAGGTGATGATTTAGTCTCCAGCAACCCTCCAACTCAAATTCTGATTTCCCCTTCCTGCGTTTCTCACTGTTTCATCATCCCTCCCCTCTCCCTCTAATCATCACCGCCGCTTCACTCCATGTTTTCCTTTCGCTCTCCAGGACGAGTGCTACCAGGTGCGACAGTGTTTCTCGCAGAAGCTCCACAGAGGCCTGTGCCGCCTCCGTCTGCCTCTGGAATACATGGCCGTGTTCGCTTTGTGTGCCAAGGACCCCGTGAAAGAGAGGAGGGCTCACGCTCGTCAGTGCCTGGTGAAAAACGTCAACATACGGAGAGAGTACCTCAAACAGCACGCAGCCATCAGCGGTAAAGAAACTCACCTTACTCTCATGTGAAAAAGACCACACCCCTTCTCTACACCTTCATTTAGATTTAGACTTTCTTTATGTGTCATTGCACAAATTAAAACACAGCAGTGATTTCTCTCTGCAATGAAATGTTGTTGATTGGCTCCAATATCACAGCATGATGGTGTTTAATTTAATATACAGAAAAACAATTAAAAAAATTAAAAACTAAGGGTAAAATAGCAGCATGGTGAGTAATATTGCACTTTCTGGAGGTAAAAAACAAATAAAAAAAAGTGTACATAATATAGGAGCTAAAAGGTAAAATAAGAAAAGTAAAACAAAGGCTAAAAGGACAGTAAGTCGAAATAAGAGAGTCTAAAATTGTCTTAAAATGTCTTAAGTAAGATGTTGAAAGGACTTCAAAATGTATGTTCACGTGACTTACAAATAAATAACTTAGAAATAAGCCATAGAAATAAAGAATTATTTGAATTAATGTAAAATTTTCTGACTTCCTTTTATGTCGTTTGTACTTTTTTGTCAGTATGAATGTTATACAGGTCTTAAATTGTATTTACTATGGTCTTAAAAAAGGTATTAAGAAGTCTTAAATTTGTCTTGTTGAAACCTGCAGAGACCCTACTCAGTGTGTAATGTGGTTTTCCTTATCGCTGTTAGGATTAAATATTTACCTTTTGTGTGCCAACAGACAAGCTGTTCTCTCTTCTGCCGGAGTACGTTGTGCCCTACACCATCCACCTGCTGGCTCACGACCCAGACTACGTCAAAGTGTCGGACATCGAGCAGCTCAAAGAAATCAAAGAGTAAATCCCACAGAAAGCTTCAGGATATAGTCATGAGAGAATATTTTAACTCGACATAAACACTTTCTATTAGGTCAATGTTAGGATGTTGGTTATTGGATAATTTCTGCTGTATCATGGTGGGACATAGCTACAATCTTTCCAACACATGCTGATGTCGACCTTTTCCCTCTCTTAAGGGCTCTGTGGTTTGTCCTCGAGATCATCATGGCCAAGAACGAGAACAACAGCCACGCCTTCATCAGGAAAATGGTCGAAAACATCAAACAGACAAAAGACGCCCAGAACCCCACCGACTCCAAAACCAACGAGGTACGCACGATATCTGAAGTCTCACGTTCACTCATCATGTAATTCATCCGCCTCACAAGCTGCCGTCCTCTGTGTCATTTTTCTTTTCATGCAGAAACTTTACACAGTGTGCGATGTCGCCATGCACATCATCATGTCAAAGAGCACCACCTACAGCCTGGAGTCACCGAAAGACCCCACACTGCCCTCGAGGTTCTTCACCAAACCTGATAAGGTCAGTGCTTTTGACTGAAGGGCCGGAATACTACACTTCCAGCAAAGACGGTTTAGAATTGATGCAAATACTTACCCACTCTGTTGAAATGCAGAAAAACTTTGTATAAACTAAAAACAAATGTCACTTTCACTTTGAATGAGCTTTAACGGCATTAAAGTCCAAACAGTATTTCCAAATTATTACAAATAGTTTTACTTTCTCTTTGTGGTGGTTGGTAGGAGCTTGAACTTTCCTACTGCAGCCCATTTTTTCTGTGACTTTCTAAGAGGCATCATCTCATTGATTCACATTTTGACTGAGGTTGTTTAGCCGGAGATAAAAGAGTATATTTCTGTCTTGAAGTTGTTTTTATCTCTAAACAAAAGAGCCCTCTAACGTGTCTTCTGGCTGTTTTCAGAATTTCAACAACACAAAAAATTATCTCCCTCCAGAGATGAAAGCCTTCTTCACACCAGGAAAAGTAAGATAAATGAAACCTCTGAATGTGTTTTTTTTTTTTTTGTTTTTTTTTAAAGATGATTTTTTTTTTTTGGACAGAGCACATATTAAAGTCTCTCACTTTTCCAGCCCAAGGCAGCTAATGTTTTGGGAGCAGTAAACAAGCCGCTGTCGACAGCAGGGAAACAGCTTCAGAGTAAAGCCTCTCGTATGGAAACCGCAAGCATCGAGGACTCCTCGTCCAACCCGGGATCCCCACAGCGGGGCAAGACCAGGTACAAATCATGCTTACAGCAGAGCAGGAATCATGATGGCTGTAAATCTGTAATCAAATCCTGTTTGAAGAACTCTGAGTCTAAAAGTGAAATGGGGTCAAATGAAGAAATGCTGACAAAGAGAGAGATGCTGTCTGTATCTAGTCATTTGTGTTAGTGTTTGTTTAATGTATCTTCACCTTCACCTCAGGCATGACAGCACAGAAATGGATCGTAGCGAGAACGAGGATTTCACCCTGAAGAGAGCCGACAGCACTGACAAGGTACTTTTATACTTCCTGTGACAAAACACTTGTTACTATAATGAGGTAAACACTTGAGTGGTGTTATCTCCCTTTATCTGAAATTACAGGTTTATTTTTACCTGAAGAGGTGACCCACATAGATCATGATTACATTAAAAACATATTTAAAAGTCGGGGTTAATGGTTGATTTAGTGAAAAGGGGCGACTGTATATTTTTCATTTCCTGTTGTTTTGAAATGAACAGCAGTGAAGTATTAAGATGATTGAGTTTAACCTTCCTCCTCTGTTTGCTTTTACGACGCACCCACTATGTTAAGGGTCGGTTTCGACTCGTGACTTAAATCAGCTGTAAATTACAGTAACAACCGTTACCTTTCATCCAATTTGGTTCTCATGTCTAGGTTACCTTGTTAGGTTTCATTAAATATTCATAATATATTTTATATATTTTTTTTGCCTTTCTTTGTCAGTATACCCCTCACACAGACATCTATACTGAATTGACCTGACATGTCTGGACATGCCTGACATTTTTTGTGCAGGAAAAAAAACAGGCAAAATGAGAATTTCCTAAATTTCACATGATTGGAAGAGGATCTGACTGTCAGTGTTGTGCCTGAGAGTGCACTTGTGATTTCAATTTTTGCTCTAATTATCAGATATTAATCTAACCGGGTCAACAGTGACCCTAACAAAATAAGTGCCATAATTTTAATAAGAGCATTTTATAATTTAGTCTATTTGATTTTATTTTCATTTTGTTTAAATAGTTTCCTGACAAAGTCAAAAAGTCTTGATGCAAAAAAAAAAAAAACTAATCTATGTGGTTCTTTTAAGCATCAAAAAACAAAAACAGATCGGTGCAGACCCTAACACAGGAGGAGGGTCAAGCACGGCACTGCAATGAAACACTAAGTACAATAAGACATCAGGGCTTTCTTATATACAGTTGCTTGTGTAAAGACCTCAGAATCATGTGTTTCAAAGGTCTGTTTGTTTGACAGATTTCCTGCACAAACAAAAATCAACCATCAGCACGGTCTGAGATGTTTTAGTATCTTAGTTTGATGCTGTAAAAGTCGTGTTGCTGCGATCCAGTCAAGTGTTTCCAGTCATGAAGTCTTTATTGTCTATTTGTGCTTTGCAAACACCTGCTGGGTTCAGGCCAAGACAGAATATCAGGTACAAGCTCTCACCAAAACATGCTTCTGTAACACTGAATGCTCAAAGAAGAGTTTATCATTTATTATGGTTCAACTACACAACTGTTTGTTCGTCTTTTACAGGATATCGAAAAGCCCCGCGGTCGCAAACGTGGCGTGGCCTCCAGCGATGACCAAGACAGCAAGCCAAAGCGCGGACGCAAGAAGGCCTCAGCCAACACCACGGCAGCAGCCGAGTCCGAGGACCAGTGGGACGAAGACAACCGGCCCGAGGACGAACAGAACAGCCCGCCCAAAAAAGGCCGCAGAGGCCGACCTCCCAAGTCTGCTACTCCCAGTCAGGACACACCTGCCAAGGGAAAGAGGGGGAGGAAGAAGGCCGCTCCTCCACCAGAGGATGATGAGGAGGAGGAAGATGAAGAGAGGGCGGAGGAGGAAGCAGAAGAGGAGGAAGAGGAGGATGACAGGAGCAGTGAAAATATGGAGTTGAAGCCCAAAGGAAGGCAGGCAAGGACGCCACGACGGTCACAAGGGTGAGAAACTGAGAAACTCTGTATGCAGCTGTTTGAGCAGAGAGTGAAGTGATGAAGATTTCTTTTTAACTGAGACTCTGTTGTCTTCAACATTTCGTCCCAAATCAACAGCTTGGACTCAGCAGAGTCAACACCGCAGAAGAGGAGAGGACGTCCCCCCAAATCAGCTCAGCCGCCTGCCAAGAAAGCAGCGTAAGATTCACACCAGCTTTATGTTAGCTTTGTGTGATTAGACAGTGACTCAGTCTGACATTATCCTTCAAAATCCAGTTTATGGACTAAAGTTAAGGCCCAATGTTTTTCTGTTCTCTTAAGTAACGGCCGTTGTTTTCACACTATTCACTTCTTTCTGAATGTGTACTCTGGACAGTTTGTCGTAACTCAAAAAAGCACAGTCTAGCTCTCTGATAAACTGTCTGTATCCAACCCTTTTCCCTTTGACCTCCAACCCCCAATTTCCACCACATCCGGAACAGCTGCAATATTCACCTTCCACCAGTTCCTACCGGATGCGTTTGTGAGACAAATTTCATGGCAGATTTCAGACAGCGGGAATCGCGAGAACTCGCAAGAACCTGCGGATACGCATGCAATTGCGCGATAACGAGTTGTCTCAGCCACAAAACCACATCGGCAGTAGATTGTGTCCTTACAGAGGATGAAATCCACCTCCTGACTTTTAGAATCAGCATCTTCTCATCCATGGAGTCATCGGGGTTAAATACTGTCTAAAAACCTTTCACATGTTCGTCCCCGTCTGTTCCCATGGTGTGAAATAGGATCCACCTGAAACACAGAGTGTTTAATCTTGAAAAGAAGCCGGATGTTTTATTTTGTCTGTGCCCGACTTCCTTTCCAGCACGGGTTAATCAGTGCTGAATTTATGCGGCATGCTGCATTGTCCGGAAAAAATAGAACTCTTACAATCGGCTGCAGAGTCAGCTGATCCACAGCAGAACTGAAAGAAATTGACAAATTAACTTGAATGGAAACGATCAGCTGCGATCGGTGGATACGGCCTTTTCGCAGCCATTCCAGATGCGGTGCAAATTTGGGGTAAGGTACCCACATGTAGAAACAAAATGTTGTCACCACACATGACTTGATGGAAAATGAAGTTTTCTGACTCCAGAACAAGGAATTAAGATGTACATATATATGAAACATAGATAATTAGTAACATTTGATTATAAGATTAAAAATAATCAGGAATAAAATTCAAAAGGCGTTTGCAGATGTGTGCACGCATACTAATGTCTCCCCATTTATCACCGAGGAAATATGATTCACTCCTTTCTATGGTCTCCAGCAGTGGTGGGCGATCGAAGGCAGCTGCTGCTAAAGATGACTCTGAGGATGAGGAGGAGGAAGAGGAGGAGGAGCAGGAGGAGGAGCCAACACCGAAGGTACTGAGAGCATCACGTGAATGATGCCTGGCAAGTTTTTTTTTTTGTAAGAGGAATAAATCACAACTTCACACTTCTGTCTTTGTTTTCTAGGGGAGGAAGAAGGCAGCGGGGCGGAGGAGATGAACTGAAAAACGGACGGAGGACAAACGAAAAGCAGCGTCTTCTAAAAGTTGTGGAGGAATAACGTAGGAAAGGAAAATATGGACATTGAACTTTTTAAACTTTTCATATGCCGACGCTCCTACTGTTACACAAATTCACATTCTTGCATATACCACATGCACACTACATCAATACATTGGTATCATCAGCTGTGGGTTGTTGCATTGTGATGATGTTTGCCACGTTAGGTAGAAATAATTTTAACAGAAAAACAAAAAAAGATTGCTCTTGTAAATAGTCTCTTCTGTCTGTTTCATGTTCTGTTGTTGTGTTCGATGCTGACTGGGGGGATGCTGTAAAGCCTTTACCCGCTGACACCATTGTTATTATTATTATTATTATTATTAAAGTGCTCCCATAAAGCAATACTGCGAATAAATCATTCCCTCTGTGTCACACTTTTAAAAACTGAAAGAGATTAACCGTTTTCTTTTTTGTGTCATTTTCATCTTTTGTTTACAGTTCTGTATATTAAAACCTTTTTTTTTTTTTTTTTACCATGTACTGGGAAATATAAAAAAAAAAAATGTCAGAAAACTGTTCAAAGTAGTTACTTCACGAGAACGTTGTTGTGTGCGCCTTATTTCAAGGTTTGTACTTGCTGGCATTTGAAAGTTCTGAGCAGCTACGGTTTTAGTGTTCGTCACCGCTGATTAACTTGGCCTCACATCCGCCCAGTCAGATCCTCTGTTGTATCAATATAATTCTCTATAAAACCTGACATGCTCCTTTTCTCTTTATTTCACCTTCATGGTTTACATAACGCAGATTTACTTTCATACATACAAGCGGCTGTAAAAACGTTAAACCGTCTCTATTTATTCTAGTTAGCATAGGTTTCTCTTTTTATATTTAATTTGTGTTTATTGCCACTAAGATGGTCCGTGTTTTATTCATATTCTAGTTTTTATTTGTTCTTATCCATTTGTCATTTTTAGGACCCCCAGCGTTTCCTCTGAAGGAGCCCTCGGCACCCGGAGCATCCACTCTCTTCCAGCAGCCGCTTGTTTGTAGCGAGACCTCAGGCTAGTCCATTACTGACTACAGCGGGGTGACGCAGCTCAAGGAAGAACATTTATGATCATTTCATCATGGAAATGCAATCAGACCGAGACGCTAAGGCAGAGGAACTACCGCGTCTGCAGTGCAAACTGATTAATATGGTGATTATTACTTCAAGGAAATTTTAAAGTAATGATCACAAATGTTCTTCCTTGAGCTGCATCACCCCGCAGCACTCGATGGACTTGCCTGAGGTCTCCGTAGAAACAAGCGGCTGCTGGAAGAGAGATGGTGAGTTGTGTTTAGTCTCTTAGCTGAAGAAATCAGGCAAAGTTAAAAAGATGTTTGGTGGTTAGTGCTATGGCTGGGACCCTATATGTCCTGTTGATGAAGTTAGGTGCTGTTCTGAGCATTATTTGTGGCTATAGAGTGGCGTTTTGGTTGAGGTTTGTTTATGGCTCTTCAGACCACTGTGTATTGCTATCGTGCGGTTGTTACTAAAGTTGGTATAACAAGAGAAGCAAGCGGTCGGCAACATTCATTTCTCAATGGGATGTCTAACTTTGTGTTACGGTGTGTTTGACCCTAACTTAATTTTACGCCAGAATATCCCTTAAAGTCTGTTTTGTAATGTGATTTTAAAAAAACTCTCACAGGAGCTTTATATCCTGTTTAAACGGCTCTTATTGAGCCTGAACCTTGCCCTATATATACAAAGGCTTTTATGGTGAATAAGTCATAATACTCTTAATACATCCATGTGAAATATCTAACTTGCTGTCTGCTCCAAGTGTAGATTTCCTTTGGTTTCTTCATTTGCTTTTAATTCAGCCCTGGCAGCACGGTTTGTTCTTGCCGGCTGTTCAGCATCCCTGGACCGTGCCCCTCTTGGGTTTTTCTGTAGAGACCAGCAGAGCTCTGCATTGATTATTCATGTCCACTTGAGATGAGAACTTTCCGGTGCAGCTTAGTTTGGTGGAAAAACACCCACACACCACGTTCTACTCCTAGTTATGATCCATGACCGGCCACAATCACACACTGTTCTGCTGCCAGGCGAGTGTTTGCTGCACAGACGAACCACCTGCCCTCACAGTAGTTTTCACCTGCTGAGCATTCGAACAGTGTCTGTTTGTGAAAAGTTCATCTTTGATCTGATGAAGCACATCACCTGGAGAGGGATGAACACACTTTTTCTCTACATGATTGTACAAAAAGGGTTTCAGTGCTTATTAGATGAAGACCTGGGTTACTAAAAAAATGTCATCTCGAGGATCAGACTTCACAGACTGCTTAACCCTAAAAAAGCAGAACCCTTACACAACCCCAATTTTAAAACAGACAGGATGCTTCATGAAATGTTAAAAAAAAATGGTTTGTAACTGTTTAATTTAGAAAACAGTCTATAACAAAATATCACTTGTTGAAACCAAAAAGTTGGATTTTGTTGTAATGAAAAAAAATATATACTAATGTAAAATGTTTTTAAATGTTGAGACAGCAGGACAACAAAATTTATCATCTCCAGTACACGCTATCAATGAAAGACTAAGACTACCTGAAAAATAACCTCCATAAAATTAGGTTTTCAAGGCTGTAAACCAAGATGGCTTCACTCTTACCAACAGGTCCCCTACGCCAAGGAGGACGAGAGTGGAAACAGGATAGTAAATATAAAAGGCGATATCAACAATGGTAATAAAATTATAACAGGTAATACTCAATAATAGTAATGATAAAATAGAGCAACAGAAATGAGCAAGAGAGGTCTAAAAGGTTGATAAAGAATAGAGTAAAAGCATAACAAAAGCTAAAAAGACAGTAAAGATAAAATAAGGTAAAAGAGATGACAGATGAAAGATAATTGTTTTTTTTTCTTCTGTTGATGATTCTGTTGATCATAGTCTATACCTTTGACAGAGCTGTATGCACAAAGATAAACAGCTGTTAGTTGGTTCCCAGGCAACAGAGTCGGAGGATGATAGAATATGTCTATGGTGCAGCAGCAGGATACACTGATCCTGCTGTTTACTTATCATCTCCCCCTCTTTCCCCCTCTCTCACTCATCTTCTCCCCCCTGTTTTTGGCTCAGTCCTCTCCAGTGAAAAATGCAGATGAGTTTCTTTTGCTCTGGACGTGTGACATTAAAATGTGGCTATTAGATTGTCTTCCAGTGGATGATGTTACTGAGATCATATTAAGGCTCTCGCACCTGGGTCACCCTACCTTTCCCATCCCCCTAATGGCAAACAAAGAAGTCCAGATTTTCTCCTTCTGTATCAAAGATTGGTTGCCCTCTTTAACACTCTAAACTAATGTGCCCCTGCTTTGGATTTGATAGATCATTGGGGCTCTTCTTGTCATCATGTTGTGCTTGGAGACCTTGGTGCGTCAGGTGCTTTGGCTAATAATTGATAGATCAGACGAAGGCAGCGTAAAGAGGGTTCACAGCTGGCTGGCTGGCCCCGCAGTTTAGTCGGCACTTACCATGGTTCAGTGAAGACCAGAGTCAAAAAGTGGACACCTTGTTCTGACATGCACCATGAATGCTCTCCTCGCTCTTTTGGTGTTTCTCGCCTTCTCGTCTGCGTCTTCAAAACCCAACGCTGGTTTGAAAACATGGGGGCGTTTTAACAAGCTGCCCTATCCGGGCGACAAGGCTTTTCTTTACGACACCTTCCCCAAAAACTTTATTTGGGCGGTGGGCACGGCGGCGTACCAGGTGGAGGGCGCGTTTGAGAAGGACGGGAAGGGCCTCTCCATTTGGGACACTTTTACGCGCGGGGGGAACCGGATGGCCACCGGGGATGTAGGCAGTGACAGCTATCACAACATCAACGCCGATATCAGAGCCATCAAGCAGCTCGGGGTCAATCACTACAGGTTCTCTCTGTCCTGGTCCAGGATATTTCCCAACGGGACCCGTGGGAGCTACAATGAAATCGGTACCAACTATTACCGGACTCTGATTAAGAGGCTGAAGGAGATCCGCGTGCAGCCAGTGGTCACTCTTTATCACTGGGACCTGCCCGACCACCTCCAGCAGACCCTCGGGGGCTGGAGCAACCCGGAGCTGGTGGGGATTTTTAAAGACTATGCCGATTTCTGTTTCCAGACTTTCGGGGATGATGTAAAGTACTGGATCACTATTGATAACCCGTTTGTGGTGGCGTGGCATGGGTACGGCACTGGGGTGGTGGCTCCTGGGATAAAGAACCACCCTGATCTTCCATTCCGTGTCGGACACAATCTCCTGAAGGTGAGTGGTGATATGTATGTATGTATGTATGTATGTATTGGTTCAAAAAGAAGCAGATATAACACAACATACCAATATACAAAACAATAACTTTGGTTGACCATGTAACTTGGAAATAGTAATAAAATTAAATTCTGGACCCTTAAATCTCCTGGGAGGTATTTTAATTGGTTACAAAACAGACTAAAATTAACACCCAGGTCTCTTCATGACCTACAACTGCAAAGACTATGTGCCTCCCACAGACAAAGTGTTGCTGGTTTAAAGGGATATTCCGGGGTAAAATTAATTTAGGGTCAAACACACTGTAACACTGAGTTAGAGACCCCCTCGAGAGATGCATGTTGCCGACCGCTTGCTTCTCTAGTTTTACCAACTTTAGTAATGACCACACGATAGTTTTACGCTGGAATATCCCTTTAAAATTCACAATATAAAAACTTTCATTGTTGTCATTGATGGTCTCATTTTCTTTTGAACATTGTACAGACCCATCACTGATTATTTTTATTTCATAGCCAATGAAAAACTTCTCTCAGGAGCTTTAAAATAACTTTAATACATGCAACTGCTGGAAGGAGGTAGGTGGGGATATCTTTTCCAAAGCAAATTGTCACAATACAAAATAAAATAAAGCAGACTGAGATTAACATTTGGACTGGTGAGAACCAGCAAAGAAATTAGGTGTTATTTTTGTCAACACAAAATCAACACAAAGTTCCCCACAGGAGTTTTAAGAATCCAAATAAAAGAGTCAAGTTTACACACTTTTCATTTCAACTTTGAATCGTTTTAGACCTTCAAAACCAAAAATCTTTCAGTTTTTTTTTTTTTTTTTTTGTGCAAAGACCTATTTATGTCTGTTAAATTTTGATTCATTTTTTACAAGGATACCTATTTCTTTCTTACTCAGGAAAGCATTTACTGAAATTTTGCAGATGCTTTTCTCTTTTAATCTTTCTTTCTATCAACACTCAGTACCCTTCATCTTTCTTAATATCCTTTAATAACAGTTCTCAATGAATTTCTGTCTGTGTCTTTTTTCCATCTATCTCCAGGCTCATGCAGCTGCCTGGCATGTCTACGACCTCCACTACCGTCCTCGTCAGCAGGGAAAATTGTCCATGGCTCTGGCCTCTCACTGGATCAAACCCAGCCGCACCCGTGTGGAGAGCTTGCGGGAGTGTCAGTGCTCCTTGGACCATGTCTTGGGCTGGTTCGCCCGGCCGCTCTTTATCGATGGAGACTACCCTCCCTGCATGAAGTCCAGGCTGGGCTCACGCCTGCCTTTCTTTACAGAGGAGGAGAGGGAGCATGTGAAAGGGACGGCTGACTTCTTCGCCCTCTCTCATGGGGCTGCTCTCAGCTTCCAGCTCATCAACGACAGTCTCAAGTTTTGGCAGCAGGAAGATCTAGACCTGAGGATGCTGCTCTACTGGGTCAACGCCGAGTACAACAGACCACCAATATTTGTGGTTCAGAGTGGATGGTAGGCGTGGATATTGATTGTTTGTTTTATTCTTGTTTGTTGTTCTTGTTTGATGGCTGAATCCAGTTTTACCGCTTATAACAGGTACGTCCTCGGCAACACCAAGACAGAAGATCCAAAGCACATGTACTACCTCAAAAGGTTCATCGCAGAGGCGCTAAAATGTGAGTAAGAGCCAAGTCTGGCAGGTGGCAGATTCACCCCCACAACATGAACATCCACATTCCTAAAAGTGAAGTAAAGTTGAACTCTTAAATCTGGGCTTTCCATTTGTCCGTGAATGTTTCACAGCCATCGTGATAGATGGAGTGAATGTGATCGGATACACAGCCTGGTCCTTGATAGATGGCTTTGAGTGGCACAGGGAGTATGGGATACGACGTGGACTCTATTATGTTGACTTCAACACTCCTGACATGAAAAGGGAGCCAAAGACATCTGCAACCTTCTACAGGTATGTGGACTTACCTAACCAGCTGTTAATTTGACAGAGATGCATGATGTAGAAACACACAGATTTGGAGATGTAGATTCACACTCCAAGGATGACACTAACAAAGCTTCACCATGTTTTCGTAGCTTTATTTCATGACTACCTCTCCTGGGTTATAACAGTTTATTGTTGCTGTTCACAAGTTTGTGTAACTGGTGGAGGACCTGAGCAGAAATAAGATAAAATGCAAAAAGTTTTGAATGTTTTGAATTAGAACTTTACAGTTTGCATCATCAGGTTCATCATCATACTTCCTTGGAATTTGTTGGCTCTTACATGATCACTGTAGTTGAAACTCAAAGCTCCGTAGTCATTATGATTATTCTCAAAATCAACATAGATTTACTCATACAAAAATTTTATGCATGACATATAACATGTCCATGTATCGGGTGTGATGTTACACATATGGCAGATCCATTGCTATCACATGTATTCATACATTCCCAGGATATGTAGAGCAAATACCTATATATATTTTTATATTGACATACAGTATATTAAAAAAATACAGAAATAATCTCTATAGGATACTGAATGTTTTTTTTTATATAAACTGTTAATCAAATACATTTATATTTATAAATACGAGTAGACATTTATGAAACCCATATATTTCTATGGACTACACACACATGTGAATTTATAAAACTGTTCCAATTTCGAACAGGCTTCTTATAAAGTTTGACCATAAATGTTTTCACCACATATGTATGAAAATTTAATCTGTGGGATTACAATGTATGTACATTATATAAATTATCGTATCTTTCCCTTGTGACTGATGAGTAGATAGAAAAAGTTTGATTTTGCTGGGATCTAGACTCTTTTTTTAGATTTTTATACATTCATCCGCCTAGACTCACTTTCCACCCTCGTTAAATGCTGAAAAACTCTAAACTAACTATGTTGTGATTTTTTGCATAACTGTATTATACTATAACAAAATGGATAGTTTCAATTCTCAGCAAAGTTACATGCTTAAAGTGAAACTTTTTTATTATTCCTAAAGAAATGTCATCCAGAAAAATGGATTCCCAGAACTCCCAGAAAACAGACCTGCACAAGGGGTCTTCCCGTGTGATTTTGCCTGGGGGGTTTCTGCCAACTCCATACAGGTACATGAGTGTGTATGTGTGTATTTTTTTATTTATTTTTTGCTGAGAAGCAGAGCTTAGTTTGTGAATGGAATATAATGAAAATACTTCCTCACAAAGAGAGACTCTTGAGGAAACATTAACCATGTATTAACTTTGGTTCAAAGTTTCAGCATCAACTTCTATATTTAGTGAAGCTTGAGGTTTTGTTGACTCTACAGAAAGTAAAAGATTAACATCATTTTCAACATAAATGCAGTCGTTTGCATACATTTTGAAGACCTCATGCGTATAAATTTCTATATTTTTTGCTTCATTCCTCTCCTTTTTGCTCAAGTTTGATCCTGTTTTAAAATAAGTCTCGCTTGCAGATTTCACGGTGAAAGTCCAGCTCAGAAACAGCCAAAATGATGAATTCTCTCTTAATCATGAACCACAAAAGCACCAACAGTCTGCAGGCTGAACAGCACGGCTCCAGCTGTCCTTATCTGTTAGCCTCATTTTACTTTTATTTACACTGTGCAGCACGGGGTCGATGCAGTGTGTGACTGTGAGAGCATGTTCACACTGTTTATGTCTCTTCTGCTTCTTGAAAACACTGTTGCATCTCTGAAATTTCTGAAATCTATGTAACCTTCCATATGACATGTACCGCTGACCTCCTAATCTCAGTGGGTTTTTTCTGGTTAAATAAATAAAATGAAATTCTCTTAATGCCATAGGTGGAGACTGCACCCACCCAGTTTGCAGACCCTAATGTGTACTTGTGGAACATCTCCAACAATGGGGAGCTGATGAGGCTGGAGGGCTTCAGTGCTCCACCCTTACACCGACATGCACACTGTGCAGACTACGCCACCATCAGACAACAGGTGACTGATATTAAATATTAGAAAACTGTGATGAAGGACAGATTTTGATTGTATGATTGTAAATAATTGCTGAAAGAAAGTAGAAAGGTAAAACTAAGGTGGTGCCATCACATCAATGCCGAGCTGGTTAAAGCTCCAGTGAGCAACTTTTAGATTGTGACACAGCAGTCTGGGATTATTTTCCCTCTAAATGCTTAAATAGTGTCTTCTGACAAGACTCTCATCCTGCAGTTTTTTTACGGTCAAGTTTATCATTTATTGTGAATATTTTTGGCTGAAATTTTAAAGGCAGGGTCATTTCTTTGGAAGCTTGGCTGCTCCCTCACATTGGTTTCAGACATTATACAAATCTTCAATCTTGTTGTTGATGATCTTTTTTGCTTTTGTTTGTCAATATGGATTTCAGTCATTTCACAAAAATGAAAAAACTCCTCACATTGACAATCAGCAGGAGTGGGCTGCACTTCCACTGACATAGGTTTTGATCTAACACACTTCTTTCTTTGTACTTGTATAAAGCGCTACCTTAGCAGCAGGATACTCCTACCAATAGGTTTGTGTTTATCCCCAGGGTGCATACAAGTTAGATTGTTTATTCTCCTCCCTCTCTGAAGGTGGATGAAATCCAGCAGGTGGGGGTAAATCACTTCCACTTCTCGCTTAACTGGTCGGCTCTGGTGCCCACGGGCGATGTTGCTCACCCAAACACCACCCTGCTGGGCTATTACCGCTGCTTCACCCGTCAGCTGCTGCAGGCTAATGTCACACCTGTGGTCACTCTGTGGCACCACACTCGCCAGCGCAGCAGCCTGCCGGCCCCACTGGACGCCACCAACAAGTGGCTGAACCGGTGAGAAACAGAGATGATGGTGATGTTAAATATCTTTTCACTCTCAGCTGATAAAGAAACGGCTTTTCTTCTCAGAGAGACTCCAGAGGCGTTTGCAGAGTACGCCAGACTTTGTTACAGAGAACTCGGTGCCCATGTGAAGATGTGGATCACCCTGAATGAGCCCAACGACGAGGTGGTGAGCTACCAGGAGGGACATCAGATGCTGCGGGCACACGCTCTGGCTTGGCATGCTTACGATCGCGAGTTCAGACACACACAGAGAGGACAGGTTAGTGTGGAACTGCAGCACTGAGACTGATCGGTAATGACTCAGAGGAGTGTGTTTATTCAGAACTGAGTTTATCCAAAAGCTCTCAGTGAGTGAGAAATGCTTTTTAAAATATTGCAATATCAGTTCATAAATGTCAGTATTGAAGTTACACTGAAAGAGATCATCAGCAAAAGCAAACTTTGTTGTATCGTTCATTCTTTTAAAATTAATCCAGTTTGCAGATAATTTAGACGATGTAGAAACTTTTTATTGGATTTTCTGTCCTATTTATTTGAATCTAGTTTTTATTTATTATATTTTTACCCTTTATCTGTCTTTTATTACCTATACTCCAGCTATCCTCTGAATAAATACTCCCTTGTTTTGTGAAGAGTGTTATAAATAAATGAGAAGTCATGGAGATGTACAGCAGGTGTACTCTGTATTGTCTCTAAGGTGTCTCTGGCTCTTCACATGGACTGGCTGGAACCAGCATTTTCATTCAGCCGTGAAGACGTGGAACCAGCTAAAAGAGTTCTGGACTTTTGCGTTGGCTGGTTTGCAGAGCCGATCTTTGGCAGCGGGGATTATCCACCGGGGATGAGGAGGTGGCTGCGGCAGCTCAACTCACTTGAGTACTTATATTTCATCCTTTGATACAGTTCCTTAAAAGTTTTGGGATATGTTAAGACCTCTCAGGGATACAGGCATCTTCAGCAAAATACAGCTGATGACTAGATTAGATTACTGATGGTCAAATCATTACTTTGAACCCTAGACTGAATTAAATCGAAGTCCGTAGAATCAAGTACGGCTGAAAAACAGTTTTAGAGCTGACAGAGTGATTCTGTATTGGTATTAAAAATCAAGAATAAATAGACACTTGGTCTTTGCCAAAACTAGTACCATTCAATTCCTAAAAAGGCTGTAGCAACACTTTAATGCCCCCCTTTTTTAAGACTTATAAATGTTTTTACATACATCAGAGGGAGAGGAGATAGGGAAGAGAATAACGAGATATAATGCACCAAATCTTGTTGAGACCAGTGAAACAAGGGATGTAGTGTTTGCTCTACAAACTTGGTTCAACTGGTGCCCATAAGCATCTTTTCTGTGTTTTTCACAGCCTGCCGGTGTTCAATGAGGAAGACCGACAGCTGGTTAAGGGCACATACGACTTCTTTGCCATCAGTCACTTCAGTACGAAGTTGGTGACACACGCCAAAGAAGACTCGTAAGTAAAAACCCTTGACTGAGACGAGCGTGTATTTCAAGACAAATTTCTCCTGTGTTATAAAGGCATCAGATTAAAACCAGTGATGATGATGATGAGCCCTTTTCCATAATTAATGTAAGACAGCCCTTGCATCATCACCGTCTCTGCAGGTACACGTACACAGCAATGCTGGAGATCCAACACATGATTGACACCACCTGGATCATGTCCCCGAGGCCTGTGGTACCCTGGGGCTTGAGAAAGGCTCTCAACTGGGTGCGTCTGGAGGATCTGAGTCACTGTTTGTGTAGGAAGATGGCTGTGTTGCAGATTTAAATCATCTTTCTCTGCTATACATAGTCGTGTGGAGAGATTTCAAGGTGGATGTTGGAAAGATTTACCCTTTTCTGTACTACGACAGATCAATAGATTTGATACAGGGTGAACAGTAGATCTGCCCTGCTGCTACAACATCCTAGCTGAGAATGCTACACCCTTTAAACTCAAGATTATTGCTCACAGCAGAGTATTTTTATATATCTTTAAACATATCTGGGGTAGGGGTGGCCCAATAGTACGATATTATCACGATACTACAATATTATTGCGATTTATGCAATTTTTTCAACTGTTTAGCTAATTTAGCATTTGTCTGTCCTTCATGTTTGTCTTATTTACACTGTATTTTATTTTCATGTAGCACATCTTGTAAACCTTATATATATATTTGTTGTACTAACTTTCTCCTGCTCTATAATGTCACCTCTGCCAACCTCACTGGACAAACAGTTGATTTTATTTTTTCATTATCATAGATTTGACTTCATATCAGCAATTAATCTGAAAAAAAACGATACTTGATAAATGAGACAATACCATATATCACCAGACAAAATACCGTGATACTATGTTGTATCAATTTTTTTTAACCCCCAAACTGCGGTGACTGTCAAACTCAAACAGCACAAACAAAAGTTTACTGGTAACAAAACCAACTTCTGATATTTCCGTCCTGCTGTGTCAGGTGAAAGAACATTACGCCAATGTCCCCGTCTATGTGATGGCCAATGGGGTCCAGGAAGACCCAGCTCGTTTCAAAGACAGCCTGAGAGTCTACTATCTGTATAACTACATCAACGAAGCGCTGAAAGGTGAGAATTCACACATAAACAAACATCTTTTCAAGCTTTTTAAGATTACTGTAGAGGATTCATCAGCTCAATATTGTTATGACTGCATGTGTGTGTGTGTGTATGTGGAGTCATCAGTTCCTCAAAGGTGTTTGCAGCTTTTTCTTCCCTCTGGCCTCAACAGAGTTTAATTATTAGACATGTATTTGGGTTACTGACCCCTGAATGGTCAGCTGACTCTGGGCACACACACATACACACAAATATCGACACAGATGCACACTTTACACCTGACTATTGAGTCGAAGTTACTCACTTTTTACTGACCTGTCCTTGTGAAGTTTATTGGGTCACACTCAGAGAGGCTTGATGTGCTTACAGTGTCATGTTGTTTGATGTTGCAGCGCTCTCTGTCACCACTGTGTGGCATCCAACCACAGAAAAGAGTCTGTGTTCATTTGTTTAGCGCTTAAATTAATCAAGTTGAGACTGAAAAGTGTTTAAAGAGTCTGTAAAAGTACCACCTCAGAATCTCAGGCTACCAGCTGGCTCATATGGTGTCAGTATTTCTACAATATAACTGAAGGCAAGACCAAAATGAGTGATAATGATGTGTCTTCTGTAAAAACCTTGAAGAGGAATAACTCTAAAGTCCTGCTACATTCATATAAAAATTGTGTTAATGTTTAATACTTTTCCTGGATTACTCTAATAAGTATATTATGACCATTTATTCCTCATTTCGATGCTTTTCTGTGCTGACTGTGTCAGTCAAAACTCACATGTACATACAGCTCAGTAAAGATGAGTCTTTCCTTCATCTCCTCCTCAGCGTACACTCTGGACGGCGTGAACCTGAAGGGTTACTTTGCTTACGCCCTGAGCGACCAAAGAGACCCAGGGTTTGGTCTGTACGGCCAGGTCCAAGACGAGGTCATCGTCAAGGCGTCACTCTCCAATTATCGTAACATCATCCAACACAACGGCTTCCCCATCATGGGAGCCGAGCCCCAGCACTGTCCCACTTCACCTCAGCCCTGTAGAGGCTGTCAGGTACTGGTCAAGAGGCCTGTGGTTGGCTTCCTGACTTTGGTGGGTTCAGGGGTGCTGATCACCCTGGGTCTCATTATCTATTACACAACTAAGAGACGCAAAGAGTGTTACTGATGGCTGTGACTTTAGGAGTGTGTTCATCTTAAAAATGACTTTAGAGAGAAAAAAAGATTTCAGTTTTCACTGTTTATTGCGTTTTTATCTCTTCATCGTGGGACCTCTACAACCATTTCAGTGAATCAAGTTTGGTTAATGAAAGTGGTTTGAAAATCTTATTTAAAGTTTTATCACTGTTACTAAATATCAGTTTGTGTAAATTTGTTAAAAAGGCCTGTGAGGTAACTTTTAGTGAGACATAAGTGTCACAGATGTTTTTATGTGTTACCTACTTATATGTTTTATGATATATACTATGTGTTGCTATGAAGCACCTTACTGGAGCAGGGCTCCAATTGTTGTATTTTTAATGTAATGACAATAAAGAATCCTGTTGGATTCTATATTCCATTCGATGCTTGCTGTTGTAAAGAATCTATTTAGTATATTAAAAGGTAGGATGAATCTATCAGGTTTCAAGAGAAGTGTTAAAGCGAGGACTCTGTGATATTTGTGGAAGAGCACTAGGAAATTTATTTTCATGTATATTTTAAGGGGAACATATCTTGTCTTCAGAGTAAACTGATATGAGAAAACACTGTCTTCTACAATCAAAACTGCGGTTAAGATTGAGTATTTTACACCACCACAGTGAAAGTTCACGATCAATATACAGTGCTACAGTTTTGGGTAAGAATCCACACTTTAAATGTCACAAACTGCAAAATCTCTGAGTCATTCTGGGGCTTGTTGGGTCAATATGACCACTGTGCCTCGTGGACTACAAAGTGTTGAGAAGGTCTTGTTGGGGAAAAGTGAGAGTCTATCAGCAAGAGGGGTGTTGAACTCTATAGATAGGAAATGAGCCAATACTGAAGTCCATTCAGAACATCATGCCGTCCAGTCCGTCCTCCATGAACTTCTTGTACATGGCCATGAACTTGGCGACAAAGGCCTCGAGGTGGTAAATAGCTTTGTTGCCGAGCTGCAGTCTGTGTTCATAGAAGGCTGCCATGTGTGCCACCTCCGCCTTCAGCTGCCCATCACAGTTATTCAACAGCTCAGTTACCAGACCCTGAGAGAGGAATAGACGGGGTAAACCACCAATCAAAACCTGTTCTTTACTGTGAATAGTTGTACTACCGTGATGGATGAGGTTTAGCAGCCTTACCTTCATAATGATGTCAGGGGGAATGCAGTGAGTCAGGAGCTCGTACAGCCGGGCTCGAACCTCCAACAACCTGCGGCAAAGATTCAGCTGTAAATATCCTAACAGTCTGATTATCTTCAACTTGTTGCTAATAGAAGACGCCAAACCTCTTCTCTCTTACCTCTGAGGGCTCTGCTGGCTAACAATAGCATTAGCCGTTTCTCTGACATACACCTCCCAGTCTGTCTCTGGGACGTCTTGGTCTGCTGAGAATGGATACCTTAAAAAGATAAGCAGGGGCTGAACAGGCACATACTTTCTCTAGAAATATCAACAGATAACGCTGCAGAGGAATGATAATACGTTACGTGACAACTTACTGCTGCACTCTGCAGGCCTCACACATCAACAGAGCTTTACGAAGGTTGCAACCGGACTTCTCTGAGATTTGCTTCGCCAGTTCAGGTGGGAGGAGCAGACCCTCCTTTTTACATACTGATGTCAGGACACTGCAGACCTGACAAAGAGGAAAACACAGCAGAGAGTTTATTTGTGAGCAGCAAGTTTGAGCTATTTATTGCAATCTAAATCATATCATCTGTTTCTTGCCTCTTCTGTGCTGGGCAGAGCAACTCTGATGGCCAGACAACGGCTCCTAATTGGCCCGATGACTTTGGAGGTTGAGGTAGAGCAGAGGATGAGGCGGCAGGTGGACATGTATTTTTCCATTGTGCGGCGCAAAGCATGCTGGGCATCCTTTGTGAGTCGATCCACTTCAGTCAGCAAAACAACTGAGAATAAAAGATTTAAAATTAATACAAGAGCCACAGTATGGCTCTACGTGGCAATAGGATGGTATATGTGAAAAACAGTTAATGAAGGGAATTGTTGCTTTAAAACACGGACTAGTATTTTAAGTCTAAACTGGCTCTCGGTCTTTCCTACCTTTGAACTCCCTCTGGGTACTTGACTGGATCTGCTGGGATTGAGCAACAGTTTTGATCAGCTCCTGAATCACAACACGGTCCTGGTTTCCAGCATCACTGTAGGACAAAGAAAACCTATACTGAAGTTCAATCAGATTTAAAATGCTCTGTAGTGATGTGGTGTTATGAAAGAGTTGTGCAGTGAAATACAAAGATTATTCCACAACTATAAGTCCTTTTTTAACATAAAATCTGAGCTGAGAGGTAACAAATATCTGCTGCTGTCTGTGGGGACAGACGTTCTTAAACATGACATGAAATACTCACAGCTACAGTTCAGTAGTATTTACCTGGGGTTAACTTCCAAGTGGTAGTTGCTGGCTATTGTGTTGATTTCAATTTTCTTCTTTGAGGGGGCCTGCAGAAGAGAAACCCAAAACAAAAACAACTTATGCTTATTCAGACTTTTCCTTACTTAATCCCTTTTGAAATGTAATTTACAAACTGCATGTTGCGAGTCTGTCCTGAAAACTGTGTAATGACCCCACACTGCACACATTTTCTTTCATGTATGATTGTTAAAATAAATCAGGTTGTCTAACAGATACTGAGGTTATACTTAATTGATAGCATGAATGTAATATTGGCGAACAGGAGTAAGTAAGGAGACATTAAAGGGATATTCCAGCGTAAATTTAAGTTAGGGTCAAACACACAGTTACACCGAGTTAGACCCCCCCCCCCCCAACTTTAGTAACGACCACAGGATAGCAATACACAGCGGTCTGAGGAGCCATAAACAAACTTCAACCAAAATGCCACTCTATTGTTCTTTCTTGAGCTGCGTCACCCCGCTGTAGTCCGTAATGGACTGGCCTGAGGTCTCTGTACAAACAATCGGCTGTTGGAAGAGAGTGGGTGAGTTGTGTTTAGTCTCTTTGCCAAAGAAAGAGTGTTTGGTGGCTAGTGCTGTGGCTGGGACCCTATATGTACTGTTGATGAAGTTAGGTGCTGTTCTGAGCATTATTTGTGGCTATAGAGTGGCGTTTTGGTTGAGGTTTGTTTATGGCTCCTCACACAGCAGTGTATTGCTATCATGCGGTCGTTACTAAAGTTGGTATAACTAGAGAAGAAAGTGATGGGCAACAATAATCTCTCAAAGGGGTATCTAACTCAGTGTTATGGTGTGTTTGACCCCAAATTAATTTTACACCGGAATATTCCTTTAACAAAGGACGCCTGGGGCCAACAATAACCCCTGAATTAGCATTATCTTTTTAAAGGTGTTATTTTCAGACACGGTCACAATCATCTAAATTATGATGTGAAATTTATACATAGTGTAACACACGCAAAGCTTTGTAACTGAGGCTCTGAGAGCATGAATTTATGCTTATCAGACTGGAGGATATCCGCTCTCACCACGATGGTTTGGTGCTCTATGCGGAGCTTCTCCACCCCAGCTCCATACAGCTCTCTCAGCAGACACATGATGCGGGTCTTCTTCCCCGCACCTGAAGGACCGTAAACCAACAGGTGCGGGAAGTCTCCACATTGAACCTGGAACAATGACAGTAAACATTTACAATCGGGTTTGAAGGATAGCTGTGGGGCTCTGATCTGGACACTGTCTGCGTCATGACATTATGAAGCTTTTGACTGCAAGTTTCAGTCGATTAACAAGCCAGAGAAAACAGATAGTAGACTACTGGTGGTCATTATGGTACACTGTTGGATTGGCTCCAAAATGGTCACACTGCTATGATGTTTAATCAAGATTAACTCCAGATAACTTGGATCAGTGTTCTTCTGAGCTAATGCTAAGTTAGCCTCTAAATAGCGCATAACTGAGTTTGTTTCTCTTACCAGGTTTTTCAGTTGAGCCGCCTGCTCTTTATGAAAGTCGAGTTTTCCCAGAGATGTCGGTCGGTATTTGTCCACCCATAAACTCATGGCAGTATAGGTTTAGTGATTGTTATTATCTGTGTTGACAGCAGACGAGCAACCTCTCGCTATTATAGCTCGATTTTCTCCCGCGAACTTTTTTTGCGCGTTGTTGCTTCCGGTTTTTCTACGGTGAGTGGAATGGGTCATAACTGCAATAAGCGAGTGGTTGTTGTTTACCACTATTTCCTGCATTTTTAGTTCAATTCGGTTTTTTGAAATAGTGCCCACAAAGCTGACCACTCTCTATTGTTTGATATTTATGTGCATTCAAATTTCGTCTTTCTTGCAGAGAGCTTCAAGGTAGTGATGGGCACAGAAGTTCTTCTAGATGTACTGAATCACTAGAATCAGTTCACCAAAAAGATTCGTTCACCAAATCACTGAATCATGTAGCGCTTGGCAGGAGAAGTCTGCCGACCTGAACTGATACACAGCTGAACGGTTCAGGATTCAATTCAGATCATAGCTTCTGGGACCGGGAGACGAGTATTTAGTTGTGTTGCTTTGGCCAACAGGTTTGTAAAAATGAACTTGTTTATAAGTCATGATGTTTTAAGTGTACTGTCCTATGGTATGCTATCAGGTCTGCTCGGTAAATTGGGCTCAGTGAGTGATTTGTTCACTAAACGTTTAGAAGAATTCAAACTGAACATGCAACGTTCCCTCACAAACTACTGCAATGATAGGATTCCGCGGGTTCTATGCACTACTTCTTAATGCTGTCCTATTGTATGCAAGTTGTTGTGATTGCAATTTAGCAGTGAAAAAAAAGGAGTTTTGTCCGACAAAAATGATTCCGGATAGTTTAGTTCAATGGGTGATTCATTCACCAGGTGATTCAGGTGTCAGTGCATGTTGTCTCTCGTTCACCGGCTGCTCGACTGGCAATGCTGTTTCTTACTTCAGATCAACTGGTGAGAAACGAACGAATCACTCGCATAGGTGATTCGGTTCAGTACGTTCACTTAAAAGATTGGGTTCTTTTGAACGAATCGTTCGCGAACGACACAACACTACTTCAAGGAGGTCAAGAGGTAGGCCACGTTTTGTAGTCCATAAGCAGGTTTAGGTCCGTGTCCTATATGTGAGCTGTTTTTATCACTATTTTGTTGTGTCATTTTAGCAGATGTTTACACTGAGGACAGTGAAGCTGTATAGAAACAGTCAGATACCAACAAGGAATGTGAATCTCATGCAACAAAAACAAAAGCTTAGGCTTCAATGCCCTCCATGATCTCCTTCTGACCTTTTAGAAAATAAAGTTTGCACATATGCAACTGAGCTTTACATCTAAACAACAAAGAGGTAGTTATCTGGATCTGTTATCTCTTCTACAAGGTAAGAAAATCCCAAATATCAGTCTCATAATTCCTGCTATTTCATGCTACAGTTGGAAGGTGCATATTTCATTGCTTATCTGACATTTGACTATTTGTTGTCAAAGTAAGGCTTAGTTTCACATCTTAAAGGATTATTTTACAGTATCTATGTTACTCTTCCTGAAGATAGCACAGTGTAACCTACACAATTTAGTGTGGATGTATTTGAGCCAGTTTTACAGCCAGAATTATGTTCCTCAAATGTTTTCTTTTCACAATATAGTAACCATAGCTGTCATTACGCTGCCTGTCTTGCTTTAATTGTTTGCAGTGTGTCTCCTGTATCAATCTGTTGAATTTCGCCATGTCTTCCTTCTTGTCCTCTCCTTTGCTTTTCTTCAGCCTGACCCAAGTAACTTTACCTCTGTATGACAGGAATGTTATATGTAGAGGAACATGTCTCTGCAGGTTTGTGTAGCTCGAATTGAAATATGTGTTTGAGCTTAATTGAAATGCATACATCATCACAGCATTGTGGGACAAAGTAACATCTGGAAATGGTGGAGGTTGTGGATAAGGAAAGTCTATTCAGGTGTGCACACTTATCTAATTCACTCACGAGGAAGTGTTTTCATCCAATCAACAGATACATAGTTCTTCTTCTTAAACAGTGAATATCATTTCAAGGTGGAATTATGGTGTTTGAGGGGTTATGAAATAGTTAGTTGTTCATCAATTATACTGGTCTCAACAAGGCAATCTGTGAATTGTTCTGAAACTAGAGTATTTTGTCATTTTGTAAAACAAAAACAGACAAAAAAGCACTCCTACATACTCTATACACTCACTTCATCTTCTATTTTGACCAGACCTCTTCTCCCCAAGACCTTGAGGGTCAAACAGGCCCCAACAAGCAGAATCAGCCTCAAAGCCAACTAGCAAATTGTAGGTCTTCACTCCTGACCAAAGACATTCCCTACAAAAACATGAAATCTAGTGTTTGCTGGCAAACGCGAGGAATTCCACAGCCCCCTGACAGCTTTTGTGAGCACCATAAGTCTCTGTTTGTGAATCAAGGCTTACAGCTTTTCTGTCGAAGGACTGTGGGAGATTTAGAAAGGATTAAAACACATTAAATGCATTACCTCATGTGTAGTCGAGGAATGTGCTTCTGAGGTAAAAAAAAATCTTTCCCCTAGAGCCATATTATACAGCAGTGTGTCAAAAAGAGGTACAGGGAGGGGGAAGAAAGTGCACTGTAGACCCCAAGCCTTTAAATCAACGTCAGTTTGTTCACATCTAATGTGCATACAGCTATTTCATCAGGCTGATCATTCTTGAAAAAGTTTATATATTTTGATTCTGGTGCAAAAGATTTTTTTCTCCTCTTGTGCATGCTTTATTCACTTCATTCCCAAAACAAATCTCACACCTTTGACTCACACACTTGCTCACACAAAGGCACACACACTCACACAAATAGCTCAAACACCTGCCTGTGGACCTCGCTGTCTTCTTGCTGAGGTAATGTAGGAGGGAAAAGCATTCCTCAACCCTTTCTTTTTCTCTCCTCCCCTCTAAGACTTTCATATCTTTTCAGAAGTAAACCACACATTGTGGACCACACAGCACATGCAGCGTGGAACAACAGAGCGGGATACCTGTTTTACCTGGTGGTGCCTTAAACTGCTGCGTCCGATGTACTCTGGAAAAACACAACTGCTTCAATGACACAGGATATTTGGTATGTTGGAAAGTGAATTATCTTATATCTTTCAAAGCTGCATTTAACACCTATTTTTAAATAGTGTATTTTACTGAGTGTATCTTATTCATAACTGAATGACTTTGAGATAAAATCATGCTACTGTATTACAAGCTTTTTATCACAATGTTGACACTCAGTATTTTAATATTTGGAGGGAAATTACTCTTTTTGCATATGTGCCCCTTTGTTATGCAAGACTCCTCATGGAGACAAAGAATTCAATTGTCACGTGCATTTTTTTTTTAATCTATGATTTTAACCTTGTTTGAGAGACACTCTCTATTGAAAGACAAAGAAACCCTGCTAAGCAAGGAAAGGGTGTGTTGGCTGTTGCCAAAAATATCCACCAGGAAAATACACTGAGTAAAACGCATTTTTGGGGAAAAGGAGGACAAAAGTCTTGGTGTTACCCAGTGGTGTGAGTTTTTTTTGTGGGTAAACTTTCTCGATATTTCCATGGACCAGACATAGCATCTAGATACACATCTAGCTCTATTATGAGAACTTTAGAGAAGGGAGTTAGGTGTAAAATGTATTCAGAAAAGGAAAGTGATTAATATGCAGTTTTTAAACCTGCCAGAGCAACAGCAGTCTAAAAGCAAATTGAGACTTGAATACAGACATGCTAATTTATCCATAAAGACAGATTTACTCATGTTTATATTTTCATGCCATGCACGTGTGTCAACATGAACTAGATGAAAAAAAATAACACTGTGTCTCTCTTTTCTCTTTTCTCTCTCCTGAGGCAGGAAGGAAGAAATTTTCTGGAGCCTTTCCTCGTGGTCGCAGTGTGACTGTCATCCTCCCACATTTGTATTTCAGCAGCTTTATCTCAAATCATCCAAGTGGCTGAAATGAACTGCTGTTGTATTGATTACAAATGAGCGGAAACAGGCAATGAGCTGCTCTTGTGTGATGAATAAAGGTCCAGGTGCTGCTTTGTCTAACAGGCACCCTAACCCTCAGGCTGTGGGTGTATCTTTGAGTGACCTGCATGGTCAAGTTCCCCCTGACTTCCCCCTGACTTCAACTGAGGACCATGTCTGAACCTGCTCCTCTGCTGCAGCCCGCTCTGGATCCTGTGGTCAGTAAAGTTCATGAATGGATTGAGCTGAATATGGACATCAGCTCCTCTTGTGACACAGCTAAGCCTGATGCACAGCAAAATGGACACTGTAAGAGCAGCCAGAGCCCAGAAGAAGACTGTGATGTGAAGGCTTCAGTCTTGGAGTGTCAAGCAGAGAAAGAGACAGACCATTTAACACCTTGTGGTGCCAAAGTACCTCAACAACAAGAAGAAACCTCCCTCTCCAAAGAGATTAATTCTGGCTTTTCATCAGCCCAGGACAGAAGTTGCTGCAACCACCTTCCAGTATCTGTGAATCCATCAGGCGACTTCTCTTCGGACCTGCTGAGAATAATAAAACACAAGCCAAGTGCCATTGTGTTCAGGGATTATGATTGTACCCATGACAATCCAGTGATCTCAACAGCTAACAATGATAACTCCGATGGTGAGGAGTCTTCCTCATTCACGTCTGAAGAGGGAGACGATGATGATTTTCCTGAGACCTCACAATATAAGGAATTCCTGGTCAGCCGTCGCCGTAGAAACTTGAGCAGAAGCAGGAAGTGCCTGAGGAAAAGACAGGATGCCCAGCCTAGTAACTCTGCTTCAAGGGGGCAAAAGCACTCCAAGAAGGAAAGACCTGAGTTCACAGGTAGCCAGGAGGAGGAGGAGGAGGATACAGGGCAGCACAATGGACAGCAGGTAAGAAAGACACAACAAAGATAAAAAGTGTGATTGTAAAGACAAAGACAAATAAATCTTTTCCAGTGTGTAGGATTTAAGAAAAAACATGTGGTTGCTGTTTTCCTGTATCAAACTGGACTGGCTTTTAACCAAAACAAGAGGGTTTACTAGATTTACTTTAAATGTGATTTTATCAAACTTCATTGTTTTGTCAAATTTCAAACCCAGCATCTTAAAACTGATCAGATTATTTTGAATGACTAGGCTGTAGATGCATCTGAAAGGAATTCAGCCATCAGTCATTTCTAGTATTTTCACAAGTAAATTTCCTGCTGAGACATGTCAAAGTGTGAGTAATAGAAAGAGTTAAGTACATTTACTTGTGTTTTGTACTATGTCATACTTCCACTTCACCACAACTCGTGTACAATTCTCTCCACTCCTCTATGCTATCTGACAGCCTGTAACTATTAACGTTTAAAGTAAAATATCTGATAACAAAAAGAAAAAGCTGTAAAGTCAAACTGATCTAGATTTGTAAGTTGGTGGTGACAAATCTGTTTGGTTATGGTTTTTTTTTTATTTGTATCTTCATCTTGACCAGCTGGAACAGATACATTTATCTGTATTGTTTAATTGCTAATTCATGCTCTTGTAATCAACAGCAGTGTCATTCTAAACTAAACATACTCTTGAGGGGAATTTACACAGCAGAATCACCACATTTTACAACCATACATTCAGTACATACAGTTCATGCTACTAATGATTTACGTTTACAGTAAGTGAGGAGAGTCCAAATGAGGGATTGTAGCTTGAAAATAATTAGTTTACATTAATATACTTTTACACTACCAGAGTACAGGATGTGGATCCTTTTTCAGTCGCTTTAAACTGTCTTAAAAAGGGGCTGATTTTTAAATAGTTAACCTCTGTCTCTACCACTAGAGGGCGACAAGTTGTTGTGAAATGATTTTGAACCCTTGAGCAGTTGCTTATTCCTATTGGAGTGCTGCTTGGTTTCTGGTAGTCTATATAATTGAGGTTGCAGTGTAAACAGAGACAAATAGTTTTATCATTTTTTTACAAATGGTTCAGCATAAATAAAAAAAATATGGCTGATAGCATCCCTTAATTTCTACATGTGTGAATCCAAAGTTATTTAAAGTGCATGTAAGAATAGATGTAAAAATAAGTTTATTTAAATGAAATGCAGAGTGTGCATTAAGTTTGTCTTTTTATGCAGGACTGTTGCTCCTCAAATGTTTACAAACAGCACAAGATATTTGCAGAAACATTTTAAAAAGGAACACTATCAAATAAATACTTTAAAATGAAAAGCAACTAGACGAGTGAACCTCACATCTTGAATTTCTTTATTTTTCTCGTGGCTCGGCCTGGCATCTCCATTACCCAGCATGCACTGCACTAGCGGGCATCCATTAGTGAGAGCATGCCCCTGACTGCGTTCTCACACCTGTCAGAGCAGCCCTCAGATGCTGGCACGTTCTTGTAAAAGTCCTCTGGCACTCACACACACCGTGCTCTGCCCTCTTGGACTGAAATGAAAGGATCGGTTCACCCTGTTTTTTTTTTTGTTTTGTTGTTTTTTTGGGTTTGAGCGAGTAACTTTTTTAAGTCACTTATTGACAGCCTCAGACCGGGGTTCATTTGAATACCTGTTAAGTCAAAGAGGCCTCATTGTGGCTCCGCATTCCTGGAATATCTCGGTACTTGCTGTTTCGTCACACTCCACAATGTGAGTTATAACTTTGCCAAATGAAATTATCAAAGGAATTCAGAGGAAAACACAAATTATCAAGCTGCATTTACAGAGAGGGAGGTCTCACAGGCTTGAGTTTAATATTCACGGCTAATAAAGCAGAAGTATTTTTATTTTATCATGTCCCAAATCTGTTGATGTTTTTTGTCTGTAGAGGTTCTGACACTTTACTGTCTCGACCAATTAAATTTTTCCAAGTAAAGGCTCTTCAACATTTTATTGTCGTTTCTAGGAGATAGGACATAAGTGCAGGCAACAGTGATTTTAAATTCCAGTGGTCTGTTTAAAAATGTGCTGTACGCTTTATTTGCTTGATAAGAATTGAATGACATTATATTTAAGGAGATTTTTAACCTCCATGTTTGAATCCAATTAAGTGTTGCATTTTTGATTATATAGTTTTATAATCCACTCACTATATAATGACATATGTATATATTTTTCTATCACACAATATTCCGCTGCACTCCTCACCAAAGCCTTAAACAGTCTTTTATATATAAGTCAAATGTATAAGATTGTCCATATTTGTGTAATTATTCATGTTTAATGTTTGTACATAGAGAGCAAAGTATACCAGAGTCAGTTTCCTTGGATGTGTACACATACTTAGCCAATCAAGCTGATTCTGATTCTGATGATATTGAAAGGGGAGCTGGTGAGTGCCACTTCGGCTTCATCTTGATCGGTCAAAACACTTTTATTTTCCGTCCTTCTTAGCTTGTACCTTAAAATAAGATCATTGTTTGGATTTGTGGGACCAGTGTAGAGATTTCACCAACTTATAGACTAGTCAACTCCTCAGACAGTCAATACCAGAGGAAAGGGGGCTGATCCTTGCTCTGGTGTGCAGCTAAAAATGTGTTTTTTCTTGAGAAGCCATAATGTTATTTCTTTTTTTATGTTGAATAATCAGAATACAAATCTCATTGTGCACCAGAACCATTGTTCCTGCATCTTTCTAGCAGGATGACCAGTCGACCAGTTAAAAAGGCAGCTGGTAAAAAGAAGTAGTCAAGAAACTCGTCTGTCAGTGTTGTTTATTTTAAGTTTTATAAGATATTTTGCAGAGAAATTACACAAATTCACCACACAAGATCAATATTTTTTTTTTAGCAGGGACACCTATTTTTTGATCATCTCTGATGCTCAGTAGCAACAGCTTCACTTCTCCATTTCACCTCTGTACATTGCACATTGCAGATAAATCAAATAAGAGGTGTGTCAGTCTCATATTGGAAATTTAATGTAAAAGGGGATCTGGCTTTAATTCATCAGGGGACAAGGAACAAGGCAATTATAGAATATTTGATGCTCAGTTTGTACTTATTCTAGTCGGTGCTCAACATTTGCCATCATTTACAGTGATGGATGGTTTGTCATTGTTGAGCCCTGGAGACCAAGTTTCTCTTTCAAGGAGTTTAACTTGAATAAGACTCTTGGTGGAATGACAGAAAGAAGAAAAAAACATACAAATGGTTTCATGAAAAATCCCCTGAAGCAGGATCATCTAAATTATTTCTCTTGTCTGCTCGACACTCTTTCATAAAACACGCTCTCAGCACCATGATTTGTTTCAGTGACGGTTCTGACAGGACGTACATGGTTTTTGCAGATGATCAGAGCACTCTCATACACATCTTTACTTATTCATGCTTCGACATGTACATCAGGTTTATAGCTGCTTTGGCCTTCACCACACAGTTCAGACCAACAGGCTAATGAAGAGGTTTTACAGCAGAGATATGGTGATGCATTAAGAGCTCGATCTTTTGTAAATACTCTGACAGAGGCCTATTAACATTTCATGAACTTTGAGAGTGATGTCCCTGCAGTGCAGAAGTAAGTGTCTGCTAACATGTGTCTGTGTCTGTGCAGTGGTGTGTTCATGTTTGCAGCCACTCATGCCACTGAAAAGCCTTCCCCTCCCTGTGTTCTCCCCTCACCCTGACTCTGTCCCCCACAGTGAGGGTAAAAATAGCACCCTGCTGCACATAGACGGCCTTCTGTGCTCCTCTGTGTAAGAATCTGGAGATGTGGGGGCCGTAACACACAGGAAATGGCTTTACCGCCACAGCAGTTACTGCAGATATTTTATAAACCGGTTAACATGATGGCTTTGGAGGAGGGAGTGGATAGAAGGGTGTGTTTGTCTGTGTGTGTGCCGGAGTGGGTGGGTGGGTGTGCGTGGGCATACTTGTGTCCTTGCATGTATGTATGTGTGTGAGTGAGGGGGCCGTTTTTGGACTTCAGGCTCCTCAAAGGGGCCCTATGTGTTGCTATCAGCCTCTGGGACTCTGGGATTGGCAGCGGAGCCCAGAAACAAAGCAGTTTGTTCATTTCCTGGAAGGCTAGTGAACAAGTGTCTCAGTCAGAGTCCATGACCAATGGGTGGAGAGGGAAAGGGAGGGAAGGCGAGGGTTTTGGTATGTGCATGTGTTCAGTATGGAGTGGACTGATATTAAAAACATGATTACATAACGGGATTCAACCCCATGGCTGTTTTACATAATTTAAAAACATCAGCATCCATCTGTATTTACAGCTTTGTATTTCTTTTTCATCAAATTCTTCTGATTTCTTGCTCCGTGATAATCTCACTGAGAAAGTGTCACCTCCTACACAGCGCAGGATACACTCTGTGTGTCACTGCTCAGGCTGAAAAGCACAATAATCTTATGCAAACGAGCCTTGAGGCAGTGAAGGATGGAGTAGGTGGAGGAAGAGGAGCAGATTTCTCCAGAGTACCCGAAGGGCGTCATTACAAGAGTCTATCTTAATTCAGCCATATTTGTTGTGTATGTGTGTGTCTCTTTAGGCTCCAGTGTGTGATTCTATGACCCTCCTGATGAAAAAGCTGAATCACCTAAATGAAGGGGTTCAGGATACGCAGAGTGCCAATTCCTCCCGCTCAGATGTAGCCAATCCTGACAAGGAGCAGACAAGCCTCATGGTAAGTAAGGTACATTTACTCGAAGTCAAGTCTGATTTATCTAAAACTTGCTTTTGAAGGTTTTTACTAAATACTGAAGAAGGAACAAAAGATATAGGGGAGAGTGGGGTAACTTGAGCCAAAGGGTAAGTTGAGCCACCCCCTGTTTCTTGGAAATGGTAAAAGAAATTGATCATGTGACCAAATATTTAGGAGATGGGCATCAATTCATGGAGTCTGTGAAGGTGAGAAGGACATGGATGAAGGGGTTAGACATTTATTTACAAAAAACATTTTTCACTCTTGAAAGTGAATTTAGTCTGTTATAAGTTTTATTAGAATTGTGTTCAGACCAAAAAAGATCATTTTAAATTTGTTTTATACATCAATTGTGGTATCTATGAGCTACAACATGAGGTCAAAAACAGAGCATAAAAGTCCACCATTTTAGCTTAGAGGACCAATAAAGTCATCATAGTAGCTCAGGGGTAAGTTGAGTCTTTGGCCCAACTGAGAAAGTAAAGAAGTCTGATGAGAGGTAAATTGACCATAGGAGACCACTTTTTTTTTTGGCATGCTATATTATCAAGACAGTTATGTTTACACTCATTCTGTTGGTTTGCAGGGATTCACAACATCTTGAAATACATGCAGATACACTAGTTAGAGACTAAACTATGATTGCGTTGATGTAGTGATCTGAAATATGAGAAATGGCTCATCTTACCCCACTCTCCCCTATAGACTGATTGGAAGACAGTAGACTCACTTCAGACCAATCATACAACAATGATAAGGCTGACTGTTCACTTTCTGCAAAGTTTAAAGTTTGTCATGTGTCGTCTGTGTAAAAGACGTCAACATTAAAAGGGATATTTTCTCAATGCACCCTGAAAAATATAACACTGTGCCCTGATTAATACCTATAAAGTGGCTAAAAACTCCAAATTTGTTCCCTGTTTACTGTACTGAAAGCAAAACTGTTCACCATCCCATTAGTGACCACACACACTCGAGCAGAATTAACTGTTGAGTCATCATAGAGCGCACCACACACATGTTTGGGAGCACACTCAGGGGAATGTGTTGGCAGGTATTTAAACGGGGCAGATTAATTAAAAATAATAGTTTGGACGGTCTCCAAGCCTGTTGTTTTTCCTCCATTAAAGCCTTTTATAAATCAGACAGGCTTCTGACGCGTATGGCATCCATCTGGAAAGTGCACTTATCCTCCTGAAACCACAGATAGTAGGAGCTGAGCTCACACTGGCCTACTGTTATTTTAAAGGATTATTTAGCACAATTTCTGCTGGAAGAATGAGGTGTGTAAATAGCTCCTGTGCTGCTCTGCTCTCTCTGAGCATTCCAGGTGCCTCATTATGCGTACATAGTGTAAATCTGGTAACCTCAAATAGCTCTTAAACCAACAGCACAGAGCTGTAGGAATTCTTGTAAAAAAAGCTGTATTTGATCGGGCTGATCTTAATCAAACTGTCTGGAAAACATCAGCCAAAAAGACAGACATTTCCGGCTCAGTGTATCATAGCTTCTTTCAAGTATTTTAATGCGACACTTGAGTACATTTTATCGTAGAGAGGATGAATTTTTGTGTTATGAAGCATAAAGGTAAAATACAGGATCCAGCACAATGTGATGATCGATAAAAGGATCAGGAGTTCAGTTCAGCTGCTGTGGTTTAATGGAGGGAGCAGAGGGGGCATTTATCCAAAAATGTCAAATATTTATGGTGTAATAAAGATTAAATGATCTCAGCCCAGCACAGTAAAGTGTGATTTCACTTTGGTGGTAAAAGGCTTTAAGGGCTGGGTGTAGAGAAGGGTGAAATACAGTTTTTTTAATTAAAATTTCAACATATTTGATTGTTTTTTTGAATACCCCAAATTTGTTCTGTCTGTTTGTTTTTGCTGCTTTTTTGAATCAGTCTTTTTGTGTCGTATGCTCAATATGAAAGACTAAAGAAATACCGATCCTCGCTCCTGACTGTTTTCCATTTAGTCCCTCACATAGCATCCACCCTCTTCTTCCTCTGTCCACAAAACGGCCCTCGAAGCTTTCGTTCAAGCAAAATCGTCTTCATTCAGCCATGCTGGATGTGCGGCCCAAAAAGTAATCTCTCAGCACCTGTTGAATCGAAAATTTGTAACAGATGTTGTATTCATGTGCTTCCCAGATTATCCCCAGAGGTTATTCCTCCGACTTTGGTGTGTTTATGTGCTTTCAATTCAAAAAGTCTAGTTTGATGTTACCTGACAGTTTCCATGTTTGTTATGCTCCACAAAATGTTGTTTGTGTTTTCTTGTTCAGTATGACAGTACGATATGAAACAGTATACACCATATTGATGTTATATCCTCTAGATTTGGGTATTCATAATTCATAGTTGGAAAGATTTGGAGTCACACTCAAGTTGAGATATCTGAAAGACAAAAATACCATCAGACCAAGTTGTTAATGCAAAACTAAGAAACTGAGATGAGCTAAAATTGGACTTTCGGTTTGAACTGCTCTTTGTTTTTTGGGGACACTGTGTTCTAGAAGTTGTTATTTAACTGTGACCACACAGTTAAAAGATTAGCAACAGTATCATGCCATCTCTATGATGGGAATGCTCTACCGGGTCATAAAGGGAATTTTCGACACAGACACTCTTTGTGTGCTGGGATGAAGGGAAAATGTGTTTCTTGGGGATGGCATTTGAGGACTGGATTCTTGGTTCAGAGGAGAGATGCTGTTTGCAGAAAATCGTACTATTCTTCCTTCACTTTCACTTACACACACACACAACCATGTTATCAGCTTTGCGGGGGGAGAAAGCGGGAAGCGTGATGGCGGGTCTTCTCACTGAGGAGGGTACAAAAGTTGAGTCATGAGGTCAAGCAAGGATGGGCTTTCCAGTTTTGTCACTTATCGGAGATACAGGGATAACAGGCAGAAAAGGGGGATTTTTGGATATGAGAGAAGAGCAGATGCATCATCAGCAGTGTCTTCAAACACTTCCCCCCAATAGCAGCTCCTCTTTATATCGCAGAAACACTATAGAGATAACAGAGACGAGCTGAGGAGGCAGCTGACATGAAGACAGTCCTGAGGGTAAGAGACTTAAAGAGAAACAGCTACACAGAAAATAGAAATAGACGTGATCCGATACCTTTTTAAGATAAAGATGCAAAAATAAACAACAATACTTGACGAGACAGAGAGATTTCCTGTTGTCAAACTTTTATTTTTCTCTGGACACATTTTGTGTCTGGGGTCACACTTTATTACCCAGTCCCAACTTTCAAGACGAGAGAGATCGAGTTAAATATGCTATCTGTATTTGTTTGTTTAAAGTCAGGTTGGGTATGTTGGCACCTTTCCTCTATTCAGTCTGATTTTTCCGTCTCTCTTCTCCTCCTTCTCAGTTTGCTGTATCTGCAGCCAGGACGGCGGGACGAACGCCAGGTCAGGCTCAGGTAACCTGCAGAGCCTCAGACAAATCAGAGCCGCTCACTAGGCGCCCCTCTCGACCTTTGACCCGCAGCAGACCACTGACCCGCTCTTCCCTCTCGTCTCCTGCGCATCTCCACGCTCGACGGGCCAGAGTGAGCCAGACTATGCTTCTATGATATTTCTTTTGCCACAGCTCTGAGCTTCATAGCAGCAGCTTCTTTATTCAGCCGTGAGGATTGACCTTGTGGTGATTCTTATGGTTAGAAAGTCACATTTGCTGTCTTCTGTGTTTTGTTTGATCAAAGATGTGGTTAGGCGACAGTCAACTACATCTTCTCTCATGAAAAAACAACTTTGCTCTGGGGTTTTTTGTGCTTATTATTATGTAATGTTAACAATACCAAGTTCATTTCATGTCTGGGATTGACCCTTAATTTGATTAGCCAACAGACTAAGTTTAAACCTACAGACATCTCTGCTAACAGAGGCTAAATCTGATTCAAAGTCTGAAACTGACATCTCTGATGGATATAGTTGGCTGATTAAGCATCAAAGGAACATTTAATGGTTAAATGAGCTTGATTTGTAACATCTTTTTAGGGGAATCCTCTGGCTCAGAATTAATGTGTTGTGATTTCTTTCACATATTGTGGATAAATAGCTTAAATTACAAGTAGTTAACCTCTCTCTCTCTCTCTCTCTGCAAATACAACGATCTCTTACACTCTTATTTCAAAATATTGTGTCATATCTCGGCCTGGGAATTTGTCATAGCAGCGTTTTACAGGAAAGTAAATACTTGACATTCTCATTGACATTTGCCTTAAAAACCTCGACTTACGCCCTCCCTTTTCCTATCTTCCATCCTCCTTCCTCTCACTGGGCCTGAGTCCAGTCTGCACGTCCCCCTGCTGTTGTGTAAATAAGGTGAAAGTAAAAGGATGAGGCAGCCCTGCCCTATCCAGCAGAATGCAAGGTCATCTTCTTTTCTCTGCGTCAGCACTGCACCAACGACAGAAACAAACACACATGCAGTTCAGCTCCACAGGTACATGACGGAAGGAAAAGGAGAGAGGGTGGGAGGGTGAGGAGTTTAACTGAAGGGGAAAATAGTTGGATCTTAGTTTAATGATAAATTTTTAAATCATTATGATAAATGAATTTTGAATTGAATGACTTTTTTCTGGGTAGATGTTTGCACTGAAAAACTTTTGTCTGTGACATCTTAAAAGTTGTGCACCAAAAATCATTTTCAGTCTTTCTATTAGTCATATCAACAAATAATGAAAAAGTCTAAAAATTGCTCCCTTTAACTCTGTACTATAGTTTCACCTGTAAAGCTTTAAACCCCAAAAGGCACCAACTGTAGTTAGACCTGCAAATCATCAAATCAGTGCTCATTCCTCCTTTCTCAGAGAATTTAAAGCTCCTCTAAGGAACTTTTGGATTGTGTCAGTTTTCCTCCCCCCGGACTTGCGTTTCTTGAGAAACAAAATCTAGTGCCACCTTTCAACAACCATATGTATAACTCATCACTCATGTTTGCTGTTGAACACATACAAAAAGATATACTGTTAGAATCACCTAATCTGACACCTACCCCCCGTCACTTATTTCAGACATTTAGCTAACTACATAAAAAACGGTCTCTCTCCTTCTTTTATGATTTTATATGCTTTCACAGGTCATAAAGCGAGAGTAATAGTAATTTCAGTCTGTTTCATGACTGTCTAAAAACTCCTCACAGGAGCTTTAAGTGTATTTGTTGACATAGATGGATAATATCTATTAAATCAGCTTTAGACTCATTGTTCCGGGTCCACAAGAGTTGGCATGTCCCTGCAGAGTACAGTGATAAACCAGTGCGTAATTTATCCTCAAGTGTCAGGATTATTAGTTGTAAAAGCCTGTCTGTGAGTAGGTGTGTGTGTCTGTGTGCATATATGTATGGATGTGTAGGGAGCAGCAGGGGCCGTGGGATCAGACTGATGCAGAGCAGAGGGTTTATTTTCACCGAACTGTGACTGATAAAGTACAGCTGTCCAAACTAACATGAACACACACACACACACACACACACACACACACACACACACACACGCCACACACACACACACAGGCCCATGTGCAGACACAAAATATACTTCTATGATCTAAAGGTAGCATTAATATCAAGGCAAAAACCATTAACATAGCATCAGACTCTGCGTTGTTGTAATCTTGATTGTCTTGTAAACATTACATGGTGACTGTCACAACACTCTGAGTCAACTCCTGACCCTCAAACAGGGAAAACTTCACATTGTGGGGGACATATGTGAACAGGATGGGCTGTCCTGGAATTTTCAAGAATTTTTCAGGGGTGGATATCTGAAAAAAAAAAAAGTGAGTCACTGCCTGCTGGTCAACGAGACAAAGGGAGGCTCGGCGCACTTTGGCATTGGCTTCGATTTTGAAATTGAAGCCTAAGTAAATATCAAACTATTGAATCAGCATTTATTTATTTTTTTTGAGTGGGATGACTCTTTGTTTATTTTTAATTGGTTACATTTGATAATAGAACTGAAGAAAACCCCCAATGTTTTTTAAGAGTTTCCTGTATATTGTCATATAAAACTCTGGCAGTGAATCTTCTGAAAACCTTTGGTAGAGCTGTGGAGTCTGCACAGGATAAGAGATAAGATAAGATTCTCCTTTATTAGTCTCACAGGGGGAAATTCCAATTTTACATCAGCGATAAATACAAAGGATGGAGAAACTTAGTAGTTAAAAAAGATGATATACATGAGCGTTATTTAAGATTCATGAGCTGTCCGTATTGAAATAATATCTCTGACAGAAATTAGTAAATGAATCTGAGCCATTACTTGTCCAGATCCTGTGGATTATGCGACTTTTACACGTATGTCACTTACTGCTCATATAAGCTTTAATTTCCTGTATTTGTATCACTCTGCTACTTTTTTTGTCTTTTTTCCTCCACTTTGGGTATATCTTCTGTTGATCTTCTTCTCTGTCATGACCTATTTTTTGTCTGTCTCTTCTTTCAAAATCAGCCCACAGACTCTCAGGGGAGTGTAGACACACTCACAGACACATATGAAACAACATCCTCTACAATTTCCTCTGATTTTGCTCCATTGTGTATTATGGCAGATTTTTATAAGTGCCTTTAATCTCATTTCAAATAACATATTAAACTTTTTTTTTTTGGGTCATCTTCTAATAAATCAACTGTTAGTTTTTGGAGGCTTTCTTCTGATCCTGAAGCCTTTTCCCAGCTGCTTCTGTTTGAGAAGAGCGTGTATCAGTGAAACTGAGTCATTCCCTTTGGCTGATATTGTGTTTACATTCCCCAAAACTTCAAAGTGTTCGTGTGACTCTACTAAGTGTCTGTATATTTTCTTGATTATATTTTGGTATTCATTGTGTGTTTTCTCTTTTTCTCATGTCAGGCTGCTGGGAGGATGACCAGTGGATCAGCAGGTAAGATAAGAGAGAGAGAAAATGACTTATGAATGTGTGTGTTCGGTATCAGCGTTTTGATTGCTTATTTGCATTCCCGCTATGGGATAAAAGTGGACTTCTGGGAATGTGTCCCACAGGATTCCCAGGCAGTATGTCAAACCTCAACCACCCACAAGTCAAGATATACTGTGACTACTTCAACACACACACACATACACATCAGAAGCACATTCTGGTGCACAAGCGGATTAAAAATGCGACATTTTGTGGCTGGAAACTTTGGTTCTGGGAGATTTTTCACTCTCTTTAGCCGCGCAACACCTTGGAAAAATGTGTGGTTGTCTTGTGTTGAAAAGATTATTTATCCCTTTTTTCCTTTGAGGCTGTGTTTTTTGCTCTTTCACCTCTTGGAATCAGCTTCCCAGTATTAGAAGAGTCTGAGAAAATGATTAATGAGTCCAACTCTGACCCTTGTCCGTATCTCTTATCCTCAGAGTGTGTCCCTTTTGATTGACAAGCACAGGCGTCATGGCGACTGTAGTTAAGTGAAACCCAGATAGGTTTCGCATTTTGGATTGTTTATTTTTGTGTGTTTTCTCTTTCTCTCTGTGTGTGTGTGCGTGTGAAAGCTCATACACCCCACTTCATGTGAATGTATGAGTCCGAACAGTCGAGGTGTCTCCAGCATCAGCAGGGGTCACATTACTGTCATGATAGTCTGTGGAGGAGAGGTGCATTGTGGGTAATGAGGCCCCAGAGGTTGTGGAAGGGTCATAGGTGATGGCATCAGTGGCAAATGACGAGGGTGGGAGTTTATATGTGTGTGTTTGTGTGTAAAGGAGACTGAAACATTTCATACAAACACGACGTCGCTGAGAGAGGAGGGAAGATAAGTTTCATCGTGCGGAGGTTTGGTGCCTCAGGTTTGTTTTCTCACTTGAGGGTGTTTATTTTTTCCTCTGATATGAGGAAACACTTTGGCCCTTTGACAGAAATCCTGTCTAATCAATCAGTGTGTGTCGGCCTGTGTGGGCTCTGTCTCAGCTGCAGAAGGACAGGATATGATATGCACATATCTCTGCCTACATAGCTGACATTCACGCCGCGCTCTGACAGATAAACAGGGAATTCCTCTTTGGAGTTTCAACAAGAATCACTCTTGTTCTATGCCGGGGGTCTCCTTATCAACTCAAAGTTTTTGTGATTGTCCTCAGCGCAGACCTTTTGATGTTTTTTTTCTTAAATATCCACATTTTTGTGCTTGTCTAAAAAGAAGCACTGGCCATGATGAATGTGCTTTAAATCAAATCTGCCCCGGAGCTCCTGACAGAAATGTTTTAATCCCCACAAAGATGAAAGGATTTACTTTCCATACATTTTCCTGAGTATTAATATGCAATGATAGATGATTTTTTTTGTGTGCTCTCCTTGATTTCAAGTTCGCTTTTATTTTGAAGACCTCTTAATCTTTGAGGTCACCCCAGTAATGCAAACAGTAACTTTTATTATCCCACACATGCAGACACACTAGTTTTACAGCATCTTAACCTACTTTTAAACCTGGATTAAAGACTTTGATATGATGTGATTGTCTAGTGCATTAATGTATATAGTGTAAAGTTTCATTTCTGTGAGCTTGGTCCGGAGAATCAGTGTTGTTTTATTCTATCTGTTCTTTCTTGCTCGCAGACAAGCTGGATGAGTAACACTCACACTGTTCTGGTGAAGAAAAATAACCTCCCCAAGATATTTTAGCAGAGAACTACTTTTTTTTTTTTGAGTAGTTCATCATAAGCTACATTTGACCTTGACCTGAACCGCTGACACACATTCTGTCTACTGTCACTGCCTACAGGGATTATAAAAAACATATAATCCTTCAGAGTTTTAACATTATTGGAGAGTGCTCAGGGAGACTGTTGGTAATCTCGACCTATGGCCTGTGGATCCTTTTAGTTTGTCCTTCGCATGTATGTAAGGGATTTTAATAAGTCTGACTGGAGGGTTCAGCTGCTGTGTGGCTCCAGCAGACACACTTTCACCAGAGAGAGTGTCATGCTAATGTTTAGCCTAAACAGTTTTGTCATATTTGAGTAACTTCTCTGGAAGCGTTGCGAGCGCCAGAGGATACCGGCTGTTTCTGTGTATACATACACATACACATTTTCTACTACCGCTATGTGTTGCGCATAATGTACCACACACAGAAAAGGCAGTTGGCGCTGCAATTAACTCCCAATAAAACTGGATTACTTAATGACGGTGTCTTGTTGTGGTGTTAATGTGTGTGTGGATGTGCACATATGTGTGAGAAGCTGTGATGTACAGACCTACCAGAGTGCATGCAGTAAAGGTTTGTGATGCAAAGAGGGCCCTTATTAACTCAATGCTTAGTAAGTAAGCTTGGTCGTGTAATTGTGTAAGTGTGTGTGTAAGAGTGTGTGTGTCTTTTGAATATTGCAGCAGTGTGCAGGAGAGCTAGACTGGAAGTGGATTTGGCTGCAGTCCAGGTTTCTCCCTCACCTCCTGGTCTTTATGCTTCCTCTGTATTTCTACTTTCAACTTATTTCGTGAATGCACAAAAACTATATCATACTTTAGATTTAACGTTGTATTTGTGAGTCATTCATGATGTTTGTTGCTTTGTTCAGTACATCACTACTTGTTGCCGTTATAGTGGAGCCTTTTAAAGCTTGATCTTGTGTGTACATGTGTGTTTACTGGCTTGTGAAGTTGTGCGGCACATATATTTGTGTATCATCTGTACGTGTTTGTGTGTTTGTGTGTGGTCCTGATACCCTATACAAGCACTGAAAAAAAATGCCCACAGGAAGGAAGTGGGTCCTTGAGGATTTTCCTGCTAGAATGCTTATTTTAACAGCTCAAAACCTCACAATATGTGTATCGCTCTTAAGTGCCTTTAAACTGAGATACTCGTGACATGGCCTCCTATCAGCGTACAATCTGCACTCCCTTGACCTGTGGAGTTTCCTCTGTGTCCATTAGCTATTGTTTCCCTTCTCCCCAGCCCTGCCTCAGGTCCTGCTCACTCCATACCTCAGTCTGCACCCTGTAAACCTCTGCACTCAACTTTCAGACCCCTGAGTCGATCTCTAAATACGACGTCTACCCCTCCCCGCTCAGTCCCGCACTCTAAACCTCAGGCTCAGTCTACCTCCCATATATCAGCCATGTTTTCTGTTTCCCATCTGTATCATCTCTCCTCTGTGGTCCTCAGGCTGAAACCTTTGCTTTGTGTCCCCCCCTCCTCAGACTGACCATAGTGATAGCCATCTCCTGCTCGTGGTGATTCAGCCCGCACAATAAGAGGTGGCCGGTGTCAACAGACTTTATCTTAGCAGGTTGGACAGGGGAAGTTGTTGTTGTTACTGGAGAGAGAGTAGAGTAAAGACACTCTCAATTAGCTCCTGACCCACTTTTCTCCTGGCCCATTTTTCCAAAGAAACTGACCAGAACAGCTTTTCTTCATGGCTAGTGCAGAAATATTGACAGAGACATGATGATACTGTTGATTTAAGCACATGTGGACATCATGTGGGTATCATATTTGGTCTTTTTATGATGACATGTGATAAGTCCTGGGTCCTGAAATAATAATGATAGGCATTTTTTCCCTCAATTGAAGAGAAGCCTGCTGATCAAAGTAAAATATCACAGAAGGGAATCTGACCCGTTTTCAGTCCTTGATCCACTGGAAAATCAAATACTCTAAAGCTTCTATAGCATTAATGACACATATAACACTTTTAATACTTTATGTGTTGACTTAAAATCTCTCTGATGGACGTTGGAGTCACTCTGCTTTTTCTTTGTTCGTTTACCCTCTTTCTGAGTATCCACTGTCTTTGCTTCTGCAGGATAAATGTCAATCACACCACCTCTCTGATGCATCAGGGTCAGGGGTCAAGTCAACGATATCACTATGGAAATATAAGAAAAAGATCTTATTTTTATTTCTCTGTTAAAGCTGGAGCACGAAAGAAAGAACATGTTTTATGTAGTTTTGTCTTTATTAGATAGGACAGCGAGAGAAAGAAAAGGATTATGGGAAGTAGAGGAAGATGGCCAGAGACTGAATTAAACATGGACTCAGTATGTGCAGTATATCACTCATTGAGAGATGTTTTGGAGCCTCTCCAAGCCCATCTCAAATAATGCAAATATATGGATAAGTCCTGGCCTTTATACTGTCGTGTTGGATATGTTGTAAAATTATTCACCCTCCCACCCCTTAAAAATAACAAACAAACAGATGTACGAGCTACAAATCCAAAACTGTCTGTAAACCTGCTGTCAAAATGGGTACCATGACATGAAACCTAATGTTTTTTTTTGTGCTTTTTTGCACCTTTGCATCATCTCCATTTTTCAACACCAGAAATTGCAGCTCAAGGATAAGATGGTTTAGGGGTTGAGACAGGAAGTGCTGCAACTTTGGACATAGCTTCTGCACACAGGAGGCACTTCTACTTGCTAGCGGTGACCCAATACAACTTTTTTTTTCTTTTTTTTACATTCGATATGATTCCGATTTTATAGCATTCAATACTGGCCAATACCGATATTGATCGGATATTAGCACAAACTTGTGCATGAAAAGTTTTGCACTCAGCTGCAACGTCTTTTTTTGGACTTTAATGACAAATACTGGAATACAGGACTGACATCACTCCTACTCCTTGGTACTTTGTGAGCACCTTAGTACACACTGTTGTTGTGATCACATGGGTTCAACATGCTGGATCCAGGTGCTGCTAGATAGAGGTGCCGCAGCGGAGTCTCCTTTACAAACAACCCTCTCAAAAAGTGAAATACCTGCCCAAAATATGCAAAACTATTACATGAAAACGACCTAAATGCAAGGACAGAACATAAAAAGTACATTATATGCTAGCTGTGTAGTTTTCTGTCCATGTAAAGTAAAGACAATCATGAGTGAACATATAAACAGATGTTGAGATTTGCATCCTGCAGCGCTGCCCTCCTAAATGCTTTCTAAGGAAGTGAGCAGCATATGGAATTACTATGAGATTCATCTGAAGATTACATGTGTGTATGTGTGTGTTTGTGAGGCGGGCGTGTGTGTGTGTGTGTGTCTACTCTCAGAGATCACTCAAAACAGATAGTATGAGTTAAGAATTTGGGTCAAGGTCACACACTACCATCTGTTCACTGGTTTTGTTTAATCTGGAGGTTTTCCACTTTAAGCAGACTGGTGGCTAAACAAGCTGCTTACAGTTTATTCTAGTGGACAAGAATAGCTTCTAGATTCTTCTGCTGTATGGGGATAATCCTGCGACTGCATTTGTATAAATTTGTGATTGCAGTGCACCTCAAAATTCAGAGTAAGCAGCTGTTGAGGTGACATCGGTTTAAGGGCGGGCTGGCTGAGTGCTCCAGTCTGAGCAGCTCGGCCTGAATGACTGAGTGTTGCAGAAAATAGCAGACGCAGGACAGGGAGAGGGAGGCAAGGGTGAAGAATGGTGAGAGGAGGAGGAGGAGGAGGAGGAACAAGCAAAGGATGGAGGAGAGTAACATGTACATTTTGGGAAGCTGGGGAGAAGCTAAAGCTGGTTGAGGGAGTTTTTTTGTCTAGTTTTTCTCACATGACCTACTGAAATATTGATCTGCCTGAACCTGCTAACCCAGAATCTGTGTTCATCTGCAGCTATTGACTTTTACTGTAACACTATGACAGTGCAGAAGAGTCTCAATTACAGGAAACCCTAAATAGAAAAAGGGGTTTTCATATACATGATAATAACATGCAAATGTTTCGAAAATTCAGTCTATAATTTCTATAAAACATAAATAAAAGCAGCGAATTTGGCTGCAAATGTGATTTAAAAAATACTCTGTCAGGTCACATCAGATAAGAGTTTTTCGGGAAAGTATCATGGGAGAAAGAAGCATAAAAAGGATTTTTAGTATCCTAATTTGATAAGACGCAGTCTGTTCAGCATCTCTGACTCATCGTGCCTATTACACCGCCGCTGTATCCTAACCTCACATGACCTGACAGCAAGAAAAAAGAGAAACTCAGTCTCTGTCTCCTCCTTCCTCACTTTTTCATCCTCATTTTTCTTCCTCAGCAACCGTCTTCAAACCACCTCCATCCCTTTCTGTGACTGCTGCAGATCTGGTTGCTCTCCCTAGGGAGCCACACATGCTCTGAATTGTGTTTGTCCAGAAAGTTAGATCCCTTGTCCGTTCAGAACTTGGTCACGGGCTGTCCTGATTGGCTGTTTAAGCCCTGGAATGTGTAAGGGTGGTGTTTTGATTGGCCACCAGAGTAATAGAGTGTTCCTGTGGTGTTTCCCCCAGAGTTTGACACAATGACCAGCTGACCAACCACAGATCACAGCCTGAACCATCACAGAGCAGAAATACTGATCTGACACAGGATCAGAGTCTGGATGGTTTTGTGGCTTTGCTGCAGAAGTGTTTTCATTTCTGACTTTTGGCCTATTTCTTTCTCACTCCCTCTGTCTCACAACTTTAACCCACAATTCACTTGTAATAGCTGAAGAAAAACAAGGGCTTTTTAACAAATTATACAGCTCTTTACAAAGGTTGCCCCCTGAGACGTGTACGGCAGTGTTTCAATGTCAAATCCTGGGAGTTCCTACAAAAGAAACACACACTTCTCCAGTGAAAACAGACACAACGGTAACAAACCTAATCTGAAGCATCTTTAGGCGAATTTTGATTTTGATCTGTCTAGTATTATCTTAACTCTTTCTTGATTTTTGTTAATAACTAGCTGCATCGTGATAGATAAATTAATACACTGTCAACTCGTATGTTCAAAAGGGTTTAAGAAAGCATGGAAAAGTCAGTGTGACTTAATCTCCTTATGTCAGTGTTCCCCTCCAGTTGTGCCTGTGCTGTAGGTGTCTATGATAATGTGCTAAAATCCTTTAATCCCGCAGCCCACACACGTTTGCACAGAGGGCTCTGGTCACAGATTCATGTGTGTGTGTGTGTATCATATGAGTCTGTTTCTGCATCAGTTTATTTATGCTATGAGTTTTTAAACTTTTTTTCATCAGTCATTCTTCATGTCTCCATTCATTCATGTAGCACTGGGGGTGTTAAACTCTGTAAAATCACTTGGCTTTATATACTGGATGTGGCTCTGACGCACATGGTTGGACAGTTTCTATTTCTGTGAGAGCTATGAGACAAACTTGTGAGCATTTTTCTTCAATCCTTCGAAGGAATGAGTTCAAAAGTATGATTATAATCAATCTAACAAACACTCCGAGTAAAACCTCATCTTCTGATGTGGATTAGTTGAACGGTAAGAGGAAGGAAAGTTTTCCACCATTTAACATGATGCCATTTATGACAACACACATAAGCACTTTTTGAATTATTATTGATGATTTAATATAAACTCTTTACTGTTACTGAAAAGAAACATTTAGTGATAGTAGACATTTAAGCTCACGATTTAATTCAACAGACACTTTGTCCATCTGTAGATACAACACAAGCAAGCATTTAGATCAGGGGTGATAACAGGAATCAGTGCCATAAATTGCTTCAGGCCCAGTCAGATGTGTTGACATTCAGTACTTCAGGCTATACAAGGGTTTTTTGAAGAATTTTCAGATAAAATATCACTGCCAAAGCATTGCCTACAACAAAATCAACATTTTCATCATGACACCTCTTTATCCTCATCATAAATGCCGTTGTCTTAAACTGATTATGAGTGAAACTTGGTGAATGGTTTATTCTTTTGTTGTTGGATTGTATCTCAAATCGTCCTTCGCTGTTAGTGAAGTGATAGAGGCCATGGAGGAAAGGAAGCTCTTGTAATGTATGGTTAATATGATCCTCTGTTTCAAATTTTACCATCAAAACCCGTCTTTTCCAAATTCTCTTGCTAAATATAAGACTGCGTGTGTTACCAATTGTCCAGCTCAGTGCTATGTAGGAACATGGCAAGTCAAAATGTTGATCTCTGCTCTTATATAGATATAAAAAGCTTATTCTACACTAACAAAAAAAACAAAACAAAGTTTCTATTCAGGCAATTTGCACTTTTTAAAACATATTTATGAATATTTTACTCCATGCTGACAAATTCTACATACTGTACCTTTAAGTGCAATCTGAAAACATTGTTTCTGACTGAACATTTGAAGGTATCATCTTGGACCTCAGTGAATTTATGTGGGGTTCTTACTTTCCTCTCCATTACTTGCAGTGGATCCATAAATTGATGATGAATATTATTAGTTGCAGCTCCATATTAGAGTTTTGGACCTTTTTGAAATACAGGACCATCAACAAGCCGTCATACAGGCTTCTTATAACTAAAAATGATTTATTTAATATTAGGAAAGCAGTTTTTCCCTGTAGAATAGAGGAAGTAGCTCCCTTTGCTGTTTCCATCAAGGATAAAATCCTTTCTTTGCTTCTTTACAAAATAGATTTTCAGCGTGATTCCTAAACACCAGTCTTTGCCCCTTAAGTTATGATCATTTGACTATAACTGTACATGACAGAAATGAGTCGTATGACTCGGTTAAATATGTCTTATTCTCTATTTGCAAATACAGTGCTCGTGAATCCCATTAACTTGTTCAGTTAGAAACAATCTACACAGAAAAGGTCGCTGTATAAGAAGCTTTATTCCATGAAGTGTGTCATTTCGCTTGTTTTCTTACTTCCTCTTTTTGCACCAGATCCTCAACATGTTGGTGGTCTCGTCAGTTAACTCTGCTTTAGTCTCCCTTCAGCTCTCTTAGCCCCTTAAATCTTTATTTCCGTCATCATTCAGCTGCCTACACTTCACCGTTCAACATTTTCTGATGGCGGCCATGTTCCTCTCAGGGTGGGATGTGCAAAAACTGTAATTATGTTTTGTTGAAGTATTCTAGGTTTAAATTTAGTTATAAATTTTACAAAACATACTGATTTCATTTTTATAACGAATTAGCTACACTTCAACCGGACTACATTAGCATTTAGCCTCTGAAAACCTTATATTTCTCTTTCAATTCTTGCCAAATATCATAAAAGCACAGTAATGATTATGATGCAGAGTGAGTGAAAAGATTTTTACAATCTCAGCAAATAAAAAAAAAGTTAGAGACCCCACAAATAAGGATTAATAATAGTAGACTTCACTGTTTTTTTCTATCGGGTGTTGAAAGCAACACAAAGAGCAACAATAAAAGTTCAATAAAACACAATAAAAAGTTCCACTCACAAAGAACTGAACTCTAGACCATCAAAACTACCAACCTCACAAAGTATCCCTTTAAAGAAACTTAATGTGATTAAAACCTCTTAATGAAGGGTGTCCTGGTTAAGAAAGGCAGCAGCCAGTAAAATCACTCTTATAGTCCCTCACACCTCCAGAAAATCTGACAAGATAGCTTTTAGAAATGTCCAGAATCAATACAATACTACTTTGTTGTATGGACGCTGCTTACAACTCATTATGGGCAGCTAACTAGCAACCATGATAACAAGCTTACGAACCATTGTAACTAGCTTTTCTGACTCTTGGTTTGAATTTCAATTTTCCTTTGCTTATCTATTGGGAAGTTGAATGGTAGCATTTGAGTTCCCATATCTGAGCATGACATTAGAGGTAAATCTGTGCTGTGTAAATATGCTGAAGTATCTCCCTTTTATCCGCTCTCCCTCTCATCAGTTATGTCAGTGCCTGTCATGAATCTCCCTCTGGACTGAGCAGTGCAGCACAGGAATATAAATCAGTGGCTTTCTCTCAGTTTCACTGTCACTGGACACCCTGCGTAAGGCAGGCAGAAAAATGAGGCCATGAACTCAAGCATTTAATCTTTTTTTTTTTTTTTTTTAAAAGGGCGACCAAACCAGTTTATTCGCAGACTTATTTATAAAAGTACCAGTAAAGTTGTATTAGGTGTCAGAATAAACGCAGGATTGTGCTGACTACCAGGGATGTCAAGCATGTTTCAACAGGTCAAAATTTCCAATCAAGTCCCTGCCAGTGGATCCCTGCTGACCTGGAACTCAACACCACAAACAGGACATCCGATGGTGTCAGGCAGACGGCAGCTGAGGAGCGTCCTGGCTGGCCTGTTCACTCTGTCTGGCATTCCTTGGATAATATGGGTGTAACGCAGAGCTCAGGATGAGAATCCTCAAGCTCTTGACCTGTCAAAGGGGTGAATGCAGCTCACAAAGAGAGACACCTCAGATGGTTGATGTTTGTGCTGGTTCACTTTCAGTTGTCAGCTGACTGCAGCATGAATAGTGACCGTGTCTTCAGCAGTTTTGGGACACCAGTTTGAGAGTTTTAGGATCAGCCGAGCTTTTTTAATTCTTCAAGTTTTGAAACATCAACAAAAAGGTTTGGTTAAAAACAACCCAATTTGGGTAGTTTACCAACCCAGCGCTGGTTCAGTATTGGACAGAACACATGCTGGTTTAATTTTACCCAACTAATTGGGTTGGTTCACTTAACCACACTAAGGGTTCACAATAACTTCTCTGCTGGGTTCTTTAAACTTTCAATTTCACTGATGGACAATGAACTTTGGAGTTTGTAAACATTTGGCAGTTTTTTTACATGTTTTTCTTCTCTTTTCAAAATAAACAATACAGAACAGGAAGTTGTATCTTGCATCCACTCCACTCCACTCGACGTCTCAAAGTCATCCATTGATTGTTCATATCAACCTGAAACATCAAGACAGAGAGTCCATTGAAGCAGTAGTTCAACATTTCTGACCACACCACGCTGCACATCAGCTAACGTGTTAGCTTGCTACATTTGAGGCAATGTACTTTACGCTATTAACGTTGGCTAACCATTAGCTTGCTCACCTACCCATTGATTCCTGAAGGCAGAAGCTGGTACACAACAGTACTTCACAAACTTACATCTTAACAACAAAATGAGGCTCTCTATAATAATATCAAGTCATCTATATGGTAAAGCAACATTGGGAATGTAACAAACCTTGCTTTGTATGTCTCCTCACTTTAGCAGTTGTGGTATCCACCTGGTAAGTGGGTGGTGTAAAACTGTAAAGAAATTACAACCCAACAGCTAATAACTCTGTTCCCAACATAAGTAACCTTGCATATTGGGTACTCAGAATGCCCAACTCCATGAAAATAACCCAAATAAGTTGACCAACAGGCTCAACCTAGTAGTTGGGTTGAAAAAACAACCCAGCATTTTTTGTGTGCATGTAAACATGAGAGTATACATGATAGAGACAAGAGGGAACCATTGTGTGGGTCTCTAACAGTGTGTGTGGATGCCTTGTAAGGTCAGGTCAGTGACTGAGTGACCAGAGATTCTGCCAAAGGCTTTTTCAGGCAACATCATTCAGTAGTAGGCTATCATGTGTGTGTGTGTGTGTGTGTGTGTGTGGTACGAGTATGTCTTATTAATGTGTACCAAGGGGATTGAAAGAGATCCTTGTTTGGGTGAGAGGGTGGGTTTGGGTCGTGGAGACCATGTAGGTTCCGTGCGTGTGTGTGTCAGAGAGTCAGAGAGAGAGAGAGAGAGAGAGAGAGAGAGAGAGAGAATTACACAGAGGGAGGGGGAACCGCCTCTCACATCTGGCTCTCCATGTCAGCAGTCCAGACTCACATGCAGAAGTTATGTTGGAACACTGCTGCACCTTCGCCCTGAGTCGCGGGGGGCTGGCAGAGCACATTATGCTGTATAGTTTCAGGCGGTGTATCTTCCTTGGGTCTAAATCGTGCGTATAGGTCCCGGTCCGCCTCTGCCTGGTGCAGGACGGTGACGCAGCGCGAGAGCAGCTTTCCTTAAAACCAGGTGAAGCGGTGACGACCATTGCGGCAGCCGGACGCAGCAGCAGCTCGGGACGCACTGTCCCAGCCAGCCAACCAGCCGGCCAGGGCTGTTCACGGAGGAATGAAAAGGGACTGAGGAATAAAAAGTCAGGGAGTATGCGCCCGGCTGCACCGCAATGACAGCCCATCGAAGGTCTGCCAAGCTACAGCTGCGACGGTCTATCAGCGAGCAGCTGCGGGACTCCACGTCCAAGGCTTGGGATCTGTTGTGGAGGAATGTCCGGGAGAGACGTCTGGCAGGTCAGAGAGCCGCAACCAGAGGAAGTCATACTTAATTTTGACATGCGGAACACGAATGATTTTGTCTCTGTCCGACAAAAACCTGTCAGATAGATCTAACAGGCTGCAGCTTGAGTCGTGAGCCGCTACCTCAGAGTACCCCGTTGTGTTTTATAAATTAAAGATAGGTTTATTTTTGTCTGGAAATTGTTGTAGTTTCCTTACAGCGCTGGAATCCACAATTTCCTGGCATTTATCCTCCGCCTTTAGGGACACTATATTTAACAGTACTTTACTAGAATAGAGGAATGATAATGCAAACAAAAGTTGGTGATACTGCATAGCTTCTGTGTTATGCTTGTACCATCACGCGCACGCAGCGCGCTCCCTGATATTTTGGGAAGGTCATTGTCAAATATAGTGCTCCAAACAGCGCAGGCATGTGCTGTGGACAGGAGTCCAGCTGAGGGGGTTCAGATGCCATACTCTCAGCGACATTTGTTATTGCAATCAGAGAGAATCATTTGTTTTGATTATTATTCTCGTTAAACAGATGTTTAAATGTACTGAAAGATAGATTTCATACATATCTGCATTAGGACAAACATTTCATTTACGCACCAATGCAGTAAGTTTGGAGATTCAGCCGATTTGCCATATATTTACAGTAGCCTGGATGCGCAGAGTTGGATCTCTCGCCCTCCTTCTCGCTGAACTGTGCGTCAGAGAGGGACAGAGAGGGTGGAGAGATGCTGAGGGTTGCATGTGTCTCTTCAGTTTGATGTAATTACCGGGATGTCTGCCTCTTAAGCAAATTAAACGATGAACATTCCCACATTCAAAACCAAGCTACAAGCAGCCCGATCAGTCACAGCTACTGTGGCTGTCAGGCGCATTCAAGAGTGCAGCGGTGATAAATCGCATGTGCACGCAGCAATAAGCCACTTGGCATGATGGATAATTACTTAATGTGATGAATTAAGTTTTAATGGCAGTTTGTACACAATAAGTGGAGCACCAAAGGGAACACCTGCTGCCATAGAAATCGTTTTTCTCCTAATTTTTCACCTCTTCAGGGCTTTCCAGGCAGAGCTCCCGAACCCAATACCCCCCTGCCTCCCCTTCTTCCCCCCACTGCTTAACCCATCAGCCCACAAGGCACTGAGTTCACATCTGTCTGGATCAGATTTGGAGATGGGGGGATCCTTAGAATCTGCACATCTGGCCTCTCTGTTATGCTGGTATTCAGCATTTTTTCCTACCAAAGTCAAGGCAAATGCTTATGTATGAAAAAAGCCCAAGTTGGAAGTTTGTCAGTTTTTTTTTCTTGAAGCATTCTGCACAAGAAAAACAAGGCTAACTTTATTTGAAATTCCTGCATCCACTTAAAATGAAATCAAATGCAACTTGCTGAAAGACCAAAAAACAACAGTGCTGGGAAAGGTATGAAAAACAGTGTAGAAAGGACCAATGCAGATGTATCATAATTTGTCAAATCAAGCAGAAAAAAATGTCACCCAGATTAAGAAATCAAATCAAAATTAGCTGGGAGAATCAGGTGGAATTGATTTTGTTTACTTCCATTTAATCAACCGTGTGTTTGAGTGCGCGTGTGAAAACTGAGAGTACATTATAGCACCTGGATTTAGCTGTAATCCTGACAGATTTTTAGGTTAGCAGTGGGGGTCGGATATCCCTTTGCGTGTGAGTGATTGTGTTTGTGTGTGTGAACCTTTACCTTGAATCATCTCTTTCTGACTGCCACTCTCACTATTTTGTAATCAGCTGTACTACAGCTTCTCCTTCTTTGGCTTTCAGAGTCTGTTCATTGTGTCAAACATTTATCTATATAACCCTGCAGACTTAGAAGCTGGTAGATAGGCGGCATTGATGTCAACCTTGAACCACTGCAATGACTCCTTCTGAAATTGAGACCTGCAGTTTTTGCTCTTCTACTCTTAATACCTGCAGTATAATCTGAAGACTAAGCATTCACTTCATTGCACTAGTCTTAAAGCCATTTCAATTTTTTGATTAACAGGACCTAAAAACCAGTATATACTGTATGTACAGGTAGGAGTTAGACAATATAATCCCCCTGACTCAAACAATTATCACATTGCTGGTCCAAAAATAAGTATTTTAATTCAAAATTCATGTATTTCTCAGAACACATTTTCCCTCGAGGTTGACTCACTGCACTTCCTCCAGTAGCTCTAACTACATTAACCCTGCGTATAATCTTTAAAGAGCAGTTTATATTATTCATATAATCAGTAATCCTGAGTATCTCCATATGGTTGGCTTGTATTTCATAAAAAAGACATCAAATCACTGTATCTTAATATAATCATTATCACTGACCATGTATCTTGTATCATAATGGTATTCTAAGGTATTATATCTCTCTCATTGTACCACCCCACTGAGCACTTTTTGGTCTAAAAGACATCTAAATGTAGCCTAGACGACTGGTCTACCACAGGTCTAAAAACGAAAGGTTTTTTAGACGTCTAAATTTAGACGTTTAGAAGTTTAGACCAAGTCTAAATCTGGATTTTGAAATAAATAGTTACCGAATAACGGGTTTAAAGTGCAACGTCTAAATTCCATCTAAAAATATACAGACTCTAGATGCTTAATAGCCGTATGTCGCCCAGTGGGACTTGATATCATCTCATCATTATTGTATCGTATTCCAAAATATCATGTATCATCTTCATCATATCATATTGCATTGTATCGTATTGTTTCGTATCGTGTCATATCATGTCGTGTGGTATCGTGTTGTATAGTATCACATTGTACTGATCAGATTGTAAATAACTGTACACAACAAAGTTACATCTTCTCTTTGGTTTGCCTGTTTAGTTTCTGTGCTGTCTTTGTCGGCCCTATCTGAGTTAGGGTGATGGATATTGTGTTACTGATTTTTTACTACAGCCCCTCTCTGTGCCAGTCCATTTACACAAACCCGTGCAGCTCGCTGTCCTGCTGTGCCTGCAACATGGTTGATTGTTTCTTCAGTGTTCTGCATTGGGTATTTAGATTTGTTAGTGATGTTCGTACAAGTCTATCTAGTCACTGAGTTTGAATATTAAGTTTTGATAATTATCCTCAAGAGGGCAGTCTAATCAAACTGGATCAGAGTTAAGTTTTAATATGTGGTAATCCAGACTTTACCTTGCTTCCCTCTGACAGTGTATGACTCAGAACACTCAGCTGTAAGACTCCTCTGCTTTGAGATCAGGTGCATGTGTGAGACAGCTGACCCCAGATTGACTCTACCATGACCTACTTTTCACGTGCGCCCCTACCCCCACCTCTTACCCCCTGCCTATTACCTGCTCGAAATGAATTAAAAAGGACCCCCATATCCTGTAGTCCTGAAAGATCACTATTCTGCCAAACTAGGTCAAAGTATGGACGTGCCTCCACCTTCACTGCATTCCATACATTAATACACCAACGCTGTTTCTGTTTGGCAACATTCAGTCACATGTTTCAGTCATTAGCGTCGCTCTCTTCAGAACTTGATGGATGTAGTTTGACCAAGATTCCCCAGTAGATAGTTTGGATGGCATAAATGTCTTGGTGATTTACTCACTGTTGGACTTGGGTAAGATTTTAAGCCACTAGCACGAGAACCTACACATCCCACTGAGCAATAGACGGCTATTAGACGTTAGGTTTTTATTTTAGACCTAATTTCAACCGTCTAGATTCTGTGTATTTTTAGACAGAATTTAGATGTTGCACTTTAACCCATTATTTGATAACTATTTATTTCAAAGAGCAACTGTGAGTTGCATAACTGATCTCCAAGTTCTTAACCAAAATAATTATGATAGCCATTGAGCAATATACAGTGTAGTATAGTATGGCTGGCTAGTCTAAACTTGGTCTAAATTTAGATGTCTAAAAAACTTTCATTTTTGGACCTGTGGTAGCCTGACTTTAGACCGGTCGTCTAGGCTACATTTAGACGTCTATTAGACCTCTTTTAGAACAAAAATGCGGGGGATTAGACTCTTAATAGATCTGTATTCAGGAGAGTTTCTAGTTTGTTCTTACTGCAATTACACCACCAAAATCTAGACTGTTGAGATTTCTGTGCCAGTTTATGGGTTTTCTTTTTGTCGTCCTTCTGTGTGATCATGTTGGAGTTGATGCTTATAGGAGTACGTAACAACATTCACTTTTACTGAACTGACAGAAAGGCAGAAAACATTGAATAGGCCTGGGAATAAGAGTTTTAACTGCACATCTTTTCACAGGCTTTAGATGCTAGCTTTGTAAAGCTGAGTGTCCTTCAAAGGAGGTGATCAATCACACTTGTTGTATTCTGTGTAACCACATAATGTGCTGTACACTTCTGGAAGGTAAATTATCAAGAACAAACGCTGTAGCCATGAGTTTGTGTTGTTGCTGTTTTTGCTACTGCTCTGTTTGTTGGTCTCTATCCATCTCTCTTTATTTCTATCCGTCTTTTTCTGCCCCTCCAGTCGAAGCACACGACTGCTGCCGTAAGTCTGCCTCTACCTGCCTGTCAAACCAACGTTTTTCTGCTTATTGATTGATTGATTGATTGATTGAATAATAGAAACAGACTTGAATATCTGCAAAAGAGAAAGTGTCTGTTTGGACCAAAGACTGTCAAAAAAAAAACTGAATCAGAACTAAAACATAGTAAGAAAAAATACTGTCTTTTGACCCTTTCATTGGAACCCCTGCTTAACTTCACTGTGTTTCATTCAACCAAACCATCGAAGCTGCTTGTATCAAAGTTTAACGGTTGATGATTGCATTCATAATATTTGATATTAGTCAGGGGAGAAATCTTTAAAAGACCAAGTAGTTTTTCTTTAATTGCTCTGAGTGGATTTGGTTATTATTTATAGGATTACTGGAATTTCTCATGCTTTTCCTTTTTGCTTTAATTACAGACCTATTTCATGGAGTTGTGTCCAACACTTTAGGGTCTGATCTCTGTGGATTTTCTCAATGACGTTAGAGTCGTGCTGAGCTTTACTAACAATAGCGTCATTCCTACACACATTCCTTGACACACACTCACACTCACACACCCCATGCTCTCCATTGTTCTGCCCTTCCCCTCCTCACACTGGCATATAGCCTCTAGGATAGTGTTTTTTCCAGGCCTATCCCCACTCTCATCACATCTCTCATCCCACACAGAGCACACACTCTCTTACATAAACACACACTTGTGCACACATTTGCCCGGGGCATGTACCAAATTGTGTCTTTGGTAGTGTGTCAGGCAGCCGGGCAGTGTTTCCCAAGCTCATATCCCATTGGTTGCTCTTTCTGCATATGATCGGAGAAAGCTTCTGAAAGCGAAGAGTTGGGGAGTCTTCCTCCCATCGCAGCTGAGAAGTCAGCATGTTGTTAGTGTGTGTGTGTGTGTGTGTGGGGGGGGGGGTTAAGTAGCTCTGTCATTTGACTCAGGTGGTGAGATGATTGTGTGTTTGTTGGAGGGAGGAGGCGGGCGGGCAGGCGGGGAGCTGATTCGGCTTCCAGTGAGGGCTTGTTAGAGGCAGGAATTCAGAGGGAGCGCTCACTAAACAATTCATCAGGACAAGAGGAAGACTGGTAGAGTTTTGAGAGTTAGATTTGTATGCAATGGAGGCTGTGGAAACTAGAGTTTATGGACTGAGTATGGACAGTTTGACCTCATCACAGAGAGAAAGGGCTGCAGAGACTGAAGAAGACGCAGAAAACAACAATCTGGACTGTTTAGACAATATGAACAGAAAACAAACTCCGAAAGACGAGGACGCGAGAGCTGGTGATGTTTCTAGAAGATGCAGATACCCTGAGAGTGCTGACACCGACACTGCTGGGGATAGTGCAGACAGCAGGCGTTTGGAAATCGATGACAACAGTAAGGATCAGAGTGCAAAGGACGACAGTAATGAGAGCGACGGTGACAGCAACAATGAAGAATCCTGTCTGGGGGCCATGACACCCTGTGGCCAGCAACACTACCTGAGGCTGGGCGACACCCCCAGACGGCGCTCTGCCCTGCGTCTCTCACGCATCATTGCCCGCAGGCAGCTGCTGCAGAGGCTGGCACGAGGTAGAAATTGAGACATAGAGCTGAGGCTTAGGGGGAGGGACTTTCTCTGATCTGATTTGACCTGACTTGTCGGATTTCCTCAAGAAAGAAGGCACATGTAAATTAGATCAGCGTAATTTGCTCTTGATATTTATCTGTTTATTTCTCAAATTTTGATCATTTTACACAAGAAAGATTGGGAAATGCCTGCGTGTTTAACAGTTACAATCATTTGGATGTTTGACGCCTACCTCTTTAGTCTGCAGTCTTCTCCTGTGAGTGAACTTAACCAACCTCTTATCAGGTCTTCTATTCAGAGGCTGAGAAAAGGAGCTCATACAATTCAGAATGAGCATCAAAATGTAGCCTTGTCATGTGAGATTCTGCCATCATATTGCAGGATTTTTTCCACATTTAACCCTTGAAAATCCATGAAAAGAGCTAACTTTGAGGCGTTTGTTTATCATCTGTCCTTTCATCCTTTCATTATGTGTTAAAACCCGAAAGGACTGCAGTGTTATTGTTTTTGTCTATGTCCCCACTGCCCAGCTTGTCAGACTTGTATTCCATGGTTACTTCCTCAACTTCCTGTCACATGACTCATGCTTCCCAGGGAGTAAACAGAACATCCTGGCGTTCAGTATGAAACTTTGGGCTTTTTCAAGTGGTTGTACTTGTTGAAGATAAGTTATCATAATGGTTTTTGTCCCCAGGTCTTTGTAGGCTTTGAGATGATCAGATGTGTGTTCGCCTTGTCGTTTATAGACTTTGATTTTATGACTTTGATTTTATTAAGGCTTGGCACTGTGTGTTGTGATTTTATTTCAACGTGTGGAATCTTGTATGATGCATCTTGAAAAAAAACTGAAAAGAGAGTGAGGGAGACAGAAAGAGAGAGAGAGGGAGAGAGAAAGGGAGATGACAGCTGTAGCAGCAGATGAGGAATGTAGACAGAGCAGCAAGTTTATGCCTGTGCTGCTTTTGGGTGATGGTATGACTAATTCAACTTTCTCCTTCTGCCTTCTGCAATCAGACTCTCTCTCTCCTTCCCTCTCACCTTCTCATCTATCTATCCATCTATCTATCTATCTATCTATCTATCTATCTATCTATCTATCTATCTATCTATCTATCTATCTATCTATCTATCTATCTATCTATCTGTCTATCTGTCTATCACAGTCATACAGTCACAGTCCTTTTTTGCATTCCTCTCTTTAGCAGCTGGTAGACCGTCAGACAGACATTAATAAAATGAACTCAGTAACCCTCACCAAAGCCTCATCTCAAACCAGCACGAGCTCATCCTTTCATTCATATCCCAAACTACTGCTGCCTGGTCTTTATGCAAATCGTTGTGTATACAGACAGTTCAAGAAGGGTCCAATTAACATGAGAAATGTTTTATCTTTAGGGCTTTTATGTGGGAGGACAGTGGATAGTACAGCTGGGCAACTGATCGGATATTAATTCAGATTATGGCTACCTATGTTTGTAAAATTATGATAACTAGAAACAGAGGCGTCTTGCAAATTTAACATTTGTGTTGTGCGTTGTCCGCAGGATTCTCAAACAGCTAATTCTTAGGGGGCAAAGTTTACGATAAGATAAAATAAGATTATCTGATATTATGTGAATCTTGCATCCACAGCTGTTTTCCGCTGTCTCCAAGTGCCTCAAAGTCTGCCCAACTACACAGTTCAACAGATAGTATGTCTAGACCTGCTGTTTTTATAAAAACAATTACATATGTCGTAAATCAGTGATAATTGGTGAGGGATTGATTGAAGTAAGCTGTCATTTTGTTGATGGTAATGACTCGCTATTACAATGCACTTTGAAATTTAAGGGCCAAAGCTCTTTATATTGTTGAATCAGCCTTGTTTTGATGTTCGGGAACCAAGATGACTAGTTTCTGGAGTTCTTAGAGTGAAACTTTGTCCCATTTTTTCCTTATATAGGATTTCAGCTGCTTGAGCGTTTGGGGTGTCTTTTTTGATAGCTGTTGTTTTATGATTCTCTGGACTCTCTGGACTCTTCTCCTATGGCGTGATGCCTTTGTCTATCTTGACTGGGCTGGGGCTCAGAGATTTCTAAATCATGTTTATTTATGATTTCCTCTTCGCATGGAACAATTTGACCCTTATTTGTGGATGCAGCTCTATTCAAAAAGTTATTTTTAAGTTTTTTAAGCCTGTAGTTGATGCATTATTTTCTTAATCTGGGGCTTTTTTAGCCCTTTTGGTACACTGTGGTTAAGCTGCTGCTCATTTATTTGAAAATTAATCTAGAAAGCAAGATCTTAACGTAAATTTCATTGCATTCACTCGATTCCCAAATCATGGTGGTAAGAACTGTTTTACATATTTAATATAGATTTAAAAGCCTTTTCGAAATGCAAAACAATGAAATTTTAAGCAATGTGATTAAAAATTTGATAAGGTGTCATAAATTAATAAAATTCAGGCTTAAAAAATATTATCTGTAGGCAGCCCTGTCTTGATCATTTCATATACTTCTTTGGACAGAGTTGAAGGGAGGCTGAGAAAAGGACTTAGAGACAACAACTGTTTTATTTTCTGTTGAGTTTATTAACCAAAGACAGACAAACAGGCCAGCAAAGGTTAAATCAGGCAACGGGAAGCTACAGATACTTAGAGATATGTTATCTTAGATCTAATAACTCAAAACAAATGAAAGTGTTTTTACTCCCTCTGCTGGCAAAGAAGAGTCATAACTAAATCCACAACTTCAGCACTCTTGATTTCAGACTATCTCACCCCAGTAACCCACTCTGTTATCTCTGAGAATAATGTCTGCCATGTTGAATCATTACATACAAGTTCACATCTCGTGTAGTCGGGCTGTCTGACCTCTGCTGTCCTCAGTTTATGTTGACTCCTGAACCTGCTGCTGATTTCACGCCACTGTTGATGCAGCTTTACACCACATTCCTGAGGGTTCGACATCATCGCAGATGAACCATAAGGGACGGGACGCAAATATTCTTCCTGAACATCCCTCCCTCCTTTCCTCCCTCCCTTTCCTCCCTCACTCCTCCTCCTCCTCTTCTATCTGTCTTCTTTTTCACTACTTTTTTTTCTTTGTGACCTTTAAACATTGAGGACTAAGTGCTTTAGCTTATGTGGGAATATGGCTGCTTTCCAGGCATCCTGTATGTGTGTGTCTGTTTTTGTGAGTGAGTGTGTGTGTGTATGTAGTTGTGTAGAGGGACCATAACTGCTGAAGTTATGCTTAAACAACCTCAGATAATTATCTCCTTCAGACCTTATCTGTGATCTCTCTGGACCTCTTTTCTCTTCTACTTTTTAGTTTAACTCTTTTGAGGAACTACATTGAAATAGATCTCCACTAAATGTAGCCCGGTCCTCTCTCATTCCTCTCTCACTTATCTGTCACTTGGTCTAACAATTATCCCCGCTGAGTCCCCCCTGATACGCTCAGCTAAGTCCTGGAACTTCCTGCTGCCGTTTTAAGCTCACATGCTGCTCTGCATGCCTGGGAAATTCAGTGCAGGAAATGATGTCATTCATGGAAATTCAGGGTCCTTGAGACCCTGCACGAGACAAACGGTGGCTGAGAGAAGCTGTCAGAAAGTTAAGGGTCCTGGCGCTGGATAAAACGTAGGAAATGAGAGGTAGAGGACAAAAAGGCAGAGGCAGGCGTTCAAAGAAAAAGCTGTGAGGAGATTGGGGTGCTTGTATTATATAACATAGCTGGCACCCTTCTTATGTAAGAAACCATCATACAGCCCCATTGTCCCACACATGGATGCCTGTATTAACACACTCCCCACCTGTCCTCCCTCCCTGCTGTCGTATATTCCCCACAGCTGGAACGCTGCGACAGTGAATAGACTGAATGGAAAGCTCAGTGCGACTCTCAGATTAACTCCGTCTGTCTGTGTTTGTGTGCTTTGTGGCCCTCTGATTATAACATGTATGTGCACTAATTAATCTCTTGATTAAATTCTACACTTGTGAATAGCTGTGCTTTGTTGCCGTACTGTGTCGCTGTGCCAATAGACGCCTTTTAGCACAAACACAAGAGACATGCGGATAACACACACACACACACACAGTAAAGATCACACTGCATGAAAAAGTCACATATGCACACAACATATATGAACACAACTCACGATGTTTTTACAGACCCAGATCCAAACTTTACTTTGTTGGTCTATCAGCTCACATGAAGAAAGAAATCAAGGTTAACCAGTAAGCATGTGTTTAAAACGAAGGTATACCAATATCTAATGACCCAGACCCACTGAAATAAGAAACAGAACACCTAGACTAGGCTGTGACAACATACAATACATGCCAATGAGATTTTGATTACTAGTACATTTATCTTGGCCTTTATTGGTGTCTATTGTAATTCTAAATGTAATGTCATCATAATTCTTGTCTTAGTTTGAATTTAACATCTTGTATAATTCTCCTGTTTGGACTTTTATCATTTTAATCGATATAAATTTTGACTGTCTTCTTGCGGACCCCAGGAAGAGTAGCTGCTACTTAAGTAGTAGCTAATGCCAAATAATAAATAAATAAATATATAAATAAGCAAGTAAGTGTGTAAGTAAGTAAGTAAGTAGGTGACTAAGTAAGTGCGCAAGTGTGTAAGTAAGTACATAAGTAAGTAAGTGAGTAAGTAAGTAAGTAAGTAAGTGAGTCAGTAAGTAAGTAGGTAAGTAAGTGCCTTAGTAAGTGTGTAAGTAAATAAGTAAGTGAGTGAGTGAGTAAGAAAGTAAGTCATTGAGTAAGTAAGTAAATAAGTTAGTAACTTAGTAAGTGAGAAAGTGAGTAAGTAAGTGAGTGAGTAAGTAAATAAGTTAGTAATCATGTGTGTAAGTGCATAAGTAAGTAAATAAGTAAGTCAGTGAGTCAGTAAGTAAGTAAGTAGGTTAGTGCCTAAGTAAGTAAGTAAATAAGTAAGTAAGTAAGAAAGTAAATATGTGAGCAAGTAAGTAAGTGAGTCAGTAAGTAAATAAGTAAGTGAGTGAATAAGTAAGTAAGTAAGTGAGTGAATAAGTAAGTAAATAAGTGAGTGAATAAGTGAGTAAGTAAGTAAGTAAGTGAGTGAGTAAGTACGTGAGTAAGTAAGTAAATAAGTAAGTAAGTGAGTAAGTAAGAAAGTAAATATATGAGCAAGTAAGTAAGTGGGTCAGGAAGTAAATAAGTAAATAAATAAAAAAATAATCAAAATCCATCCATTTATTATCAAAATTTTCAAATACCTGTTTCTAAATAAATCAGCAATAATCAACAAAAAGGTGTGCTTTTGATTATCCTCTATCCTTTATTATTTTGTAAAGTTAGAAGTGACTCTAACTGAGACAAAAATGAAGGGCCTTACATTTAAAGCTTACCACTGATGTGATAGACAGCATTTACTTAACATTGATAATCAAGAATAATGAGGCTGAAGACATGCGTAAAAATGTGTATGTCACTCGAAGGAGTCATTCATCTCTCAGATTTCACAATCAGTAAATAAGTTGTTGTTTTGGTGTGTCTCCTTCCTGTGGATCCCCTACAGGCCTTGTCCCCCGTCCAGCTGTCTGTCTGTCTCATCCTTTCTTACATTCTCTGACTCACAAGGGGCAACATCTGGATTGAGCTAAACGTCCGCTCTACAGTATCTTTGTGTCTGTATTCTCCCACCGATTGTTCTTGGGTGCAGTATTGATGAGTTAAGCAAGACAAAAAGTAGTCAAAGTCAGAGTCCCCTTGCTTGCTTGCCTGCCTGCAGGTTCAGCTGACATATGAGGTTAGCGTCCACCAGTCGCCCGTCTGTGACCTCTGGGTGGAGAGGGGCGGTGGATACTGGATGATGCAAGCGCCAGCTGAAATGAGCAGTTTCCTGTGCGGAGACAAAGGAGCGACGGCGGCTCTGGTGATGGGAAAGAAGGTGGCATCGGGCGGCTTCTTTTTGGGGCGTAGTGGAAGGGAGGTTTAGGAAGGTTGCAGTGAGTAAAGAAAGTGAACAAAAAGAGAATGATGGAGGTGTTTGGGGTGTTTTTGTTTTGGGAAAGATTGTGAGGGGTAGAGTCAAAGTATAAGGAAACAGGAAAGGAAAAAGAGAGAAACTAAAGGAAGTGTTGAGGAAAGATTCAAGTGTAGTGCAGAGATGCAAAAATAGAGAGATGTTTGTATGTGTATCCTAACAAAGCAGAAAGTGTGAGAGGAGGCTGAGGAGAAAATTAGAGGGAAGAGAAAACCTGCATGGGGCAGGCTGAGGGAGGCAGGACTGTACACACAGAGGCTGGATAGGCAGCGAAAGAGAGGGCAGAGAAGTGTCGCTGATGGACGAAAAAGCTGGGTAGCAGTAAAATAGATGTGCCATGGGATGAAAAGATATAGGAGCATGTCATCACCTGAACCATGAGGGCTTCAAGTAAGTGCTCATTGTCCTGTGTTTTCCTCACAATACTCTCTTGGCTTCAACTCTTCCAAACACAGTTTCTCCATCTCTGTAGTCTATTTTTGTTCCAGAAACTATTTTTCTGAATCTTCCCCCTGGTGTCGCTTCACATGTGATTTAGAGAGAGGAGTTATGCGGAGAATGCAGGGAGAAGGGATGTAATTGCTGGATTGCGGTGAAAGGATCGTTTCCTCTGACTGTTCTCATCTCTGATGGTGAAGACCCAGGCTTTTTATTGCCCTGCTGAACTTTGTACCCTATGTTTCTGCTGCTGCATCTCTTTTTTTCATTACCAGCACCTCAAAATGTCTGAATGAGAGGCAACGAGAGAGGATTTATTTGGGAAGAGCAGCAGCCACCACTGCAAACTTGTGCAGAAAGAAAGTCGCTGTTGCTCTATTTATTTGTTTGTGTAGCATCACGTTATTTTATATATTTTATTTTATGGACTCAAAAACTTCTTATTTTCTCTCCTTTTTTAAGTTCTTACTCTGGCATCTGAAAACCTCCATCTTTAAGCTCCCTCATTTTGCAGTTGTTAATGCTTGAAATGTGTATAAAAGAGGTTTTATTTCTATGTGACCATGTATACTTTCGTTACTGAAGAGTATCTTTTGTGCTTTTCATGTTTAATGTGTAAAATATTTGTCGTGTAATCCCTGGCACCTCAATCATTCAGAAGTCCTCGTCAGCACAAAGCGGTTTAATTAGTGTCTGCTCATAAAGAAAGCCTGCATATGCACACTTACACATGCACAATTCAGCTTTGTGAGCGAGACGTATGCTTGCGGAAAAAAGTCGTAAAACGAAATGCCTGTAAAAGTTCTCATGGTGCTGGCGGCAGCAGCACATAATAAGGTGTGGTGCCATGTGTACGGCTTGTTAAATTTATCCATTAACAGTTAAATTTTGACTGCTGGTTGGATGTGCAGGATTTACCGTATGATGCAAAACTCTGCAAGTGGCTCACTGTGTCCTTCAGCGATATTGTGGGTCATTTACTGGCTCACTTTCAGCATTTCCAATCTCATCGTTCCAGCGAATGTCCAGTGGAAAAAAATCATTTCTGTTCGATTTTTGTTGTCAGTGTTTGACGAATATGTTCGGGTATGGATGACAAACAAATATTCAGACAGAGCTGCACTCTTTTTTCCTCTCTTTGACCCCCAATTTAGGATTTTTCAAAGATCCTCGAAAAATATATTGCGCTAAGGGTCTATTTTGATCATATATTTCACTTTTCAAAGTTTTTAAATAACACAAAAGACACAAAAGTGACATGTTTAATGAGTCTAGTGCGCTTATTTTGCTCTTCTTATTTCTCTTCCAGAGATTGAGGCGAAGGAGGCTTGTGATTGGCTCAGAGCAGCAGGATTTCCACAGTATGCCCAGCTCTATGAAGGTAACCCACACACATACACACTCACACACCCCTTACAAATGGGAATTCAGAGTCCATTATGTACCCGCTGCCATTATTTTCACGACTGTCCCTTAAAATTCAATCCTAATGTCCATTCCTCCTTTAATTTCTCTATTTGTTTTATTTTTCTTCGCTGTCTTTATTTCTCTCTTTTCCCCACATCCTTAAATCCTCATCTTCTGGGCTGCTGCGTTCTATTTCCAGGCCTCAGTTCCTGTCCAAAGGGAGGGTCATGGGAAAGGCCTTGTTATCTCTGCTGGGACTCTCACAAGCTTCTCTGTCTCTCTTCTGTCTCCCACCTTTCTTCTTGTACACTGTCCTCAGCTTGTTTAACACTTCTTTTTCACTCTATCTGTCCATCCGTCTGTCTGCCTGTCTGTTTTTTTTGTGCTGTGTCCTTTCATTCACCTTTTGGAAAAACCTACAGCTTTTTTGTCGTGTGATGATTGTTGGGTCTCATACAGTTTTGGGACAAACAGGAAATAGCCTAAGAAATGTAAAAAGTCGCTCTTAAAATCCAACATCATGCAAAAAGCACAAACACACACACACATATGCGCACACACACACACACACACACACACACACACACACACACACACACACACACACGCACACACACACACAAAGCCTTTCTCTGAGAACTGCTGTGAGCTCTTGTAATGTTGGGTTTTGGCTGCCGGCTTCTGGGACTCTGTGGCGGCTTCTGGGTGCTCATAATGCCTGCTGTCTGCCACCACACAAGACGAGTCACCAAAATAAAAGTCTTGAGTCATTTTGGCATTGGCAGAGCGCAGAATGAAAGCTATTTTAGTGTTTTCAAAACGGGTCTGTAAACTTCAGATGCAGATGACGGGTGTTAACAGCGGCAGCAGCAGTTGTTCTTAACTTCACAGATTCCTAAACTAGCAGAGGAAAACTGCTGTCTCCTGTCAATCATGAACTCACAGAACCCCGTTTTTCTCCTTTTTGGCTGATTTCCTCTCACAGATTCCCAGTTTCCAATTGATATTTCCTCGGTGAAAAGGGACCACGACTTTTTGGACCGGGATCTGGTGGAGCCTCTATGTCGGTAAGAACATATTTGTGTTATGTACCCAAACACGCACATGCAGACCTTGTTCACTCATTTGCTTGCTGAAAATTTGTGTATATATCTTTTTGATACATTCTTTTTGGGGTGGGGGGGGACTAATAAAAAACAAAGATGTGAAAAAGAACATGTTGGATCACCATGTTTCTACAGTTTTATCCTTTTTAAATGTCAGTGTGATTGTCCTTCTCCTGTCATTTTTATGTATTCAGTCCATTTTTCCCACTTCCAACAGCACTGATCCTCTTGAGTCCTTATTCTATAAGTCAGCTGTTCCATATAAGGATATATCTATATATTTGTATATATATATATATATATATATATATATAATAGTATGTATTTTGTCCATAACTTTCATCCAATCTTCCTGTGATGGTGGGTCTATCTTGTACCATTTTCTTGTAATTGCCTTTTCACAGGCTGCTAACATAATGTTCAATATGTATCTATCATCTTTCAACACAACATTTCCTGTAGTGACACCAAGATATAATAATGTACAAGTCTTGGATACAGCATAACCCGAAATTTCGCCCATAACTAAATGAACATCTTCCCAAAATTTTGTGATCTTAGGACAGAGCCAGAACACATGTGAATGGTTCACATTTACATCTCAAAATTTGTGTATAAATCTTAACATTAAAAAACTGAGAGTAGAAAACAATAGTTAGGTCGAAAAATTTAGGTTTGGAAAAACAGGTTTAAAAATTTCAATTTAAGGTTAAATGAACAATATATTGAACATTTATAGGCTTTTTATTAACGTTTCAGCTGTCATCTCATCACTATATTCAGATCCTCATAAAGCTGTGAAAGCCATGACCCATCAAAAACTGTCATCTCTGTTGTGGACAGGATAACCCACTGAGCAATAGACGGCTATTAGACGTCTAGTTTTTTTTTAGACCTAATTTCAACCGTCTGGATTCTGTATATTTTTAGACGGAATTTAGACATTGCACTTTAATCCATTACTTGACAACTATTCATTTCAAGTACTTAACCAAAATAATTATGATAGCTGTTGAGCAATATACAGTGTAGTATAGATATAGTCCAGATTTAGATTTAGTCTAAACTTGGTCTAAATCTAGAAGTCTAAAAAACTTTCATTTTTAGTCATCTAGGCTACATCTAGGATACTATTAGACCTCTTTTAGACCCAAAAATGCTCAGTGGGAGTGAATGTATCAGCACGATGAGAGGTCTACCCAGACCCTTTCCCTCAGACACTGATAATGACTTCCAGGGATCAATAATAATATCAGGAGTTTCAGTAACAATTAGTATCATATTTAGCATATTTTCACAAAACAAATTGATATAATAAATATAATACACTGTTTTTTAAAAACTGACTCTTTAAAAAAAAGCGTTTAGATTTTGGTAAAAATGCAACCCAATAAGAGAGTGTGATCTTTCTCACTGAGTATTTCCACAGCTCTACAAAATGACAAATTTAATATAGAGCATTATGTAGTGAGTGTTGTGTGATTTCAGACACAGCCTTGGAGCCTCCTCTGCCCACTATCCAGGATTATTATTATGTGAAATTACAGAGGCTGGTGCATGTGACACATGTGAATAATAAGTGGTTAGGCTGTCCGAAAATTCTGCAGAAATTTCCAAGGGTGCACATGTGGAAAAAAAAAAAAAAAGCTTCAATTCACTCTCTCACCCCTGCTTGTCCCTGCGGCCTGGTGCTAACTGCTAATCATTAGCTGTCTGACCCCGACCCTTAATGAAGTCCCCATCCCTGTCTCTCCCTTAGACACCCAGGCTTTGATCTGGTCAGCTCCCCTCCCCTCTGCCACGCTCTGATCTCCTATTCAAAGAGCAGAGACCCTCAGGGGGCAGAGAGAGTGTGGAGGGGGCTAACAGGGAGGAGGGTTAAAGGGATGCCAGTATACTCCACCAGATGGCTTTGAGTGTGTGTGTTTTAAGTCCCCTCTGCATACCTCTATGATCTCTCTGTCACACGTCTCCTCTTCTGCTATTCTTTTTGAAGTTTCAAGTTCTTCAGCGTCACATTTCCCTCTCCTATGTATTGTCTTTCCCCCCTTTTGTTGACCTTGTTTTTTCCAATCTCTGTAGTAGAGGAGGGCATGTAATTATGGTGTCAGTGATTCTTAAATAGTTTTATATTGAACTACACAGCAGACCCCATGAGAGCTCTGTCTGGAGCTGTTAAACACACTCATAATGAGCTCAATTTTGTCGGCACATCAGTCTCCACAAGAGCATTTTTTGTCAAATTTTTTATTACATGCCAGCAAAAATGAGTAGGAGAATATGAGCTACATCATCTTAAATTTGCATGAATAATTGTACATTTCACTAGAGAGGGGGTGTTTGTATCGTCAAAAACACAAAGTTTAGTTTTTATCCTTTATTCTGCCAAAATGAAAAGATTTAAAGATTTGTTTTTTGCAAGTATGTCACACCAAGTACTCCTTTGCTTGTTTGTAGGGGCAGAAAAATTAAACTATGAAGAATCTCCTGCTATTTTAAGAGGCAAAAATTGTCAAATGACACAAGAACAGATATTTTAGGGTCTTATCTTGAGAGATATAAATGTCCCCTGAAAATAGGGAGAAAGAAGGATGCTCCAAGAGCTAAATTTGGGAAAGAGAGATGTTGGACTAGTTGAAAAATGAAAGGGAGGAGGGAGGAAAGTGAAGGGGAGGAGCCGGCTGGGTTTCTGGGATTCACTCTTTGAGGGTGACGATCAGTCCCAGCAGAGATAAGTCAGAGAATGAGAGGGAGGAATAAGGGGAGGAAAAGGGGCAGAAGGGTGAAGTCTGGATGTAATGAGGAGGATGGAGTCAGAGGAGAAGATCAAAGAGGATGAACTGAAATGAGAGGATGTCTGAGAGTGAGTGAAAGAAGAAAGAGAGTGGCATTGAGGAGAGAAAGTATACTCTACAGTAAGAGAGGAGGACACAAAGTATTCAACATGGCAGCTTTACCACGTGACTAGAAGTAACCGGGTTTTTCTCTGTTCATCCTGCAGGCGCCTAAATACTCTGAACAAGTGTTGCTCCATGAAACTGGACGTCAGCCACCCGAAGAAGAAAGTAAGAGCAGCTTTTCCAATGTTCACGCAACTGCTCCATAAACTTTGTGGTTTTACTTTATTTATTTATTTATTTATTTATTTATTTATTGTATAATTGAAAATGTGATGCTTGTTTCATCTGTGGCTGAAATGGCTAAGAATTCAAAAAGATAATAAATAAAAGCTCATTCAGCTCAAGAGTTGGAATAAAGTGATAAATCTAGGTAGAATATCAAGTGTCTTAGAAATGTGTGAAGTGAAATAAAATCAAAATATGAAAAAATAAACTACACAAATTACTCTCAATTTACATCAAAATGATCTATTAGTTAAAATAACAATTACTAAAACTATCTTTTATTAACTTAAAAAGGGCACAGTACTTTGATGTTCCTAACTAAACCTCATTTAAAAATTCAGCTGCAAGAATTCTGACAAAAAAGCCCATTTGTATTGTCTCTATTCTAGTGCAGAGAAAGACCCAAAGCGGATGGAGAGTCATTTAACTTATCTATATATTCTCAAAATGAAATCAGCCCATAATAACATGTCTAATATGCTGCAAGACTTATTACATTAAGGGGGAGTGGGCTGCTGAAGGGTCTGAGGCCAAATCTTGACTCGATATTTAGCATAAGGGGATCATGCAGCACAGGGCAGGAAAAACTGCATTGCAGCCTAATTCACTGCAGCATTTTAACCTGGTTTGAAATCATTGATGTGCCCAAATTTGTTTTTCTTAACACACCCAAGGCTTTGTTTGGATTGTGCCTTATTTAATACTCTTTACTATTTTATCTTAATTTACATATATTTATATATCTTTTTGTATATGAGTTGCAGATTTTGCAAAAAAAATAATAATTTTATGACTCAATGGCAGGCAGAGGATTTGATCAGACAAAATTTGACTTCTACAAGTCCAATGTCCAAAAAATGTGCAACTAAAAAACCAACATGAAAGATAACACAACACACTGGATAACCTCAGAAAATGTACACACATAAACATAAAAAAACACTGTTTGATTTTCAGTTGATCGAGTTTTGATCTAGATGCCACTAAAGTACAATGAAGTGACAAAGACACTGAAAATAAGTAAAACACAGGTGCAACAGGGAGGCACAGGTGAAACTAACAACGGAGGGCAACTGAACTGGAGGGACACGTGATCAGGAGGGAGTAAACAAGGCACAACACTAAAGAAGAAAGGACATACAAACTAAAACAGGAAGCAGTAAAACTAAAATAGAAAATACACACAAGGAGTTCAGGTACACAGGACACATCAAAACAAGGAATATGGAAAATAAACAAAACAAATGACAATATGAATGTTTATTACTTTATATTGTGCACTTTTTTTCTTTCCTTTTTTGGACCCTGAATCTTTCTTCATATAAAAACACGCTGAAGACAGAAACTGCATTGGCTTTTCTTTATTAACAAAAAGTTACATAAGCAACTTCTTCATTTTAAGAAGAAATATCATTATTTCTGTTTCTCTGCCTTTCCTCAGGGTGATGACTCCGATGAAGATGACCCCTTGGCCATCAGTAAAAGGTGGACTTTTGAGTGGAGTAGCCGACGTTGGTCTCGGCTACAGGACTTTCTGTTGGACGGCACCAGTGAGAGCAGCCCGACCGGTCATGTAGAGGGTCTGCACAGCACGGTGAGCAGTGAGAGTGTGCTGACAGATCTGAGTGAGCAGGAGATCGCAGAGATTTCCTCACTGCACAGCGAGGACTCCACCTCCGCCATGCCTGACTCCTTATCCATGGCGTCTCTCTCTGCTTCCTACAACCCGCCTCGAGATCTCCCACACTACAACTCTCTGCCGATCAAGAGCAGCCGCCATGGGCAAGGAGGGAAGAGCAAAGCCAAAGAGTTTCTGCGTCGAATGGAGTTGATGCGCACATGGGGGCCATCGTCGAGACGGAAAAGCTCAAACCGCAGGCCGCCGCTGGTCATCAGCGGGCCTGTGTTACAGGGGGAGGAGCCTCATGCTTTGCAGGTGCTCACTTGTACTCCAATCAGCCAGCTAGAACAAAACCACCAAACTGATGGAGACCCCTCAGTCTCTATTACAGATGATTGTAAAGATCAATCTACAGAGAGTGTGAGCCCAAGCAGAGACACAGAGGAAGAGCCCATTGTGAAAAAGCCTGTAGTCACAAAACCCAGAACTGCTAATAAGAGGAGCAGCAAGTATCTGGAGGACATGGAGCTGCCTTCTCAGGGAAAGAGAACTGAGGGACAGAGCCAATTTGGTCGAAACCAGTTTCGTTCTTATGAAAACCTTCTCATTCACATCCCTAAAGACCATAAACCGGGCACATTTCCAAAAGCTCTGTCCATAGAGAGCCTGGCGCCTTCGCCGGGTGATGACAACTCCAAAAAACAATCTTCTCCAGCCAAAAACGGCGTGCATGAGTCTTGGAATGGTAAACCTTTATCCAAGCCACCCTGTCCGGGAGCCCCGCGAGGCAGCAGGGTGAGCGTTTATGACAACGTGCCGGGTTCCCACCTCTATGCCAGCACGGGAGACCTGCTGGACTTGGAGAAGGAGGACAATCTGTTCCCTCACCTAGATGATATCATCCAGCATGTGAGCGGTTTGCAGCAGATTGTGGACCACTGGAGCCGCAGTGTGCTCCCTGAGGGGGAGGCAGGGGAGGGAGAGGAGGAAGGGGAGGGCAGAACCACACCGAGCGAAGGAGAAAGAGACGGTGTGTCCATGAACGACACTGACTCGACAGGGACCAGTCGGGAGAGGAGGGACTCTGGGGTTGGGGCCTCACTTACAAGACCACGGTGAGTGAGAGGAGGCCTTGTATTTTCTGTAGATTTTGGCCACAGTGTGGTTTGATATAACGTTTCACTGACCAACATGAGGATATTGCTAGAAGAAGAAAGTCCAACAAGCAAAATAAGAGAAGCGTTTTTAGTTGTTGGTAAACTCCTGAACTTGTATTGAGAAAATTAGCCTACTTTCCATATGTGGATATGTTCCCACTTAGTTTCTGATCTCAGTCCCTTGTTTTAAGAAGTTCTCAGTTGATCATGATGTTGATTTGATAAATTATGGTCCCAGTTTAAGTAATATTGATGCCAAAGCAGTAGGGATGGGAAAAAAAATCGATACAGCATAGTATCACAATATTTTGTCTGGTGATAAATTGTATCGTCTCATTTACCAAGTATCGATTTTTCAAATTAATTGCTAATATTAAATCCGATCTATGATAATGGGAAAATAAAATCAACTGTTTGTCCAGTGAGGTTGGAAGAGGTGACAAATATCTATATAAGGTTTGCAAGATGTGCTACATGAAATTAAAATACGGCGTCAATAAGACAAACATAAAGAAAAACCTAATGACCTAAACCTTAAATTAGCTGAACAGTAAAAAAATTGTATATATCCCTAAATATTGTATCACAATTCTCACTGTATTGCAGAATGCTAAAAAGCGCAATAATGTGATTCCCAAATAATGGTGATTCCTACCCCTACAAAGCAGTGTATGCTCTCAGCTGTGGCTGCTTATGGTTAAAAAGTTTGGTGCTGCTACCATGATGACCTGTCCGGAAATACAGCTTAGCATAGCAGTTAGTTTTTATATTGTTGCTGAAATGCAGTTACACAGGTTTTTAAGAGAACACCAAAAACTTTTGTGTCTCAATTTGACTTGTTTTCTTACCCTCCCAGTCTGCGATGGCCCAGTTTCAGAACCTCCGATCATCTCAACCAGCCAGCATCTTCTCTGCAGATCAGCAGCCAATCAGCCGGCCAGCTCAGCCTGCTGCAGAAGTTCTCTCTGCTCCGCCTCACCGCTATCATGGAGAAATACTCCATGTCCAATAAGCATGGCTGGACATGGTGGGTTCACACGTTTTTTTTTTCAATTTCTGTGTACAAAAGATTGATTTTTACTCCTTACTCATATTTTTATCACTTTTAATTTCATGTCACACAATAGCGCATGAATTTCCAAAGACACTTACTGTGAGTGGTGCTTTGAATGATTGAAATACAGCCTGATGAGACCAGAAGTTTATTATAAGATTTTTTATGACATTTTAGATTGATTTTATCTCAACTTTTCCACATCAGAGCAGATGTAAGACTACATGTAACACCATCACTAACAGGTTTTAAAAAACAACACCTGCTCCAGTGATACTAGCTGTATAATGGCAGGTAAAGACTTCATTGTTAGTGAGAGACTGGCTTTAGATTCTGAGTAGCACACCACAAGCCAATATCCCCATGACCTGCAAACACAAGCAAATTTTAATGACCAGCCCTGTTCATTTTTATGATCCCCAAGAGGGGAAATGTGTTGACCAGCATCAACATAAAGAGAAAGATAATGAAAGCTTTGGCCTCCCGTTTTTGCCCTAATTGTTTTCTGCCTGTTGCTTCCAGGTCCGTGCCCAAGTTTATGAAGCGCATGAAAGTGCCAGACTACAAAGAAAAAAGTGTGTTTGGTGTTCCCCTCATCATCCATGTCCAGCGCTGTGGTTTCCCTCTCCCTCTGTGTTTACAGCAGGCCCTCAGCCACCTCCGAACACACTGTCTGGACCAGGTTAGAGAGGAAAACAGCTTTTACAGGACTCAATTTCCTCCAGCCACAGTGCACATTTCAAACCGGATGCTGCATGGAGCAAATATTTGTTTTGAATTTTCCATTTGTCTGACCATTTTTGTTTGTTTCTGTCTCAGGTGGGATTGTTCCGTAAGTCTGGGGTGAAGTCTCGAATTCAGGCGCTGAGGCAGCAGTGCGAGCTTTTTCCCGACTCTGTAAGCTATGAGGACCAGTCAGCTTACGACGTAGCCGACATGGTCAAACAGTTCTTCAGGGACCTGCCAGAGCCGCTGCTAACAAGCAAGCTGGGGGAAACTTTCCTTCACATTTACCAGTGTAAGTTACTGGAGAGCTCTGAAGGCTGGAACATGGTTGAGCAGCTGTAGTCATATAAAGCAGAGGATTTGACTACAAAGTCTTAAGAACTTTGATAATGTGAGATTGTAGATAACAAATGAAAATCCGGATTTAATCAGCCTAATATGGAGAAAAAGGTTTTTTCCATTATGTTATTAAAGGCATTCACTCTGAGCAATAACAAAAACACTGGATCAAAGATTCGATGTTGTATGCAGAGACCTCGTCTTTGACCCATCCCTTATCCTTACTTCCTGTTTAATTTTCTGCAGACGTCCCCAAGGAGCAGAGGTTGCAGGCTGTCAGAGCGGCCATTTTACTGATGCCAGATGAAAACAGGGAGGTTCTGCAGACGCTGCTCTACTTCCTGCGTGACGTGACTTCCATGGTGGAGGAGAACCAGATGACGCCGATGAACCTGGCTGTTTGTCTGGGACCCTCACTCTTCCACCTGAGCATACTGAAAAATGAGACGCTGTCCCCAAGGTGCATTTACAATAATGAAATAGGTTATAATAACGTTGAGGAGAATTTTTTTATCTAATGCTTACTTTCAACTCTTGTCCCTATGAATCTATCTATGAAATATCTACCAATTTGTTAGAGGTCTAAATAGGGAAAGACATTGAATAAATATGTGAACACTGTTTTGTATCATCAAAGAAGATAATATGCTATAGTCTGATCACGTTAAACAGGATATGGTGGAAATTTGTAAAAAAGAAACTTTGATAAATACAAATTGAACACAAAGTAATGGGAGAACTTGTTACTTATCTCTTGTTTCTCTCTTCTGCTGCATGTAGTCCTTGCCTTTTGCTGTTGTCAGTAATGTCAAAGCTTAGTAACCCTGCACCTTTATGGAAGTACTCACTTGATTCTCGTTATATGTATTCTGTTCAATTTCTGCTCCTTTAGATCAATCCAGAGAAAGTACACCACTGGCCGCCCTGATCAGAAAGACCTGAATGAGAACCTGGCTGCCACCCAAGGCCTGGCACACATGATCACTGAGTGCCAGCATCTCTTTCAGGTCAGCAATCATGGAGGATAGAGTCAATCTTATAATACCAAAAACTGATTCATGACCCGGAGAGGCTGTGCAGTTCACCTTTTATGAATACTTATAAAACATCTTGATGTAAGAAACAGACAAAAATAACTGCATACGCAGAGTGGAGTGATGTTTTCCCAGCTGAGCTGTTATTATCCGAGGCCACAGTATAATTGTGTGTAATGAGCTATTTTCTAAAACAGTATATCATCATTACCCTCAGGCTGTGTGTGGGTTTACAATATTTACTGCTGCCTTGAGTGAAAACATTTTCAAGAACAGAAAAGAAAAACAGACTTGTTCCTGAGTTTAATGTGATTTTCAGAGAAGAGAAAGTGTAATACTTCATAAATATGAGAGGGAACTGTGTTGGAGTTTTTGTGAAATGACAAAATTTACTGGAAATAAAAATGTCTTTCAACCTTGGCGACAAAATCCTTTGCAAAAGCCTCGGACGATCAATTAGTAGAAAGACAGCTGATCCAACTGTCACCATATTGAATGTATCGAGGTCTATTTTCTGCTTTGACATGTTTCTAATGAGGCCTGAGCCGTCTGCTGTGGTGTGATGTTATTTTTTCCTCCTGCTATCCTCCAGATCCCAGAGGAGATGGTGACCCAGTCTAGAAACTCGTACATGGAGGCCGAGCTGATGGTGCCCCCGCTGGACGAGCTGTGCAAGGCTCAAGAGGAGGAAGTGATCGAGGACGATGAAGAGGAAGATGAGGAGGGATCGTATCACGCACACCTAGAAAGGCTGGTCCAGAACCTGCTGGAAGAAGCCAAAGATAAGAGCAAAGGCTGGGTGTCTCGCTCATCTATTGACCACACGGAGCTGGCTTTCAAAAAGGTGTGTGGGCGTTACATTTTGTTATTACTCTGATGTCTTATGAAGGAGAAAAAAGATTGAAAAGGTTTAAAAGGTTTAGTCAAACACATTCACTTTTCGATATGTTATATCCATGACGTATTTGTGCAAAAGGTTGGAGATGGTAACCCGCTAAGACGGTGGCGAGTGTGTGTCGAGGTGTTGGCAACACCTAGTGAGGTGCTGCAGCGGCTACTGAGGGAGCGGCTGCTGTGGCAGATTGAACTGCAGCAGGAGAAGGTTCTGGAGACGCTGGACAAACAGACGGATGTGTACCAGTACTCCTGCTGCAACATGGCACCTCACCCCAGCTGTGACTTTGTGGTACTAAGGTCAGGAGTCCTGCGCTAAGACACTGAAGTGCTTAACATGATTTGAGATGGATTTGTATCAGTTTTATTACTTACTATACTTTTTCTCCTTTTCTAAAACCTCAGATCCTGGCGCACAGATCTCTGTAAAGGCTCCTGCGCGCTGGTGTGTGTGTCTGTCGAACATGAAGACAGCCCACGCATGGGAGCAGTGAGGGGGGTGGTGCTTGAGTCACAGTACCTCCTCGAGCCCTGTGGGACTGGGAGAACCAGACTCACGCTCATCTCCAGAGTGGACCTCAGGTGCAGTGAATGGATTTCAAGTGTTCTTACGGTCAGTCTTTTAATCTGCACTGTGATGTGTAACGTGCGTGCTCTTTTTTAAATTTTTTTTTACAGGGGAAGATCTCCAGAATGGTACAACAAAGCATTCGGTCATCTGTGTGTGAATGAAGCTCAGAGGATCCGCTCCTCTTTCCAACTTGCTGGATCAGACGAGCACTGAGGCCAAACCCAAACTCCACAAGTTAGGCTTTATTTTGGGTCACAGAAAAACTGAACCAGAGGGAGATTTATTCAACATGAGGACTTTTAGTGTCTTTTCATGCTGCTGAGTGCCATACTGTACTGAGTCACGGTCCTTCGTATTTCAGCAACTTTTCACAGGCGTCTTTAAACAGCACATTTTTACTTATTTAAGCTTAACTAATCAATTTTATAAACTTCTCTTTAAACTCTGGTTTCCATTTCACTGTATGAATTAACTTATTAGATTGTTTTTATCTGTAAAAAGAGATCATTTTCAGTATTTATTTAAAAAGTTAATTCTTTTATATCCACCAGTATCTTGCTAAACCCATGATCAAATGTAAAAGCCATCTACCTGCATGTGATCCTGAGTTACTCAGTATTTTATCTTATAGTATGATCTTTATCCTCAAACTTACACCTTACTGTAACTGATTTTGTGGAACAGTATGTATGATTAGAAATGGCACAAACATCAGTCATATGTACATGAAAACACACATTTCAGTCGGGATTACTTTTAAAAAATCTACTTCTAGTCCAAGCCTTGATGCTGAAAAATTCTGGACAAATATAACTGTTTTTTTTTTCTCAGATGAATTATTGAAATAAACTTGAACCCTGATCTTTTATCTGTTATTGTCACAGTCATAGTGGAAGTTTCAGGAAAACCTCTAATGGTATCTGATATTAACCTTTTATGCTTTTCAAAGACATATTGTGTTGTACACCTGGCTATATATAAACAAATGCAAAGTGGATCTTTCTGATATGCTTTCGCTTTTTTACTATCTTTTTTACAAAGCTGTTGAATTATAACAATATATAATGCGCTTAGATTTGATTCAGCCCTCTGCAGGTAAAGATGCAGCAATCCTTGTGCTTTCTATAAACAGCAATGACCACGACCAGTGCAGTATGGGTACAAGTCAGCGTTACATTACAAAAATCAATCTGAATCACAGTAAGAGGAGACACTCATCGGGTCCATTAATAATGTGCTTTAATCCTGTTATTGATGTATTGTGTTGGACATCACTGTTAGTTTTCTGTCACTATTTTCAGTGTTAATCTTATCAAAGTGTTATTTTAAAACTATTATTGCCATTATGATGATGTCTATGGTTTCACTGTTATATTTTATTGTTGCTGTCATTTTATATAATGTCTAAGACATGTGACCATTTCACTGCTTCTGGGAAGCATGTTTGAAATTGTGTGTGTGTGTGTGTGCATGGATGTGCCCGTGTATCTGCATTTACGATGTATGTACAGCCTGTATTGTAAATATATAGTATGACGCTTTCTGTGCCAGCAGATCAAACATCAAAGCTTTTCAGGGTCCTCCTATCATATTGATAAGCTGACATGTGAACTTTTTCCACACAACATCCTACTAAAGCAGAATAGCAGCAATGGCAGAAGAAGCTTGCACAGCCATGGCGTTGCCTTGGCTTTTATTTATGTTCCAGCTGTAGGCAGCGTTGCTACTTTGTTGCTATGATACAATATCTCTACAGTACCACCAATATCCTGTGTGGATGCTGTCTGCTAGGGAACATTGTGGCTTGTTTGTTTGTGTGTGTGTGTGTGTGTGTGTGTGTGTGTGTGTGTGTGTGTGTGTGTGTGTGTGTGTGTGTGTGTGTGTGTGTGTGTGTGTGTGTGTGTGTGTGTGTGTGAGAGTGAGTGAGTGAGTGAGAGTCAAAAAGACAGTCAGAGTTGAGTGAATGACTGACGTGAGCCCTTGGCAGCGGCAGTGTGGGAAAAGGCTCCAAACTTAGCTCGAGAGCAGGGTGATTTCTGCTTGGTTATTTCTGACAAAGTGACAGAAAACAGAACCATTGTTTCTAAAGAAGAGAATAAAATAAAAAACAGTGGCATTATTTCAAAATGTGTCCCTTTTCTTTGATTTAGTAACACACTTCACACAGAAATATGCAGCTTGCTATGTGCTCCTGTGTCCTGTGAGTGGTGCTGTTGCCTCACTAGTGTCTGAAGGTCATGAATGAATCCTGGAAAGTATGCCACGAGAAATGCTTTTCAGATAACTGAGTGAATGAAGAGTCATCAAAGCATCTGGGGTTTCTTCTCCCTGAGGACATTTCTGTGTCCTCTAAGGGGATGGATATAGGAATCTAAACCTCAACGGCACAGATCAATACTCAATCACATATACCTACTTAGCCGTGTTGAATGTGGACTCTCTCAGAGGACAATGAAGGTGTTTGAACACAGACGCTGCCTCCCTGTGGGCTATATGTGTGCTAGCTGTAACAGCAAAGAAATGAGTGAAACATTGCTTCATTAACTTGTGCCTCATTTAACATGTCAGTGATTTTATCTAGAAAGTAGGGCACACTGTTACATCTCCTGAATGACAATGATCCTCTGCACAGTGGGTATACCTCAGTGCCACAACTCCATGGGCTCTGACAAATGAAAATCATGTTAGAAAATTACAAAGTGAAAAAAGAGAAAGACTTCTATGAAGCTGACCCAAGCATTGGTTCTCTTAACTAGAAACCACTTACACTGGATTGGATTCAGGGGGATTTTCAGGGATTCAGAGTTAACATAAAACCAAGGGACTAGGTGTATTTGAAATTGCTTGATCCCAGCAGACATGCAGACGGATTTAAAAGGTCGTCACAGATGAGCCATTTTTTTTATACTTCGGATCACTACTTCAAGGCAATCACAGTTCTGTCTCTAACTAGTAAATCTGCATATATTTCAAGATGTTGTGCATCCCTGCCAACCAACAAAATGAGTGTAAACATAACTGTCTTGATAATATAGTATGCCGAAAATAAGGCGTTCTCCTATGGTCAACTTACCCCTTGTATAGGGTAAGTTGACCATAGGAGCGGGGTAAGTTGAGCCATATCCCTACTACCCCCTCACTCTCCACCACAGCCCTCCTTCACCTTCTCTCTCCATAAATAACAGTCACTTCTTCACATTCATGTGTATTTTTATCTATTATACGCTATTCGACTGGTACAATAATTCTTTTTTTTATTATTGCATATAACTGCTTAAAAGCTGTTTTGTAAAAAGTCATTTTAACATTAGAATGTCTTTAAGTGATTCAGAACATTCACAGCTGTATTTTTGACAAGAAAAAAGTAAAACATTTCAACAATCTGAACTGAAACTCTTGATCCTCTCATCAGACTTTTTTACTTTCTCAAATGGCTCAACTTACCCCAGAACTACTATTATGACTTAATTAGTCCTCTAATCTAAAATGGTGGACCTTTATGCTAGGTTTTTGACCTCATGTTGTAGCTCATAGATACCACAATTGATGTATAAAACAATTTAAAATGATCTTTTTTGGTCTGAACACAATTCTAATCAAACTTATGACAGACTAAATTCACTTTCAAGAGTGAAAAATGTTGTTTTTTTTGTAAATACCTCTTCACCCATGTGCTTCTAACCTTCACAGACTCCATGAATTAATGTCCATCTCCTAAATATTTGGTCACATGATGAATTTCTTTGACCATTTCCAAGCAACAGGGGGTGGCTCAACTTACCCCACTCTCCCCCACAGTTTTCTCCATGACAGGATCTGGTGGAGACCTCTTCTGGAGAAAACCGGTGGTGCATGTCCATGCACTTCCTCTCACAACCTTTACCAATGTGCATTTTCCTGTGTTAGCTGCTACACAGTTGAGTGTGCAAACGCAGTAGATTTAATAATTTTGTGATAAAGAGGAAGGTCAACCAGGTCTTACAATTAATTATTTGAGAACTCTCCGTGTTATGAACGCAGTTGTAATGTGTCCCAAAGTACTGGCCCATTCTTTAAACCTATATTTGTACACTATTTCATCAATGTGCCACCATTAAGGTATGCTAAACAAATGAGCAGATCGCGTTTGTAATGTATAGATGTATGCACAGCTTCCATGAGAGAGCTAGGACACGAAAGAGAGGAGCATTTCCAGCCATGTTCAGGAGCTACCCGACCTTTTGTGAACGTCCTATCCGACGATTTCCACGTTGGCCTACAGATGAGATTGGAAAACGAATATGAGGAAGTAAACACTGAAATGTAAGTAACATTTAATCCTCATATATCCATGTACACGTCTGTGTTTTAGTGTTGTGACTCCAGGATACAGAGAAGGGTAGGGTTATCATGGGGCCTACAAACGCAACTGCACCAACAAGACTGACTCTTCATCCTCTCCCACTTGTTCACGTCAGTATTTTGAGTTGTTTCAGCTACCAAAAGTAAGCAAAGTAAAAATGAGCGAGAAATTTGGTTAGGATACTTGATAAACAAACAGGCTAAATTTCTGGTGATTAAATAACTTTATTTTTAAATGCAGCAAAGTTGTTACTCAGACTTTAGTTACTACTCTTCAAACACATTTTGTGGACTAATTTAAAAGAAAAAAAAATTGAACATTAAGCATCCCAATTTTAACAAATAGTGCATACTTCTTTTTTTTTTCATTAATACCCTATCCCCAAATAAAAACAAATTTCAACTTAATCACAGCACAGTCCTGCATAAACAAGTATAGTACCAGAGTATTGAAGCCTTACACATACATATCACATACAATGATAGAAGCAATACAGACAACAGAGCCTCCCCAGTCCACTAGCCATCTTGTCTTGGTTTGTGAAGAGTCCTCCAGAATAAACTGCATATCCTTGGCTCCACATAATCAAGAAATGGAGTCCATACACGATACAACTGTCCAATTGTCCCTCTGGATCAATATGTCTAATATTCCATAGGAAGCAAATCAATTATGACCTCATGCCAGTCAGAAACAGTTGGTGGTTTATGTTAAATCCATTTCAATAGTACTCTTTTTCATGCAGAATATGTTAACATGCTAAGCAGTTTTTGATTGTGAGTGTCATTCATTTGAGGATGAGGCGTTCCTAAGAGGAGGCATTCTGGATCCATCTTTATGTTCATACTGAAAACCAAATTAAGCTTTGTGATAATTTTGATCCAAAAGTCTTGAATATGAATGCTTGACCATATTGAATGTATAAAACTGCCAACCTCCTTTCAACATTTGATATATACAGCCGACTTTTCAGGGTCCATCATATGTCTAAGTTAAGAAGAGATCTGAAGGTGGTGTAGTAGCCTGAATTGCAACTCTTTAGCTCTGTTACACACAGATATTTAACCGGTATGCTCCCATATACTTGTCCCTATATCCTCGTCAATATCCACCTCAAGATCTTGGGGCCACACCTGCAGGGTGGCTTTTTAGCTTTACTGGATTTGTAGAGGGCTTCATAGCATAGTCCTAATATTGATTTATTACTTCTTATTTTGAGAGTAATTCTTCAACTGGTGACATTTCTATGCTAAATTTATATTTAGTTTGGTCATGTATAAAGCTTCTTACTTGCAGAAATCTAAAGAAATGTGTTTGAGGTAGATCATATTTTTGTCTTAGTTACTCAAATGACATCATATTATCCCCTTCAAAGAGATCTTTCAGAGTTTTTATACCTGCATCTCCCCAAAGAGAAAACCCATCATCACTCATACTTGGAGGAAAGTCTGTATTTTTTAGTATTGGAGTGACTGCTGATATAAAGTCTGTTCTTTTCTCCCATTTCCTAATTGAATTTCATACCTGGACTAAATTTTTTTAATCTCTGTTGCAACATCAGCTGGCCCTAATATAGTTGATCAAACCACATGAGATGAGAAAAAGAAAAAAATAACTGGCCTTGCTTTTGTTATGTTATCCCTTTCATCACAGATGAAAAGACAATGATAGTTGAACTTGCTGATCTTACGCAACCCTCAACTAACAATCCAAAACAAGTCATTATGAAATCTGATTTCTGATCTCAGTTATTAAGAGAAACAAAGATCTTAAAAGATGTAAGTTAATGTGTGGATGCTTTTTAATGTTGTTGCTCTTTATCTGTACTGCATTCACATGATGAGAGTCGAGCAGGGAGGGAGAAAAACAGGGGAGAACAGATGTATCTCCTCTGAGATGCACTAATCCACTGTCTTCTCCCAGACTTCCATGGTAAGGTCATTAATGAATAAATTATCCAATGGATGAATTATTGATGAGACTACATTGGCAACAATGTGTACAGTATCCTTGAGTTTGGTATTGGAATACAAAACTGTGCTCAGTAATGAGGAAAATTAGTGAAGCATGTGTTAAACACTTCAAAAGAGGCATTATTGGGGAAAAAAAAATCACATAATTTTTGCTCCGAGCGACTGAGCCGAGGAGAGCTAACAAAAGACAAGATTTGTACCATAAAAGGTTCGAATCCCTCAGCACATATGTATGGAAACTTTAAGTGCAAATAGTGCGCATAAGCATCGTGATTTAGTGTTACCATTACATTTCCTGCTCATGTGGAAATTACAGAGGTTAAAACTGAGGCAATCAGAAAGCCTGCGCATACAAACACCGATACATATTTCAAGTTTGACGGCAGTGGCTACGTTAAGTAAAAATGTGACTTACTGCACCTACTGTACCCCTTTATCACAGCAGAAAGATACCAATATTTTGATAAGTTATGGCTGTAAATGCCACAGTGTGACCAATCGTAGCAATGGCGCAAATTGTTCTTTGGTGAGTCAGTGAACCATTTTTGTGATCCAGCATGAACAAAGAGAGGTCCCTGAAACGTGAACGGCTAATTGAATTCCACACGTCTTTATATAATTTCAGCTCTTGAGACACAGATGGGCAATTAGATGTTGAAACAAAATTAAAAAGCTTTCTAAAGCCCATTGGTCCTGTTATCTCACATGCAAACACTAAAGCTCAGAAGTAAACAGTTCTACTCAAGGCACTGTGTGGGTGCAAAAGTACTTTATATTTGTTGCTGAAATAATAATGATAATTAGTGGTTCATTACATTTACCCTTGTGCAAAGCATTTCAGATCATTTTCAAGGAATCTTACACTGTGGACATTTGACACCCGGAGGAGTTTTTCTTGGGCTGTTATTGCAAATGAAATTGCTGTTAGTGCAATGCAACATACATTTAAATGCTCTGGTCAAAGCAGTGTGTTTGTTGCTTAAAGTCGAGACATGAGTTTCGTAGTAACTGAGTGTTGACACACAGATTGTGCGGTCATTCACTCATTTATTATCCATTGCTGAGAGATTTTTTTTACTTCATTTTTACTTCAGTCATGAGCTTTCAAGCTCACACAAATGAGACATAGCAAAAACAGACAGAAAGCAGCTGCAAAAATAAAAAAGCTAAATGCAAAAGAATAAGCAAAACTTCTCAGCAGAAGTGCTCCAGGCCTCTAGAGGCACTGAGAGATACATCTGAATTATTGATGGGATAAAGAAGACGAGACGTTGAATTTATCTGATATTAAAGAGTATTACCAATAAAAAAACACTGTCAGAGCTGAGTGTGTCCAATGACATATGTCCCCATGTCCTAGTGTGGTTGTTTTGAGTCACTCCAGCACATTATTTGCAGCATGTTTCCACTGCTGGGTTTGTTTTGGACTTTTGCATCAGTTTTTGCAGTTGTATTGTTTCTTCATTTGCAGTACGTTTCTCCTGATGATGATCCTTGCAGAGTCTTTGTTAGCCAGTATTAAACCATCTCTCAAGGATGGCTGTTGCTGGTGCTGCTTTGGTTCATGTGTCCCGTATATTACTTGATATTTGTCTCACACATTGTAAAGTAGAAGTTACAATGCTTGAGTAAAATGAATATTTGGCGTTTGCACAATTTTTGGTTAGGTGAAGCTCATGCTACCTCCCAGCTACTCTCAGATTTATTGTTTCCAGTTTGATATTGGTCAAAAATGCATTTGCGTTCTATTTTGTTTCTAACATTGGTAATAGCTTTATTGTGTTGAGGCTTTGGGTCGTACTCATTTTTTAAAAACATATCTTCAGAGAGATAACAGGGTTTCCACAGCGGCCAGTGATGTAATCCATGAAATTGGATTTCATTCCACTACCTAAAAGCTTTCTCACACTTTTGTATCGAGTAAATGTCACAGCTTTGGTTTGATGGCTGTAGCTGCACATGGTAAATTCTGGTTGGGTTGCCTGTCTGCATTTGTGCAGTAATTCAGCTTGACAGATTTGGAAATCTCAAAATCACAAGCAGAATTTTTAATAAGGTTCTGTGAGTTTCAACGATATTTGGCCGCATAATAATTGACTCATTGGGGGTTTTAGGGTCCTAAAGGGATGAAGAGATTGTATCGTACTGGATCATTGTCATAGGTGCGGAGAAACAGAGGAGCATAGCTGCTAACAAGACAATGTGTTGGACCATTGTTGGGTATTCTCTGGTGTATGGGGACTCAGAGCTGGCTTTGCTTACTCAATAGCCTTCAGGGGCCAAAGACTGTGCGTAAGCTTTTCCATCAAATTGAAGGGTCTGTTTGATCTTGGTTGGGTTATTCATGGCCACTACTGCAGTTCAGGAGCCCCGTGTTTCAGTCCAGTCAAAGGGCCCAGTCCTTGATCTCAGGTTATGACCCCTGTCATAGAGTTGGATCCTTCATCCCTGATGACAGGTTTCAGGACCAGAGGGAGTGTTAACACAGACCATGACCTGGAAAAATGAAATGAAAAGCTGTGAAATAGTTTTACAAAAAAATAACTCAGAAGAACATTAAAACTAAATTGACAGCTAAATAAATAATATTTTGAGTAAACTGCCATCTGCACACTTCACAGTTCATCCAGGGATTCATAAGAACAAAGATGGACTAATCTTCTTAACCAACCTAGTGTGTAATCCTTAAAACATAATGCCCATTTTTCAGGTTCTGAGATTTTAGTAGGATGATGTTTTTTTCCCCACATTGTGCTCTTTCCTTAAGACTGATACATGAGCACTATTTTATCTCTAAAAACTCCAGTAAGCCTCTATTTGGTGTCCTCTGATGATCGTCCTCTACAATTCCTCAAGTATTAGAGTAACTGAGCGAATGCGACAGGGAATATGACCTGCTTGTTGAAAGTGTTTAGTCCCCAGGCTGCAGAGGATTTCAGTGAAGGAGAAAATCTTCTCTAATGCCCTCGGAGTGTAGACTGGAAATCTTTTAGTCTATTAATAAGTCTCGTATTCTAGCAAATAATTGGAAAAATACTCGCCTTTAGGGAGAGATATTGACACCTGTTAAAAACTAGAAGAGCACTACTAGAGTTTATACTTATATTATTTACATATCTGAAAGAGTTAGATAATTCATAATTCATAAATAGTCATAAATAGTCTTTTAGTAGATTCAACATTCAGGAATAACCATAATAAACAGAAAAAATGGATGGAAATGTTTGTATTGTAAGGCGAGAAAAACAAACTGAACACACCAAACACAAAAATTGAAAGCCATTTTATCTATTTCCTTTGCTAGGTTTTGAGCACGGATGTTTACATTAGTCAACTACATGATTAAACAACATTATAAAACTTTCTTTTGAAAAAAAAAAAAACTCACTCTTGTTTGTCTTCAAGAGTATCAATATATTCATTGTCGTAGGCCCAGATTGTCAGTCAGATGTTGTTTTTTAGGCTGTCGTGCAGCCACTCACCATCATGTTTTAATACCCAACCACCACTAGGTAAACAAAGCTCAGATGAAGAATGATTTTGATGCAGTTTGGCAGCGTTTAGGTCTAAAAATGGAGATAAAGTAGGACTTAGGCGGTTTCTGACTAAAGCAATACATAACCTGCTCAGGCATGTGTGCGCTGGACTGTTAAGGGGACTGAAGGCTGGTGGTGCTACCTCTGCAAAGATTATCCACACATAGTTTATTACCAGACTCTGTGATCCCATGTTTAACTGTTGTAATGAGATTGTCTTTAACTTCAGCTGTTTTTAAAGTTTTGTCTTATCTTTTGATTTTTTTTTTGATTATCAGGATTAAAACTTTTGTTTAAATGTTTTGAAAAAGTCCCCCAGAATATCATGAACAATGAGAACATCTGATTTAACCTAGTTAAGCTCTTTGGTGTTTAATTAAGAGTTTGTTGTCTGGCGGAAATGATCTGTTGATCCGTTGACTAAAGTAATTTAAAATTGATTCATTGTCAAATTGGATGGAAAGAGACAGGAAGCGCTGTATTAGTCTAGCTCTGTAATCTTTGCATCTCTTTGCTTTTTTCACTGCCTATCACACACACACACACAAACCTGGACACATAGGAGTGCATATGGACACACAAGCACACACATTTTAAGATGACTCACATCCGTCTTTGATTACAGGAAGTTATTACCTGTTTTCTGTCACAGTCTGAGGTCAGTCCTTTGTAAATAAACAAGCTGTTTTTCAGACGTTTGATATAGCAGAGAGATTTGGATGCAGATGAGAAACATTCAATTTAAATCTTCATTCTTCTCTTTGAACATCTTAATCATTGCACCTTTTTCATCCCAGCCTTGACTCGTTTATCACTAATTTAAAAGACAACAGCTGCCGTTTGTCAAACCAAATCTCACCACAACCAGACAGAAATTTGCCATGAAACGAACAGCATTTTCTCCGGTATGCAGAGATCAAACCCCTCCTGACAGACGTCACCTCTGCTGCTCTCTCGGCTGCCTGATCCTCTCTGAGCCTCACTACCCCTCTGAAGCTCCAGCTCTCTGATCATCAGCCCACACAAGACACCGGCACTACCTCCACAAGTTGCTACAAAGGTGCACCGGAAGAGAGAGCTAAATGACTGCCTGCCCGCAAGTAATGCTCCTCCACTGGAGGTGAGGCAGAAAGAGAAAGAGAGACGATGAGGGAGAGGAGGAGAGATGAGAGTGAAGGAGGGAGAACAATGTGAGTGATTTTTACCCAATCACTGACTAGATCCCTGTTAAGACCTCTCCTTTGGCTACAGAAATCTTTTGTAGAATCATGACAAAGCTGCCGAAGCAAGCCTTTGTCTGAAAACAAAGGGAAGTGTGTTTGTGAGCAAGAGAGCCTACCATTGTTGAGTGTGTGTGTGTGTGCCTGTGTGTGTGTGCACAGTTGAGGGCAACATAGCATGTGTTAGTTTGAGAAATTGTTTCTCTCAAAGTGAGGAAAGTGTGTCCCAGATGAAGGAGTGTGTTCAATGTGTGTGTGTGTAATTGTCTCCTTCATTTCCCTCATGCTGAAGATTTGGCTGAGAGTAAAAAAAAAAAAAGATGGCCCCTGCTCATCTGTGAAATTCTCTAATGATATCACGTGTGCATATGCACGTGGATCCCACCCTTACACGCACACACACACACACACAGCCAGAACATATCACTCCCATGTCATCCACACCTTGTCGCCCCTGTCAGCGGTCAGCAGCCAGAGAAAAATGAGGAGCGTGACATTAAAGAGACTGCCATCACTGCATATATGAAAATGCTCTCAGACACACACAGGCACACTCGACAGAGTGACGAATCAGCCTCTATAGCCACCCCGCTAATGGAAATCCTCCCCAGCAGATGTGTCCTGTTGGAAGAACACATCGAGTGTGAAACCGGCTTATGTGTGCACACAGGTAGCAAACGAGTAGCCATGGCCTTTACAGCTGCTGGGAGGGGGGGACCTGTAGTCGCGATGTGGTGTAAATTCAGCTCAGCTGAAGAAAAGTAAGAAAAACTTGCAAACACAAATGGGCATGCAGGGTATTTTCCAGGGGAACTCAAGCACTAATGTTTAGTTGTTGCACTTTTTTTTGGTTTTCAAATCATTGGAATGTCTAAGATCTGTATATACTGTTTTCCTTTTCACCACCACTACATTGATTGATTCACAACTCTGGAAATCTGTTGGGCAACAAGTTCATATTTCAAGTAAAGTGATCAAAATCTATTGGGCTGTTTCTTTAGCTGCAAGGCTGAGACCTACCCCCTTGGCAACAGATTCAGGCACTTAAATTACAATAAATATAAAAATCTGCAATTATGCCGCTTGTGGTCTTGTTTGCTTTTGGATATTATAAAAAAGAGTAAACATAAATTTTAGTCTGTCATCATTTTTGTTAAAAAAAAACTCCCGCGGGAGATTTAATATTAGTTATGATTCGTAATTGCTAATGATCATTATTACATTACCAGAGACAATACTAAAAAGTTTTGTTTTCCTTGTTTATATAATCATAAACTGGTTAACACAACTGTAACATCACCTTTTAGATTCATAGCCAATATGTACAGCTGATCCGAGCACACAACAAATTCCCAGCTATTGTTAGCTTAGATTACTGATGGCAAATTAAAGCTTTCTTTTGCAATTTCAAATTCAAGTAAGCTTTCATGTTATTGTTTTAAAAAGCTAGCTGTTAAGCAAGAAGCTCAAGGGTATCTATGGTGTTTAACTTGGAACAAAAAAGCCCTTGGCCTGATGGTCCTCAAGATTTTTATGAGCCTGTTTTAAACTAATCACAGTTTGTCAGAATTCCTAAGTAAGTGATTTTCAAACAGTGTTGCAGTAATAAAACAGCATTTGAGCTTGTTGCTCGCCACAAGAGGAAACGTGGTGACTGTGTGAATATGTCCAACTGGAGAAACCGTGTGGCTGAATTTGTAAGAGTAAGGCTACTTGTAAGCTCTCAAAAAAACATCTATCTTATCTCATCTTACTACCACCACATTGATTGATTGAAGTTTTATTGAGGTTTATTTCGAATATGCAAACCAAAAATATATATAAAAAATAATACAAGAAAAGTAAGGCAAAATATTCAAACATAAAAAATGTTAACATAAAACATAGAAATAAATCTTCGAAAAGGAGTGAGAAAAAGAATAACTTAGGAACTCCCACCCCTTCCCTTTAAATATTAAGTACCCACACCAAACCTCCTCGCAACTTGTTTAGATGTACCTGATATTTATAGATAAGTAAAGTGACTTTGTATTACAAAACAAAATCTACATCTACTTAATACAGCACAAACATAAACATAACAACAAAATAAAACAAGAAAGAAAGAGACAAACCCCCCCCCCCCATACTGTTTCGATACACAGTATGCGAAACTTTAGAAAAATCGACCATGATCCGAAAAAATAAATGCCGCAGTATTGCACAACGGGAAAACATCGCTGATGTGAATGCTTGTATTGACAGGATACGGGTTCGAAAAAAAATTTGACTTATTGTGTAAGGACCTTAAGACTGCTTTGTGCTCAAGTCCTCTTTTTTCTGTACAGCTCCATTTTTGAAAAGCTATTAGAAGGTTCATGTTTTCTATGATTGACACCTGATACAGTCTATTGGCGTTCAGGGATTGCATAGCTCACCTGGTGGATACGCTGTTTGAGCCGAGTGTCATCACAGCGACTCTCTGTGAGTCTCCCGCTGAATGCGCACATCGCTACTGCGCAATGCTGGTTTCAGGAAATGAAGAAAAATCGCGGAAATACCCAGAGCTTTTTGGCCTCAAATCCGTATACAGGCGGGAGGCGAAACCAAGTTGTCCATAGTATATACAGTGTATGGGCCTTACCCAGTGAGGCGGCTGACGGCGTCCATTTTATATACAGCCTATGAGCCAGACACCTTAAACTGATCAAACTATTAGATTTCACTTTGACTGCACTCACATTGACACCACTTTTTTTGAAAATAATAGCTTTTTTAAATTTAATCTCAGCTCCTCTTTACTAATTTACACTTTTATATTCAGAGTAGCTAAATACTACAATCACACTAGATAAAGTACAAAAACTAAATACCCAGGTGATGGGGTGGTGCTGCTGTGCTCTGTATGAACCTCAGCATGGATAACTCCATGTTTCTTTTTTTTTTTTGCTAGAGCACCCTTTCAGTTACTCCATCCAGTGCGCATGCGTGGCTAGAGCGCGCTGCCGCAGACAGGGGGCGTCAACATGGCGTTCTCTCCTCCACGACCGCACTGACTGCAACCTGCCAACGAGAGAGAGAAAGAGAGAGAGAGAGAGAGAGAGAGAGAGATAGAGAGAAGCGTAGGCTACCATTCTGTCAAGCCTCCATCCCTCTTCACCAGCCTTATGAATTCTTACACATTTTCAGGAGGTTAGAGCCAATTTGAAGGGATTTTCAGAACGTCGCTCTTGCTTGTTTTGCCTTTGCAGTGGATGGTTTTTGTGCGGCAGAAGACGCAGCTTGTAGAGCAGGTGTGAGAGACAGCGGCGACCGCTCCTCTCCTCCCTGTTGCCGAGGGGAAATGTCGAGCGAGAAGCCGGTTTCAGCACCACCGGGCTCTGCTTCTTCGCTCACGGACACAGACTCCCATCCCCCGCAGGGCTCCACCGTGCAGCAGCAGCCGCCGACGCCGCAGCAGCAGCAGCAGGTCGCCGCGGGCGCTGGCTCCGGCGCCACCGGGGAAAGGATGGTGTCTGCAGCCGGTTCCATGGTCCTCCCGGCCGGGGTGATCAACCCCGCTGTCCCGATACGGAATATCCAAATGAAATTCGCCGTGTTGGTGGGCCTGATCCAGGTCGGGGAGGTTAGCAACAGGGACATCGTGGAGACTGTGCTGAACCTGGTGAGTGGAAGGAAGCAGGATGAAGAAAAACACAGAAAGGCAGCCATAGAAGTACACAGCTCTTAAAGCCGCTATGTTTTATTTACGATGCTTCACTCCCGTGGTTGTGTGGCTTTCAGAGGATGATGTCATTTGTTTGTTCGCTGGATGGATGTAGGGTTTTTCTCTTTCTGCAGAGAAAACGAGCACACTCGAGGCTGTATGTTGGGTAATAAATAGGCTGAGGCTGTATTATTGTAAACCCTAGAGGAGCTGAATGAAGCATGTGACCCCACCAAGGCATGGAAGCTCTAATCACCAGCCATTGTTGACTAAATGACCCGTTTGCGGTGCAACAAGGAGAAAACGGCTGCAGTCATTCTGTATATTACTAGATAAGAGGAAACTATATGCAGTCTATTCTCCTGACCCCGATATGTACCCTGAAGTGATGCAAAGACAGCTTGGTACAAACGACGATAAGCCACAGTGTTGCGCACAACAAACACCCAAACTGCATTTTTTTCCATTTTCCTGAAGAGCGAAATCTTATAGGAGTGCATGTCTGCTTTTGAGCCCTAAAACAAAATGAGTCAAACCCGGACAAAGGCCGACTAGCATTATGCTATCCATCGACATATGTGCGTGTATGAGAATGGCTTAAAATTATGCATAGGCCTATTGTTGGAGGCAGGGCCCTGCATCCTGTGCGCAAATAACTGATGTATATAGGTAGCAATGAAGCGGTTAGCCTGGAGATTTATAATGCTGTGATTAATTTAATTACAGATTACATATATGTTGCCCCCCCCTCCCCTCCTCTCTCCCTCCTCTCTTCCATCTTTACCCCTCATACCGGAGCTTGTGTCGGTGATGATGCTGGGCCTACTCAACACATCCAAGGATTTAATCCAGCTGGGGATGGGAGGGGAGGGGGGGTTGACATGACTGGTGTTTACGGTTACGAAACAGATGAGCAAAATGTACAGCAGACGTAGGTCTGGAGGACTTGTGCGTTGGAAGAAATGTAGGACGTGTGTATGTGTGAGCTGGATGCTGCCAGCCTGTTTTCCCTCCTCCATGCATCAGGCGATGGCGTGCGCTGCATGAGATGTGCCATTCAAGGGGGGGCTCTGAATATTTTTGGAGAAACAGTAAGGATAATGTAAATGAATAACCTGATTCCAGTGCGTCTCTTTCCGCATGTTGATATATTTTAAGGTTTCATGCAACCAGCAGCCTGTTTACTCCCAGGATGCTGGGCTCAGGACAGCCCACAGCCGGACTAAACCATTTTCCTAGTAGTCAGACTAGTGAGCTATCCCGATTCAGGTCTCCTCTCATTTCCCAATCGATTATTGGTTCTACAGGAAAGAACAGGGGGTCGCATTTGCTGTCTCACTCCGACCTTGTCCCCATCCCCTTTCCAACACCCCCCCCTCTTAAGCTGCACAGGCTGATAACCATCCATCCTGCTCTATGGCCTCCTCCTCCTCCTTCATTCTAGAGGGGCTGAGGGGAGTGATGCTGCCTGCATAGACTGGCCTGGCAGGGCAACGCCATGCATTTAAAAGCAGGTGGAGAAGAGAAGGAGGAGGAGGAGGAGAGGGGGGTTGAGGGAGGATGGGGGAGGAGAAGAGAGAGTGGAGGAGGAGGAGGAGGAGGATGAGGTGGTAGGATGCTGCAGTGGCTATGTGCTCAGAAATCACCAGCTGATGCAGCGGAAGAGGAAAGGACTCAGTGAAAGCTCATCAGAGCATCCAACTGAAATGGACTCTATTTTTACGTAAATATCTGCACTTGGATTTCCGCTCTTTAGTTGTGAATGTTGCTCTAATGCATTAACACACAAAGGCCCAACACCCTGACAAATTAAAGCAATGTGTGTTAGCCATACAGAGCTTTACTCACTAAATCCTGAATTGAACAATCAGTTCTGGTTGTGAGGCTGCCAATAGCTAAGCCTGTTAGGGAATTCTGCTGCCCAGCTCCTTAATTAAAAGAGGTGAAACAAAGAGGTGTGGAGGCAGGAACCTCAGCGGTCATGCTGCTGGTACAATGAGTCTACTGTGACCCAAAAGCTGATCCATTATTCCAGTCAATGTGGGAGACCACAGTGGCCACAGTTCTACGTCCACCGTGGTCGTATTGATCCGATCCCTATGCAGCTTGGGAGAACAGATGGCTTGTCGGCTGGATCAGATATGCCCACGATTGTATATAGTGTGACGCTGGACTCTGGCAAGTGATGAACTGTAGTGTCCCTAGGTGGACAGAACATTAAAGAAGAGAAAGAATACCATAAAAATCAACTGATGCTGATAGTGGGACAAACAAAAACACAGCAACAAGAGTTTTTTTTTTTTTTTTTTTCAGTTTCTGAAATGTAAAAAGAGATTTATACGTATAGAGAGACTACCTCAGTGCACACACATATACACAGTGTGTATCCGTGCTGCTGCTGGCAAGGTGCATGGCTATTATCATCAACAAGGCATCACAGTTGTCAAGGCAACACTGCTCTTTGACTGCCTGCCTCCAGACGCTCGACCACCTGGTGTTGCTTTCCACTTCCGGACTTCTGCTTCTGCACTGCTCTGTATCTCTCTGGTGCTCTTTTATTGTCTATGTGCATCTTTTAGTCTTCTTTGTGTGTTGATATTTTCATGGTTTGTTGTTTGGTACAACAAGCAAAACAGCATCGAAAGATGGTAAATATGTCTGGTTTATGGTAGACTGGCATGAGTCATCAGACCAGGATCCTTATTGCTAAAGATTGTACAAGTCTGAGAGAATATAAAGGGAGCTATATACCCAGTTTTCTGTAGATGTAAGGGTTTTAAGCTCATTCATTAGGGCCAAGAGATGATAGATGGGAAATAAGAGCAGAAAAAAGAACTTACTAGATACCTTAATCTTTGTATTGGTAACAAGTAAACATTCTAGGCTATGGAGGTTAATACAAACTGTTCTTGGTAATAGTCTACAAGTAGGGCTGGGCGATAAAATGATAACGATATTGAAAATTAATTTCCCTCGATATCGATATGAAATATGGTCAATATGCTTGTCGATAGTCAGCATTCTGCCATGTTTTGGTAGACCATATGAATAGCCAATGAACATGAATGAATGACATGAATGAATGAATGAATGACACAAAGACCTCACAGTTGCAGTAGCTTAATGTATTGCAAAAGACATGCTACCAATAAATACTGTTAAATTTCATTTAAGAGTAACAGGGAATATTTAAGATTGAAAAGTGATTTTTTTAATACTGTGATATCGATATCGACTGATATGAAAAAAATATATCTTGATAAACTTTGTCCCATGTCGCCCAGCCCGATCTACAAGATGGAATAGTTCTGTGGTGGGCTTGTTCAATATTACTAGTTCTTTTTCTGGCCTTTAAAAATAGAAATCTAATGTTTGAACTTTTTTTTTTTCAATCTGAGAAAGAAGGAGTTTGATGATTAACAAAATTGGCAAAAAATGAAGAAAATAAACATTTCTGTGCTTGTTAACAGCACTATGATTGTAAAAGGGATAATATATTGTGAACTGGTGAGAATTTCTTCAGAGCCCTGATAAGCGTGACTTCATTACAATTTGCGACATAAAAATGAACTCGCTAACTCTAACGCCACAGCCTGGATTGCAGGACAGGTTTTTGCTCCACTTTTCTTTATCATAGATGGTAGGGGTCCTGTAGCTCCTCCGGCTGCTTTCAGATCTTTCCCTGGCAGTGTTGTAGTCAAATCCTGGGTCCACAGTGTTCAATGAAACATCAAGTCCAAGTCACCAGAGAGGAGTTGAGTCCAAGTCGAATCCTCATTACCTGAGCTTGAGTCCAGTCACTTTGTTTAATATGAGGAGGGCGGCTGTTTGACTCCAGACTGTTGACGGTATAAACCTGAGATCTTTGGATGTGGAAAAACACATTTCATTTGAATTTTAACCGTTCCTGTCAGTCTGTCTGGAGATTAAAATGATCAATGAAGTTACAGCCCCGTATGTCATGCGTAAATGCACGCCCCACTTCTCTTAATGAAGGGACACACTCATTGATTCTGCTGCAGTGAGATCATTGCAGGCGTCCCATAAACTCAAAAATATTCCCTCCCAGATACTATTATT